TCTCTCTTTTTAGCAGCCATAGAACAAAGAACACAGAGGTCCAAAGCCCCCTCTTCCTTCAGGTTACTCCTCCAGCCCTTCCTACAACAGATTCAAAAAAGAGAAAAAAAAAATCCAGTGTTTCCTACTCTTAGCATTGTGCAGTGAAAAGACAGCCCAACTCTAAATCCAGGAGTGTTTGGTCTCCAGATACATTGGGGTTATCACCTCTTGAAGCCCATCAATCAATCATCTAGAGAACATTGTTTCTGGAGAAGGCTGTCCTTTCACGATGGGGCACAGTGGGGAATTCTAATTAAGTTACATCGCCCCTGCCCCCAAGGATCTGGACGCCTTTAAGAAATCTCAGAAAACGTGCAAAATTAGAGAGAAATAGAGAAGACAGCCTCTTCGTCTTGACCAAGAAGTTGGTCAACATGTATTGGAATTTGTCTGCCAGTCTCCGGAGACAACAAATAATCAAGGAATATGAAGATGGCTGAGAAAACCAGAAGAAGTGGTAATACTGAATATCTACCCAGAAAATTCCACCCTGTTGGTCAATCTGGAGAATTTGGGGAACAAGGCACATGTTTCTCCCTTGGGAGAGATGGAGGGTACCCTCAAATGAAAATATTAGGGTGTTCTCCATGCGGATACGAGTCCCCAGAAAGATAATTTGGCTTGCAGAGGAGCTGGGCTCCCAGGCTCGCTCTCTCTCCAGGAACATCTGTTGGGAGTAGGGCTGGACCAGATCCGTCAGTTTGGCTTCTGAAACCCACATCTGAGACAAAGGGAGCCCAGGTGTTTATCTTCCAGCCTCCTGGCGTTTCTGGAGCACTTCAATGACCTCATCAATGCCATCTTCTAGAACCTGGAGGGAATGGAATGGGGGAGAAAAAAGATGGTTGCATTGACACCTTTCAGGAAATACCAAATAGAAGGGAAGGCCCCAATTATTTTGGGGGATCGTCTTCAGATTTGTAACCAGTTTAATAATTGCTATTGAGAATGATATTTTTGTCTTATTAAACTGGCCGCCATATTATTCTGAATGGCGGAAGGGAAGGGGATTTAATTTACACTTGTAGTTACATCTTATGCCTCAAAACAAGACAATCAAAGTTTGGTCTAATGGTTAAGACACCAGGCTAAAAACCAGGAGACGGTGAGTTCTAGTCCTATCTTAGCCATGAAAGTCAACTGGGTGACTTTGAGCCAGTCCCTCTTTCTCAGCCCAAGTCATTTCCCGGGGTAGTTATTGTTGGGAAAATAGGAGGACGAAGGAGCATTAGGCACGTTCGCCACCTTGAAGTGTTTATAAACAATAATAAAGGTGAAATATAAATAAATAAGAATTTTAAAAATCTGGAACCCTCAAAAGAACGAACGCTTCCAACTCGGGATGTCCTCAACCCTTTGCGGCTTACCAAGGCGTGGTCAAAGTTGAAGGTGCTGATGTAATAGGCGGAGATGTCTGCATAGGCCAGGGGTTCAGCAATTTGGGCCACGATCCCACATTCATCTGCCGAAGGGAGGAACCAGGAGAGACATCAGCTGAACGCAAGGCCAAAGTTCCCAGGTTCTGGAATTTGACCAAACATGATGACGCTTTGGGGCAGGACTTTCCTCTAGGCAGGGGGGTCTCCAAACTTAGCAACTTTAAGAGTTGTGGACTTCAACTCCCAGAATGTCTGGCTGAGGAATTCTGGGAGCTGAAGTCCACAAGTCTTAAAGTTGCCCTGCTCTAGGACAACACAGGAGATCCTCCAGGCGCCATCTTAGATCCATGCAATCCTTTGTGCTGATGGTTAGAAATGAAATTTAACTTCTTCCTGGGGATGGGATCCAAGTTAAGTGGAAATGGAAATTCTTCTCCCACCCAAGGATGGTGACAAGTCGAGGACCACCATATTCTGAGTTAATTCCACCCCAAGAGAATCGGTTATCTACACAGCACCATCACCATTGATAAAGCGTGGAAAAGAAAACACCACAAAACTCACCGAAGCCAAGGGGCTGCCCACCAATCCTCACCATCCTCCACAGCTCCCCTGAGGAACTGGTCAACAGCAGGTCGCTGGGGAATCTGGGAAAGGGGAGGAGAATTTGACATTTTCTCCACAGTGTTATCCATTGGCGCAAAGCTAACCCAGATGCTTGCTGGACTCAACTGAGGGACCTCTAAGATGTCTCCTAATCCGAGAACCCAGGAGTTTCTCTACTCAACACCGTGCCTGCAAGGATGATGTTTTTGCAACTAGGCTACTTCTGCCCCCCAAATGCTGAGCTCCTGGTGGTCATTCCACAAAACCCCCCTTCGTGAGGCACTCACTTTTTCTTGGTCTCTGCATCCATGACAATGGAGATGTAGCCCTCAATCAGGGAGAAGGCAAAGAAAGTAATGGCGTCCTGGTTGTTAGGGGAGGCATCTTTTGGCGGGCTGAAAAAGGCCAAAGAAAGAAATGCCCAGGGTCAAATTTTGGACAATAAATGTCTCCTATTTTGGAAGCATGGGGTGGAAATGAAAGCTCCTTCAGCAGGACTTTTCTACTGCTGTTAAGAGCAATGGCATCTGGCCCTGGCTACTATTACAGCCTTTTCGTTAAACCCTTCTCAAAATGTTAGTGGCCTGTCACTGAATGAAAGACAAAGGGGAGAAGATGACTTTAAAGAACCTTTTAAGTCATTTATTTTCTGAGCTGAGCTCCTGTTTCAATGTTTTGTTCCTGGTATTTTAATTTTTCTTTTTTTTTTCTATAGCCATGCGTTTTAGATTAAAATGATTTTGAATAATGATATGATTAAAGATTTTGTGATGCCACTGATGTCATTGTCATTGGATCTTAGATCAGACAATCTGACCGTGGCAGAAAAATAAGATTAGGAACATTCTGCAGGAGAAGAAGAGGCTGAGCTGCAAGGTGGCCTAAAAGGTGTCAGCTATTTAGAATCGTTGCGTTGTCACAAAAAAAAACAAGTCCAACCCCATTAATTCCATTGAGCCTTATCTATTATCAATTTAGTTTTGACTACCGGTATTAATTGATTAAAGTCTTGTATTAAAGGTAGCAATGGTACGATTCATTTAGTGACCGTTTGAAGTTACAACGGTGCTGAAATAAGTGACATACGACCATTTTTCACACTTACAATCGTTGCAGCATCCCCACGGTCATGTGATCCAAATTCAGACACTTGGCAACTGGCTCATGTTTATGACAATTGATGATTGCACTGTCCCAGGATCGGGGGATCCCCTTTTGGGATCTTCTGGGAAGCAAAGCCAATGGGGTAGCCAGACGCCCTTCACAACCATCTTGCTAACTTAACAACACATTTCACAACTGCGACAAAAAAGACCGTAAAATGGGGCAAAGCTCCCTTAACAACTGTCTGGCTCAGGAAGGGAAGTTTTAGGCTCACCTGTCATAAGTCGAAGATTACCTAGAAACCCTGGCTTCAACCATTCCTTAGCAACCTTCCCTTTTTCCCCCCACCCAGCCAGTCAGCACACATCAATCACTGACCTGGCTGTGTAGAACAGGACATCGATGAGTTTTGTGGCAATGGCTGGCAAGGTTTCGGGGGCGATGCTAAGGATGCAGAATCTGTTCTGAGGAGTTTGTATTGGATGGACCGTGGCGTTGAACTCTGGGAAGCAGAGAGAGAGATGCTGTCAGGCTTGCCCCAGTCTGATCCCTTAGGGAAGAGAAACCCTCGACTCCAGAGATGGAGCAGCCACAACTTCTAAAGATAATTTATTCCAATGATTAATTGTTCTCACTGTCAGAAAATTCCTCCTTAGATTTAGGTTGCTTCTCTCCTTGACTAGTTTTTTTCTTGTCCTGCCTTCAGGTGCTTTGGAAATAGTTGACCGCCCCCCCTCTTCTTTGCGGCAGCCCCTCAAATGTTGGAATTACTCCAGTACTGGAATTCATCCAACTTGGTCTCGGCAATAGAAAACCCACCTTGCTTTGCCTTGTGGAATCCATTGCTTATGTCTTCACAGTTTGCAGGGACCGGTTCTCCATTCATCTCCTTATAAATTTCAAATTCGCTGGCCAGGGTGTGGATGACCACAGGCAGATCCTTCTCCCGTACCTGAAAGGCAGACCAAAGGATCCCTAATACTACAGCATCACGATATCCAGTTTGAATGGCTTCCATTTCTCTTGCTTGAGCAGGGGGTTGGACTAGAGGACCTCCAAGGTCCTTCTAATCCTTCTGTTACTCCATCAATAACACACAAAGCCCCCTCCCCCTTCCTCTCTTTATCGGTGGTAGGGGGACCCCCCAACCTTTGAACTCAGCCCTTATCGTACCCATAGTACACCCCCCCCCGGCTCTGGAACCAGCTATTCAGAAGCTCACCAGAATAAAATCGGTCTGATATGTGGACAACATCAAAACGGAGACATTGTGCTCGGCCAGCGGCGCGATGACGGATTTTGCAATCTTGGTGACTCCGATTGGCTGGTTGTTGAGGGAGGCGCTGCCGTTGGACAAGACGTTCAGCACGAGCCACGTGGAATCCACCACTTGCAGGAACTCAGAGGCATGGAGTTCTGGAAGAAACGCGAGAAAACCTCATGAAGAAGACTACACAGAACCTAGAGTCTCCGGGAGGAATTCTGGGGAATTCTGGGAGTGGAATTCCACAAGTCTTAAAGTTCGGAGTCCTCTAATTTAAGGCATCTGGGGAGGGGAATTACAGAGAAAACCAACTGGGAAACGAAGACTACAAAATGGCACGGAGAGGGCAAGAATCTGAGAATGGCTCTCCTCCAAACTGGATTAAAAATTAAGTCACTTCGTTTTTCACATGAGTGGATCTCTTCAGCAGAGCTGGATGCCTGTTAATGGCCCTCTGCACACGGAGGATCAAAGGTTTCCATTGAGAAGGAATTTGCAAGGAGGGGAAGGAAATAAAATATTGACCTCTTTCCCCCCCCCCACCTACCTCAACCACAAAATGCAACCGAGAGGGACAACACATGGAAGGAACGAGCTGTCTTAGCCAAATCTCTTAGATTTAACACCAAGCACAATAATACTTTCTAAAAAAACATCACACAGATGTTAGGAAGTTGCGTTTACTGGAGCTATTCAAAACAATGCAAGAAAGGGGGATGGTTATTCCTCCTCCCTCCTGGAAAATAATCCTCTTGAAAGAATTTCCAAGCAATATAAAAAAAACTGTAATTTATATAACTAAATAATTTAGTTGCTGTCTCCTTCTTTCCTCCCCTTCCTGCCTCTTCTCTAATACCTCTTCCCCATCTCTTCTCCCTGTCTACTTATCCCTCCCTTCCTCCCTCTTTCCGTCCTTCCTCCCTCCCTATCCCACTGTTATCCCCTTGCTCCTTCCTTCCTTCTTTCACTCCTTATCTATTACCCCTTCCTTCCTTCCTTCCTTCCTTCCTTCCTTCCTTCCTTCCTTCCTTCCTTCCTTCCTTCCTTCCTTCCTTCCTCCCTTTCTCCCTATCCCACTATTATCCTTCCTTCCTTCCTTCCTTCCTCCCTTTCTCCCTAGTAAAATATTTCACTTCAACTGACCCCTTCTTTCCCCCCCCCCACAGTTTCTTTCTCCCCCCCCCCCCTTCCAGGAAGCACCTGGGAGTTTCCCCTGCCCTGGTCCCACAGGAGAGCGGGTTCCCTGGGAACAGCACAATCCTCTTCTCCCAGCCTCGGAAGATCACACCTTCCACCCGCCTTGCCAACCTGATCTCAAGGCCGCTCTGGAGCCCCTCCAGGTCCAGCAATACAAAAGATACGGCAGTCAACAAGAACTGGCCAACGGCTTGTTTTCCACTAGCTGCTCCCCTGGGCAAGTGCAACACCCTGAGATAAACATCTGCTCCCCCTCATCCTTGGGAACATATCAATGGGCAGCCAAGCATTTGTTCCCTTTCTTGGAATTGTGGGAACACCCAACAAAAGAGCCAAACAGAAGCAGAGATGTAATTTTAATTTTGCCAGGGCTGCAACTTCCGCCAATTGGAGGGCCCTGCGTCTCAGCCAGGGAATGCTAGGAGCTGAAATCCAAACATCTGGAAGATACCTACTTGGCTGCAGGATTGCTGCCCTGACAGTTAGCAGCGCTCCTAAACAGATTCCCCTCTAAAAACAGATCCGGTTTTTCAGAATCTACCCACTGCTTTCCATTTAGGAGCATTAGGAGCAATTGGGTGTGTTTGAGGGGCATGCTTTTTTTTCTCTTCTTTCTCCAGGAATTCCAGATGCTCCCTGGCAACTGTAGTGGCAGTCCCATAACTGAGGTGTGGGTGCAGGTAGGAAATAGTCAGGGATTGGCTATAAATGTATTTTTTTCAGCCCTGACCACAGGTCAGTGAATGAGGAATATCTGTACTCCAAAAGTTGCTCATACCTTTGAAGCCTTCTTCATCCAACATGATGGTGTAGTCTTCAGGTGTCTCTGTTAAGCTGAAAAACCTGCACCTGGGAAGAGAGGAGAATGCCAAGTCATGCTGATGAAATGATTCTGTGAAATTCACCTCCCTTTGGACAGAAATTGGAAAAATCACCTTCCTTTCTTTCCTCCCTCCCTCTCCTTCCTTCCTTCCTTCCTTCCTTCCTTCCTTCCTTCCTTCCTTCCTTCCTTCCTTCCTTCCTTCCTTCCTTCCTTCCTCTATTTCTATTTCTTTCTCTTTCTTTTTCGCTTTCTCTCTCTCTTTTTCTCTCTTTTTTTTCTTCTCCTCTCCCTCCCTCCCTCTCTCACATATGCACCCACGCACACATGCACGCGCACACAAACACACTCCAGCAAAATTTCTCAGGCTGTCCCTTCAGCTTGAAAAAAAAAATCCACCCACATTGCCCAGGGCCTCTTAAGCAACCCCAGAAAAGGACCCAGCTGCACTCAACCGCAGTCACACAAACACAAGCTTGTTTAACCGCGACACAGCGAGCCCTGCCCTTTTGTCTGACACACAACTTGTTTATTCCCTTGCAATAGAAAGAGAGAAAAAAAAGTTTGTTTGAACAGATCAAATGGACTAGAATGAAATGAATTGCTGATTCACGTGAAACGCTTGAAGTTGGCACATGTAACGTCCAGTTCATTTGTGGCAAAATCAGCCACAAATGCTGTTTTTTTAAACTTGGCACTGCAAAAGGGTTAAACCAGATTTTTGGAAATTATTTCAGGCTTTGAAAGAAAAGAATCTTTGTAGCTCAGGGTTGAACTATGGGCCTTGATGTTTTCTGAGCTTAGTGGTTTTCTTGCAGACATTTCATGACCCAACTACGTAACATCATCAATGCCAGAGGCTTTCAGGCTTGTTTACCATGCTGCCTTAAGGCTTTTTAAAACAACAAGAGAAATCTGTTGTTTCTTTAGGATTTGTAGCCATCACAGAAAGAACTGTTTATCATCTGATTTCAGCTTGGCTAATTAGGGAATCTGACCATTTGACTACACTATTTAACCGGGATGGTGTAAGATCTCCTGCCTTCAGCAGGGGTTGGACTAGAAGACCTCCGAGGTCCCTTCCAGCCACATGGTTCCATGGCTGGCTGGAGAATTCTGGGACTTGAAATCCATCCATCTTGAAGTTGCCAAGTTTGAAAAAAAAAAACTGAGTTAAATACTGAATCGTTTCACTGGTCAAACAGATTTTGGGAAAAAAAATTCACCAGGTGAGTTAAAATTCACCGAGGGGAGCAAGCAGAAACCAAGTCTCAGTTGAGGAGAGAGGAAAAGCTAAGGAGGAAAGGAAAAAAACGACAAAGAGGAACTTAAGGAAAAACAGAGAGTGAAGAAATCATGGTTATCATAGGTGATCGGAATGCCGTACAGGCGACTAAGCAAGCTGCAATATTTTTCTTACATGTTTACCAGAAGTATTTTTCTTCCTTTTCAATAAGGTCACAAATACATTGATATGCACAAAATTAAGCCAGATTTTTCATTCTGCCAGCCCAACTTTAGTTTTCCAGACTGGAAACTCTTTGGAGCTTGTTTACAGCACAGCCTTAAAGCTTTTAAAAACAAGAACGGGAATCTGTTTGTTTTTCTGGGCTGTGTAACCATCACAGAAAGAAGTGTAAATGTAAAACAAACAAGAACAGAAACAGCCATCTGAAATTGAGCAACGCAAAAGGGGGAAAATGCAAACTACATTTTCCAGAATAATTTTATATTAACTCACAGTTAGATACACGCTAACTATGGTATGTGCCTCTGCAAAGGCAGGATTTCAAACTCTTGCTTTTTCAGGGTAGACATTAATTTAAAAAAAAAAAACCACTAGGGGAAAAAAAGCCAATTTGCACCTTTTGGGAGCTGTGGAGTTTAAAGAGTTAAGCAGTCAGACAAGACATGGAGTAAGTAGCTAAAGGAAGTAGGAAATGGCTAGGAAAGCAGGAATTGGTGGGAAACAATAGCCAGCAAGGAGCTGTGCTGGAGAAAGACGCCAGCCTAAGAACAATTAGAAAACAGAATTAGGCCCTAAAGACTGCAAGGGAAAGAGTGGGGGCAAGGAAGGAAATTTGGGAGAAAAGAGCAGTTGCACAGCAGGCTGACTTGAAAACTGTATTTCTACTTTAATGAAAAGTAGGGGTGACATGATAGCAGTCTTCCAATATTTGAGGGACTATCACAAAAGAGAGGGGGGTCAACCTGTTCTCCAAATACATGAAGTCAGGACAAGAAGCAACGGATGGAAACTAATCAAGGAGAGAGAAGCAACCTGGAATGAAGGAGACACTTCCTAACAGTGAGAACACCTAACCAGTGGAACTCCTTGCCTCCAGAAGTTGTGGCTGCTCCATCACTGGAGGCTCTTTAAGAAGAGACCGGACAGCTCTTTGTCTGAAACGGTATAGTGTTTCCTGCTTGAGCAGGGGGTTGGACTAGAAGACCTCCAAGGTCCCTTCCAGCTCTTGTTATTCTGTTTTTAATCTTCTGTTATAAATTTCACACTGATTGCAAATTCTTAGCATGCAGCCTTCATTTTATCTCCAAGGGTGAAAAACAACTTATGAAACAGACAAGAAGCTGTGAGCCAAACAGCCCACTTGGTGCTGATAGGGAGCAGAGCCTTCCAGATGTTCTGAAAGATGGCTCTGAAAATCCCCCCCCCTTCCCCAGTTAGAAAACTAAAAGAAAATTTTCCACTGTCTGAGATTCTCTGCCGAGATACGATAGCAAGGAAAACAATAACGAAAGATTAAAAAAAACTACCTCCGAAAAAGGCTAAGCCTAACTGGGATGGAAGCAAAATTCCTCAATCATTATATAGGTGTGAAAAATGGTCATAAGCCCCTTTTTTCACTGCCGTCGTAACCTCAAACAGCCACTAAATGAACGGCTGTAACTTGAGGACTAACTCTTATGACTTGACTACATCCTAATTCTATAAATGAGGTCAAGTAGCATTTTTATAAGCCGGAATCCTCTCACAAAACAGAAGCCAGAGCTGGGAACTGAAGCATTGATATACAAAGACGACATTTCTTATTTAAAAATGGCACAATTATCCAGACAGCTTGCAAACAGCATCCAAGAATCCCTGTACTTGCAAAATATCCCTTACGGTCATCCTTAAGATTTCCAATCCATTTGCATAACAAGCCTACTCTTTGCCTGGGGGGGTGGGGGTGGGAGAATAATTAAAAAACCAGAAGAAATGCCAGGTATTTTGTATCAAATCCCCCCTCCCCCTTTTTAAATACATGTCTTTTTTGGTTTCTGCAATTCCAAAGGTACCCTGCAAATAAATTTTTTTTAAAAAAAAAAACAATGAAGAAGGAGAAGAGACCCAACTGCCAATTCTTGCAGCCAAGTGCAGAGGCGGAAGAAATTTAGGGAAAAAATAAATTGCTTCAAGAGGAATCAGCAGCCGGTTGGAAAAAAAAAAAGAACTGTTTATTTTCTTTTAAGATTTTCAAACCAGCCGTGGGGGTGACCCATCCCAGTTATGTCGGAATCCGCAGCCATGTGCTAAATATGCCTTTTTCGGCTGCACTTAGAGGTACAGGGAGAGGGGGAGGAAGGGCCCACCCAAGCTAACTGGGGTCCCCCTTTTCAAGAACTGGGGAGGGGTTAGGCCTCAGGTGTCCCCCAAAAAACACAAGAGCTGTCAAACCAGGTTCACTAGCATCTTTTTAAACAATTGCACAGAATTTGCAGCATTTGATTCTTGCAGTCCACATTCCAGAATTTAAGGGGAAACTCCAATCTACTTGGGGATGATGGGAAATGTAGTCCAAGTGCTCTAGAAGGGTCTGTGTTCTCATAAGAGACTGATAAGGGACACACACCCTCATTGCCGCCCTCTACAGGGCTTCAGGAGCACTGTGGTCCAAATCTCACCCCAGAAAGATGATGGGCATCTTCCGAGGTTAGCAAGAACCAGGACACGGTCCAGTTTGGCAACAGACACAGCTCTGCTCTGTCCACACTTGCACACTTGTTGTACACACACACACATACACACACACATAACCGGGCTCAACCCTTAATTTGCAAGCACACAGCAGAGAAAAGCTAGTTTCCCATGCATACACCGGTCAGAATAAGAGAGTTGGAAGGTCCTCGGGCACCCCCTTCCCCAATTCGGAGCACGTGTAAACCCCAGCTTTGATCCATGCCGGTAACAGCGCCGAATCCCGCTGCCATAGGATTCCAAGCATTGCGCCTCTGCACTTTCTCCAGCCCACCCACGACGACACGCGTGTCTCCGCCCTCTCAAATATACACCAACACCCCCCGTGCGCGCAGTCTCTCCAGCCCATCTACCCTGACACGCTGTCTGCGCCCTTCTTAATGCACCAAGGCCCGCGTTGCACAGTCTCACTCCAGCAGGCTAGCCACGGCGACACGCGTGTCTGCGCCTTCCCACAAGCGCGCACACGCGCGCCCTACCTGCTGCGCTGGGGCAGAAGCAGCATCTTGAGCAGCGGGTGGGTGTAGAGCCAGAGGCCGCGGCGGGCCAGGCTCAGGACCCGCACGCGGGGCTCCAGGATCCGCAGCTCCATGGTGCAGCCAGCGAGGCCGGCGCCCTGCCCAGCGCTGGGCTTTACGCGAGCCGGGACCGCCGCGCCGCCTCCTTCCCCAGGCCCGGCCCGGCCCACGAGGGGGGAGCCACGGCCCGGACCCACCCCCGGCCCGCCCGCCTTCTGCTTTGCCCGCGGCCGACCGCCTCTGAGCTCGTGCAGAGCGCTCTGACAACGGCGCGCACACGGCTGCGGTCCGGAGAGAGGAGCCGGGCGGTTGGGTGGTGATGCGCGCGCGGCGGGGCTTCCTTCGCTTTCCTGTCGCGGGTGCTGAAAGGCAAGAGCCGGGTTCTCACGACCCGTTCGGCCTTCCTGGGGGGCTTCGTGGATTCGTGGCTAAGCAGGTCGCGTGTCCCCAGCCTTCGTCTGGAATGTCCAGCCCCTTCCTTCCTTCCTTCCTTCCTTCCTTCCTTCCTTCCTTCCTTTCTTCCTTCCTTCCTTCCTTCCTCCCTCATTCACTCGCTCCCTCCCTCTTTCCATCCTTCCTTTCCTTTTCCTTCCTTCCTTCCTTCCTTCCTTCCTTCCTTCCTTCCTTCCTTCCTTCCTTCCTTCCTTCCTTTTTCTTTCTCTGTGCAGTGTTCTGGGCTCATGTGATCACCTTTTGCAACAAAAGTCAATGGGGGGGGGAAGCCGGATTCACTTAACAACCGTGTTACTAACTTAACAACTGCAGTGACTCCCTTAACAACCGAGGCAAGGGAGGCTGTAGAATGGAGCCAAATTCGCTTAGCGACTGACTTGCTTAGCAACAGAAACGACAGTTGAGGGGTAGCTGTCCTCGAGCCGGACCACAAATCCGGATGGGCTGCTTCCTTGGCGCCTTGCCCACATTGTGCTCATCTACACACCTTCCACCTGGGGCGTTTCTAACGTTCTCTCCTACTCCTTCTGCGTCTTATATTCCAGGAACGTTCTTTTCGTCCGCCAGGCTTTGAGGGGGAAATGCAGGCAATAGACAAAAAAACAAGCTGATTCGAATTGCAATGGGCCCTCTCGGTGGCCACAGGGAATGTGCCTGCCACAACCAAGAGCAGGGCCTGGCAACCTTTTCACCCATGGTACCTCTTCGAGGGCAAGGCAATATCCCAGTCCCACCAATCACCTAGGGCAGTGTTTCCCAAACTTGACAATTTTAAGGCATGTGGACTTCAACTCCCAGAATTCCACAGCCAGCACTGCTGGCTGTGGAATTCTGGGAGTTGAAGTCCACATGCCTTAAAATTGTCAAGTTTGGGAAACACTGACCTAGGGGCAAACTCATCAGAAGGCAGCCTTAGGCAGGAATAGCAGCCACGCAAGGAAATAAACCTTACCTGCCCACTTCCTGTCACACATGCGCAGTAGTCTTCCACTGCCCTACACACCGACCTCCTCGACATGGCCGACTTCCTGTCCGTTTCTGTGACCTCCTCGGCATGGCCGACCTCCTGTCCGTTTTTGTGACCTTCTCGGCATGGCCGACTTCCTGGCTTTAAGGAGGCGGCTGGATACCGGTACTACAGAGGCTGGGAGGCCGGGTCTCTTTGTCCCCTTTCCATTTCAAAGGGAGAAAAACAAGAGGCCAATTGGGAACATAGAGTTAAAGTTCATATGTTTGCAACATAAATTTCAGGGATTCTTTCTGAGGCTTAGTTGCCGCATCTGCATTTCTAAAATGGCCCTCGGGCGCTGTTTTACAGCCGGAGAGGGCAAGACAAGTTCAGGGGAATTCTGGGAGCGGACGTCCACCTCTCTCTTTAAGTGACCGGTTGAGAAATAGGATAAGTTTTGTCTTTTCTTAACAGAAAGACGCTGGATTCAGCCTGGTGAGAATTCCAAAATTTGAGGAAAATTGCATTTGTCCCCAAACCATCTTGGTTGCTGAGCATTTTAGAGAGGAAGGGAGAAGCAAAGGGCTTTTCAAGCAGAGTTAACTCTTGATATTATGGGAGAAAAATGTGTCCCTTAAGGTCTTTCAACTTTCCTGTTTCCACCAAACCACATTATTTGGAATGGCAACAAAAGTTTATTTGTCCTTAGAACCTGGGATGGAAAAATACCATTCCTCCTTTTTTAATCAGAAAAAAACAAGTTGTGTTCCTGAAATTCACTTTAAAAAAAACAAAAAACTTCATGTCTTAAAGGCAAATTGAAAGCAATTGTACGAGCTTCTTGTCAGATTTTTTTAATCTCATCAAAATAAATTTTTTATCTCTCTCACCAAAAATAAAAATTATTAGTATTATACTATTACTACTATTATACTATTATTGTTTTATATTATTAGATAGGATATAAATTGAGGGGCTGAAAATATACCAATTTTCCATCTCCTTTTTTATGGGAATTAGTTTCCTATATGACACAAAAGTTACAGGTAATCCCTGACTTACAATCACAATTGTGTTATGTATGTGTGCACTTTGAGAGCAAGCTAAATTTCATTTTTAATGTGTACCATTGTGCCCACAGTAAAAAATGACAATAAAGGTTATCTATCTATCTATCTACCTACCTATCATCTTTCTATCATCTATCATCTATATCTGTATATCTATCTATCATCTATTTCTTTTTCTATCTATCTATCTATCTATCTATCTATCTATCTATCTATCTATCTATCTATCTATCTATCTAACTAACTAACTAACTAACTAATATCCATTCTTAGGAAGGTAAATACATTCTGAAATCAGGAAACATGAGCCATTTGCAGATTAATCAACACTGCTGGCGCTAGAAAATATTTTGCTAGAATTTTACTTCCAGCCTCCCAATGATTAACTCAATCGGATTGCAGGGGAAGACACGTTCCCTGTTAAGTTTGATCAACTATTCGTTGATTTTATATTGGCATATTTAATAAATGAATCTCTTTTTTAGGGTTCACGTAAGGCTCACCAAAACGGCTGAGCTAAGCCAGAGACAAACCAAGGTCTTTCTAACCTGCCCCACTTCACCCTTTATGCAAAACTATAGGGAAGTCCTTAACTTACAGCCAGCCATTTAGTGACCATTTGAAGCTACAACGGCACTGGAAAAAAAGGGACTTATGGCCACTTTTCATACTCAATGACCGTTGCAGCGTCCCCAGGGTCATGTGATCCAAAGCTGGCTGGGGAATTCTGGGAGTTGAAGTCCATTCATCTGAAAAGTTGTTGAGATTGAGAAACACTGATCTAAACTACGTTCAGGGGAAAGAGGGACATTAAAGCTATTCAGGAGCAGAGAATCTGCTTACGTTTAGCCACACTATTGAAAGCAACGTTTGTGTGCTTTGAATAGTGGATACTAGAAAAGGAAGACATGGACAGGTTTCTTTGGTCAACAACTTTTGGAAACAGTATCCTAGATTGACCTGTAGGACCTCAGTTGTACCTTTTTGATCTTCATCTGCCAGGACAACTGCTTTTCTGCAAATAAAATAGTCTCTCCTTTGGCTGCATCTTCCTGAAGGTGGATACATCCTTTCCCCTAATCCCCAACAATGATTAATAACCTCAAGTCGGAGGTTAAACCAAGATGAGTTACCTATTGCTTCTTTGATCCTTAGTAACGCTTCTCCTTCTATGATTAACTCCCTCTGCTTTCTAATCACCCTCACCAAGTCAACACAAAATCTCAGCTACTGTAGCCCTCTCAATTGTAGCTGGCTTCATATTTATGGATTTCAGCTCCCATTATCCCCAGCCAGCCCTGGCAGAAAGGGGGTTGTAGTTGATACTCCCAACAGTCCAGAGAAGAACAAGCTGCTTGGCTAAATGTCTATATGGAGACTGTCAGCCATCCAGGTCACGCTTGTCCCAAAGTGCTTTTGTAAAAGGCAACTGGACCTTGTTTTTCCTTGAAGACAGTCCAATGCAGTGAGACACGTGTAGATCTGTATATTGCAGAAACAAAACGACCACTTCACAAACCCATGGCACAACTTAGGAGAACAAACCCATCAGAACAAGATTCAGCAGTCCAACCGCTTTTGAAAGACAAAGGTCACTCTTCTGAAGACAGGAAAGTTCTGGACAGGGAGGACCACTGGTTTGAAAGAGGGGTCAAAGAGGCCATCTAGATTAAGAGTGAACATGTCTCTTAACAGAGGGGAGGGATACGACACCACCCATCTCCTGTCTACAACACGGCCCTCTCAGCAGTTCCAAGAAGGCCCCACACCCATTTGCACCACTCAGATGACCCCGAGGTCACAGGTGAACCTCCAAGTGGCCACAATGATTCTCTAAAAGAATGCAAATGACCAGCGGTCTGTAAGGAATATCAATCCTTCCATCCTCTGCCATCCAGTCAGAACTGAAGAAGCTTCTTGGATGAGAAGCGAAACGTCTTCAAGGAAAAACCAAGTCCAGTTGTCTTTTGAAAAAGCCCCTTTGGGTCTGCCTTATTACACTTGCTCTGATTGATGAAGCTGCTTGGAGGGGTGGCAAAATGTCTCAAACCAACAAGATAAAAACAGTGGGAACGGCTCAAATTTTTGACAACTAATCAGGTACTCCACGAAGCCCATCAGACAGGTTGGACTAAACCCCCCAACTTTCCCAATCTCTGTACTGGGTGGAAAACACCAGGAATTTGTGCCTGGTAATTGCTTTCGGCAAACGTTCAGCTTTGTCCTTGAGTCTCTGGCTCAAAATCAAAGCCTTGATCAAGTTTGGCGCTAGGGACCCGTGCACAGACAGACAAGACCCAATCTCTGCAGCCTTCTTATCTTCTACCATCCCTCTGACTGTGGCACTTTGCCAGCCAGCTGCAAAACAAAGCAACGGAGAGATCACAAGGGCAGAAGAACTAAACAGCACCTCAGCAAGGACAGAGTGAGGTTTCCTATGGAGGCTATAAAAGCAACTCAGGATTCTTTTGGGCAAAAGGCTACGGGGACACCTAGGGAGATCAAGATAACGCCAAGGCTGCATGCAGAACGCCATAAACCATCTTGATCACTGACCTCGCTAAGAAAAAAAGGGAGGAAAGAATGCATGACCATTTTCCCCTCTCCAAAATAGCCCAACGTGCTGGAAGGGCATAACAGCAAGGCCTAGACAAAGCAATAACACAATGTTTTAGTGGCATCAATAAGCTTGGTTGTGGCAGCAAGGGGGAAGAGAGGCTGAACTGGCCCAGAATCAGAAGGGACCTTGGAGGTCTTCTAGTCCAATCCCCTGGCTCAAGCAGGACACCCTAAACCATTTCAGACAAGTGACTGTCCAGTCTCTTCTTAAAAACCTCCAGTAATGAAGCACCCACAACGTCTAGAGGCAAATGAATGATTGTGAAGTCAAGGACTGCCTGGTATGTGAGTGTAGCCAAGTGTTCCCCCCCCCCCAGAGCTACTTTGAGATGATGAATTGCATCTGAGGAAGTGAGCTGCAGCACCCCAAAACGTAGGCCTCTTTAATAACACCCATCAGCTGGAAAAACAGGCTATCCTCACTTGGGGGCTCCCCCAAATTGACAGCCCTTTCCCCCGCCAAACCAGTCAAATCGCACATAGAATATACATAATTCCGGTTTATTTCGCCTCTTATACAAAACAGTTTCAGCAATTGATTTCCTTTTTAAAAAATCCGCACGCAAGAATCTCACCGATCAGCCATAATCTGGTGCAGGAGAAGGAAACAGAGAATAGCACTCCTGTTCCACACTCTTCCCCAAATATGCACTTTTGTTTCCGCCAAGGGAAAAAAAACACTACTTGGTGCCTCCCCCAACCAACCAAGTTTATGCCACAAAAGGGGAGGGGGCAAGTGGGGGGGGGTAAGGAACCTCTTCCTGCACCTCCTTAATAAACCACAGAGGTTCCCGTCACCCCAACTTTGCTTCCTGCAAAAAGTAAAGTGTCTGTTTACAGTTGCCTAAGGAATTACAAAAGACGGAAAGCAACAGGCTACAACAATCAGGCAGGGACTTCGCATTTTGCATGTCTGAACCCCTCATTTTAGGGAGGTGCCTTAACGTTCATGGAGAGATGGCACCAGAGGTTAGGCCACTTCGAGCAGCTGTTTTAACTTCGTGGACATTGGCCAAAACACAACAAAAAAACCAACTCAGTTTGTCGCCAAGGTGGGAAAAGAAAAAAAAGGGAGGGGGATTTTAGTGTCCTGGAAATGGAGTGCTTTTTTTAAAGAGGAAACACAAAACAAAAACCACAGCGCTGGAATGCAGGAAGAGAGACTGGCATCCAAACCACTTGGAAAAATCATACAAATAATCAGATTTTTTGGGCCAGCGTTCCTTCTGGTCCAGAATCAGGGAAAGAGGGGAATTCAACATTTCTGGTCCGTCCAGCATATGGGAATTTGGTCAAGACAGCACAGCTAAGCAGGATGGGCTTTCCTTTTTAGCTCTCTGACTTTTAGCAGCCCGAGGAGACGCGTCCGTGTCTCAGATATATTCCGTTTCTGCGGAGAGGAAATGGCTCACGGTGGGCCGTGCGAGGATTAGGGGAAGGACAGGACAGCCAAGTCAAATTCTTCCTACGCATAAGACAGAACGCAGGGCATTAGCATGTCCCCGTCTAACGCCGTTCACTCAACTTAAGAGCTCCTCCTTGAGCGACCAAGGAGAAACTTGGTTCATCCGGAGAACCTTAGCAGGAGAAAACGGGGCCCAGATGGACTGCAGCTCCCATCACAGGCTTGGTGCAACAGAGCCGGCTGCAGGCTTAGGGTTTTGGAGGTCGCCAGCTTACGCGAGGGCCGAGAGAGAGAGAGGTAGCATCTGAGAGAGAGAGAGAAGCGCAGCAGCTTCTCTGATCAAGGGTGGAATGTAAGACTCGAGGGCAAAGGCAATTGCACGCGTGAAAGACGGGCCACAGCCTGGGAAGAATTAAAGGAGCTGTTGCACTTTGGCCCGAGAGAGGTCAGAGTTAAGGGGACGTCCTCCATTTATTCCTATCAGAAAATGGGATCCTGTGCCAAACCACGCCTCTAATTTAGTGCTCTATAGGTGGCCATATTCCTTTCCTATGTTTCTATACCTGTGTGATTCTGGCCAATCAAACTTCCCCCCCCCCGAAGCAACAGGGGTGTGTGTTTGTGTGACTTCAGTGATTCCCAGCCTCAAAAACGCCACCCCCCACCATAGCAGAGGGCAGCAGGGGCGCTCCTAGCCCTTTCCAACTGGGGGTCCGTACGGGGCTCTTTCTTCTGACCGTCGGAAGGCCTGATACTTACCCGCCTGCCCTCCGACAAATTGCTCTCCCCTCCTTACAATCCCAGCTAACCATTTTCCTATCGAGGGTGTGTCTCCCTGGTACAGTCTGGTCTGTGGTCTGGGAGGGAGCGAGGGGGGGGTCTGTGATCTGGAAAGTGCAATCCCCACCCCTACAGATAGGTGTCCTCGCTCTCCCGGGAACTAAGGCTCTCCTTGGACTGATGGAGAAGGAAAGAGTCGGGCTCCAGCAAAGTCTGAGATCCGTTTTCTTCGGGGATGGGGCCATTGGCTTGGTTGCCCACGGCGACAGGCCCTTTGGGGGTGCCCTTCCACAGCTTGCCCTTGCGGCCCTTGGGGGAGAGGGCGGCGCCGGGGGGCAGGATGATGGAAGGAGAGGGCTCCAAGGCTTTGTGGGGGTACGGCTCAGAGTCCCTGATAGCCTTGGCACCGTGGAAACGGGGAGGAGACTTGCATTGCAGCTCTCCGTGGGTCTCCTTCCACTTCTTCAGCTGGATCAGGTGTTCCCGCTCGATGTGGCGCTCCGTCACTGGCAACTCTATGACCTAGGAGGGACAAAAGAACAGGTGGGCATCCAGGTGTTTTTCCAAGCCTGGACAGACACCAGAAGCACTGAGGCCAGCATATAAATAACCTATTCACCCCAAGCTTCCTTCTGCCTCCCAAACGTTGTCCAGGTCTCCATTCTTCTACAGATGTAGAAACAAAGAATCCTAAGGCTGGAAGGGATCTAGTCCAGACCCCTGCTCAAGCAGGAGAACCGTCCTAGACCATATCAGACAAGTGACTATCCAGTCTCTTCTTAAAAATCTCCAGTGATGGAGCATCCACCATTTCTGAAAGGAAGCCAATCCACAGTCCGGTTAATTGTTCTCCCTGTTAGGAAGTTTCCCCTTAATTCCAAGTTGCTCCTCTCCTTGACAAGTTTCCATCCGTTCTTTCTTGTTTTGCTTTCTGGTGCTTTGGAAAATAAGTTATTTCAAAATGAGCTCATATTAGGATCTTCAAGAGATCCTATATCATTCCGGACAAATGGCTGTCCTATCTTCAATACGTCCATTTTTCACATTTACCACCTTTGCTGCATCCACACGGTCACCTCCTCAAAATTCAGACGCTTGGCAACTGACTCGTACTTATGACGGTTGCAGCGTCCCGGGGTCACCCCTTCTGCGATCTTCCGACAAGCAAAGACAATGGGGGGGGGGGGGAAGCCGGATTTGCTTAACGACCGTGTTATCAACTCAACAAGCGCAGTAATTCAGTTAAAGACGGTTGGCAAGAAAAGTTGTAAAATGGGGCAAAACTCACTTTAAAAAAAAAAACGACAGAAATTTGGGGGCTCAATTGTAGTCGTATGCCGAGGACCACCTGAGGTACTTTGGAACTCCTGGCTTTTTGCTCCTGCCATTTACCTGCGTGGGAGGCAGCTGATTTACCGGATTTACCTCTTGCACAAGGAAAGCCTCTTGCATGATTTTGGAATTCAGGGCTCTCAGCTGCTCCATCGTCTCGTACTGGCCTTGGCAGCTTCGCAGCTTCTCCGAAGAACCCAGCGTGTACTTCAGGAGCACGAGACCCACGCGGAAGATGATCTTGACGCCTGCGGGAAAGGGAGGAGAAAGCAGCGTTTACATCCAATCCCTTTACTAGCTAGGTCCTCGACATTTAGTGACGGTTCAAGTTACAACGGCACTGGAAAAAAGGGACTTGGGACCATTTTTCATACTAGAAATAGGATTAACCTATTCTCCAAAGCTCCAGAAGGCAGGACAAGAAGCCACGGAAGGAAACTAATCAAGGAGAGAAGCAACCTGGAACTAAGGAGGAATTTCCTAACAATGAGGACCAGTATCCAGTGGAACGGCTTGCCACCAGAATTTGTTGGTTGCTCCATCACTGGAAGTTTTTCAGAAGAGACTGGACCATTATTTGTCCGAAATGGCATAGGGTTTCCTGCCTGATGAGGGGGCTGGACTAGAAGACCTCCAAGGTCCCTTCCAGCTGTTATCTGTTAAAAACTGCAACTACAAAGCCAGCCGCCAGGGGGCAGCCAGGTGGCATGAAGCAACTTCCTGCTTGCTGCTCAAACTGGAACCTCACAGCATGAACATCATCACGGCTTTGCTGACCTAGATTTGCGACTCCCAGGGATGTTTGTGTCTGTGTGACCAGCTGGGCAGAGGGGAAAGCCACAGGGCAGAGGCAGAAAAACCCAGCACTAGCACTCGCTACAAAGGAAGGCAAAGTCACAACCCACTGGAATTTGTCTGTGCAGCAGGACAGCAGCTGAGCTGAGGGAGGGGAGGATGGGAAGAGGAGACATCTTGGATCTCTGGGATACCTGATGACAAGGCCGGGGGTGGGGTGGGGGTGGGGGGGTTGGGTTTTAGAGGCTTCTATCCTGCAAAGCAAGAGGATGATTGAGATGAATGGGTCAGGAGCTGATTGCCAACCCCCTGCTCAGGCAGGAAACCCTACACCATTTCGGACAAATGGCTGTCCAGTCTCTTCTTAAAAACTTCCACTGTTGGAGCATTCACCGCTTCTGGAAAGGCGAGAAGCAATCGCCACCAGAAGTGTCTCCCAACTGTAGACAGCGTGGGTCCCCCCCCCACACACACACAGACAGACAAAGGCCAGCTGCTACACCCGACGGAGCGCGCCCAGTACCTTCGCAGAAGAACATATCCCAGACCCGCAGCACAGAGCTCCAGGGCAGGGTCCTGGAGAAGGCGCACATGAACCACTCCGTCATGTACAAGATGGGGTCGATCTTCTGCTTGCTGAGATGCTTGTAAGCCAGCGGGGAGACCCTCTGCAGCAGCGAGAAGAGGATTTCGCCATCCAACTGGATGGCCTCCTGCGGGGGAGGAGAGAGGAGATCTGAGCGGGGGGGGGGGGCTGGCTTTGCCTCAGCCAGTGGTCCACGTTCGCATGTCAGCCTGCCATGAACTGAGCTGGAGGGGAAAGTGGAACTAAGGAAGTCGATCAGAGGCAAAGCCTCAAGATCGTTACCCTGGGAGAAAAAAGCAAGGCCGTTGCAAAAAAACAAAACAAAATAACAACAACACCAATTTACTCAAAACATAACTGGACAATAAGGGGCCAGGAGAAGAGAGGAACTAGATGGGAAAAGTTAACCAGGAAATTCTGACCCGCAAACTACAGTTCTGGCTTTCTTACACTGTAATCCACGAGGCTTTTAGTAAAAGTCTACCTTTCACTGCAAATGGAGTTGAGGGTCTTTCTTTTCTAAGGGACTATGACCCCCCCCCTTGCTCCTCCTTCCTTGGGGCCGCAGTGTGTCCTTGCTCTCCTGAAACCAGCATGGCAGCAGATCTCCATCAGGGTCTAAAGCAGGGGGGGGTCTCCAAACTTGACAACTTTTAAGACTTGGGGACTTGTTGGTGGAGAATTCTGGGAGTTGAAGTCCACAAGTCTAAAAGCTGCCATGTTGGGAGACCCCTGGCCTGGAGGAAACACTCACCAGCTTCTCGCTGTAATAGCCAGGAAGATATTTCTCACATATTTGCACAAGGCACCAGAAAGCTTGCTGAAGAGAGAGAAAGAGACAAAAAAAATATATTAGCCCAATAGGAGTGAGTTTGCAGTGGGGAAGGGGGGAGGAAAGAGAGAACGGGAGGAGAGGGGAGGAAAGGAAAGGAGAGGAGGAAGGAAAGAGGGGAGAGGAGGAGAGGAGAGGAGGAAGAAAAGAGAGGGGAGAGGACGGGACAATAAAGTTGGAAGGAACCTTAGAGGTCTTCTAGTCCAACCCCCTGCTCAGGCAGGATACCCACTCCACCAACTTTTATTTTTAACGCAGGAAATCCAGTCCTGGCTATTTTTACTCTCTGCTGATATCGACTGGATATGACTACCGATCAGCCAAGCCGGAGGAAGCGGCCCCCGGAGAGCGACAGGAAGGACCCGGAGGGAGAAGACACGGGAGGGAGCGTCTGCAAGAGGAACGCCAGCGCACCTCAGCGGGCATGTGCATCAGCAGCACTGCTGCGATTGGAGCCTGCGCCTGGCAATACCCTTCCTCCGGCCGGTACAGAGTGTAGGCTTTCAGCACCCGGAAGAGATCTTGTTGCCTGCAGCAGGGGAGGAAAGAGAGAGAGAAAAAAAAGGAAATTGTTGACGGGAAATGAGGGAAGATCAGGCAGAAGGAGCTCAAGCATTTACGTTCTGTCCACAAAACTGGGAGGAGGTCAGCCTGGCCGGTCTGGAAGATGCCTCTTACAAAAGGAGCTTTGATCGGGGCCGTACAAAGCCTCGCTCAGAAGGCATCTGGAACCGAGGCGTCCATGGGAATCAAATTACGGAACTGCAGGATCAAATGTTCCACACCACGTGTTGATTCCCATCCGTTCAACAATTTCATGGGTTTGCACATGCCTAAAAACACCAGGTTTTCCTCCCCATTTACTTTATTTATTTATTTAAGACAGGGGGACTGCATCAACACACAATGATTCAAAAAGAAGAAGGAAACAAAAAAACAAAAAAAGCAAAGAGAACCATGTAATGACAAACACACAACGTAAACAAATCTAAAATCCAGAGCAAGCAAACAACAAGGAAACAGGGGGGAAGGGAGAACAGTTTGAGTCCACAAAGCCCATGCAGAGCTAGGTTGCATTAACAGAAAGATAGAATCGAGATCATCTGAAGCGTTGGTACCACTTCACAATGCCTTGGTAAGGCCACACTTGGAATATGGCATCCAGTTTTGGTTGCCGTGATACAAGAAAGATGCTGAGACTCTAGAAAGAGTGCAGAGAAGAGCAATAAAGATGATTAGGGGACTGGAGGTTAAAACATATAAAGAACAGTTGCTGGAATTGGGGATGTCTAGTTTAATGAAGAGAAGGACGAGGGGGGACATGATAGCAGTCTTCCAATATTTCAGGGGCTGCCCCAAAAAAGAGGGAGTCAAGCTATATTCTTCAGAGCACCAGAAGGCAGGGCAAGAAGCAACAGATGGAAACCAATCAAAGAGAGAAGAAACCTAGAACCAAGAATGAGTTTACTGACACTGAGAACAATTAATCAATGGAACAGCTTGCTTCCAGAAGTGGTGGGTGCTCCAGTAACAGAGATTTTTTTTTAAAAGACTGGACAGCCATTTGTCTGGGATGATAGAGTCTTGAGCAAGGAGTTGGACTAGAAGATCTCCCAAGGTCCCTTCCAACTCTTGTTATTCTGTTAAGCAGCAATGTGAACCAAGACAGTGGGAACACAATCGCACGCCTTCACGTGGGTTTCTAAAACTGACGCTAAAGGACTTGGTGCCTCCAGTCTTGGAACGGAGATTAATAACCCGACAGGTTGAACAGCCATGAATTTGCCTAAGCTGCTTTCTAAATCCTTGACTTGCCATTTCCATTCCCCGATTATAAGCTGGGCAAAGCTGTCTCCCTTTTATCTGTCCTGAACTGCCCCCATGTTAGAGGAAGGAAGGAAGGAAGGAAGGAAGGAAGGAAGGAAGGAAGGAAGGAAGGAAGGAAGGAAGGAAGGAAGGAAGGAAGGAAGGAAGGAAGGAAGAAAGGAAGGAAGGAAGGAAGGAAGGAAGGAAGTTTGCCACATTATGCCAGACTCCATTGCAGCTTTAACAGATGCCCGCCACGCAGGCAGAAAAATTCTAGGTCCAACCACAGCCTGTGGCCTCCGGAGCAGGCCACGATGCTAGAGTGGAAAGCAGTACTGTATTTAAAAAAGGCAGGGGGTGGACACAGCTACTTACCCATGGCCTCCTCGAGCAGCAAACATCTCATGGAATGGAAATTGACGGTGGAGATCTCGCTCAATCACATCCAGCCATTTGGGCTCCCCCACAGCCACGTCCAGCTCCTGTGAATCAAAACAAGCGCTTCATTTATCTACTTATTAAATTTATACGCTGCCCTCGTCGCTGTCACGGGACTCTGGGAGGCTGACAGTGCCACAAATAAGAGCACAGAAATTAAGTTTTCCCTTCTTCTTTCCTTCGCCAAAGCATCTTACATCAAACCTGCCGGCGTTCTGTTCCAGCTTGACTTTGCCCCCCGAGAGGTACTGCCAGGCCCGGCCACGCAGCGAAGGTGGGATCCCCTTTTGGCATCTCAGCCGGATCTGAAAAGGAGAGAAGAGTCCCAGATGAGATGCAAGGCTGAAACACACAAATGCAAAAACATTTTTTAAAAAAAATGGTAAAAAGCGAATCAGCGTCACGTTTTCCCAATTCTTTTAACAACTCTCTTCCTTTCTTAAAAGAACGGTTGATTAGGAAACGATGCAAACCCAACTAGGCATGCAACAAGATACGAAACAAAGCACGCAGGATTGAGTTTCAAATTTCCAACAGTCTTAGACGATCCTTCCCCCAAAATATCTGCACCTCGAAAACTAGGAGGAATCTTTACAGGACTACAGGTAGTCCTCAAAATTACGACAGACCACGATGTTCTGGTTCCGAAGGCCAGCCCCTCCCCCTAGTCACTTCACTGCATTTTGGGCTCTTGGCAACTGGCCAACTGTAATCCACATGATTGTGATTTACATTTTTGCCAAAAGACCAGTGCTGTGGGGTCCTTGGTGCTCTCTGACCTTGGTTGTTTTCTTGCAGACGTTTCATTACCAAACTGGGTAACGTCATCAGTGCTACAAGGGAGTGGGGTTTGCAAGGAGGAGGAGGAGGAGGAAGGAGGGGGAAGACTATGGGATCCTTGGTGCTCTTTGAGCCTGGTTGTTTTCTTGCAGACATTTCATTACCAAACTGGGTAACATCATCAGTGCTGGAACGGAGTGGGGTTTGCATGGAGGCGGAGGAGGAGAACGACGACAACTGTGGGGTCCTTGGTGCTCTCTGAACCTGGTTGTTTTCTTGCAGGCCATTCATTACTCCAAACAGGTAACACCATCCATGGTTTTTCCCACCATTACCACCCACAACGTAGTTACAAGGACTTCCAATTTGCTTGGCCGAGCCCCCTCCTCACAAAAGGCACTCAGAAACGAGGGAGCTGAGCGCCAGGGAAAGAGCTCACAGCCGGCCATGTGACTGAGAGAAGAAGCTGAGAGCTTTCAAAAAGCCACAGAGGAAATCAGAAGGTCTGAAGCCGACAGGGCAGGGCCCAGGACGCCAGGCCACGTCAGCAGAAGAGGGCAGGAGACACGGCTGCTTCCCCCCCGCCCTCAGTCTGTGCCAGAAGCAAAGGAGAAGCCCAATTTCTGTCTCTTGCCAGCTTTGAAAACGTCTCCTTTCCCGCTGTGGATCTGCGTAGCTGGGCTGAAGTTGGCAGAGAAGAACCAAGGAACCAGCTAATGTACAGGAAGTCCCCGACTTACAATGATTCATTTAGTGACCGTTTGAAGTTACAATGGCATTGTCTATGGAGATCCTCAGTCGTCCAGGTCCTGGTTGTCCCCAAAGGTGCTTTTTTCAGCAGGCAACTGGACTTTCTTGTTTTTTTTTTTTTTGAAGACATGTCTTCCAAACCCACCAATATCACCAGGGGTGTTCTACTTGGGAACACCACATCTATTGATTAAATTTATACATGCTGGCCATTTCACTATCAACCACTCTGCACTCATGAAAGGAGAGAGCAGGGGTATCCAATCTTGGCCACTTTTCAGACTTAATGGACTTCAATTCCCAGAATTCCCCAGCCAGCATGGCTGGCTGGCTGGCTGGCTGGCTGGGGAATTCTGGGAGTTGAAGTCCACATCTTAACGCTGCCTAGGCTGGCCACCCCGGAGACAGAGCAAGGCTGAAGACTCAAGAGAAGTGAGTCAGGCACACAGAGGAGAGAGAAGGAAGGGGCCAATTTCTGTTGGGACTTACCTTCTTGTGCTTTTTCGCCATCCACTTGTCCCAGTTGTTCAGCATGTCCAGCCATTTTGATTCCCTCTGTCTCAGCACATCCAGCGGCACCTCCTCCAGCCTGGGACACAATTGACATAAAAGTTATGCTCCCTCTAAGAATTCAGAGACTGCCGGGGGTGTTGTGTGTCCATTACGCTAAGTCAGGATAGAGTTAAACATAGCTTGTTAAAGACGTTGCAAGGGGCTAGGGTCACCCATAGGCATACTGGGGGAAAGGGGGTTCACACCCCAATGGGATTCAATGAATTCAGCCCCCAATGGGATTCAATGAATTCAGCCTTGATGTCATGGTTCCGACAGATGAGACTCTTCAAAAGAACTTTGAGTCTTTGTTTACCTTAAAGAATCTTTTATTTGAGTAACATAAGATCGGCACTGCATAATCGAAGCCAAAAACTGAACTCCCCTCCCCTGGGTACATAGTATCCAAGCACAATTCCCTCCTCCAATTAATAGTCATAAATCACATTCCCCAATTAGCTTGAAGCACGGGCTTCCTCTTCAGCTCTCCAGCCCAATTCCTTATCAGTTCTGGGCTCGGTAACCTTGATTCTCACCCTAGGTTTAGTGTTGTTATGTCTAGTTGGACTCTCATTCACAGCTCCCTCCCCTCCCAGCATCATCTAACTCTAAAAGGGAAAGGGAAAAAGATGAATACATTTCCATCTGTCGTCAATGCAAAAACGTCCGATGTTAGCAGCGTTGACACTTGAATTGATCGATTTTTTTAGGCCTGCAATTCCATCAAGAAAATGAGGGTGGACGTATCTCTAACTCAAATGTCATAAACCATCACTAAGAGCCTGCACTTGTTCACATGTAACCAATCTAATACTGCAGCAGGTACTCAATGAATTTGATTTTCTTAAACTCAAAATCACACACATAAACACACACACACACACACAGGTTTTATAAAACCATTCTGCCAGGATGTAACCAACTGAACACCTCCAAATTTCATCGGTCCTGTTAAAGTCTTAATTTAGGGCAGAGGTCCCCAACCTTTCGGGCACTAGGGACCGGTTCCATGGAGAAAGGTTTTTCCACAGATCAGAGAGTGCGTAGTTTTGTGTGCTGCCTGCATCCCACAGATGGGGCTTTGCTTGTTTGTGCAGGCCGGTTGCTGGCATGTCGCGGCCCGGGGACCCCCGATTTAGGGTTACCAGGTCAGGGATCTGCCAAGGAATCGATGGGGCAGAAGTTTTGAAAACCCTCCAAGCCAAGCAAACTTTCTCTCGCAGCAAGCTTGCCTTCAAACAGAGTCAGCCCAGGTTTTTGTTTTTGTTTTCCTCTTCCCAAATTTTGCCAAAAAAGGAGGTGAAAATCTAAAAGCCAGGAATGCTGCCAAACCAGACCGAAATAAGCGTAGGGCAGCCAGGGGTATGCATTCCGTAGATTTCTGCCTTCAGCCCATTCCTGATCAAGGGTGGGGCCAGGATTAGGATGTTGTTTTTCCAATTCGGGGGCTCGGGGGCAGTTCCTGGAAATGCTACGGTACGTCGAAACTGATACTGGAGCGGTAAACAAGGGAGTTTTATCCTGCTCAAACCCTGCCTCGTTGGGAGCAGCTTTGAAGTTTGGGGCTTTCGAAACACGGATTTGGTTTTGCCCAACCGGCGGAATCGCCCTCCGTCTGCCAGCCCTGGGAATTCCTGCTGATGGAAAACGGACATCAAGATCTGAGTCATCTCCTCACCCCACCCAAAACCTCAAAGCCATCCAAAGTCTAAATGGAGAAGTTATACAGGAGGCTTATAGCAGCGGACCGAGGTGTCAGCTCTAGGAAACTGCAGCCTTGTGGTTGGACCACCAAGTCCTCTCGCCAGAGTGGCCCAAAGTGAGGGCTTCTGGGAGAGGTAGTCAGCAAAGAGCCAAATTTGTCACCACTGTTACAAAGGAAAGCAGAGCAATTTATTCAATGCATCTGAAATGTCCCCTTCCTATAGAATAGGTCCTTGACTTGTCCCAAAGACTAATAATAATAATAATAATAATGATGATGATGATGATGATGATGATGTCCTTGGTAAGGATAGGTAGACAAAAATGCCAAATCCAGTCTGAACATCTGGCTGACTGTGCGATGATCAATAACAACAACAACAATAATAATAATAATGTTGAAGGGACCTTGGAGGTCATCTAGTCCAATCCCCTGCTCAGGCAAGAAACCCTATACCTGTATAACTATACCTTTATAATTATAAAAGAGCCTGCTCAGCTGGTTGTGAGAGTTGTAAAATGGGCTGATCATGTGACCGGACCGATTTTATGACCTTTTATTTTTTTGCAGTGAGTGTTAGAGGAATGCAGTGGACGCAAACAGTTAAGCAAATCAAATGCTGTGCTTGTTATATGGTTCGCTTATGGGCACTGTTTTGCCCCCCCCCCAAAAAACCTGGCCAAAAAACCCATTGAAAAACGTGGTCATGCGACCACGGGATGCTGCAAACTGCCGTACATGTGTGCCCCGTGGATATGGCAGCACTTGAGGTTTGGTCACGAGACTGCAGGAGGAGAGGGGGCAAGTGCGGAAACTTCAAACCCAGGTCGTTAAGTAGTCCCGCGTTAGGCCTGTCGTAAGTTTGAAAAGCCATTAAGTCAACGGTCATAAAGGGAGGACTGCCTCTCACGGAGTAACCTCCGTCTGCTTGTGGCTGGACATAATTGGGACAGTTCTGGGGTTTTGGCGAAGGGAGCTGCTGGGGAATATTAATAAACCCACTAAACCACGGTAACACGTGTGTGAGTGGGACAAGCACAGGACGAGGCAAATACATAATAAATAAATTGTTGGTAAATATGCTTACAGGAAGGCGACGCCAGGCTAGGGCAAGGGGGGGTAGAGATGCTTTCACGAAGAAAACCCGTGCCAAATTGCCGCTAACGCAATGAAACCCTAGCCTTGAAAGAGAAAAATCAATTGATACCCCTTGGACAGAAGCAAGACAAAAGGGATTCTGGAACTTGGAGAGCCCCCAAGAAGCAACTTAATTTCCCACCGAACCGAAGACGCAGCAAGTTTGACTCCGGTGGGGCCCCCGTCCCATTTTGGCTGGGACGGGTTTTCTCGTTTTGCTGGCCGGCTTCCCATCCTGGCGGCCGGGAGCTGCTAAAAAGCCAGATCCCAGCCTTCTCCTCGGCTGATAGGCCTGCCCGGCTCATATTTCACGGTGCCCCGGTGGCAAACAAGGTCAAGATTTTGCCCCACCGGTTTTTGCAGAGATTGTTTAAGGAGGGAAGCCATCTCCCATAGCTACAGAGCCTCAACTTGAGAAAAGAGGAAACGGGCTGGGGGAGAAGCCAATTAAACCCAAGAACCTGCTCCGTTAAGCTGGCACTCGATGGCCTTAGCTTGCCATTGGGCATCATGTAGCCTCCCAAGAGTTGGGTCTCTTCTTAGCCAAAGGTGCCCGATTCTATTGGGGAATTATTCAGCTGTTGCCATAACACGGGAAGTCCAGGTATGTTTAGTAACCCAAGTTCCTGAAAAAGCACATACGACCAGTTTTCACACTTATGACCATAGCAGCATCAAAGGACCAAAATTTGGACACTTGGCAACCGACTCTTATTTAGGATCACTGCGGGGATCATGTGATCCCCTTTTACAATTTCTGATGAGCAAAGCCAACGGGGAAGCCAGTTACACTTAACAACCGTGGGACTAATTTAAGAACTGCAGCGATTCACTTAAATGTGGCGAGAAAAGTCGCAAAGCGCAGCGAACTCCCTTAACAAACTTCTCCTTGTGCGACACAAATTTGTGGACTGAGGACTGCCTGGACTTCAAAGGGATTTGGCCTTTCGTGGTGCCTTTTGCTGATTTCATTATTTCAATACACTCCGAGGTCCTTTCCAACTCTTATTCTATGTTATGTGTCCAAACACTGAAATGCCACCATTGTAGGATTAAAACATCAAACTAGAATGCGCAGAGAATCCCAGACATTAAGGCTTATTCTCATCCAGCAAATGTTAATGGTTTTGCCCGCAGGTAATTATGGATTGGCTCTGCTACAAAAGCTCAGCGCTCAGACGGACACACTCATCTTTGTTCTGTCTCTTGCAATCTGCTGGACTAGCCGCATAACATATTCTTTGTTTTTTGTTTTTGTTTTTTTAAAAAAGGGGAAAAACAGAGCCCAGTCTCTTTGGATCAAGAGTGGAGAGCTGGAAAGCAGAACGTTCTTCCCCATTTTTAAATCACGGGTTATCTTCCTGCAACGAAACTGTCATGCTGTTAATGGGTTCTGTCCTCTTTAACGTCACTGAAAGAGACAGATGGGTGCCCTGACTTAGTTTTAAGCCTCACCTGCCCAGCCACGCATACACCCAGAGGCTCAACCGTCCTAATCCTTTAAAAGGTTGTGTGTGTGTGTGTGTGTGTGTTTCCCTGTCTGCTAATCCAGAACACAGGAAACCAGGCGGGTGAGAGATCCCATTTAAAAATACATTATTTGCATGAAAAACTGCCCAAGCGCTGACAGAGCGTGTGGAAAGGACAGATCCCAGGGTGGTAATTAAAATGACAGGTGTCCAGCAGGTGAGATCTCTCCTAATGGGTCTGCCTCCAGGCCCAGTTAAGGAGGGGTTCAAAACCAGGAGTGATTAGTTGACCTGGAAATTTCGCCAGAATCAAGATTTCTGCTTTCTGCTACGGCCAGGCACGAGTTTTGTTTCCTTATTCTCAGTTCATATAAACCCCTAACAGCTTTTAAGGCACCCTTTAAAGTGAGGACTTAGAAGGGGGTTCAAAACCAGATGTTACAAGTGACTTATGACCGTTTTTTCACACTTACGACCGTTGCAGCAGCCTCGGGGCCACGTGATCAAAATTCAGCTTTTTTGGCTACCGACTCATAAAAAAATGACTTATGGCCACATCTCTCCCTTACCACCCGTCATGGTACCCCTGTGGTCACATGATCAAAATGCGCATGCTCGACAACTGACCCATGCTTATGACGGGCTGCGGCGTCCTGGGGTCATGTGTGGTCACCGTTTGCAACTTTCCCAGCCGGCTTCCGACAAGCAAAAGTCAGTGAGAAAATCTTGATGATGGCCTTTTTCGCTGATCAACTGCTGTGATTCGTTTAACAACAGTGCAAAAAAAAAAAAAAAGGTCATAGAATCGGGTGGGTCTCATTAGCAGCCACCTTGCTTAGCAACCGAAATTCTGGCCGTAAGTCAAGGAGCAGGGGGTTGGACTAGAGGACCTCCAAGGTCCCTTCCAATTCTATTATTATTATGGATCATCGCACAGTCAGCCAGATGTTCAGACTGGATTTGGCATTTTGTCTACCTATCGAGTCCTTACCCAGGACCTGGGATAGGCAGATGTGGATGTTTGATGGTATTACAGGTATCGTCGCAGGATGGAAGCAGTTCCTAGTAAGGCCGCCTTTTGCAACTGACTAATAGCGAATTTGTCAATGCCAATGCTGTGATTCGTTTAACAACAGTGCAAAAAAAAAAAAAAGGTCATAGAATCGGGTGGGTCTCATTAGCAGCCACCTTGCTTAGCAACCGAAATTCTGGCCGTAAGTCAAGGAGCAGGGGGTTGGACTAGAGGACCTCCAAGGTCCCTTCCAATTCTATTATTATTATTATTATTATTATTATTATTATTATTATTATTATTATTATTATTATTATTGAACATCGCACAGTCAGCCAGATGTTCAGACTGGATTTGGCATTTTTGTCTACCTATCGAGTCCTTACCAAGAACCTGGGATAGGCAGATATGGAGGTTTGATGGTATTACAGATCTCGTTGCAGGATGGAAGCAGTTCCTAGTAAAGCAATATTATTATTATTATTATTATTATTATTATTATTATTATTATTATTATTATTATTATTAGTGTATATGCTTTCAGATTCAAGAGGGATGCAAGATTTAAACTTTATAACATCAATAACAAAATATCCTGGGCTTCTCCTCCCCAGCCAGCAAGACCAAAACATGCCTTAGCGAAGCTGTCCATCTCTTTTTCTCTCTCTTAATCCTGCCTCACATTCAAGCTTTCAAACTCCAGGCAGGATGTATTTCACTTGGCCACAATGCCTCCTGCTGGTTCCTAATCTCTGTTTTGCTCGCTCTCCAGCCCTTTTGTCACTGTCTTTCCTGGAAACCAAATACATCGGGCCAAACAGGGGTTCAAGCGCGATGTCCAGGCACCTGGAAGGGATCCCTTCCGTTTGAGGAACAGGAAGCAGCAGCTGTAAACTTCTATCTTTGGTAGACAGGAAAGGGGTAAATGCTGGGTGTGCGGAGGAATGCAAATGAAAGCAATTAAGGTCAGGAGGATTGTTGAGTTTTTCTCTGGGGCACAAGACAGCCATCGCTGAACCGCCAGGCAGTGCATAGACCAGAGCCGTGAGGTCTTTGAGCAGGGGTGTTCAAACTTGGCCCTTTTATGACTTGTGGACTTCAACTCCCAGAATTCCTCAGCCAGGCACACGTGCCTGGCTGAGGAATTCTGGGAGCTGAAGTCCACAAGTCATAAAAGAGCCAAGTTTGAAGACCCCTGCCTTTGAGTTTCTAACTTGAAAAACGAAAAATAATTAGCCATTCAAGGGTTGGGATCCAGCTTTGCAATTTCATCCCATTGGTCCAAAGAAGCTTTTTTTTCAAGAGGCAACTGGAATTTCTTTGACTGACTGGATGGTGGTGGTGGGGGGGGAGAGAAATGGAAGGGAACGGAAAGATTTATACTCCCTGCAGACCGCTGGTCATTTGCAGAACAAGAAAGTCCAGTTGCCTCTTGAAAAAGGCATCTTTGGGACAAGCGTGGCCTGGATGACTGAGAATCTCTGTAGACGTTTAGCTAATTGCGTTTGCTGCCTTTCAAAGCCCGTATTTGCAACTAGCGTGGCTAGAATGCTATTCCCTCGACTTAACGGCCAAAACTGACCTCCAAATGAAACGTTGTAAGTCAGGGACTACCTGTGTTGTGGGGAAGAGACTGGAGACGCCCTCGATCCTGGATACGGACTTTGTTAGAGAAAACAGCCACAAGCGGGTTAGCCTTTAAACCCCAGCTCTAATTACAGCTGAGCTGTTGCCTTGTCAGCACTCAAACAGGAGAAGGAAAAAACTATGATTAATGTTCTGTTTGTTTATTTCCAAGTTATTTAACTAAAGGGGACACTTGAATTTGTCTTGCTAGCAGCTGAGACGGGAACAGTTCCAAAGACAGCATAAAAACACACAACCCTTAATCAAACTCTGATAATGCAAGGGGCTGCTGAAAGCCAGCCTGGCTGTAGGGCACCCGGGCAGTTTCATCAGAGTTTCCAAAACACGTCAGAAGGGAGAAGCAGGCCAGATTAAAGTGGAAAACGGTGTCATTTACACCTGAACAGCATTTTAATGTGGGCTTTTGAAAACCTTCTTTTCCAAGCAAGAAACACTGGGCAAGTAGTAGTCCTCAACTTACGACTACTTTCTGTGGCTAAGTCGAGACATTTGTTAAGTGTGTTTTGTCCCACTTTATGACCTTTCTCGCTACAGTTGTGATCGGCTGTTGTTAGTAGTATGATTGTTAAGTCAATCTGCCAGCTAGACAAAACTTGGCCGTGTCCTGAAAATGCCTACCAGTTATTGTTGATTTTAAATCATTTTCTTCACATGGGAAGGGCTGTTTTCCCATCATAACCAGCTCCTCCACAGAAAAGCAGCATTAACACACACACACACACACACACTCGGATAACAGCTGGAGCACAAGAGCCCTAATTTTCCCTTTCATAGCAAGCCACCCGGATCTTACACACAGTAGACGGGGAACAAAAATCACCTTATTCTGTTACTAGGCAGGAAAGCATTCCCAAACCAGCAGAATTTCTTAATTCTCCATTTCAATAAGCCGCAAATGATTAAACATCCACCTACCCCCACCACCATATGCACAGCTAAGCAAACCAGAGAGCTGATTTTAAAGGGAGCAAGGGCTGGAAAGAAAATTTAATGCACAACTGTTTTGCACAATCACACAAGGGCTCAACCAAAACAGGTATTCCTAGTTCCTCGTGTGATTAATCTTTTTTTTTTTTTTAAAAAAAAAAAAAACCTACCCTACATATGTCAGTGGAATATTAATCATTTCCCATGCCTGCCTCTCCAGATTTTCCCAGCATACTCTGTGCCAGCTCAGGATTTGGCACTGCCAAAAACTAGGCTTACAGCAAGAGTTTACTCAAGAGTATGTTCTCTTTCTTTGGACAGGAAAGGCTGGAAAAGAAACAGAAAGCAATTAAGGCCCAGTTCTCTGTATGCTGGCAAAAAGTCCCAAAGCGAAAACTTACTCAAACTGTTTTGAGCGAGTTTCGTACATCAGTAAGCAGTGAAAGCTGAACTTTTTGCTCTGTGACATAATCCTCCACACAAGTGTGTGAACACGCACACAAATAAAACCTCCCTAAGCAATAGGGTCATCTTCTCCTTCCCCAAAAGACTGGAGTTGAGACCACACATGCAGCTTTTACTAAAACTTTCTTTCTTGACTACCTTGGAAAACTTTTTCTCTCTCTCTTCTGTGTTTTATTTGTTGAGATCCGTTTTTTCTCTATTTTTCAGTTTTTTAATTAAAAAACAACAATAATTTAGACTGTTTTTACTACTATGTTTCCCATTAGTAGAGCTGCTGTTAGAAATAAGATAAACAAACTGACTAACTTTGGAAAGGCTAAAAGGCCAAGGCCGATTTAGTCCCGCTGACTGCCTCAGCATTATCGCCTTTATAACCAGGTTACTGAATTCCCCCATTCACACAAAATAAGGAAACCTGTTGAGTTTAATATCAGCAATCTAACTTTCCTGATTTTCTTGATTTAAGGAAAGTAGCAAAGAGCTTTAAATCAGGCTCAGAAACAGCGGAATAACAAGCTTGGGAACAGAGAATGCACCTGAGCATGTGAAGAGTGCCTTCACCCTATATCTAGGCCAGGGTGGTGCAACCTTGGCCATTTTAAGACTTGTGGACTTCAATTCCCAGAATTCCCCAGCCAGTGAGCCGGGAGTGGAAGTCCAAGAGTCTTAGTAAGTTGGGGATCACTGCACAACGGTGGAAAGCCGGTTTGTTAAACAGAAGGCAGGAGAAAGCCGGAGCTGTCCCCGAGGCCAGCCAGATGGAGGCGGGAAAAGGGGCCAAAGTCCATGGCAGGAGTGCCCTCTGGACCCTTGAGCTTGTGCAGAATGTTCTCTCCGACCAGAGGGTTCCTGCCCATCGTAGGAGGCCCCATATCCCACTCCTCTATTCGGATCTCTAAGAAACACACCCCCCCCCGTTTAATGAGAGCCCTGCTTGGGCCAGGAAGCCCACTCACTCCACCCCCCAGTGCCCCTCCCCTCCCCAGCAAGAGCCCCAAGACACAAATCTAATCCAGCCCCCCCAAAAAACAGCCCTCCTGCCCGGAGCAAGACTCCCACTCTCCCCCCTCTCTCTAGCAACAGTGCCCCTGCCCATGGCAAGAGCCCCTCTCCATTCCCTGCCAAGCAAGAACATCCCTGCCCATGTCAAGAGTGCCACTCAATCCTCACCAAAGAGCAGTCCTGAGGGCGAGAGTGCCCCCCTGCCCGTGGCAACAGCACCCCCCACCCATAGCAAGCGTTCCTCTCCATCCCCTCCCAAGCGAGAGCACCCCTGCCCATGGCAAGAGTGCCACTCAACCTTCACCAAAGAGCAAGATGACAAGGGCACCCCTGCCCCTGGCAAGAGTGCCCCTCCAACCCCCAAGAGTCCTCCTGCCCAAGGCAAGAGCGCCACTCAAGCCGCACACCAAAGAGCGGCCCTGTTGATGGCAAGAGTGCCCCTGCCCATGGCAAGAGTGCCACTCAACCTTCACCACCAAAGAGCAGTCCTGAGGGCCAGAGCGCCCCCCGCCCGGCCGCCCCCCCCGCCCGGCCACTCACGGCGCCTCCGGGGGGTCCCCCGCCTCCTGCCCGTCGGCGGCCACCAGGAAGCCGAACTTGTCGACGCGCCGCTCCCCGCCGACGTCACCCGCCGAGCTCCGCGAGTCCAGCTCGCCGCCGCCGCCGCCGCCCTCCCGCTCGGCCGCGGCGGCGTCCTCGTCGTCCTCGTCCTGGGCGGCCAGCGGGGCGCGGGGCTCCCCCGGCGAGCCCATCCCGTCGGCGCGCAACGCTCCGCCGCCAGCCCCGCCGCCGCTCTGCGCCCCGGCCGCCCCCTCAGCCGCGGCGGCGGCGGGACGGCCGCGCCCATTGGCCGAGCCGCCGCCGCCGCGCCCGCCCCGCGCCGCCGCCATTGGCCCGAGCGCCTCGGCCGGCCGCCGCGCCGTAGGCCGCTCGCGCCGCCCATCCGCCGCTTGGCCCCGCCTCTCTCTGAATGGCGGGGGCCGGCGGCCAATGGCGCCTGCTCTCCTCCGCCCCTCCCCTCGGGGACTTCTGGACGGCGCTAAGTTGGCAGAAAGTGTCCGGATTGGCAGGGGGCGTTAAACTAGCCTCGCCTTAACCGTGGCTTAGGGGATAAGCCGCAGCAAGCTAGGAATCGCAGGTAGCAAGCCGTGATTGAGCCGATCACCCAGCGTGCTGAGCCGAAGCAAACCGCAGGTCTAATGAGACGCTTGCTTCCTGCGAAACCTGATGCAACCTGTTGGTTTAACCAGGTTAAAAAAAGGCTCTGCGGGCAGAGTCTGCACTAGGCTGCAAGGTAGCTGGTGAGTTGCAACCCCGTATGTCGTCGGAATCCAGCCATGTAATCATTTGGGGGTGCGTTTCCTTTCCAAGCTGGGCTCTATCCGTTGCAATTTTTTTCCCAAAAGAAAAGCTTGCAGATGCTGCCACCTGCCGACCACAGTAGTCCTTAACATTTGCAAAAAGTTATAATAAATATATTATTGAATACAATAATATATTGTATTCCCTCCCCTGTACTCCTCCAATAGCAATAAAGTACCCAAAATCCCATCAGTAAGTAACAGCAATCTGACGCTGTTTATTAGAAGATCAATTTCTAGCTCTCTAACTTGCTACGCCAGCTTTCCAAAGTGCCGTTTCCAGCCAGGGCACGAAACCCACGTTTCACTCTGTATTCCCTTGTTGAGTTCAGATGCAATCCGTGCCCAGTCTCAGATTGGCAGTGGGTGCTATTGGCATCGGGGCTGTTCCAGCATAGATCGCCCAGTCTAACTTAAGGCACTGAATCGCAGGCTACCCTTCCCAGCACCATTGAAATGGTCAGGGTGGGTGCAACATGATTAGCCACAGTTAAGGTACCAGCTCAGGGACCCTAAACTGTTATTTATTTAGTGTCTGGTGAGAACACTTCAAAAGAGAACTGAACATGTACACACACAACCCGCATAATCAGTCTGCCTTCTGGATTGAGAGGGCCCCTGGGGTAAAGAGGGGTAAAAAGAGGCCCTCTGGCTTAAAACTGAACGGCCCTCTCTCAACAAAAGGGGAGGGATACGACCCCCATCTCTCTCCTGTTTACAACACCGTCCTTTCAGCAGTCCCAAGAAGGTCCGGCGCCCATTTGCCCACTGATTCAGGTGAGCCTGACAGCACAAATAAACCCCCAAGTGGCCTCAAGAGCTCTCACAGGGAGTACTAAACAACCAGGTGACTGCAAAGAAACACAATCCTTCCATTCCTCCCCTCTCTTCCCCATCCTGTCAGAATGAAACCTTCCATCTCCCCACCATCCTTCCAGAACTGAGGAAGCTTCTCGGATTTGAAGCGAAATGTCTTCCAAGAAATGAAATGTCTGCAAGAAAACAATGAAGCTCAGAGAGCTTCAAGATCTCACAGTCCTCCTCCTCCTCCTCCTCCTCCTCCTCCTCCTCCTCTTCCTCTTCCTCTTCCTCTTCCTCTTCCTCTTCTTCTTCTTCTTCTTCTTCTTCTTCTTCTTCTTCTTCTTCTTCTTCTTCTTCTTCTTCTTCTTCTTCTTCTTCTTCTTCTTCTTCTTCTTCTTCTTCCTCCTCCTCTCCACAAACCCCACTCTCTTCTGCCTAGTTTGGTAATGAACCATCCACAAGAACACAACTAGGTTCAGAAAGCGCCAAGGACCCCCTCATTTCAGCCCTGAGCTACAAATATCCTCCTTTAGAGTTAGTAAGTGCTTGAAAAGGCATTTGGAGATCCTTCACTTCCCGATGGAGGGTTATATAAATCTTTTGGAAAGGCGAGCATCTAACAGCAAAATGGAGATGATTCAGCTGAGTGGGACACAGTGAGAATCCAGCCAAGGGTTCCTACACTGGGGGAAAGCACATTAATGCAATTTTCTCTGCAGATTGATTTATAAGGCTGTCTTTGGGGGACTTCTAAAGAGCCTCTACTGCTGAAGCAGGATATTTAGAGCCTGGGCTGAGGTTGTGAGATTCTTTGCAAGGGAAGGGCTCCATCCAACTCAGCTTAAAATTTGTTACGACTTCTGGAGGGTCCCACTGATTAATTGTTCTCACTGTCAGGAAATTCCTCCTTAGTTCCAGGTTGCTTCTCTCTTTGGTTAGTTTCCATCCGTTGCTTCTTGTTCTGCCTTCAGGGGCTTTGGAGACTTAGGTTGGCCCCCCTCTTTTTTGTGGCAACCCCTGAGATATTGAAACTCTGCTATCATGTCATCCCTTAGTCCTTATTTTCTAGCCACGGCCAGTTCCTGCCACCGTTCTTCATACGTTTTAGCTTTCAGTCCCCTGATCATCTTTACTTCTCTCTACTCTTTCTTAGAGCCTCAACATCTTTTTTGGCCTCCCCAGCCAAAAAAACAACCCAAAGAAAAAGGCTCGCCTAGAAGTCCAGCATCATGTGGTGGGTGGCCTAGACTAGAAGACCTCTGAGGTTCCCCCTGTCTAAGTTCAAGTTTCCCATTCGGGCTCCCCCCCCCCGCAGCCTTCTTGCCCCCGTCTCCCCGCCTTTCCCCAACGTTGATTGGGTCAAAGAGAGCTGTCTTTGGCCAATCAGGCGCCTCTCCCCCCCTCCCCTCCCGAGCCGCTGCCGGTGAGGGGGTACCCGAGGCGGCGCGGAGCTCCAGGCGCGCCTTGGCACAGCTGGCGAGCGCGTCTTCTCTTGGAGCGAAACCTGAGCCGGGGTCCGGAGCGAGCCGGGCTCGGCTGGGGCTTTTTTGGGGGGCAGCTGCGTCGTGGTTCCCGAGCGGACAGAGGAATGAGCCCGGGCTGAATCAGTTCCCACGCTCTTCTCCTTGCGCTCTCCGCCGTCCGCCCCGTCCGCCTTCGCCTCGCCGCCTTCTCGGGCTCTCCCCATGGCGGGCTCGTCGCCTCCCCCGGCTTACTCCGACCTCAAGCGGGGCCGGGAGAAGAGCTGCAGCGGCGCCGAGCTCCAGCTGAACGGCGCCGAGGATATCCCGGGCCCCGAAGAGGAAGAGGAGCCGCGTCCCGCGCCCAAAAACTACTTGTGGCTGAGCATTTTGTCCTGCTTCTGCCCTGCGTACCCCGTCAACATCGCCGCCTTCGTTTTTTCGATCATGGTGAGTGGGGGGGGGCAGGGGCGGAGAAGCGAGGGACCCCGCTGGCACTCCGCGCCCTGCCCAAATGTTACCAGGACCTGTCCGGGACCCAGCGCCTCCTGGGCACCCCTGCAAACGGAAGCGGGAGGGGAGGAGGAGACCCCTCCCCGGGTCCCCCCGTGTTGTCCCTTCCCAAACGCCACCCTTCTCCCCCCCCCCCCCGGTCTTCACCGTAACCCTTTCTCCCGTCCCTTTTGGGCTAGGGCGCTTGTGCGCTTTTACGCACGAAGCGCTCCATCTGGATGTTGGGGGCTAAGCGAGGGTCAACTGCAGGGAAAAGTGGGTTTGGGGGCGCGGGGCTGGGGGCTAGGGGTCGGCCTCTCGGGGACCAAGGAGATGGGCTCTCTAGGTGCTCTGGCCTCCGGACAGGAAGAGGGAAACCCAAAGGGACCGTTTCAGGCTCAGCGCTGCCTTCCCGTTTTCGAGGCGACGGGCCCTGGTAGCCGCTGCACGGATCCTGCCGGGTTTTGCTTAGGAATTGATTGAAGGTGCGGATCCCGCAAGCTGCAGCTTGGTCCGCAATGTGTAAACGGTTAACCGGGTTTGCATCTCTAAAGCTGGCTTCCAATCTTCTCTCCAAAATATGCCCGGGCTGGTTTGCTTGACTGCACTTTATCAGCGTGTGGGGCTGGGCACTGGGTGCTTTTACCCTAAATGCCCCCAGCTCAAGTCTGGAAGCGGAGTAGAAGTATTAAAATTGCAAAGGTGGGGGGATTTATAGAAGCGATCCTGAGGAATTCTCTGGACAGGAAGTCTCAAATCTCTTGGTTGCCACCAAAGGTTGAAATACTTCCATTAACCAGTCTGTATGTGGGAATTGGAGACAGCTTGAAGTTCACTTTTAACTGCTATTGTCTGTCACTCTTTTGCCATTTATGCTGAAAGATTCTGGAATATCAGCCTTTGAGGGAGATCCATGCCATGACATTGTGTGTTGATGAACATTTGCAAATGTAAAGGCTGTTCCCCCAAGGGATCTTAAAATTTCAGGTCACTTAGAACCCATTTAACGTTCTTCGTTCTCTCAGACAACATCACTTGGAAGCAAAAAAGACCAGGCTGTGCAATTTTCTTGGAAACGATAAAATACTTTGCATGGCTTCCTTCTGTTTTGCTATGGTTTAGTTCCCAGTCTACATCGCTCTGGGCTGACCAGGTGGTCTCCTATCCCGATGCCAAGCAAGTTATACCTCAGTTCTAAAGACAGACGGTGGAATCTCCTTGGGAGTGTATATTTTTGTGGTTGCGCAGTTTGGCTGAAAGGAAGAAAAACCAGTTTCATTGATGTTGCTATTTTGACAGATGCTAGGATGGAAGAGAAACAGTTGGGGGGGGGGATTACAAAGCACCAGGATTTGCAGATCAAAGTTGTACTTATGGGAAACGAATTCCCTTGTTATACCAATCGTGACTGAAGCCCTCAGAGAGATACATCTAGAAATATTGAATTTAGGAAATATTGAACGGATCAGTTCTGACTAATTTTACAAAAGAAAATAATTCCTTCTTTGAACTGCCTCTATTCTTAGGTGCTAAGATTGGACAGCCCTTCGTTGGGAATGGTATAATCTCCCGCCCTTGAGACTAGAAGATCTCCAAGGTCCTTATCAATTTTTCTATATTTTTCTCCTTCCACCTCATCCTGAATTATATATTTCTGAAGGAAGCTGGGCCTTCACCTAATGTGTCCAAAATAAGATAATTTTGAGCCTGGTAATTTGTTTCATTGCAGAACAGAGTAACTGAATTGGACCTTAGAGGTCTTCTAGTCCAACCCGTCTTGAGGAAGCGCTCTGGATTGATTTGTTTAGACAAGCTGTAAAGCAGTGGTTCTCAACCTTTTTAATGCCGCGACCCCCAACCGGTCGTAAGTCGAGGACTACACAACTGGTGCAGCACCGTTTGCAGAATGGGACTTTTGGCGGGCTCAGCAGGGCAGAGACAGCCTGGACAATTCCTATTGGCTTTTGAAAGCCAATAGAATTAGACTAAGCTAAGGAAAAGGGGGGGAAAATGGCGGACTGCGTTGTTTGGCGACCCCTGTGAAATGGTCGTTCGACCCCAAATGGGGTCCCGACCCACAGGTTGAGAACCACTGCTGTAAAGGATTCATCGCTTTCAAGGCTGTTATGGCAGCCTGTTTTGGTGGTTATGTTCATCAGTGTTTGAAACTTCAAATGTTGTCGTCCTTTAGCTTTGCTTGTCACTGGAGTAGAAAGAGGGTAGATAAATATAGGAATCAGTAAATGTTTCTTCTAGCACAATGACCATGATGGAGAAACAGCTACCAATCGGTCCTCATGTTTACAAACATTGTGGCCTCCCCAGGGTCACCTGATCAAAATGTGGTTGCTTGGCAACCAACAGGTATTCATGATGTTTGCAGCATCCTGAGATCACCGTCTGTGGCCTTCCCAGACAGCTTCCAACAATCGGAGCCAATGGAGGACCCTGGATCAGCTTCACAATTGTGTGATTCCCTTAAGCACTTGGCAAAAAGGACGCAACAATGGGGTGTCTGACTTAACAAGTGCTTAGCGCTAGAAAGTCCCCACTTGTGGTCCGTAAGTGGAAGACTCTTAACCATGGCTGATGAGCTATATCCACAATAGGCCAAACGTCTTCCATCCATACAGCCATTGAAGGTGGCTTACTACATTATGGAAGATGGTGAGTTACGAACAGACAAACTAAAACAGAATCACAAAGCTGGAAGGGACCTTGGAGGTCTTCTAGTCCAACCCCCTGCTCAGGCAGGAAACCAGCCCACACCATTCCAGACATGTGGCTGTCCAGTCTCTTCTTCAAAACCTCCAGTGTTGGAGCACCCACAACTTCTGGAGGCAGGTTGTTCCACTGGTTCATTGTTCTCACTGTCAGGAAATTTCTTCTTCGTTCTAACAGTTGTCCCATTTCTTCTTGAAAACCTCCCGTGATGAAGCACCTGTAACTATGTAATATAAACAACAGGCTCTGCAGATCTAGGATTTGAGATTAGAATCTAATTCTTCCCTCAAATCCTGCTTGGATTATAATCACTCTTTTGCTGGTGGTGACACAGTGAGGTTCCCGTATTGGCTGGGCTCACCTTACTTGCATAGAACACAGAACAGGGATAACAGAGTTGGAAGGGGCTTTGGTGGTCTTCTAGTCCAACCCCCTGCTGAAGTAGGAGACCCTAGCCTAGACCACTCCAGACAAGTGACTGTCCCGTCCCGTTCTACTGATTAATTGTTCTAAGTATCAGGAGATTTCTCTAGGTTGCTTCTCTCCTTGATTAGTTTCCATCTGTTGCTTCTTGTCCTGCCTTCAGGTGCTTGGGAGAAGAGGTGGACCCCGTCTGGTCCTTGGGGGTGGCCAGCACAAGCTCAGATTATGGTTGCAGCCCTCTGCAGCAGAAGTCACACCCTTTCTCTATTGATCCCAGACAGGGAGAAGGATCTGGGCCAAAAACAAGTCTAAGGCATTTAGCAGCCTTAATGGACTGCAGTGCATTACTTAGAAAAGAGACAACGGGCTCTTTTGAAGCTCCGGGAGATACAGGGAGCCTTGCCAAACCGGCTGAGATCTGAGGGAACCTCCCTCAGCCAACAGGATGTGGAAGCAGGCAAGCCAGATTGGCAAGATGGGGGGGCAGGGGTAGCTCCTCTACCCACGCGCTCGCTTTCTGAATTTCTGCAACGGGAAGCCCTCCGAGGCGTGTGGACAGTGGTGATGCTTTTTCAAGCTGGGATATAAAATTGCCCCGTTGGGCAAAACCGATCTGCTGGGAGATGGTGAACAAGCTCCAGTCCCAGGCAGTTGAAGGTCCCCCTTTTTTTGCACTGCTTATAACTTAATATCTCAGGGGCTGCCCCAAAGAAGAGGGGGGGGGGTTAATCTATTCTCCAAAGCCCCTGAAGGCAGGACAAGAAGCAACGGATGGAAACTAACCAAAGAGAGAAGCAACCTGGAACTAAGGAGAAATTTCCTGACAGTGAGAACAATTAATCGGTGGAACAACCTGCCTCCAGAAGTTGTGGGTGTACCAACACTGGAAGTTTTTAAGAAGAGTCTGGACAGCCATTTGTCTGAAATGGTATAGAGTTTCCTGCCTGAGCAGGGAGTTGGACTAGATGACCTCCAAGGTCCCTTCCAACTTCTTCTTCTTCTTCTTCTTCTTCTTCTTCTTCTTCTTCTTCTTCTTCTTCTTCTTCTTCTTCTTCTTCTTCTTCGTCTTCTTCTTCTTCTTCTTCTTCTTCTTCTTCTTCTTCTTCTTCTTCTTCTTCTTCTTCTTCTTCTTCTTCTTCTTCTTCTTCTTCTTCTTCTTCTTCTCTTCCTCCTCCTCCTCCTCCTCATTATTATTATTGAATCATAGGACCGGTTGGGTCTTCAGAGGTCTTCTAGTCCAACCCCTTGCTCAAGGCAGGAGACCTTATACCATCCCGGTCAAATGGTTGTCTTGTCTGTTCTTGAAATAGTCTACTCCAAAGGTTTCCAAACGTAGCAACTTTAAGACTTGTGGACTTCAATTCCCAGAATTGAGGGCTGGCTGGGGAATTCTGGGAGTTGAAGTCCACACGTCTTAAAGTTGCTACGTTTGGAGAGCCTTGGTCTAAGCAGGTATCACTTCACAACCGTGTGACTAATTTAACGAACGGCGGCAATTTACGTAACAAACGTGGCAAGGCGAGTTGCAAAATGGGGCCCTTATCAACCGTGTGGCTTCCTTAACAACAACAGACTCGCTCAACGACCGGGGCAAGAAAGGCGGCAAAATGGAACGAAACTCCCTTCAACCAATGTCTCAGTTAGCAACAGACATTCCAGGTGGCCGTAAACCAAGGACTACCTGTGTAATTTTTTTTTTTTTTGAAGTGTTTCCGACATCTGTTCCCAGTTCAACTCGAAGAGCCCTTCCCGGCTATTTCTTCGGAGGGTCATCTTACTCCTGACCTCAGAGGGAGTCAAGTTTTCAGGCCCGGCCCTTGGGACTTTGAGTGGTTGCCTGCGTAGGCTGCCCCGGTGTCCCCTTGCGGTAACGAGATCTGTTTGTGTTAAGCGGCTTCTCCACATCTCGGAGGGCCAGGAGGAGAGGGGAGATGCGTCCTCAGAGGGATGGGCTTAAATGGCTGCTTTTGTGCTTCGGGAGGGGCGTCGTAACTGGCTCGGACGTCCAATTTTATTTCCCCCCCCCCCGAATCCAGGCAAATACAGGCTGTCTTACGACCACAGCTGAGCCCGAAACTTCTGTTTCATTTCTTTCATTTATGAAGCGAATTTTGCCCCACCTTACGACACCGTTCTTCTCGCCACCGTTGTTAAGAGAATCGCCGGAGTGGTTAAATGAGTCACACGGTCGTTAAGCGAATCGGGCCCTTCTCCTGTTGATCACAAAAAGGGGATCGCAGGACACAAACCCCCAAACGCTGTGACCGTCATTAATACGAGTCAGTTGCCAAGCGTGAGAATGCCCTCCTATGCAGAAGTGCCCGAATGGATCTTGACCTTTCAATCCAAATTGAGCTGGAAGGGACCTTGGAGGTCTTCTAGTCCAGCCCCTTGCTCAAGGCAGGAGACCCTATCCCATTTCAGACAGGTGGCTGTCCAGTCTCTTCTTGAAAACCTCCAGTGATGAAGCACCCACAACTTCTAGAGCAGGGGGTCTTCAAACTTGGCCTTCTTATGACTGGTGGACTTCAACTCCCAGAATTCCCAGCTGGCTGAGGAATTCTGAGAGCTGAAGTCCACAAGTCATAAAAGGGCCAAGTTTGAAGATCCCTGTTCTAAAGGAAATCAATTCCACTGGTTAATTGTCCTCACTGTTAGAAACTTTCTCCTTCATTCCAGGTTGCTTCTATCCTTAATTAGTTTCCATCCTTGGCTTCTTGTCCCGCCTTCTGGTGCTTTGGAGAATAGGTTGACCCCCCTCTTCTTTGTGGCAGCCCCTCAGATACTGGAACACTGCTATCATGTTGCCCCAAGTCTTTCTCTTCTCTAAGACTAGACATCCCCAATTCCTGCAAGTGTTCTTCCTATGTTTTTGTCTCCAGAGCTCCACGGTAATAGAACAGGTGACGCGAATGTCGAGATTTTTAACCTGGGCTGCATCTGCCTTCTTCTTGTTTCTTCTGCAGGCGCTAAACAGCTACAATCAAGGCGACATTGAAGGATCGAAAAGGCTGGGCCACACGGCTCTGCTGGTCGCCATTGCGTCAATTCTGATCGGTGTCTTGATGATTGCAATCCTTTGTATTGTCCATTATACTACGGTAAGCGGCTTGGATTGCCCGTGGCTTGTATTTCATTGTCCTCAGGCTGGTGTGTAGCAGGACTGCAATGTTCATCACCCACCATCCAGCCCAGCCTAGGAGAGGGATGAGTAGTAGAGATTCAACACAGCTGACAAGTTCTAAATTTCTCAAGACAACGGACTGTCCCTGGTTCTCCAAGGATGGATGGATGAATACAAGTAGATATAGATGCTATAAATGATATACCGTGTTTCCCCCAAAATGAGACCGGGTCTTATATTAAAGACTTACATTAGGGTTTATTCTCCAGGTAAGGGGAATATTCGGGGAAATACGGTACTAAATGCTGACAATCTTAACCCGGTGCTTATTTTGGGGGTGGGGCTTATATTACGGAGCGTCCTGAAAAAAAATCATGCTAGGGCTTATTTTCTGATTGGGTCTTATTTTGGGGGAAATATGGTAGTTATAGATAATATAGATATACAGTAGGATAGACAATTGAATAAAGCAGGAATTAGGAAGCAGGTTCAGTACCCTGGATAGCGATTAACAAATATGCCGGAGTGGTAGAAAGCTGAGGAGCTGGACGGAACCAAGAGAAGAACCAAATCAGGTGCTATGGGGCTACTTTTGGGCCCATCTCTTCCATCCCAGTTCCAACAGACAACGTTGTGGTGGGCATCAGAGAAGCAGGCATTCCCACCTGGCTACCTTAATCTCTCCATAGAAAAAGCAAAACACAGTGCAATAAATGTTTCATCTCCTGATCCGCTGTCCTTCAAATGGGTTTGGATCCCATGCCGTAAAAGACAACCCCGGCCTTCCCAAATTGGTCCGTCAATCAAGATGGGGATGATATAAAATTGGGCCCCAATAGCTCATCACCTACCTCAAATTGTTATTATTTGTAGGTCTGTCTCCTTTTCCTCTCCTGGGCTCTAGAGATGGGTAGCCTGTCTCCATATCTGTTCAAGAAATGTATTGATTATTATTGCATTTGTTGGCTTTTAATCTTTCGTGCACTTCCCCCAAATCACCGCTAGGAGATGGGCAGCTATATACAGTACGTTGATTCCAGCGGTCAGCCCATCCTAATGGGACTAGAACTAGAAGTCTTCGGGTGATTGGCCCAGGGTCACCCAGTCAGTTTTCGTGGCTAATACAGAATAACAGAGTTGGAAGGGACCTAGTCCAACTCACGATCAAGCAAGATACCCCGTTACTATTCTGGACAAATGACTAGAACTCACTTTCTCCTACTCACTGTCTCCTGGTTCCTAGGCTAGCACCTTAACCACTAGACCAGAGGTAGGCAACCTTGGCTCTTTTATGACTCGTGGACTTCAACTCCCAGAATTCCTGAGCCAGCCATTCTGAGAGTTGAAGTCCACGAGTCATAAAAGAGCCAAGGTTGCCTACCCCTGCACTAGACCAAACAGGCTCTCCTATAGTTAGTGATCAGGGACGGTGGAAGTTGTAATTCAACGATACTGAGAGGCATTCAAGACTTTCCTCTTTTCTCGTCTTCATTTCTCGCTATTTCTCATTTCAAAATAGGATCTGATGCAATTACTGTCTGTGGAAAGCTAACATCTCTGGCAAAGAGGGCACGGTTAGGATCAGGAGAGGAAGGAAATTAACATTTTTTTTCCATTAAGCTGGACGAGGACCGACGATTAATGCAAAATTTCAGCCGCCGAGGGAATTGAAAGAACAGCTAACCACCCTGCTGCTAGAGCCCACGAGTTTTTGAGTGCTCTTCTATCAAATTATCACCCTTTTAAAGCCTGTCTGCCACACCTGGTGGTGGGCCATGGCCCTGGGGGTGGGGGACCCTGGCTGCACTACATTTCTCTTTTCAGCACTATTTATTCCCTGCATGTCTCCATTGCATTGTGCTGTTATAGGTGTTTTATTTTTTTCTCCCCCCCCCCCCGAGTTTGGTGCACGTCTTGCGTTTCGCTCTTTTAAGGTTTTTGCTAGCTTTGCAATCCACCTGGTGAATTTCTGGGGCAAATTAGGAGAGCAAAAATGAATAATAAATGAGAATGTTAGAGGGATGTGATCACATTTCTTGGGCTGGATTCGCCTGTTGTATTTTTATTTTGTGCTTTTTACTGCTTACGGCATTTTATCCAATGTTCCCCTTACTCTGGCTTGGCTGGTTAGACAGTCACAAAAGGGGATCGCGTGGCCCCTGGACGCTGCAACCGTCATAAATATGAGTCGGTTGCCAAGTGTCCAAATTTTGATCCCGTGACCTCGGGGAGACTGCAACGGTCGTAAGGCTAAAAAAATGGCCCTAAGTCATTTTTTTCCCAGTGCCGTTGTGACTTTGAATGGTCTTTAAATCAATTGTTGTTAAGTCAAAGGACTGACAGTCATTAAAAAAAAAATCGTGACGGGGGCCTCAATGGTTCAATTCCGATAAAAATTGGGTGGAGAAGGCCAAAACCAGAATTGCCTTGCAACTCCACCCCTTTCATTCATATAATAACACAATGATACCCATAGAAAGGGGAGCAGCTTCACACGCAAGGCTGCATTCATGAATTGACCTCATAGGAAAGGCTATTGGGGTGGGGGTGGCACCTGCAGCCTGACGGGGTAGTGACTTGGGGAAGGGGCTTCGGAGTTCGACGATGTTCCAAGCCTTATCCACGTAATCAATGGACATTGCTTATCAAAGTACCGATGGAGGAAGCACTTGTGTTCCTAATGCACATTTAATTAGGTTTTTAATTGTGTTTTCATTCCATTCTTCGCTGGGGCGAGCTGTCTTCAGCGCCCTCTGTGGGTGGAAAGGAGAAAAGTCACGTTCACAGCCAAATCGCAAAGAAACGAGATTTGAATAGAATAGAATAGAATAGAATAGAATAGAATAGAATAGAATAGAATAGAATAGAATAGAATAGAATAGAATAGAAAAGAAGTAGAGTAGAATAGAATAGAGTAGAACAGAAGTAGAGTAGAGTAGAGTAGAGTAGAGTAGAAGCTGGAAGGACCTTGGAGGTTCACCTTTGCTAGCTAGAGAATTCTGGGAGATGAAGTCAACCCATGCTGGCTAGGGAATTCTATGAGTTTGAAGTCTACACATATTACTAAGTTGCCATCTTTGCAAACCTCTAGACTGGATGATCCTTAGGATCCCTTCCAGCTCTTCAGAGCTGTGTTTTTATGTTCATGCTGTTCCCTTTGGCGGCGGTTGGATTAATTGCTTTGAGAGGGACTCCATCAATTCAAAGAGCGCCTTTAATTAAGCGAGCACAAGACTGTACATGTCTGAAAGATGATTGTTAACACGGGTGCTAATGAAGGGGCAGGTGGCAAATAGGAAGCATTTCACGTGGGAGATTCTTGCAAACAAACAAACAAAATATCCATGTGTGAAGTTCCTTAGCTTAGCAGGGGATTGCCAAGGGGAAGAGCCAGGATACCAGCATTCAAAACGATGCTTGCAATTTGCCATCACGCTGGAATCGAGTCGCCAAGAAAGTTGAAGGCTGGGAAGATGACAGAGACTCCAGGGAGCGCTAATTCAGCCTTGCTTGGAAGAATCTCTGCTTGAGGCTGATCATGATTTACCAGAATAGCTTTGGGGGCCCCCAGAGGCCTGCTTGTAAATGAAAATGGGCAGCTGCGAGCGAAACTCTGGTTTGGAAAAGCGCCCGCTTGCAAAGAGAAGAGACAGCAATAAAATGGCATAAATCACGCCCCGGCAGAAAGATGCCTCGCTTCTTTGCTTCGGAGCGATTTGGGCCCCATCTTTCCCGGTTAGTTGGCAACCCTGGAAATACAGTTAGTCCTTGACTTGCAAAGGGTTTATTTGGTGAACAAAGTTACAACAGTACTGAAAAAAAGTGAGTTATGACCGCTTTTCACACGTACGACCGTTGCAGCCATCTCCGTGCTCACATGATCAAAATTCACAGGCTTGGCAACTGGCGTGTATTTATGACGGTTGCAGTGTCCTGGGATCATGTGATCCCCTTTAGTGACCTCCTGACAAGCAAAGTCCACGGGAAAGCAAGCCAGATTCGCTTAGTGACCGTGTTACTAACTGAACAAACGCAGTGATTTCCTTCACAAATGTGGCAAGGAAGGTGGCAAAACGGGGCCAAACCCACTTAACAAATGTCTCGTTTAAGATCAGAAATATTGGGATCAGTTATGGCCATAAAGCCGAGGACTACCGGTAATTTCTCCAGGGTCAACTATTGCCAGGGTTGAGTGCTGGGTCATCCCTGATGCTCCAAGTTCATCCTGTAGCACAGTGTTTCTCAACCTTGACAATTTTAAGGCATGTGGACTTCAACTCCCAGAATTCCACAGCCAGCATTGCTGGCTGTGGAATTCTGGGAGTTGAAGTCCACATGCCTTAAAATTGTCAAGGTTGAGAAACATTGCTGTAGCGTCTCCAGAAATGGCCTAAGGAGAGCCTGGTGGCGCATTCCATGTTCAAGCTGGAGGGGGTTTTATGAAAACATTGGAACCCCCCTCAAAAGGCTCCGACATTAGCAAAGCCGGAGTCATTTCCTGACAACTGGGCTGGATATTGATTTTTTTAGACTGCCCTGATGCATAATTCAGCTTTTAGTGTTGGGGAGGTGACATCTGTCAATGGGAACTTAATGCTTTTGATTCAAAAGGGCACGGAGCTGCTAATGCAAGGGATTGTTTGTTTAATGGGAACACAAACCATTAAATAATGTGTCCATTAGGCCCGGTGGATGAATAATTTACTAGGTCAAACTTTCTCAATTTCTCTGCCTCTTTTTTTCCCCTCCCCTCCCCTCTCTCCTCCCGTCCCTTCTCCTGGACCTCCCCATTTTTATTTTTATTTTTTTCCTGCAATGCAGCACACCATCTGAATGCAGAGACGCGGGATGTGAACGTATCCCATCTCCAGGCCCGTGACACAGGGGGAGGGTCTGTACCCAGGAAGAAAATGTAAACACGGATGCTCAACAAAGCAAACCCAGATCTGGTTTGTTCCATTTTTATCTTACAAACCTGGCTCGAGGCACAGGTGAAAATCTCCAGTGATCGTTTGCTGGCGGTGGGTTCCCTGTGTCGAGAGATTAGCAGTTCCCTCCCCTCCGAAGAACCGAAAACAGGAAAAAAGGGGGAAAAAATAATTACCCGTCTTTCTTAAAGAACGTCTTTATGGAACTCCCTTTTGGCAACCCTCTGTTCCCTTTTCCTGCACGCCAGAAGTGTAACGTGTAGCTCGCCTGCCCTGTCCTCGGCTTTTGCACTCGGCTGTCTCCCAGGCTGGAGATCTTTGCTGGCTGAACTTTCCGGATCGGTGAATGGATGCAAGATCTGTCCCACAGGTGGAGTTTCCTGGGACTTCTGACTTCCATCCATGAACCCAACGTAGCATCTCAGGGCACCAGAGGTGAAGGGATCCATAGGACACATCCACACCCAGGAGATGTTTTCAGCCTCCTCCTTTTTTCTCTCTCTTGGGCAGGAATGAATCTGACCCTCCTTACAATATCTGTCATGCGTCTGTTTTGATCATGCCTCTTCTCACTGGCTGTGTACCCCTTTCTGTCTGCGAGTTGCAGAAAGCATGCATTACCTAGAGAACGACAACTCCTTGGTGGCTACCTGAAGGAATGAGGGTGGGGGTGGGGGGGGATAAACCCATCGCTTTCGATGTCTTTTGGGATGATTTACTCTGTAAAAAGAAGGAAATCAACGCTTGGAAATCAAAGTTATTATCTGCTCCTTGGACTTCTGCGAAAGATACGGTTTTGGGGGGGTGGGGTGACGCTGAGAAGCCGAGAAACCAAAGGCATGAAAAAGGGGAGTTGAAATTTAATCAGGTCGAGTATGTTGTTACCGTGAAAAAAAAAAATCCAATCTTTCCCTTTGTGGTGCTGGATCCAGAAATCCTTGACAGGATGGCAGTGAGGAATGTAATGTCTCTTGGTTTACGAGCCAGGGGTATGGGAAAAGGTTCAGGTATTCCACCTATTTTATTTACACCTATTTTTTCAAAGGTGATTTCGTGGTCATGAATCGGGGGGGGGGAGGGGATTCAAGATCCCTGGTCAGGTTGCAGAATGAAAAGTCCTGCTTGTTAAGGAATTCAAAGAATAAACTTGCATTGGTTTGTATGTGCTTTCGTTCCATCATTTCGGCGCAGACTGAGGAACTCTGAATGAGGGTGGGTCGGCCATAATTGAGAGCGGTGTTTCTCCACCTGGGCTACGATGCTAACTCCCAGAATTCCCCAGCCAGCCCGTGACCCCGGGATGCTGGAACCGCTGAAAATACATGCTGTTTCCCAAGTGTCTGAATTTGGATCCCCTGACCCTGGGGTTGTTGCGACGGTCCTCAGTTCAAGGACCAGCCCTAAAGTTACTTTCTTCAGGGCTGTCGTAATTTCAAACGAACAATTGTTAAGTCAAGGGCTACCTGTGCAGACAACCGACTCACAGTTGCCTGGACAAGGTCAGCCTCCACCTGCCCACGACATTCTTGTCTCTTGGGTTTGATGACACAGGACTTGGGAAGAACGTGGGAATCGGCAAGATTCACACCACCAAACTCAAAACGGGTCTTCACAAAATTTACGAGGTTTGTGCCGAACTCGTTGAAAACCAAGCTTGAAAGAGTTTAGCTCAATGGGATGGCCTGGTTGAGGCTGCACACAAACCCAACGGCCGTCCCCAGATGGTATGCTGGACGTCAGGCCATCCAACACCTTTGGAGCTGTAATTAGCAAGTCTGTCTGACACTATTTTGTTGTCCTAAGAGCCAGGCTGGAGAGCCTTCTGGCCGTGGGCTTCAGCTGTCAAATTCTCCCTTACCATCCCGAGCATTTCTGGATGACTCAAGTCCCAAATCCCTGCCCCCTCTTGTCTCTCTCTCCCCACTCCCCTTGGCAGGGTTTACAGGCAGAGACAGATGGAGGCAGAAAACTGATGCTCGGCGGCGTCCCTGGATATAGCCTCCTTCGGGTCTTAAGGACAGCTGAGCTGCCAAAAAGCAGCGACTGCAGTATCCTGGTCTGTAATCCTAGAGAAGGCCTGCTAAATATACCCAGGTCTCTACAGTAGATGAGGTGAAAAGCCAGCAGATATTTAGACCAGAGGCGTCGCGAGAGGTTTTGGTTCCACAAGTAGCAAAGCCCACGGACCAGTTGCCTAGAAGGCCAAAATCTGCCCATACTCCAAGGTGTGGTTGAGCCCTCCATGGGGGCATGTGAAGCTGGACTGAGGCTCTTTCAGTTTTCCTCCAGAATAGCAACAGAGAGGATTGATTGGGGACCGTCTCCCAGTGATTGGCCCAAAGTCACAAAGCCGACTTTCATGCCTAAAGCAGGACTAGAACTCACAACCTGGTTTCTGGGTCAGTACCTTAACCAACAAACCAGAGTGGCTCTCAGTTGTATGATATATACATATATACACCACAATTAAATACTTACAAAACTTAGCGTAATGTTTGGTCCACTTCATTGCTACACCAGTTTTCTTTCTCCTCTGCTACTAGGGGCTCCGGAAAGTTGCCCATTTGCCCAGCACAGGAACCAACGCCGGAAATCTATAATTATTCTTGAGTGGCTGAAGGCCGGAAGCTGAGCTGCAGATAGAATTCGCCTCCTCCACTTTTCCTGCCTGAGTAGGTTCTGCCAAAAAACTGGAACGCCATCCAGGCTTTGGGGGAATTATTAAAGCAGGCGAGTGAGCGAAGAGAACTGTCTTCTGAAAAAAGCTTCCAGATCCGCTCAGGTGTCCAATTACAAGGATTTTGACCCTTTCAAAATCTCCTGCTGTTATTTGTTTTTTTGTTTGTATCCAGCCTCCATTCTCTCTAAAATAACTCAAGGCATTGAACCGACTGAATGAGCCTTCCTCCTCCCATTTTCCCCACAACAGACCTGTGAGGTAGGCTAGGCTGAGAAAAAGGGACTGGCCCAAAGTCACCCAGCTGGCTTTTGTGCCTAAGGCAGGACTAGAACTCACAGTTTCCTGGTGATTGGCCCAAAGTCACCCAGCCGGTTTTCACGCCTAAGGCGGGACTAGAACTCACCGTCACCCAATTTCCTGCCTAGTACATTTACCACTAGGCCAAACTGGCTCTGTGCCCTATTCTCATTGACATTGGCGAAGAAAGAAATTTAACAGGTGCATATCAGACAGGAGCATACCAGATTTTCACTGGGTGTTCATCAGTTGGCAAATACTTGAACTCCCAAGATTGTCACCTGAACGAAATAACGTGTCCAAGCCAAAAGAGTCCCTAAGAAGCCCCAGGACATTGTGTGCACAACATTAATGGCCCGGATTATGTAATTTGTGCAGCCTTGACGTGCCCGGCATTGCTTTCTCTCCCCAGAGGGCGCGTAAATAGACAGCAGGTGCATTAGCAGTTTGGCGTGGAAAGAGCACAGGCTGCAAAGCCAAATAAATGGAGAAAATGAGACTAACAGCAGTGCAAATGAAATGTACCATTTTTACCACCTGGGCCTCTGTTTAGGGCCCACAAAAGTGTACACATACATAACACACATTTAAACATGTTACATATATATAACATCTGCCTCCCTATCCTAAGGCGAGCAGCTATATGGAGTCTGGGTGAGTGAGCAGGTCATTTTGGAGTTACGTGGATAATTAGGACAAGAACTTTTGGATAAGAAATGAGGTGACTGTTCAGCGAGTGAGTCCCATTCGTTTTTGAAAAATCACAAAATGCAAAGACCTGCAAGCAAAAAAGTCACTACTGAGCAAAAGAAAGCAGAGATTGGTCCCAATGGCGATAGGCGCCTTGGCTGCAAGCCCAAAACAGTCTGGAACACCCTTTGAACGCCGTCGGCATTCACAAAATCCCCATCGGTCAATTGCACGAGGAAACTTAACCTGGAATAGCCGGCAGCCTTTTAACCTTTTAATACCTTTTAACAGCATCCAACAGCATCTGCCTTTCCCGGGTTCCTCGGTTCCTAATCCTTTGCCGCCCCCTCCTGGCCATCTGCGGTCCTTGCAGGCCAGAGCCCAGAGCGAAGCGAGGCCCTTTAACTCTGGCCGGCGCACGCGCGTTTCTAAGCGTCCTATGCGACGGCCTCTTACAGGAACCGGAAGGAGAGACCTACCTAAGGAGGCGGGGCCGGAAGCGAAGGAACCGGGTGTTTTGCCATCTACGCCGGCGGCTGTTGCTGCTCTTTAGCCGGGGCGGGAGGGAGGAGACCGGCTTGAGCCGCGGGGGCCGCTCCGGGCTTTGAATGTGGCCGGGTGGCCTGCACAATCGGCGGCTCTCCCGACGCGAGGTGACTTCGGGGTTTCTGAGCATGTGCAGAGCGCGGCGCCCGGTTTGGGAGGGGCGGGGTTTGAGAGCTGCTTCGTCGGCGCATTCTTTGCCCCGCCAGGAGCGCGCGTTGGGGCTCACGACAGCCCCGCGAGGTAGGACGGGAGCAGCTTTCGCCCGGGGGTCTTGGGTCTCCATGGCTGGCCCGGGGGTCCTCTGGGCCCCCACCGTCCCTGGGCCGCCCGGGTTTTGTAACGGGGAAGGGGGGAGAGGAGTTGCCTTTTTGTGACTTCACAACAATCCTCCAAATAAAGAAAAAAGCCCAGCGTAAAAAAGCATCCTTGGGGGAGGGGCTTCTTTCTTGATGATGATGATCTTGATGGCTTCTTTCTTGATGATTTTGATTGATGATCATGATGATAGCTTCTTGATGATCATGATGGGGATTTTGATCATGATCTTGATCAACCATGGTGGCTTCTTTCTTAATGAGGATTTTGATTGATGATCATGATGATGATGGCTTCTTGATGATTTTGATCATGATCATCTTGATCAATCATGGTGGCTTCTTTCTTGATGATCTTGATTGATGATGGCTTCTTGACGATTGGTGGTGATGATTTTGATCACAATCTTGATGAGCACCATGGTGGTTTCTTTCTTGATGATGACGATGGTTGATTTTTTTCCCATCCAAAAATTTGCCAAATTGGGAATCCAGGGCAGGGTCCCCCCAAAGTAGCCAATATTGACTCCTAAGGATTGATGAGTATGTAAAAATGGTTGCAGGGGGGGGGGGAAGAGTCAAAAGGGAGTCAGTAAATCTCTTGTGGGTCATTAAGTGATTGATAAACGATGGAAGATCAATTGAGGTGAATTAACCTTTTTGGGAGGGGACATGCCCCCTTATTTGGTACAATGCGTTCCCGTCCAGGCATTTGATTGTTTTCTGTAGATAAAGTTTGTTTTCTCCTCTTACGGTCTGGTTTCTTCTGCCGTGTTTTCTTCCTTCTTTTATAAGGGCGACTAGCTGGCAATCAAAAAAAAGATCCATCTGCCAGCCACCATCCCTGACCCTTGAAGAGCCATGGGGAACACCAGCAGCGAACGGTCTGGCGTAGAGCGCCACGGAGGCCATAAGGCAGCTCGAAGGGACAGCCCTGGGGGATCAAAGGATGGAGACAGGCCCAAGATTTTGATGGACAGTCCCGAAGATGCTGACCTGTTCAATGCAGAAGAAATGAAAGTAGGTGAATCCGGCTTTCCCCCGTTGACTTTTCTCGTCAGAAAGTCGCAAAAGGGGATCGTGCGACTCTGGGACGCTGTGACCATCATAAATACGAGTCAGTGGGCAAGATTCTGAATTTTGCCCACCTGACCCTGGAGATGCTGCAGTAATCCTAAGTCTGAAAAATGGTCACGGGTGACCTTTTTCCAGTGCCGTTGTAACTCTGAGTGGTCACTAAACAAACTGTTGTAAATTGAGGACTACCTTCAAATGTCAGTTTCTGACAAAAAGGCATCGCCAAGGGTGGTCCCGTGACTGCAGGGTGCAGCCAACTGCCATAAATGCGGTCCAGTTGCCGAAGTGCCCAAAATGTGGTCATGGGACTGCAGGAAAAGGGATGCAGGAACTTTGAATCCGGGTCATAAGTAGCTCTATGGGAGTCTGTCATAACTTTGAACAGCCATTAAGCAACCGGTCGTAAGATGAGGGGCGTCTATGATAGCAAGGAGGCCGAGCTGTCATCCTTGGTGTGATGTACAGCAGACCCTGTCCGGAATCCCTTCCATCTCGTTTTTGGGGGTGGGTGGGACACATGGCAAGGCCTCAGATGCCACCCTAGCCTTTCGCAAGCTATGATCTCGGAACAATCGTGGCCAGTTTCCCGAAGTCTGCTGTTTCCTAGGCTCCGATGGAGAAAGACGAATTCCTGGCTTGGCAACACGACCTGGAAGTGAGCGACAAAGGCCCCACACAAGCTCAGCCGACTGTCTTCCGGTGGACCGGCGGAGGCAAAGAAGTTTATTTATCGGGCTCCTTCAACAACTGGAGCAAACTCCCGCTTACTCGGAGGTAAACTGCGAGTCTGGAAATCAGGCATCTCCTGCGGGCTGTGGGTGTGTTGGGGGGGGGAAATTAGTTCATAGATAAGCTGCGTCTCTTCAAATTGACTTGCAGAGATGTAAGAACAGTTTGTTATTTTATCAATCCCTTAAATATGCAAATGTTTTTCTTTTGGCGCCTGGCTTTCCCAAACTGCCCTTTTGTCTCGAGATGTTTTCCTCCTGGCTTGATTGTTTTGTTCCTCCCTTTTTTAGCCTCTGAAGGAAAACGGGTGCAGGAGGTTAACCTAAGTAAGATCCATTACGTACGAATACCTAGGCTTGCATATCATTGGTTTATTTATTAGATTTTTATCCTGCCTTTATTACTTTATAAGTAACTCAAGGCAGCGACCCTATCTAATGCGCCTTTCCTCCATATTTTCCCACAACAAACAGCCCTGCGAGGTGGGTTGTTGGACTGAGAGGGAGGCACCCAGCAGTTTGTTGCGCTTACGTTATTCTGTTGTGATTTTTCCCCCAGAGTCCTTTGCAATCGAATGACTGGATAAAGCTAACAGGTGGTTTCTTTTCCCCCTTTTTCACAGCCACAACAATTTCGTAGCAATCCTCGATCTTCCAGAAGGAGAACACCAGTACAAGTTTTTTGTGGATGGCCAGTGGACTCACGATCCTTCAGAGGTGAGACCGTTTTTATTCAGGGGAATCTGCTTCGCTTCGTTACCCTGGGAATAAATGGATTATTCCGCATTTGACGCCTGTCAGTTGAGCATCCTCCGCGGCTCGTCAGCTCTTCCTTAGCTGAAATTTCTTCTGGTCGTTTTGGTCGGGGGAAATAAGAGCCGTGCTCCAGCCACTTCTGAAAGGGCATTTGGCTGTCCGCCACCTATGTATCCGTAGCAATAAATCTGTTAACAATCTTTTCATGCGCAAAAGCTGTTCCCCGATGGTGTTTCATAAAGTCACAAGGAAGCAGGAACTGGGTTAGTTAAGGCTGTTCAGAAAAGATAACCGTGATTTTAAGAGACTGCCCTCCCCTCCCCAAAGGGAAGAATACTTATAGTATCCTAGGGCTGGAAGGGACCGTGAGGGGTCTTCTAGCCCAACCCCCTGCCCAAGCAGGAGTCCTTATATCCTCCTGGACAAAAAGTTGCCCAATCTTTTCTTGAACACCTCCAGTGATGGAGCACCCACAACTTCCAGAGACAAGCCATCCAACGGATTAATGGTTCCCATCGTCGGAGAAATTCCTCCCTAGTTCCAAACTGGATCTCTCTTTAACCAGCTTCCCTCTTTTGTCACCTTTTCCATGAAAGGCTCATATTTGGGGAGGCAAACTTAATTTCCCCCCCACTCCCAAGTCAATATAGGGCTAACCTTCTGTTTGATCTGATTCGCTTTCCTGCTGGATCTAACAAACTCTCTTCCTAGCCTGTGGTGACCAGCCAACTAGGGACCGTCAACAATATCATCCAAGTGAAGAAGACAGACTTTGAAGTTTTCGATGCTTTAATGGTCGATTCCCAAAAGTGCTCCGAAGTGTCAGGTAAGTCGCGCGTGCAAAAACCCGAAAGGGAAGGGAGGACGACACTTTGGTTTATGGCAAGATCTAATCTGGGTCGGTCACTTGAAACAAAGGTCCACTCTTACGAGCTTTTGAATTTGTGCCGGAGCCCCCGCTCCCATCTTCAGGGAATTTCTCTCTACTAGAATATCTGGACTTCAACTCCCAGAATCCCCCAGCCAGCCAGAATTCTTAAAGTCTTACAGCTGCCAAGCTGGAGACTCCTGATTTAGTATGCTCCCTCTTTCTCTCCCCCCAGAATTGTCAAGCTCGCCACCTGGACCGTATCACCAGGACCCATACATCATTAAGCCGGAGGAGAGATTCAAGTCGCCCCCTATCCTTCCTCCCCACCTGCTGCAAGTCATCCTGAACAAAGACACGGGGATTTCTGTAAGTTGCGAGAAGCAGGCCAAACATTTTGCCCTCCTAGCCTGGCTTAGCCCTCTCCAGTTGTGCTGAGACTACAGCTCCCAGTGTTCTCTGGGGCATGAAGCCTAGGCTAAGCATTTGTGGGGGAGGGGGTGAGAGAATTGCTTCAAATAAGAAGCCCGACACAAAGAGAGCTTTTTCAGACACTTTACAGGTGCTGCCTGCTCTTCTGTTCGAGCTGCCTTCCGGCTTAAAACTGGGGATGAGACGAGTCTTGGAGGCAGCCGCAAAAATGGATGTCCATTTTTGTAGCACATCTTTTAATGCAGGTGGCCCTTGACTTAACGGCCATAATCGGGACCAGAATGACTGTTGCTAAGCAGGAGGTTAAGTGATCCCCCCCCCCCTGATTTTACAGACTTTTTCGCCCCGGTTGCTAAGCGTTGTTAAGCGAATTGCACAGTTGTTAAACAAATCCGGCTTCTCCCGTTGACTTTGTTTGTTGGAAGCTGGCTGGGAAGGTTGCAAATGGGGAATCAGCTGACCTGGGACGCTGCGCCTGTCTGAAATACTCGGCAGTGATCAAGTGCCTAAATTTTGATCCTGAGATGGTCTTAAATGCAAAGACTGGTCTTATGTCAGCTTGTAACTAAGCGAATGACTGTAAATCAAGGACTACCTGTATTGGGGGGGGCGGAGGGGACAGGATGCACATCTGGGCCCGGAGCCCCTTTGAGGTTGAATCCCTAACCCAAAGCTCTTCTGCTTAGTGCGATCCAGCTCTCCTTCCGGAACCGAATCACGTCATGTTGAACCATCTCTACGCGCTGTCCATCAAGGTAAGAGCAGCCTCGTGGCGGCACAGGGCTTCTTTAGGGGGGCTCCACCTTCCAAGAGGGCTCCCCTCTTTCTTCTCTCCTAGGACGGAGTGATGGTGCTGAGCGCCACCCACCGGTACAAGAAGAAATACGTGACTACGTTGCTCTACAAGCCCATATGAATGAGGGGAGGGAAAGCGGACCGGTGCGAGAGAAGGAATTGTTATCCAGAGGATCCCCTACGCCCCCAAACTCGACAGCAGCATCCTTGCTGTTAAAACTGCCCCCATCCCCAGAAAAAAGTTTTGGTTGAACTGCTGGTGCCTTGCTTCTCCTCTCCTCGCCTGTTCTTTCGATCCAGACGATCAGCCCTGGTTTTGTCAATCAAGCATGAAGCTGCCTGCAAGGAGGGGGGAGAAAAAAACCCCAGAGGACAGCCAAAACCACGCAGGCCAATTAACTTTGAAAATTAAATTAAATTCTTCAACGCTTTCTACCGAAAAGCCAGAGGACAGCTACAACAGCCAAAGGGAGACGGGTGTCTCAAATCAGTTGCTTCTGAAAATGTCTTCTTGTAATCCTACAGTTGCAATCAACTGTCTGGCCAAACCTGCCGTCGTCGTTTTTTTAAAAAACCTTTTTAGTTGATCACAGCAGCAATAAGGACCAAAGAAGGGGGGAAATAGCCCACTCTTTTCTCTTCCTCCCCCCCGCCCCGGCAGGGAGTCAGCAGCCTCGGTGCTTTCAATGGGTTTTGTGGATCCTCGGCGATCTTCAGCCGTCCCAGCAGCAGCTTTATTCTTTGGAATGATCGGCTCAACGGCAGCCTTCCAAATCAGTATTTTAGGTCCACCTGTCTTGTCGTTGGTATTTACCCTGTTTCAGAAAGTGGTTTTAATAAATAAAAAGGCATAGTGGAAAACAGGCCTGCCCCTTTCTCTTTCCGCCTGCCTCCGAAGTTCAAACGTTTCCTAGTTTGTTTTATGCTCATGTTGAGAGGTTGATATTTTTGAAGGTAAGGACAGAGATAAAAGATATGGGGAGAGCTACTTCCCGATCCGTGGGCTGAGCAAAACAATCTTCCCTCCTGCAAAAAAGCCCACGGCAGTTTTCTAAGCTGGGGATTTAGGCTGAAAGGGAACGGGAAGCGTGGGAATTGCTAGGGTAGAATCTCAAAAGGGCAGAAGAAGGTGAGAAAGGGCTGGGGGATAATGACCAAGGAAAGCCTTCACTTCGTCTTGATTTTGGGCTTCGAGGGCAAAATAAGAATTGAAACACAAGCAGGACACCTTTTGAGGAAAGGGCAAGAAATTACAAATCTCAGGGAGAGGGATAGAACAAAGCCACGAATCTTCCAATAAGCATTATTTTGTGTGTGTGTGTGTGTGTGCGCACATCAAAAGAAAAAGGAACATTTTATAAACAAGCTTGCCGTTCATTTATACATTCAAGATTAGGCACAACAGAAGTCAAAGCAGCAGTTTGATTCTTTTAATGCAGAGAGCCTCACTATGAGCCGGATGGTGATCCAAGGGGGGGGGGCGCTTACTGGTCACCTGCCCACAGTGGGCCAGTAAATTAAGTGGTTAGGTAGACAATGTGAGAGGATGCCTTAAAGCTGACTGCTTAAATTAGAGCAGTGTTCTTCAATCTTGGCAAGGTTTAAGATGTGCAGACTTTCAACTGGGCAGAATTCCCCAGCCAGCCTGGAGAATTCTGTTGAGCTGAGGTCCACACGTGGTTTTCTGGGGGATTCTGGGAGTTGAAGTCCGCCCCTCTTAAAAGTTGGTTAAGGTCGAGAAACCCTGGATGAGACCGACAGACACATATACACGCGCTCTCCCTGTCGGAACGTCGGACCCTGTATAAACTGGCTTTGTTTAAAAAATAGAGCTATTTACAGCAATAAGCTGAGCTTTTTGCCCTCTTGCCAAGGGTGGCTTGTTCCCGAGGTTTTGCATCCTGAATTGTGTCAGAAAGTTTGGAAAAACTGAAGCACCAGATAGGGCCAGGGGAACGCCCGGGAACTTGAGACCTTGGGCTCACCTGCTTTGCTGGGTGAGAGAGAAGATAAAATTTGAGATTTCAAATCAACAGGCAGCCTAATCGTGGGATTGGCCAACCGGTTGCAGGATGCTGTTGGGGTGGCCGATTCTGCTATAAAGCAGAAGGTAGGACAACCTCCAAGGAAGCCCGTGGCTGAACCCTTCTTGAGCAACTTTTGAGAAAAATGATAGTTGCGTTAAAATTTTATAATTTGCCACCACCTTCCCAATTCAGCCGTCAGGAAGTGAAAATTGCAAGAAGGAACGGGTGGAAGCTTGGTCAGAGTGAGATCAGCCTAGAAATAGGAATTTCCTGACAGAACAAGTCAGTGGAACAGCTGGTGGTTTTCCAGAAGAGATTGGACAGCCATTTGCCCAGTTTTGTTTTTTAAAGTTAAAATCAGGGCAACTGGACCAAAATATCTTTGGTCATTGACATATTTGTCCAGGGTTCCTGCTTTGGATAAGGGGTTGGACTAGAAAACTTCCAAGGCCCCTTCCAAGCCTATTTATTTATTTATGAGACTTATATACCGCTTTAAGTGCAAGCACTCTCTAAGCGGTGTACACCAGTAAGCAATGTATATATATATATATATAATATATATATATATATATATAATATATATATATATATATATAGATATAGATATAGATATATATCTATATATATATATATTGATTAGATATATATATATATATATTATATATATATATATATATATTTCCATTGCCCCCAACAATCTGGGTCCTCATCTTACCTACCCCGGAAGGATGGAAGGCTGAGTCAACCTTGATTTGATGATTCTATGGGATTAATTACAATTAAACAGATGTCATTTTTAAAAGGCAGTGGTGACGTCGGAAGATTAGGACAAGGTTGAAAAACATCCCAGCCGGAAGGAAAAAACCCATTGCACCGTGCCAGGCAGTACAGTGAGGTATCTTTTATTTGGCTATCATCTCGACAGCAAGTTCCATACTTTTCAAGTGAGGGGTTGAGCTGTTCCCTCTCCTGGGGTCTGTGATTACAAAAACGCGGTAAAGGCAACTTCAGTGTGGTTGTCGTGCCTAAAGCCTTCGTTTACGCTACCGAGCTGTGGCGTGCAAAGAGAAAGAAGGGTGTGCAATTTGATGGTGGGAACCTGCCAGATTTGGGGGGGGGGAGAACTTTGAGGCCCCTTCAAACGAAAGGGCTGGAGGTTTAGAAGAGAGAAAGAGAGAGAAAACACCCTGCACGCTTTACAATAAAAAAGTAGAAACTGATTTGATTGCTTTTTTTTTCTTTTTTACGAATATAAAGTTTCTTGTAAATATGTACAGTGTTTTGAGCTATTCTATAGCAGGAAGCATTTCACAAACAAGACACAAGAGATATACACTTTCAAGGGCTCGAGAAGCCGAGTTTTCAGGTAATGAGGGATAATCATTATTATTAGTAGTATCATTATCATTATTAATTAGTAAGGAGTTTTTTTTCCCCATGAGATGCAAAGACCTTAAAGAACTTTCGGGACTTCCGGAGATGGAAATCCGTGCACGTTTCCTGACAAAACCACCGGAGAATGCAATCAGCCTGACCCTGTTATCCACAACAGCCCCCACCCAATCCAAAGGGCATCGATGAAGCGGCAGAGATGGGGGCTTCTCCGTAGGGCGGCGCTGGGGGGGGGGGGCAAAGGAGCCAGCAGAGGCACAGTGGATTTGCTCTGGCCAGCTGGGAGCAAAAAAAAAAAAGAGAGCAAAAGCAAATTGCGGCCCAAATGGGGTGTTGTTTGAGCTCGGTGGGAGTCAAGAATGAGAAGCAAGATGGGGCTGTTGCTGGCAGGATAGCCACATTGCCCACATTCCTTCCCAAAGCAAAGGGGGCCTTTTCCTCTGGATGGCACGCAGGTCCCCCCCTTCTGTGACTTTCCTTGCTCCTTTGGGCCACAGGTTCAGCTTTCCTGCTCTCCCTTCTTTGGGGGAGGCGCTGGGGGGCTTCAAGATCCCAGGGGGCAAGGCGGCGTTTCCTCTGCTGGCCTCTTGCTCGGTGTGCCTGTGCCGGCTGGGGAATCTGCCCTGCCTGGTTCAGTTGCAGTGGGGGCCTCAAGAGCCGTCCCATCTCCTCCTCCTCCTCCTCCAGCGCCTTTCGTTTCCCCAGTTCCACAAGGATGGTTCTCGGGCTGCAGCATCGTCTCAAAAAGGCTTCGGTTATTTGAACACGGGAAAAATTACGGAGATACAATATCGAGCAAAGCAACTGAAAAAGAGGCTGCAGTCAAGATGATGGCGCAGGAAGCATGCAGGGAATCGCCATGCAGGAAGCCTGGGGGGGTGGAGGGAGGGCGGAGGCCTGGATGTGGGGTGTGTGTGTGAACGGGGCACTTGAGACCCCCACCCCCGGGAGACTTTTGACGCAGAGGGCGAGACCGCTGGACAATGTTTCGTAGATGGTCGAGGCATGTTGGGGGGGGGGAATTATTAAAATGACCTTCCTTCCCAGCAACCCGGCAGATCACAGAGCTGTGCCGACAGCTGCGTTGTTTTTTTTTTTGTTGTTGTTGTTGTTGTTTAAATTTTGGACTTGGAATGGTAAAATTTCCCCCCAAAAAAGTTCCGGGAAGCAACCGATGAACTCAGTCGCCTGACATTTTCGCTACAGCTCTGCAGCAGGAGAGAATGACACTGGGTGTAGACAGAGACACCGGACCGTCCCATCCCCGTCGGACGATCAACGGGGCAAGTAAAAGCGAAATAGAAAAATCGAAGGACTGCTTTGAAAGGAGCAGTCGTACAAAGTGCCCCCCCCCCGTTCCCCCCTCCCCAAAAGGGATGGGGGGGAAAAAAGAGAAAGGGGACCCCAGGGCAGGACAGGAAGGCGGAAGGGAAAATCCACTGGGACGCAAGCCGATCCTCGCAACGGACTTTTAGTCCTTCTGGATTAAATGTCATTGCCGGAATGAGTTTGGGCTCAGTAAGGGGTTACTTGGGGAAATGGGAGGTGCACCTAATTTTGGATATTTTTGTGTTCTTCCTGGAGTTCAGGGAGGGAGGGGGGAGGCTTGTGGCGCTTATACTGAAGATTGGTCCCAGACCTGTTGAGGAGAAAGCAAAAAAAGAGGCACTTTTAAGTTCAGGAGGGGGACCCTGTGTGCAAATGTCTAGAATTACAATCTCTCCTTTTTAGGGGATGAGATGGCTTAAATTCACTCCACCTTCTAGTAGGACAAGGTCACCTTTTAAAGCGGCGTTTCTCAACCTTGGCTATTTGAAGATGTTGAATGTCAGAATAACAGAGCTGGAAGGGACCTTGGAGGTCTTCTAGACCAACCCCCTGCTGAAGCAGGAGACCCTAAACCAGGGGTAGGCAACCTTGGCTCTTTTATGACTCGTGGACTTCAACTCTGGCTCAGGAATTCTGGGAGTTGAAGTCCATGAGTCATAAAAGAGCCAAGGTTGCCTACCCCTGCCCTAAACCATTTCAAACAAGTGGCTGTCCAATTTTTCTCGAAAACCTTCAACGATGGAGCACCCCACCACTTCTGGTGGCAAGCTGTTCCACTGGCGAATCGGTTCTCACTGTCAGGAAATTTCTTAGTTCTGAACTTCAACTCCCAGAATTCTCCAGCTTGCCAGCTCTCAGAATTCTGGGAACTGAAGTCCAAATATCTTATTGCTGCTAAGGTTGAGAAACACTGCTTGTAGAGAGTTAATGCCATTTTCAGGTGATTTTTTTTTTTAGATTTTTTTTTTACTTGCCTTTATCATTTTTTATAAAGCAGGTGGCAAACGTAGCTAATCCTGTTTTGCCCACAATAGCTCTGTGAAGTGGGCTGGGCTGAGAATGGGGGACTGGTCCAAAGTCACCCAGCTGGCTTTTATGCCTAAGGCAGAACTAGAACTCACCGTCTCCTGGTGATTGGCCCAAAGCCCCCCAGGTGGCTTTCGTGCCTAAGGCAGAACTAGAACTCACGGACTCCTGGTTTCTAGACTGGTATCTTAACCACTACACCAAACTGGCTTTCATTTTCCCCAATGGCCGGGGATGTAGAAGAACCATTTTCCCCTCACAGGTGGGGTGGGAGATTTGGGGCGTCCCCCTCCTGCCTTACTTACCTTGTTGACCTGGGCGAGGGGAGTCCGGGCGCCCCCCACTTGTATCCGTCCCCTGCTGCTCTCCTCAAACAGTCTCCCGGGGGACCTCTCTCGGCGGGTGCTGAGGACCCGTCCTGGAGATTTCTCCCTCTCCAGGGGACGCCCCGGAGACTTGTCCCTCCGGAGCTCGGTCCTTCCTTCCCGATAGCGATGCGGTGTGCTTGGCTCGCGAGGGTGGGCGGGACCTTCGGGAGGCCCTGGGCTCGAGGCGACCCGCTTGGTTATGTGCTCGTTATACGTGGGCGGTCCTCTCTTGTTTGGACTGCTGTCCGTCAAAAACAAAGGATTGGACAGCCAGGGACCAAAAACAAAAAAACAAAAACCCAGTTATATTGTGATTTGCAGCATGTGAGCAACCTAACTCTTTCCTTTGCTCAAGTTCTCAAGTTCCCTTGAGAACCAAGGAAGACAAAGCATACTCAAAGATGGGTACTTCACCGACCCCTGCCAATCAACCCTCCCATCCCCAGACAACCTGCCCATCCCCCCCCGTGCCCTTAGCTAGAAGGCCTCCTGGATTCTCCCTCCAAGCTGGAATGTCGCTTCCTACCTGCGGGTGGTTGAGGATCCTCGGTGGTGCTCGTTGTTGGATTCTTTCACCAAATTCCCTTTGCAGCAAATCACCCTCAATTTATCCTGATAGGAAGAGGCCAGGTAAATGGCTCCGGAGGAGATAGCCGGGCCCAGGTAACGAGGGCTCGGGATGTCCAGATGGGCCCGGGCCGGGATGCTGGGGGCCAGGGAGGAGAGAAAGACACTCTTTAGAGGGGGGCCAGGTCTGGTCCGAAAGCTTTTTAGGAGCACCCTGGCCCTTGCCGTCACCAAAGGCCACGGCTGACTTACCCAAGGGAAGCGCGTGCTTGGATTTCGATCACCTCCAGGGAATTGAAGTGGGTCACAAACAGGTACGGTTCCCGATAGGCTGTGGCAGAGCCCAGGAGAGAGAGAGGCCAGGTTAGAGAAAGTCACCGGGGACAGAACGTTTGCTATCCAACTCTGTTTTCGTTCAAAAAAAAATACCACTATGCATGCAGAGTGAGGAGATGAGAAATAAATCCAATACTCACCGAATGCCAAAGGCAGGCGACTCCATTTCAGGTCATCCGAGCGGCTGCGCCTTCCGTAGGAGTCTACAAAAATGCCAAATTCTGCAAGGGAATGGCAAATAAATAAATAAAATAAAAAAATCACTGAAGTGGGATAAAGAAAGAAATACTGTTTAACAGTCTGCCAAGAGTCCAGAAATTCAATTGTCCTTAACAAACCAGCGATTAGTAATTGCCAGTATGGGAAATTTCTTTCTTTTTCTTTTTTCTAGAAAGAGTGCAGAGAAGAGCAACAAAGATGATTAGGGGACTGGAGGCTAAATCATATGGAGAACAATCGCAGGAACTGGATGTGACTAGTTTAATGAAAAGAAGGACTGGGGGGGGGGAACATGGTTGCAGAGACAAATTCCAATTACACTTGACCAATAAAGGTATTCCATTCCACTCCACCTCATTCCATATATTCTATTCCATCCGATATATTCCATCCCATCCCATTCCACTCCATTCCATTTATTCTATTCCATTCCACTGCATTCCATTCCAAATATTCCACTCCATTCTATATTCTGTTCTGTTCTGTTCTATTCTATTCCTATTTCTATTCCACTCCATCCCATCCATCCCATTCCACGCCACTCCATTCTATTCCCATTTCATTCCATTCTTTCCCATACATTCCATTCCATTCCTATTTCCATGCCACTCCATTCCATTCTCTATAGTCCATTACACCGGCTCCCCCTTCATGTCCATCATCCCTCACGTCAACCTACCATGGAAGCAAAGCAGATACTCTTCCCTTTGCCCTGTTGGGTTCACCTGGATGATGTTGATTGGGAAACTATTGGTGGAGGATGCAAACACAGCGGACGCCAAGGTGTGGTCATTCTTATCCAGGAATTCTAAAACGACACATTTCAGTTTTAGCAAAAGCGGGACGTTGCCTGGCATCCCACATCGTTCTTTTCATCCAGGCTACCTTCTTGGCCTCTTATTAACCCACCATCTGCACCTAGGTAGCCCTTTGGCATGTGGAAGGAACTGTGGATCAGACATTTTCTTTTCCACCCACCAGGAAAACTCCCAAAAGGAATATATTTTTTAAAGATTCCATCCTGTGGCAGAGATCGGCAAGGTGAGTTTCCGTACGTATTTGTTTTTTTTTTTTTTTTCAAATCCAACTCCTCACAATCCTAGCCATCAAAGATCCAATAATGCAGAACGATGGGAGAGAGAATACCACAGTGTTTCTCAAGCTTGGCCACTTTAAGACAGGTGGACTTCAACTCCCAGAATTCCCCAGCCAGCCAACCACCTATGGAAAGCCGATATTGACCGCTGATCCATAGGAGCACAGCAGTGAATAAAGAATGGTTCAATTAGCCTCTGATTTCGAGTCGTTTTTGCTAGCGGTGGCTGTCCTACACTGATCTTTTGGCCAAGGGAGAAGCAATCTGCTATCTGAGCAGACTTCAGCATCTGAGACATGAGCTGGGCAGTCCCTTGCCTGCTAGATCTCTAATGCAGATCGTGGACTGACTCTCCATTCCCTTCTCTGTGAGCCCCTTGTGTCTCTAGCCCCACAAAAAAAAAAAAAAAACCTGCTCTCCTTTCCCTGACCAAACTTGATCAGGCATGAATCACAGAGATGGGTGTCCCTACCACCGCTACTCCCTCAACCGCCTTTAATGTCCCCCCTTATAAACAGGCGGACCAGAAGGGATTCCTACCTTCTAGGGTGTACTGCTTCATCTCAATTTCATAAAACTTATTTGTCCCCACGATGATGCTGTAATTGGTGAAATGGATACAGCCGCACGGCTCCGAAGTCTCGATCTCCTGCGAGCACAAAAAAAACAACAACGAAAGACTCAGGCTTGGCCCTTTTATGACTTGTGGACTTCAACTCCCAGACTTACACTTCAACCCTAACTGAAGCTAAGGAATTATAACGCAGATGTTCACGCTGCAGATAGGTTAAAGGGAAGGGCAGTGGGCAGACGTGGTCCCATTCAATTCATCTGATGGAGGAGCTACCAGACATCCCACCGGAGACACTTTTAGGCTTCTGTGGACCCAGAGGACGCTTTACCTTCCGGATGCAGAACTTGCTGAGGCTCTCGTTGTAACGTAGCACCACCACTTTGCTGGGCATGGCCGCACAGATGCACAGCCCGTTGTCAATCTGCAAAGGAACCCAACAGAAGCACCAGTTGGGAAAGAAGCTAGCCATACCGGGGATTGGATTCAATAAATGTGAGGCCACAGACCTAAGTAGCAGTCATTTGCTTATACGGAATGAAAGATAAACTGGTGGTCTTTGAGGGCCGGGCTTGCTTGCCTTCGTTCGTGTCCATGTATTCTTCTATGAATGACTGAGAACTTAAGAGGGTCTTGCTTACCTTGCCAGCTGCAAAAAGATGGCAGCCTTTCACGGCCTCAAAAATGTTGGGCGAGACGTCGGGTTGAGCCGGCAGGTGGGACTGAGCGAGGGACTGCTTCACTTTTTTCACGTCCACAAGGCACAACGCCCTTTCGTCTCCTGGGGAAACCACGCCACGGAAATATAGAATTCTTTACTGGCCAAGGGTGAGTGGGCACACACAACAAGGAATTTGTCCCTGGTACATAAGCTCTCAAGTGTACATGCAAGCAACGTGTGATGAATCACCATCATAATCATAAAATACAACCATCATAAGTCGTAAGATAACAAACTCAGGGATAGCCGTAGGATACTAAATAAAAGCAATCAACACAAATCATGAGATTACAAACAGGCATGAGTCCCAGGAGCAAGCATGATCAAAAGCAAGTTTCTAGCCCTCGTGGTTCAGATATATCTGAAAGTATTGTGTAAAGATTCAAACGCTCACGCCGGTTGACCTTGATTTGAAGCAGCAAGGGAGGCAAGCAGAGAGACGTTTTCTAGCGAAGAAGCTTGCAAGCCTAAAGCGAAAGGCAACGCTTCCTACTTCCTCACCTGCAATCATGAGCAGTTTCTCCAGATCCTTGATGAGGTGGATTTGAAAGACAGCACCGATCCCGGGGACGTGCGTTAAGGAATTCTTCAGCACATTCAGGGCATAGAGGCCTTCCTCAGCACCCACCAGGACCACCTGCCCAACAGGATTGACACACCCGTGTGTCAAAGGCAGAGAAAAGAGGCCACCAGGTTGCTCAAAAGGTAAACGCAAAACGCTTTGACATGACAAGGAAATTGGGACTGTTTTGACAAAGGCCTACGGGTAATCCTTGACTTACAACGGCTCATTTAGTGACTGTAGTTACCATGGCACTAAAAAAAAAAGTGACAAAGGACCGTTTGTCACGCTTATGACTGTTGCAGCATCCCGGGATCAAAGTTCACATCCTTGGCAACTGACTCATATTTATGACGGTTGCAGTGACCCCCTTCTGCGACCTTTTGGCAAGCAAAATCAAAGGGGAAGCTGGATCTATTTAACCATCATGTTACTAATTTAACAAGCGTCGCGATTCATTTAACAAAGGGGGCAAGATGGGGGCAAAAACATGTTGAACCAATGTCTCGCTTAATGACATCAATTTTGGGCTCCTCCGTGGTTGTAAGTCAAGAACTCTCTGCACTTACAATCTGAGTCCATTTTAATGTTGGCATTCATTATTCTAACATTTTTCTCGTTACCTTGGCTGGGCTGGAAGTCGCCCGTCGGCCGGATGGGAGGCAGACCGATCGAACGCGTCAACAAATTTGCCCAGCCGTTCAAAACCGAAATGGACTTTTCTGCGCAGGAGCCACCAAAGCTTCTGCGGCCATTCAAGGTGAGGTGAAGCCGGAGAGCCCTTACCTGATCGCTGAAGGGTAAAGTGCAGTTGATATCCAAGCGGTCTTCTCCTTCCAGCTTCAGGAGAGAATTCCCGAGGAGTTTCTGTGCAGGAAGACAGAAGAGGAAGTGGGGAGAAGGGAACAGATCACTTCAGAGGCTTGTCCTGATTAGAACGTGAATAACCCTTGATTCACAGTCCTCCGTTGGGTTGAAGGTACAACTGAGGTGGGCAGGAAATAGTTCAATATATCTATATCTTAATAGGAATGCTTGTTGCTGATAATAGTTAATAGATAATATTAAGTTTGGCTGTGAAATGTAACCTAAATCATATAACCTGTGTGTCATAATTATAGAGATGTGTTCATGCTATGTAGAAACCATTTTACAAGAAGTGTCAGTGTCAACTAAAAGTCACAGATGTTGTAAGATAGCACCCGTGCAGAAAGGTGTGGTAAGACAACCGTTTGTGTGAACTTCTCCTTTTTCCTTGTGTAGCCTCAAGATATAAACTTCTCTGTTTTAGTGTGTTAAAGGTAGATAAGAAGTCATCTATTAGGTTAAGTGTGGGCGGCAAGCTGTATAAAAGTGACACCCTCAGAGTAACTCAGGGTTCAGAATTTGTCATGTGAATGCTCTGAACCATTGTGCACAAATAAAGCCTGTTTTCTCCAACCCCTTCGTGGTCTTGTCTTCTGATGTAAGTATCGTGGTTTTTTCCACAACACAACGGCACTGGAAAAAAACTGGCTTATGATAAAGGTCATAAAATGGGGGCAAAACTCACTGAAGCACCAGTTTTCCAACGAGATCCATCGCAGTTAATCAAAGTCACTCTAATCGCATTTCTTTAAAGCCTGCCTGAGCTCTTATTTATTAGAGTGCACTTACGTGCCTTAACGGAGCTTTTTCTGCATCAGGCATTCGGGAACAGGAATCCTGATTGCATTTTTCGCCCCCCCCCCCCCCCCTTTTTGTTTCGGAGATTAAAGTCATCAGTGGGGAAGTGAATCTGAGCCAAAGGTTTTCGTTTAAGAAATCGCTCCTGGCCGAGCCAATCAAGGACCGGAGGTTTTTGCAAAGAGAGTCCACTCTCCGATTAAAAGTTTGACCTGACGATGTTTTTTTCTGTGCAAAAGAAGGGATCTGCCTCTGTTGTAAATACCCCTTCCAAGAGGGACAGACTGGCTTGGGAGAATCCAGGTTTGCCTCACCCTCTTGGAGCGGGAAAAGAAAGATGGGGTGGGCAACCATCTCTGCTTTGGCTAAGAGTCATCTTTTCCCCCTGTATTTCTTGAAAAGGCTTCTTCTTCTCTCTCCTTTTTTTTCCTTTCTCTCTCCCTCTTCTTTCCTTCCTCCTTCCCTCCCTTCCTCTTCTCCCCCTTCTTTCCCTTCCTCCCTCCTCCCTCTTTCTCTTATTTTTTTATTGTCTCTCCCTCTTTTTTCCTCTCCGTCCCTCCCTCTCTCCCTTCCTTCCTTTTCTCCTTTCCTCTACTTACAGCATCAGCCTCTGCCTTTTCTCTGGAAACTCTTCCTCCAGCCACCGTAGATTCCAGGGCATTCACCCAACGCTGCTTATCCGGAAAGGTGGGCGTGAGCAAATAGAGAGTCCGGCCAGGCCAACAGGTGGTGTGAGGATGGGATTCCAGCTTCAATATATAGGGCACATCTAGGTGGTCACCAAGCAGGACATAAAAGAGACACGCTGCATTAGGGAAGAACCAGCCCTCTTTTGCTGGCTCCTTTCTCCGCTGGTACAGCAGAAGCACACCAAACAAGTGGAGCACCCACAAGCTCTGAAGGCCAGTCGTTCCACGGATGAATTGTTTTAACTGTCAGACAATCCCCTCCTTAATTCTTGTCCTGCCTTCTGGTGCTTTGGAGAATAGGCTGACTGCCTCTTCTTTGGGGCAGCCCCTCAAATATTGGAAGGCTGCTAACATGTCACCTAGTCCTTCTCTTCATTAAACTAACATCCCCAATTCCCTTCCTTACATGTTTTAGTCTCCAGACCCCTAATCCTCTTTCTTGCTCTTCTCTGCACTCTTTCCAGAGTCCCAAACCACTTTTGGTCACGGGTTTTTCTCTCTCTCCATTTAAGATCCTCCTCTTTATTCTCTACCACTTTTCAGACCATCCTTGGGAGAAAGCCACAGATCTTCCTGTCCTCCAGCCAGCTTCGGCAGCCCTGGAATTTGGATCCAGCCTCACCTGTCTTGGCTGTATTGAGAAGCTCTGTCGCTCCCACGGCCCCGTGGACGGTCACGTCTCCATCTGGAAGGCACAATTCAAACTCTTCCACGGGCCGTTGTCCAGCTTTGAAAATGAATAAAAAAAGGGGAGAAATGAAAGGGCAAAGGAAGCGTAATGAGCAGAGGGTCTTCACCCCCTTCAGACTTCAATTCTTCAGGTCACTCGGAAAAGCGCTGGCTCAAAGCTCAGGTGTGGCGTCGCTGCAGGAAAGAGCCAGCCAGTTAAGGACATTAGCAACAGCAGCGGCGTTAGTAACACGGTTTGTTAATTTGCATCTGGCTTGCCCCATTGACTTTGCTCGTCAGCGGGTCACAAAATATGACAACATGATTCCGGATCAAATGGGACAATCCCCCACGGTCAACTCGCCACCGGAAAATTCAATTGAACTATTTAAAATAGTTTTAAAAATGTTTCCATTTTTTTTGTCATTCGCATTTCATTTGGCATCCTTCCTTTCATGATTCTATTCCACTATTTCCCTGATATTAGTATAATGCTTGTCCCCCTTGCGGCAAGGGGTCGTAGACACGATCCCAGGACACTGCAGCTGTCGTAAACACGAGTCAGTTGCCAAGCGTCTGAATTTTGATCCCATGACCACGGGGAGGCTGCAAAGGGTTGCAAGTGTAAAAAAAAGGTCCATTTTTCCGGTGCCATTGGTAACGTCAAACCGTCACTAAGTGAGCTGTTGTAAGCCAAGGAACTGTCTGTATTTCACCCATGCTCTGCTTTTGGGATGCAACAAAAATCAGCAGGGATGGCATCCACAATTCCTCCAGAGAGTTTTTCCCCCTCCCTCCACCAAGCTGAAGGAGTTACATTGGACATAGTCGACGGTGATTCCTTGGCGACCGAGTCCAAGTTAAAGCAAAATAATGCAAATAATAAAAGAAAGGAAAATAGTGCAAAATAAAAGCAGATCCCACCTTTCCACCAGGGATCCTGTTCCTTCCCCACCCAGCTCTTCATCATATGGCTATGTTTCCATTCCTTGTTTTTATTGTTTTATTCTCGTTAGATATACATTTTTTTTATAATTTTTGGTTTTTATGGTTGTAAGCCGCTCAGAGTAAGCCCACGGGTGGCAACTGGATTCAATAAATAAATAATACGGGAACGGTCCCAGGTGAAAACGTTTTGAATACCGTGTTTCCCCAAAATAAGATCCAACTAGAAAATAAGCCCTGGCATGATTTTGTCAGGATGCTCGTAATATCAGCCCCTTCCCCCAAATAAGCCCCAGTTAAGATGGTCACCCAGATGGATGTATTTAGCATCGTCTTTCCCTGAATATAAGACCTAATTGGAAAAATAAGTCCTAATGAGTCTTTTGGAGCAAAAATTAATATAAGACCTGGTCTTATTTTCAAAGAAACACGGGTAGTAAAATCCTACAGTTATAGGGGGGAAGCTTGTTAGTTTAAAGCAGGGGTCTCCAATCTTGGCAACTTGACGACGGGTGGACTTCAGCTCCCAGAATTCCTCAGCCATCCATGCTGCTGAGGAATTCTGGGAACTGAAGTCCATCCACTCTGGGAACTGAAGTCCACCCATTCTGCTGTTTGGCCAAAAACAAAAGCATATCCAGAAGGATTCCTGTAGCATCTCTTTCAAACCCACCAACTTGATTAAGTGCCAGAAACCTTCCTGAATTGCAGTTAGTTTGCTGGAAAAGATGCCACTTATCATAGAAAAGGATTTTCCGCTTCCCCAAAGTAAGAGGCGGATGGAGGGCTGCGGCAGGGAACACAGGAAAGCTCGGGATGGAGATGGAAAAAAAAAAAAAAGAATTACCTTCTCTCGTTTCCGTGTCGTAAACAAGGACTTTAGTTCCTTCTAGAACTACATACTTCCTATCCCAGCCCTGCTGGCCTCGTTTATTATTCCTGAAAGCAGAGAAGGACAAGGCTTGGTGAGAAGTTCTGAGAGGTTCCGGATCAAGCGGGAAGTTGGACGAGGCTCCAAAAAAAAAAAAAAAAAAAAAGTCACCGAGAGCAAACAGCGTCCGCGGCTTCCGCCATGGCCCTCCAGAGCTGCTCTTCCTTTCGGCAGTCTCAAAGCTGGGCTGGCATTTTTCAAGGCAGAGACTCACGTTTGTACCTGGGCACCTTCATCCATCCTTCCAGCCGTAAGGCGCTGCCTGGGTCTTTCAGCTGCACGCCTGGAGAATTCAATTTGTCCCGGCAGAAGGCTTCGGAGAAGTGCGTGGCGTACTCAGCTGGCAAGCCACAAGTGGCCGGCAAGCAGGCGGAACACTTGGGATGGCACATCATCTGGCATTCTAAAAAAAAAAAAAAAGTGGTGGAAAAGGAGAGGGGAGGAAGAAGAGGAATCAACCACCTAGGATCAGCCAGTCTTCAGCTGACACAATATAGATGCGCTCTTCAAACCCACAAATGCACTAAGGCAGGTGCCTGTCCACCCCAAGGATAACTGAGCCCCGCGGTATATGCAGTACGATGCAGGGAGACACGTGCAGATCTGCCCGTTGGGGAAACAAAACAACCACTTGGTAAACGCAAGGCACAACACGGGGGAACGAGCCCATCGGGGACAAGATTCGGCAGCCCATCTGCATTGGAAAGACCTCCGCCAAAAGGCCGCTTTCCCGAGAAAAGCACCTCTGGATCACCTGCTCGGTCAGCCCTCTTCGGCTGGCCCATCCTGCTTACCCAGACATTTCGAAGCCTGACGTCCAAAGTGCACAGTGTCTAAGCAAACGGCACATTTGGTAGCTCTCATGTTTAGCCCCACGTTGAAGCGGTGAGGGATATTGTGATGCATCCGTTCTTTAAGGCGCCGATTAAACTCTAGGGTAAAGAGCACAACTTTATTAGTTGGGAAACCACACGAAGGACCAGCTTGCATGAAAAGGTACACACGATGCTAAAACCTCCCTCCCTCCCTCATCTTTTTACCTGTCTGTCTGTCTGTCTGTCTCCTATCTATCTATGTCTATCTATCTTATCTATCTTATCTATTTATATCTATCTATCTATCTATCTATCTATCTATCTATCTATCTATCTATCTATCTATCTATCTATTTATCTATCTTTCTATATCTATTTATATCATTCTATCTATCTATCTATCTATCTATCTATCTATCTATCTATCTATCTATCTATCTATCTATCACCACACTTCTGCACCGCCCCTCCCACTTCTGTGAATCTACTAGCGCTGTCTTTAGAGCAGAATGTCTTCCAGCCCAGCCAAATGACGTCACAGCTAAAATGGCTTGCCAGCTTTTAAAGAAACTGAGTGATCTACATTATTTCTTCAAGACCTTTATAGGATCCTAAACTCCAAACTGTGTGGTCCTTGGGGCTCTTTGAGCTTGCAGGCGTTTCTTTACCAAAAGAGGTCACATCATCAGTTCTAGAAGGGAGGGGAGTTTGAAGCAAGTATCTAATGCAGCATCTACCACCGATGATGTTACCTGGTTTGGCAATGAAATGTGGGTCAGGTGGCCGGCATAGCTATATGCCGAGGAGCACGGAACACTGTTGCCTTCTTCAGCATGAGGAAAATCTACTCTGGGTGGCTCGGAATGGCACGTCACATTCTGGGGCCACTTTTTAAAGCAGCTATGTCTTTTCCTCTGAGACTGCCAGGAGATCCTGAGAAAATACAGGGCTGCCTTAAAAAAAATCGCAGAAGGGCCTATCCAGCCTGGTTTTCTAACAGGGTTTGGGAAAGCCAACACAGGCAAATCGGAAATTTGAGAAATAATTGGTAAATAAAGGTGTTTATTGGGGGGGGGGGGAAACCTTCTGTAAAGGAGGTGTGATTCAAGAACAGCGGGGCTGAAACAATGCTGCCGTCTGGCAGCGGATGCAAAATTTAGTGAGAGAGTTGGTTAATATGCAGATATTGTTCAAATTTGGGGAACTCTGGAATTAAACATTGTGGACCTGCCGGTTAGTAATTTAGCACCTATGGAAAAGAAAATCGTGATAATTAGTATTTACGCAGAGCTCTGAGAGTTCGTATAATTATCTCAGTGATGGTTACAATCCTGTTAAGATAAGCCACCATTAGTTCCCAACAGGGCTTTTCAGAAAAACCATACAACAAAATCGTAACTCGAGAGACTGAAAACTGGGGAGGGGGGGGTCTCCCCTTCACATTCCTGGGCAGGACAGAACAAAAAAGTCTTGGTCACGTGACCGAACCACATGGACAGATAGGGGAGTCAAAGACAAGCCGTAAGTTGGGACACTCATAACACGACGACACCCAAATCCTACAGGAAACAGGGAGAAATCACACAGAGGAAAAGACCACTTGCTGAGGGCGCAGGGATTCTCGTCCAACTACGCTACGTGATTTTTTTGAGATCCAGCATGATGGGCTTGGAATCCACGGAGGGGAGAGGAGCTGAAGTCCTTGGATCCTGCTCAAAGACTTGCTGGAACTAGTTGCAATTCGGACCCTAACTGGGCTTTGAGACTCATTCCAGTCTGCAGTAGTTTCATCTCTGCCAGGAGACCGTCGGTATTCCTAGTTCCACCTGCTCTCAATCCCCTTTTTCAAGCCACCTTTAGGGACCAGCTAAGCTACCATTTGTTTAGACTACAGGCCAGGGGTGCTCAGCCTTGGCAGCTTTAAGACGTGTGGACTTCAACTCCCAGAATTCCCCGGCCAGCCGTGCCTTCTCTAAACCCTTTCCAGCTTCTCTGAATCCTCCTCAAAGCAGGCTTTGTCAAGGAAGGTAGTGAAATGGGGCAGAACCCACTTAACAACCGTCTCTCTTAGCAACGGTGGCAAGTGGAGGACTATCTGTATTCTAGGAACCTTACGATTCGCCTGGCTTTGGGCTGTCGCTTTTGGCTGTCGCCCGTTTCTCGCTTGGCGCTAATTAAGAAAGCCGGGCACCATATGCAGTTGGGTGTGTGTGTGTGTGTCTCTGGGTCTCCCCTCCAGAAGCCCACCCCCCAAGCCTTACCCTCAGGCGTGGAGGCCTCCTTTCTGCGGCTGGAGGGAGGTGCCAGCAGGCTGATGGGCGTGGGCTGGTGTTCTGGTGACCGAACTAGGGCAGACATGATGATCTGCTGCCTGGCTGTGGCTGGCGTGGAAGGGTGAGGGTGGTCTGTAATTTTCCTATGGGCAGCTACGGACACACACAAATAGTTAGTTAACGCCTCTGCCGAGCGGGACCAGGAAGAAGAAGAGGAGGAGGAGGAGGAAGAGGAGGAGCATCAGCATCAGCATCAAAAGCGGTTCTACGGAACCTTAAGAATTACAGCCTGCAGCCTTGTGTTTTGCTTTTTTTTTTATTAGTCTGGACTGTCAACACCGACGAGGGGTGGCAGGAAAGAGAGGGAGAAGAGAGAGAGAGAGAGAGAGAGAGAGAGAGAGAGAGAGAGAGAGAGAGAGAGAGAGAGAAAAACGAAGACATAAAGGACGAGAGACGGGGGCGCTCGGGACTCCAAAGGGAAAACAAAAGACCCCTTCCATTTTGGCGGCAACTGTTCAGCGTTCCCCCTACCTTCCTCCCGAGCGGATCGGAGCTCGATGCGGGTTTTCTGCAGGGCTTCCTCCAGCTCCGCCGAGCGGGCCTTCTCCTTCTCCAAGGCCACCTTCAGCTCATTGTACTGCAGAGGAACCTGTGAGGGCAAAGAAGGGTCCTCTTTCCGTCGACTAAACAGGCCCTAGCAACAGAAACACACAGACAGCTCCTAACTCCTAGTCGGTGACGGTTGCCTCCAGGGGAAGGGGACGCTCGCTAGCTAAGGGCAGACCAGAGGGTCCGGCGGCCTCCTCGTCTCAGCCAAGGGAGGAGCTGGGCAATGGCCAGTCAAAGCTTTCCTCCTCCTCCTCCCCGCTCCCTTCGCATACTGATGATGTTACCTAGTAGGGTAATAAAACGCCTACCAGCCAGCCACCAAGCTCGGAGAGCATCAAGGACCCCCAGTCCTTTTCCTCTCCTCCTCCTCCTGTGAGTTGAGGACTATCTGCATAGGGTCTCCTGCCTGAGCAGGGGACTGGACTAAAAGACCTCCAGGGTCTCTTCCGGTTCTGTTGTTATTATGAAAGCCCTAAGGCTGCTAGCCAAGGGATCAATGCATCCGTGGGTTTTCCTAGGCATGGTTAGCCAAGCTTGACTTGATGGCTGACGATGGCCTTCTGGCCCTGTCTAGCTGGGAAAACACGGCAGCCAAGCGCTTAACAAACTCGCAATAAAGCTTGGCTTTCTTTGGCGGCCTCGTGGGTGGAAGAGAGTTTGGCTGTGTCTGCCCATCAAGTGAAACTTGAGTAATTGGAAGGCAGTCCCTCGGCCTGGTGGGTGGCTGGCTGAGCCGGTGGGTGGGCAGAAATGCCCTTGTATAGAAATAGACGCCACAAGGAATAGCAATAGCACTTAAGACTTATATGCCCCTTCACAGTGCTTTACATCCCTCTCGGAATGCTTTTACAGAGTCAGCCTCTTGCCCCCCCCCCAATAATCCAGGTCCTCGTTTTACCGACTTTGGAAGGAAAGAAGGCTGAGTCAACCTTGAGCCGTCAGAATCGAACTGCTGGCTGTGGGCAGAGTCAGCCTGCAATGCTGCCTTCCAACCACGGTTCCTGCCTCCCCACTGCTGTCTGATGCCAATAAAAAAAGCCACCTCAGGGCCGTAAACCAAGGGGTCCCAACTGTTGCGAACAGTTCGATTTTATGGCGGAAATTGTTTCGCTACACCTTTCCACTTAACAACAGGAAACATCTGCCCTTTTCCCAGCTGATTCAGCATAGATCTGAATGCCCAGCTATTAACCCTCTAATTCTGCCTTTATAACATTTTCCCGGGGGGGGGGGCATCTTTGTCCTTTAATAACACACACTACAACTACAGGCCAGGGTCCAAAGGAGGAACTTAAGGAACTTGGAGGAGTTTGGGGCATCTTAAAAGTCCTCTTCATCTCCCAATCTTAGAATTTCGGACAGAAAACCACCTGCCTCCTGCCTGCTAGTTAATCTTTGTGTTCATTTATTTGCCCCACCTTTTTTTTCTTGGCTGGCTGATCCATCTTTGCTTGCAGGAAGTCTATAAGCTTGGTTTGTTGGGAAATAGTGCCTTCCATTTTCACTTTTTCGTGGGAATAGAGGACCTTTGCGACACGAAAAAGTTGGGGAGAAAAAAAAAAGACCCAGGAATCACCACAGGCGTGCAAATAACCCCAGGCGAAAGGCAAAATCTGTAACATTATTTTCAGCCGGGCCACGCTTTTCCCCTCACCTGAATATTTTCCAGCTGGTATTCCAAGTCGCTCCTTTCGGTCTTCAAAAGATCAGCCCGGTCCAAAGCCTCTTGCAGGCCTTGAGTCAGCCGAAAGATGTGATTTTTCTGCAAATCCATCTGCTGCTGCAATTTGGCTTGCTGGGAAGGAGACAAAACCCAGCATGGCAATTATAAAATATTCAGAGGGAGGGAGGATTAAGAGAAAGACAGAAAGAAGAAGAATTGAAGGAGATAAAGAGGAAGGAAGGAAGGAAGGAAGGAAGGAAGGAAGGAAGGAAGGAAGGAAGGAAGGAAGGAAGGAAGGAAGGAAGGAAGGAAGGAAGGAAGGAAGGAGCCATATTTTGGGGTTATGTCAAAATTTAAACTAATGTTTCTCAACTTCAGCAACTTTAAGATGTACAGACTTCTATCCCCTCGTTAGCAGGGAATGAAAGGCTGCACATCTTAAAGTTGACCATTTGAAAACCACTGATTTAAACCAAGCTTGTAAGATAACATCTGGAGGAACCTACTCAGAAGGAAACAAAGCCAACAGTTTCGACGGTCTAAGCCACGGGTCTTCAAACTTGGCCCTTGTATGACTTGTGGACTTCAACTCCCAGAATTCCTCAGCCAGGCACGTGTGTCTGGCTGAGGAATTCTGGGAGTTGAAGTCCACAAGTCATACAAGGGCCAAGTTTGAAGACCCCTGGTCTAAGCAGTGACCCCTGCTGAGAATTCTAACTATTTGGGATCCAGAAATTTCCAGAACCGGCCACTGCAATCTCGCTGGGAAGGAGTCACAGCTATCACGCCACCAAGTCCAAATTGTAATGTTTGCCAGTTTCTATCTCCCAGAAAGGGCTCACAGACTTCCATTAGGGAGCAGAGATCAGGGACTACCTCTTCCAGAAGCCTCTGTTTGAGTTCGCGTTCCGTTTCAAGCTTCTGCTGCAAGCTCCGGGCGTTCATCTCCAGCATGGCGTGCTTCTTCTCCAAGTCGTTGAGCTGAACAGGACAGGGAAGTGGGCAGGTTCAACGGACGCAGGCGTGAAATGCCCCACTTGGCAATCGTTCTGAATCTACTCAGCCCTCCGATTCCCTTCCCCCTTTCTAAACCTCTGTACAGGCAGTCCTTGACTGACAACAATCCATTGAGTGACCATTTAAAGGTACAACGGCACTGAAAAATAGCAATAAACCTAGTGCTTAGACTTATATACCGCTTCACAACGCGTTACAGCCCCTCTCTAAGCGGTTTACAGAGTTAGCCTCTTGCCCACAACAATCTGGGTCCTCATTTTACCGACCTCGGAAGGAGGGAAGGCTGAGTCAACCTTGAGATGGTCAGGATTGAACTCCTGGCAGTGGGCAGAGTTTGCCACCAATTCTGCATTCTGACCACTGCGCCACCACAGCTCCTATCTATTGTCTGTCTGTCTGTCTGTCTGTCTATCTATCTATCTATCTATCTATCTATCTATCTATCTATCTATCTATCTATCTATCTATCTATCTATCACATAAGCAATAGCACTTAGACTTATATGCCGCTTCACGGTGCTTTACAACCCTCTAAGCGGTTTACAGAGTCAGCATATTTGTCCCCCAACAATCTGGGTCCTCATTTTACCAATCTTGGAAGCTTGTAAGTCAGGGGTCCCCAACCCCTGGTCCGTGGACTGGTACTGATCCGTGGCATGCCAGCAACCGGTCCACACAAACAAGCAAAGCCCCATCCATGAGATGCAGGCAGCACACAAAACCACGCACTCTCCGATCTGTGGAAAAACCTTTCTCCATGGAACTGGTCCCGGGTGCCCCAAAGGCTGGGGACCTCTGTTGTAAGTCAAGGACTCTCTGTATAGCATTTTAAGCGACCAACCTTGTCGGACAGACTCTCAGCTTTGAGTTTCTGTTCCTTTAATGCTTGCTGGAGAGCCAAGATCTCTGCTTTATGTTCTTTCACGGCGAGCTCCACCACTTGGCGGGATTCCGTGATACGCTGGTCGGCCCGCACCCTGTATGAAAGGGAATGAAGTCCCGGATTTACACCACTCGTGGGGTCTGTTTCCCTTCCAGGATGGATGGGAACAATAGGAAAGGAGCTTTCAGACGACCAATCCCTTTCTTTCGAAGGCCAGAAGGCCACCATCCAGTGCTTCTTCCTAGATTTCACACATCTTATCCGCTCCTGCTCTGCTGAGCGAGAACCAAGTTGGCACAGCGAGAATCCGGAAAAAAAACCAATGCCAGATGGTGGCGGTATAAGAGGGTTGCTGGCAAATAATCAATCTCTGTTTCCCAACGTCAGGCTCTTGCATAAAGCTCTGTATATAGCCTATATGTTAATCAAGAGCCCAAGAATAAACAGGTTTAGAAAACAGGAACAGCTCAGCTTCCTGAAATTCTTTCAACCTTTCCACGGTCAACTCTCCATGTTTCCTTCCTGAAAAAGGGTCAGGGAAAAAAATTCTGCTGCAAGAAAACAAGCAAGCTCAGAGAGTACCAGGGACCCCACATTTCAACCCTGAGCTTCAAAGATTCTCCTTTGCTGAAGCCTGAAATTCCCTGTTCTTTCAAGGTTCCTGTCGATTTTAGTACAAAACCTGTTTTTCAACCCCCTTCTTTTTTTTCTTCTTCACCATTTTACATGCACACAAAACCCAAGCCGAAGAGAGCTCGTTACCTGCTCTGCTTCTCCGTATCCAACATCCTCTGGAGTTCCCGCACCCGGCACTCAAACTGGGTCTTCTCATCCCCCAGAACACTCCTCCACGCCTCCCACTGACGCTCCTTCTCCAAGAGTTCGTCGTTCAGGGCCTCCAGATCCATCACTTGCTCCTCCAGCATGGTACAGGTGGTCTTTAAGGCCTCCATGGTCTATAAATAAATCCCCAGCCAAGTTGTTTTTTTGTCCCCTGATGTTCAGCTCAAGAGCATAATTGTGGTCTAAAATAAAGCTCCTTTACATTCCTTATGAAGAGGTTCTTAACATTTACTGAACCTCTTCGAGGATAAATCAAGAAGATAGTGAACAATGTTCCAGAATAATGACACCAAATGAAGTCTACTCGGAATGGGCTGAGGTCAAGGTGAACTAGATGCCTGTGAGGTCAAGGTGAACTAGATGCCTGTGAAGAGGGCTTGTCAATTCATGGCTGGGTCAGAATTACCCAAGGGGTGTTCCTTGGGACCGGGCGTCTACGTTGACCACACAAGGACTTTGTGGTGCAAAACTCTAACATCTCTCTTGATGGTCTAAGCAGATTTTATCCATTCTATGTTCTTTAATTAAACCCGGCAAAGCAATTCTTAGCTTTTTGTTTCTCCACCAGCAATCAACACCCAGAGGAGCACAGATTAACTCCAAGTTAACAACAGACCGACAATCAAATAAGCAATACCCCAGTCAAGGGACCGTCCAAGAAGCCAAGGGCAAACAGCCCAGTCAAAGAATCTCTAAGACAGGGGTCTTCAAACTTGGCCCTTTGATGACTGGTGGACTTCAACTCCCAGAATTCCTCAGCCAGCATGGCATGAGGAATTCTGGGAGTTGAAGTCCACCAGTCATCAAAGGGCCAAGTTTGAAGACCCCTGCTCTAAGATCACCCCAGGACAAGCCACTAGAATATAAACTGAGAACGAACCTCACTCCTTATTAGCACTCATGTTACCTAGTTTGGGTAATGAAACATCTGCAAGAAAACAACCAAGCTCAGAGACCACCAAGACCCCTCATTTTTGCTTCTGTTACCCAGATGTGATGGCACAGTTCTGGATGATAGATATTAGATAGGAGAGAATAACAGCATTAGAAGAGTGTGAGACAGGGACTCCAAGGTCATAAAAATGGGGAAGAATTAACTATATGCAGTGATTTAGACTGCCTGCTCTTGGACCAAGTCTTCTTCAATATGTATATGCAAGTTAATCTGCTGGTTGAAGAAGAGTCTATAAAAGCTGGTCTTGGTAGACTTAAACTGGGAGAACTTACTTGCTTTTGACTGGTGAGCTGCATCTCCCGTTCCGTTATCTCGCGGCGAAGATGGTCAACCTCACTTCGCAGCTGAACCACCTCGTTGTTTGCCCCTGAAGCTTCGTCCAGCTGCTTGGAGAGGAAGAAATTCTGGTTGTTCAGCTCAGCGTTATCCTCAGTTAGCTGGTTCAGCTGCTCTTCTAGGTCCGTAATCACCTAAATAAATAAATAAAAAAAAGAATAACATGCTGGGAAGGTGGGGGAAAAAAATCTAAGAAATAGGCTGAACGTAAGCCGAGCCTTCTGACAGCCAACTTCCAAACTTGATCGAATGGCGTTCTGGAAGTTTATCATGCAGCCTTGCAAAATGGCACATGCTGAGTTGCAGAGTGGAGAGGCCAGCCCCGTGCCCGCGTTGAAGACCTGCTGTTCTTTTAATTGCTCGCTGTAAGATGGCACCTCAACATCAGAGTTTACTTTCCACCCTACGACCTCAGTTGGAAGGGTTATTGATTTATTTATGAGACTTATATACCACTCTCTAAGTGGTGTACACCAGTAAGCAATGTATATATATATATTTTACATTGCCCCCAACAATCTGGGTCCTCATTTTACCTACCTCGGAAGGATGGAAGGCTGAGTCAACCTTGAACCGGTGAGATTTGAACCACTGACCTGCTGAATACAGTCAGCTAAAGTGGCCTGCAGTACTGCACTCTAACTGCTGCGCCACCTCGGCTCAATAGCAATAGCAACGAGCAACTGGTATCCCGCAGGGGGGGGGGTCTCGCCAGATCTACAGATGTTCAAAGGACAGCAGAAGCAAAAATGGATTTATCTTCCCCAACCTGGTGTTATCCTCACCGTGGACAACGGAGGCTAACTTCCCTAAGAGGGACGCTGATGACTTGCGCAGAGCCCTTTGAAGAGAGGCCAATGAGCGCTTTGAAATTACTTCAACAAGAGAGGAATGCCAGGGGGTTGCCTCTCCCATTTAGGGCAGGCTGGATTCTGTGGTCAGTTAGAAACCTGGGTGTCAAACGTGACGAGTGTCTGCCAGGGGGAAAGCTAAGATAAGCAGTTCAATGAGAGGCAGGGAAGAACAAGGCAACCAACTTTTATGAAAAGAAAGAAAGCTGGTGTCCATTAAAGCAGAATGGGGGTGAAGATGGACCCCTCGGACTGCCCACCCCAGATGTTTGGAATCCTGCTGTCCGCGTGGATAGACAACCTGTCAGATAATGGAGGCCAACGACTCCACAAAGTCACATTTCTGGAGCACAAAACCCACAATTCCTGGAGGAGACGTTCAACTGAATATAGAGTCACCTTCCAGACAATGCTTGACAGAGTCAACCAATAACCAAACCACTTTCTCAAAAGTTGTCCTAGCGCAAACAACTTGCACTCACAGTTGGGACTCCCAACCAATGGCAACTTCTCCCTTTTCTTCCTGGCAACCGAGGAAGAATTGACAGAGAAAAAAAATGCGTTGTGAATAGGAATCAATGCCAATGTCATCAAGCTAATTAAAAAAACCAACATCCTGACAACGTGGGTCCCGTGCTCAGATGTTGTCAACCTAAAGAGCATCGTCTCTTGGTGCATTGGATCTAGAGGGTTCCATATTTGGAAACCATTATATTTCCTTGGTTCAGCTACATGGGGAGGGGGACAGGGGAGGAGATGGACCCTTTCTCATTCTTTTATAAGTATATAAAGCTGACAACATCTCCTAACAGGTGGTTGAAATAAATATGAAGATAGACCACAAGGGAACAGCAAGGCGGCCACCTTCAAGCTTGAAGTTTTGAGAACTTCCTAATCCATTTGAACTGAAGGATCTGTGAAAGCAGGGTATGGGATAGCACAAAGAGGTCCTTTGCTCCAGGAACAATTTTTGTTTTCAACGCACTGGGAAAAACTTTTCAGATTTGTATTAAGAAGCAGAGAAAGTACTCGCTTGAGGTTTCTGTCTTTCTTTTTCCTTTCTAGAAGATAAAAATCAACATTTATGGACATTCCCCTCTCCCCCCCCCACTCTTCCCAGATTTACAGCTAATGCCAATATCTTGAAATTTATCAGATGGGTAGACTGAAAAATTCTTCTCTCCTGGATGTTGGGGATCGATTTACAGACTGACATTATAATTCTGAAATAAACAAATAAAATAAAATTGAAATGTGACTAACGCAGAAACGCATTGTGACTATTATTTTTTTCCAGTCCTTGTTTATACCCATCGATGCATATCCTTTTGTGCAAGGATCCAGGTTTGACTAAACACTATGAGTAGTTTCTCATATTGGTCGGAAATGAACAGAGTTTGCAAAGAAATGTAACACCCGACACATCCAAAATTTCAATTTGCTAGTAAAGGAAGACAGCGGATGCGAGGACATAAATAAGAAAGTAGGGTTCCCCCCCCCCATGCTACATTTTCATTATAAAATTTTAGTACAACACTTGAGGTTACCTTGGTAACCCGGATAGGCAGATAGACCAATCAGCAGTTCTTTAGCCATTACAAATAAAACGGTCCTTCTTATATTTTCAGATGCACATGGGCCTCTGAAGAGCAGGGGCCAGAGGAAAAAAACAGGAATATATATATTATCATTGTTTTGATGAGCTTCGGAAGCAAATTGGTTGCAGGCAACCGGAGGTAAAACCATAGACCAGGCAGAATTGATAGCCGATTAATTCAATAAGTGTAAACTGCTAGGTAACGAATTTTTTTTGCCTTGATGCATCTTCTATGACCTACAGGTACAACTGTTTCATTTAGTGACCGTTCAGAGTTACAAGGGCACTTAAAAAAGTGACTTAGGACCGTTCCCCACACTTATAAGCATTGCAGCATCCCTTGCGGTCAAGAGATCAAAATGCAACTGATTGGTATTTATGACAGTGGCAGCGTCTCCGGGTTTTTGCCAACCTCTGACTAGCAAAGTCAGGTTCATTTTACAATCCGTGTTGCTAATTTAACAACTGTAGGGATTCGCCTAACGGCTGTGGCAATCAGGCTCCATAAAAAGGGAAGAAATCTCGCTTAACCGGTGCCTCGCTTAGCGACAGAAATCTTGGCTGGCTGTACCCCGCGAACCGTTCTATCGGCTATTTGAAGTGCTGGAATGAAAAATAAAATAAAATAAAGCCTGAAGGACGAGGGCCTTTTTCCAATTCACCTCATGCAGCGCTGCCTGATGCCTTCGGTCCCTGGTGGGGAGGTGTAAAAGATTTAAGAGGCTGCGGTATTTCTGAAATGACTTCAAGAGGAGGAGGAGGAGAAACAGGCAAGCAGGCAGAGAGGAAGGGATGAGGGTATAGGAAGAAGGAGAACCTCTTGCAAAAAAAGAAAAAAAAAAGAAACTTTAATTTTCCTTGATCTCAGCAGGTGGGCTGTACTTATTTGAGGAGGGGATAGAAGAGATCTAATGCAAGATGCTTATTCTATATATATGTACATGACACCACCATCTTTTCATGAATCATGTTCCAGCATCCGTACAAGCCAGAAATACCCTTGGCTCCCCTGTTTAGCATAATATTTCGGCTAAGAATAACAGCAGGCGCCTCTACCTCCTGTTCTCTGTCAAGAAATATCAGCAGGAGGATCAAAATCCATACGGTTGAGGCCCCGAGGTTTCAGTTGCAGCAATAAAGCAGCCAGGCTCTAATTAGAAGGCTATCTTCACATTATCCTAGGAAAGCAAACGCCGTTTGGGGTTAAAGGCACCGAAGCAGACCAGTGCTTCCAACGAAGAAAGCGCCAAGGTCAAAGGCACACCAGAAAACGTTCTAGGTTGGGTCAATGAGCTGCCGTAATGGATATTTTACTTCCCCAGATCTACTTCCTTGCCTGTCTTACATCCTCCTCCAAGCTATTTCTGAATTTAGCAGCAAGTTTGCAGCCCATCTATTAATATACTAAAGAAAAAGGCCCAAGGTTTGGGCTGGAGTTTTAAAAAACCTGCCCCCTAGGTACAGAAACACGAAGGGCCCTGTTTAAAGCTGTTGCCCCACTTAACATCACATCAGAAAGCCACACAACTGATTTGCAGGGTGTGGGGAGGGCTGCATCCTTAATTTCCTCCCCCCCACCCCCAAATAAGCATATGCTCAGCCAAAGCAAACTAGGGCAGTGGAGTTAAAATTGGGAATTACAGAGCCTGTGTAGAAACAGAGACTTGTTCCCAGTCAAAATTTTAACTTGTTGGGGAAGCAGTTGGCAATAAACTTAATCCTGCTGAAAGACTATGAGAAGGAATGACAGCAGCTTTGGGGAAGGGAAGGAAAGAAGTGGAATGGAATAGAACAGAGTTGGAGGGGACCTTGGAGGTCTTCTAGTCCAGCCCCCTGCTAAAACAGGAGAACCTACACCATCTCAAACACTTGCTAAGTGTTTGTAAACTTCAAGAACGGATTGTAATTTGTGCACAGGCTGGCAGCGGTTTGGGAAGGCCAAATCTTTGCAATGAATTCCTGGTGCTCAAAGGAGAGGCCTCATTCTTTTCCAGATACTTACTTTTAAGAGGTAAAAACAGCCAGGAGGAAGAGGAACGACTTCTCCAAGAAGAAGGAATTGGAACATTATTGGTTCTTAACGCCACCAAAGGACACGTCATGGTTTTGGGAAGGACGCTGAACGCTTGTTTAAAACCATGTATATATATATATTTCCCCCTTGCGTTTTTCTCCCCCACTTCAAAATCTGCCCGAACTCATCTGCTACAGGTCAAAGCAAAACACGACCGACACGCATTTTGAACGACGCCGGATTCCCTTGCCCGGAAGGGGCTCGTTGTAACATGTTCCTTTCGAGGCCCTGCGTTAGTTTTCGTGTGCATGATCTCGCATGCGCTGGTCCGCATGCGAGAGCGCTGAGGGAATGCAAGAGGCTCGCTCAGGATGCCGATGGCAGCAAAAGGATTTGCATGCATGATTTGGGAGGGAGGGGGAGGGAGGGAGGGGAACCTGGGGGGGGGGGCTGGCGGTTTTTTTTTTTTTTTCATCCAAGGGGAACCTGCGGCAAGGAAAAGGAGGCGCAGCCGTGCATGCAGCAATTGCCCAGCTTGCAGTAGATGCACATTTGGGTCGCGATTCAAAAGCGATGGCGCGCAATGCTCCTTCCTAGAGAAGGACGGAAGGCGGTGCTCCCAGAGAATCTGCAGGGTGAGGGAGTCCCATCCTAAAGAGACAACGAGGCTGGCTGGATGCCCAAGCATTGTGGAAGAGTAAAGTCACACATGGTCCTTCCCACTTTCTGGAAGTGTCAAATACCCATCATTTGTTGCAGCTGCTAAACCATTCTTATTAGCTGCACTGAAATGAGATATTTTTTTTTTTTTTGCAATTCTTTCTCGAGGTTTTGAAGTAGCCAATGCCAGATTGAAGTTCAGCTTCAAACCTCCAGAGAAGAGATTTCCTGGAGATTGTAAAGTTAAGAATCCAGATCGATCTTGGTTCTGTTATCTCGGGGAAAGCCGAAAGACTCCTTAAGCTTTTGCCTTTCAAGGAGCAGACACAAAGAAATGTGGACGGTTTCCTTCCTCATCCTCTGATTTCAAAAGAATTGAACGATCTTGGTTGAATACTCACTGTGCAGCTATTACGAAGGGCTTCAAATTTACGCTGGATTTCATCTCTATGTGCCTAAAGGAGGTAAGAAGTTGATCATCAATGTTTGCACACATTAGAGGCAGCATCCAACAGCTGTTGCTACATGAACTGTAGAACTATCTACCAGCAAGCAAAGTTTAGAGAGGGCAGATCCTGCAGGTTGTTATTCCTAGCTGGGCAAAACAAAAAACAAACAAACAAAAGAGTTATCGGCCTCAGGCATCTTCTACACCTGGAAGCTTCAATCATCTCTAAATGTCTATGGAGATGGTTGTCCCAAAGGGGCTTTTTCTAAAGGCAACTGGACTTTCTTGGGGTTTTTTTCCCTTGAAGACATTTTCCTTCTCATCCAAGAAGCTTCTTCAGTTCTGCCTCGATGGTGTAGGATGGAAGGATTTATACTCCTTGCAGATAGACGGTCATCAACGATTGACTGTTGCTAATGAGTGATTCTGTGTTAATGACCAGAAGATTGCCAGGAATAAAAATCCTTCCATTCTCCACCATTTAGGCCGAATTGAAGAAGCTGCTTGGATGAGAAGCAAAACAACTTCCAAGGAAAAAAACCCAAGAAAGTCCAGTTGCCTTTGGAAAAAACACCCGTTGGGACTTCACTCATATCCGTGACAGGGTGGCAAAGGCCACGCATAAAACTGAAGATGGGTGCTGTGAAATAACCAGGTTATATGCTTGCCTATCCAAAGATCCTTGCAGAAGAGCAAGCCGAGCCGGGAGGGCAGAGTTAAGCAAGTCATTAGCCTAGAGTCATTCTGTTCCCACAAACAATCTAACTCTAATCTAGTCCTAAATCCAAGGTATTCAAGAAAGCAAAATTCTTTCAGCAAATCAAAAAAAAGGACCAACTACAGAAGGAGAGCTTCCTTGCCCCCACCAGCTGCAGGGGGCTGAGGCGAGGTCATGTCCCTCTCATCATATCACCCAAATATGAAGATCAGAAATAGCTGAAGCACAAGATGGAAACAGGAGGGAACACGGTTCCCGTTTGTGTATGATTTTACTGCTAAGTCAACCGATTTTTGGGAACGATTGGATTCAAAGGAAGTTCTTCCAAAGCTTCCACGGGTGTGGAAGGATGTTTGAAGAAAGTAAGACGGATCTGCACTGAAAAGAACCGCGTGGAAGAGCAATGGTCAACTTATTGTACAACTATGCAACAAACCAACCAATTGTGGATTACGGCAGACACCTGGTCCTCTTCGCCATTGTTATTTGGGTAATTTATGCCCACTGAATTTGAAAGCTAATGGCATCCACAACGTATCCAGAGGTTGGCAAACTTGCAGGATGGATATCTCTTTAATATTTGAGTCTTACACCAAATCGGATGTGTACAAAATCGTTTGCCCAACATATCCACCGTGGATGACTCCAGCTTTCTTCAACCTGATGTTCTCCAGACAAACCAGAATCGCAAATCCCAGATTTTCTGGCTGGCCAATGCAGCCATCAGTCGTACTGATTTTAGGGAATGGCAGGGAGCGTGTCAGGTTGAGAAAGGCTACAGAAGTCAAACTAGCAGGGATCCTCCAGAGCTTCAGGAACAGGATGTATGCAAAGCAGTTTATACGCTGTGTTTTGTGTAAAATCAGCAGCAGAGCGCCATCAACCTACAGAGTAAGTGGGTCGAAAGAATGCCATGCTTCATCACGGCCCAACATACACCGAGCTGTGTCACTTATGAACCCAAGCATCAGATACCATGACATCTGTGACTTCTGAGTTTCCTACGTGGAAGCTGGACTTTCCAAACGGAAAGAGCCTGTCTCTTCCACAGTTCTAATAAGCCCACAAGATACATATACAGAGATCCTTTGAAGACCACTACGCTTCTATCTGGATGGCTGTTCTCTTCCACCAAGCTTGCAGCTTCAGGAGGAACACACATGGAATGGGGGTGGGAGAGGGGAAGGGGATACCTGCCTAGACAATCAGATCAGCTAAATCAACCCTGACAATCGTGACAGATGTTGCAGCCAGATCACCTCTCGTTCTACCGAAGTCCTCTTCTGAATCCTTCAGGCTCCATCTATCAGCTCAAAGGCAGAAACAGGGTCCCTCATGGGGAGATAAACAGTCTTTGCTCTTGGGAGGGTCTATTATACTTTTACAGCTCCTAAATCTCCAAAACATCATCACTGGAGACAGCTGCTTCGTCAAGAAACAGAACCCAGCCACAGTACAATGCTCCACCTTGGCCAGACCGGATAAAAATCCTACTTTTGGAAAAGTCCTTTTGATACATCAGAAGTTAGAAAGAACATTAAAACAGGGGAAGCACCAGATCAGATGGACTTTCAAGTTTATATTGTAAATGTTTTGAAGACCAAATGTCATTCCGTTAAAAAAAAAATGTGAGGAATTCTACTATGTCGTGCCAAATTCTTGGGAAAAAGGCAAATATTGTTTTTGTTACCCAAAAAAGGGATAAAGATTTGACCTCTGGTAAGAATTATAGATTGATTTCATTCCTGACCGATGAGTATAGATCTTTGACAATGCTACGGTAGCTGAGAGAGTTAAAAAGATTTCACAGAATTTTACTCATCGTAACGCTGACCAATCTGGATTTCTACCCAGAAGACAATTAAAGGATAATGTGAGCACTCTTCTGGATACAGACTAGCTTCAACATCCTTGTGAAAAACAAGTCACGCTGATTTTTTTGTAGATGCAGAGAAGAGGAAAGCGGGGAAAAGGACGTTGCTAAAAATCCACAAACGTCACAGTGTTTATACAAAAAGGGGGATTCTCTTGTTAAAGAAGGTCCAAGGAACTAAATCAAAGCAACTTACCTGCAATTAGCCTCTTTCATGCCCTATCAATGTTAGCAAATTTCCACAAAAGAGAGTCAGCGCCCTTTATTAAGGACTGCATTTGAGTCCTGGTGGTGGACTCCTTCCAAAAGAAGAGTTCCATTTAGGGATTAGTTCTCAGGACTAAGCTTGGACTTTAAAGAGAATTTAAGATGTCAAGGAAGCCCTAGTCAGAGTGGGAGAGTTTACTGCCTAAGCTAACTCTCGCCCTGCAATCCTAAAGTAACACTTACAAAAAGCAGTGGGAGACATGACCATCATCAACAGTTAAGTGGTGAGCTGGGATGAAAACACAACATGTCTGGATTGTATTTCGAAATCAGAGTGAGGTTGGGATGGGATTCCAGGAGGACTTTCAGCCACAGGCAGTTCAGTCCCTTCCGGAATGCCCTGCTTTAGGACCACCTGGATCCATGGTCTTCTAAGGGCTGTTTGTTCTCCCCATGATGGGCTTCAAAAGAGGGTCTAGGACAGGGGTAGGCAACCTTGGCTCTTTTATGACTTGTGGACTTCAACTCCCAGAATTCCTGGGAGTCTCTTTCTGTCCACAACAGCATGAGCTGGAAAGCGCGGGGATCCTACTTTTCTCTTTTAAAATTCGTGTGTGTGCTATTAACGGAGAAGGGCCAGAGTAGGCACAGAGCATTCTCCAAGTGAAACAGTAAAGTTGTCTTTAAAATAGCTAAATAACGGTGAGGTCTCAGCATTCATCCATGGGATCTTGTGAGACTTCAAGCCGGTATGCTGAAAGTTCATCACAGAATGACATGTGATCTTCGATGGTAAAGCTGTCGTTGTTTTACAAGATTCAGAGTGATTCTATGTGTGGGGATATATGTCTGATTCCGGAAAGTATCTGACTCTTGAATTTGAAGATTGGATAGTAGCTACTTCCTTGCTCTTTAAATCCCAGGCCACCTTCGCAGGCAGAGTGATTACCACTGCAAACATGACATCAAGAGAAGAGAATAATCGTAGCTCAGGGTTGAAAGGAGGGGTCCTTGGTGCTCTCTGAGCTTGGTTGTTTTCTTGCAGACGTTTCATGACCCAACTAGGTGACATCATCAGTGCCAGACGAGAGTGGGGTTTGCACTGATGCTGTCACCTACGTGGGTAATAAAACATCTGCAAGAAAACAACCGAGCTCAGAGGAGCCCACAAACATGACATCTTTACTTCAAACTGGGAGATGCAAATAATAATAATAATAATAATAATAATAATAATAATAATAATAATAATAATAATAATAATAATAATAGGTGGCTAACCATTTCATGAGCTTTGAAAGTTCATCAGGTGTTTTGAATAGGAAGCTGGGCTGTTTCAAGCAGGCTCCCACCGCTTGGAGCTCAGTCGGCAGGACGCAGCTCCTGACCCCAGCCTGGAATTCAACAGCTTACCGTCAGTGCCTGGATCTCTTCTTCAGCCTCGGCCGTGGTCTCCTCCAACTCGGTTTTAGCTTCCCGGAGCTGACTTTCCAGAGCTGCCCGGGCTGCTTGCAAGCCTGAAATCTGAGATTCCCTCTCCTGGAGGGTGAGCTGCAATTCGGTCAGCTGTCGCTTCAGTTCTAGTTTTTGTTCTTCGTGTTCAAGGCTAACCTGGAGGATAGAATTTGATAGCGATGAACGTCCCGCTTTACGCACCAAGGTTCCACACGCTCCCCTGCCATTCGCTGTGAAAAGGTGAAAAGGGTGAAAAGATCAGACAGGGCCGAGAAGAAATTGGACACCCAGCTGTCATTTAGAGAAGCTTTCAAATTCCCTGATTCTTTTCCAAAAGCTGACCCTCCTCCTCCTTCAAATAAAAAAAAAGGAAGGGGGGAATGAATTCCCCTCCGAACAGACAGCACGGCTTCGCGACAACTCTCAAGATCTGCTCTCGCCCGTGATCAGCGTTGCAGCCAGTCTCTCTGCTTCTAGACAGTGAAGCTACCAAAGGCTGCAAAAATAGTACATAAACTCAGCATATTGGCGTAGACAACACACTTCCTGCATGACTGCCAAGAGGGCTGTCAAGAGACATTATGGCTTACAGTAACAGGAGCAAGTCTAATTGTTCTCTGGACTCACCAGTTCTAATCTGATCTGGTAGGGCTGAGGGACAGTCCTTAGGAAAAGCACCCCCTGAAAACGTGGTTCATACATAGCATGAACAGCAGGAGTATTCAAACAGGGTGTTGTTGTTATTTTTTACCTCTCGTAACCTCGTCTCCAGCTCCAGCAGGCGAGTTTTGTCGCTGTGGTCCTGATGGCTGATCTTTTCCAATTGTTCCTCCAGCTTATTGTTGTGCGCCTCTAATTTTCCAGCCTGAGTTTCCAGATAAAACTTCTGCTGCCTGAGCTCGGAAATCATCTCTTCTTGGGCTTTCCTTTAAAAAAAAAGAAAGAAAAAAGAGTGGGAGGGGGGCACATGCTCTAACCCAGTGGTTCTCAACCTGTGGGTTGGGACCCCATTTGGGGTCGAACGACCATTTCACGGGGGTCGCCAAACCACGCTGTCCGCCATTTTTTTCCCTTTTCCCTAGCTGTCCTACTCCCTCTTATTGGTGGCCACACCCACTTGGGGGTCACCACAACATGGGGAACTGTATTATGGGGTCACGGCATTAGAAAGGTTGAGAACCACTGCTCTAACCCAAAGGCCATTTTCTTTTCATTTGAATAATACTGGCAACCCTCCCAATGTAACCGTATTCGCTGAAAACGGAATTGGAACACTTTTTTGAACAGGGGTCTTCAAACTTGGCCCTTTGATGACTTGTGGACTTCAACTCCCAGAATTCCTCAGCCAGGCACGTGTGCCTGGCTGAGGAATTCTGGCAGTTGAAGTCCACAAGTCATCAAAGGGCCAAGTTTGAAGACCCCTGTTTTAGAAGTTAAAAAAAAAAAAAACACAAATCAGGATGTTTGTCAATGGAGTGGGGACAGAAGGCAGTGATGCCAGCCAACTGAGACACTCTCTTGTTCCCAGAAAAAAAAATCTGGTTATTGAGTTAAAGAAAATTAAACAATAAAAGAAGTAGCTGGATGTTGCTACCAGAATGTCTTCCCCTAGAGCAGGGGTAGGCAACCTTGGCTCTTTGATGACTCGTGGACTTCAACTCCCAGAATTCCTGAGCCAGCATGGCTCAGCTTGGAAACCTCTCCCTTTCCCCTCAGCATGGCTGGCTCGGGAATTCTGGGAGTTGAAGTCCACCAGTCATCAAAGAGCCAAGGTTGCCTACCCCTGCCCTTGAGCAGGCATGTCCAGCCTGTGGACCAAACACGGCCCTGGATAACTAGTAATGCAGCCCCACAAGAATATAGATAAATATAATGCATTTATATGCATTAACTATATTGAGCGGTGTGGTGGTGGCCTAGCCGTGAAGACGCTCGCCTCTCACTCGGAAGGTCGAGCGTTCAATCCTAGGTAGCGGCAGATATTTCTCTCCTAGGGCCCACAACTGGCAAGATTTTAGCAAAGTTGTCAGATATCTTATGCAATTTCTGATCAAGAGGCCAAGACGACACGCCCTTGGCCATCTTTCGGGTGACAGACAAGACAATGCAGTTAGGGGAGATTCACAGATATTCCCTGCGGTGGCTGTTCAGGCCCACCTCTGCTCAAAATTCAAAGGGGCATCAAAAGGAAGGCTCTACAATGAGTAACAGGCTTGCTCAGCTTCTCCAAACTGCTGTGAGTCAAGACAATTTAATAGCAGCATTTATGCTTACATGTTCCTCTGAGTAAACAGGCTGCTGTTGGCTGCGAGCTTGTTAGCTTCAGACAGTTCCACTATTCTCTGTTCCAGAGACCTAATCTTCGAATCCATGGCATTGATCATCTGGAGAAAGATTTTTTTTTTACTCCCATTAATACAGCTGTTATCAACAGCGGTGTTCAAACCATGATTGATTGATTTAATTTCCCTAGCCACCCAACTGAAGCAATTGACTCTGGGTGGCTTACAATTCTAAAATTATAAAACAATTTAAAAAAGCATTAAAACCATAAAAACATCCCCAGAAGGTAAATAAACACAAAGAGCAGCCGTGATGATTAATCTACTGACAGTAAAGCCAAGGAATGGGGCCCTTAAAACATTCTCAGGGAACATAGTCAAATATTTAAATCAGGAGTGTCCAATCTTCCAGGGTTGGAGCATTCACAGCCTCTGGAGGCAGGTTGTTCCACTGGTTAATTGTTCTCACAGTCAGGAAATTCCTCCTTAGTTCTAGGTTGCTTCCCTCCTTGATTAGTTTCCATCCGTTGCTTCTTGTCCTGCCTTCAGGTGCTTTGGAGAATAGCTTCACTCCCTCTTTCTTTGGGGCAACCCTTGGGATATTGGAAGGCTGCTATCCTGTCCCCCCTCCTCCTTCTTTTCATTAAAGTTTCATTAAACTCTATCTTAAGTTGATCGAAATCGCCCTGCACTCTACGGGAATCGCACCCCCATCTTCCAACTCGACTCAAAATATTCTACCGTCTCCACAGGCCTGCTGAGGCACACCACAATTCCCGATGGGAGGCAGGGGGGGGAATTCTGAACAGCTCCTCCACATGAAAACATCTTTTCGCTGGCACAGAACCAGCAATATTGATATGACAATTAGGCGTGTTTAGCTCACTCAGGCAATCTTTGCTAAGTCGGGGCAAGCGACATTACACATTCCGATGTGACTAAGCTCACTTACCAGCCGGTGAGTCAAACTAATTGAGCAGCGCCTTATCTATATCAGCGCCCGCTTACCGCTTTCTGCTCGGCAAGGATTTTGCACTTTTCGTGCGCTTCCTCCTCGTGTTTCCTCAGCATGTTTTCCAGGGCGTCTTTGTCGGCCAGGTCTTTCTTCATCTGGTTATCAAGCACCTGCGTTGATTGTGGAGGGAGGAAACAAGCATGCTTACTCGGAGGCCTGTTGACGTCCAGCCTAAAACTTGGGTTGTCTCTTAAGCCGTTTTGGCCACCTGTCAGAGAAACACTGGAACGCCGACCCCATCAGGGATTTGCAAAAGCTTTCTGGGGCTGAAAGCCGGAGTTGGTCTATTGCAGTGGTTCTCAACCTGTGGGTCGGGACCCCATTTGGGGTCGAATGACCATTTCACGGGGGTCGCCAAACCATGCTGTCCGCCATTTTTTTCCCTTTTCCCTAGCTGTCCTACTCCCTCTTATTGGTGGCCACACCCACTTGGGGGGGGGTCACCACAACATGGGGAACTGTATTATGGGGTCACGGCATTAGAAAGGTTGAGAATCACTGGTCTATTGGATGACATTCCACAGGCTGCATTCAAAAGAAACCTTACAAAATATATTCAAAATGGACTGTGAATAATACATACATACATACATACATGCATGCATGCATATATATATTATATACATATATGTATTTATATGTGTATATTTGGGTATGTGTGTGTATAGACATATATCTCATACATATGTGCCTGTATGTATAAGAGAGGGACAGAAGAGACAGAGGAGAGAAAAGAGACAGAGAAGGGAGAGAGAGAGAGAGAGAGAGAGAGAGAGAGAGAGAGAGAGAGAGAGAGAGAAAAGAGAGAGACAGAGGAGAGAGAAAAGAGAGAGGAGACAGAGAGAGAGAGAGAGGAGAGAAAAGAGACAGAGGAGAGAGAGAGAGAGAGAGAGAAAAGAGACAGAGAGAGGAGAGACAGAGAGAGGAGAGAGAAAAGAGACAGAGGAGACAAAGAGAGAAAAGAGACAGAGTGAGAAAAAAGAGAGAGGAGACAGAGAGACAGAGAGAGAGGAGAGAAAAGAGAGAGAGAAGGCAATCAGAAATTTATTTTGTAACGTGTGCCAGTGTGTTCATAGAAACAACTGACAATAAAGGTTAGCTGCTGAACAGCAGGCTAGCATGCCCAACTCAAAGGCAGTGCTACTTAGAGTGTAATTGTTCACTAGCCTGGTGCTGTGGACATTATTTAGCGAGTTTCATTGAGACTCTTTCTTCGTATTTTCTGCCTGGGTCAGCCTGACATCTGAATAGCCGCTCAACGACTCCATGGCAATTTTGCCCCATCCTTCCTTTATAATCACTTACCATTGTTAAAGCTCTTTCTGGACCTTCCCAGTAATTTCCTCCAAAAGTTAAGCTAACACATAAGGGGGAGCGAGAATGGGGTAGAATAAAACCCCCCAAAATGGTCTCAAGTTTCTTTTAGAAGGGGTCCTTAACGGCACTGAGCTGACTGGCATAATAAATCAGATTTTTGCACTCAAGTGGCGCACGTGTTGGTTTTCTGCCTGGGTGGTATGTCGTTGAATGTTTTCAGCTGGAGGACTGCAGAGTGCACCGCAGCAACACAGACGCATCAAGAGAAGGGCCACAGCTGGAATTCTCCCCCTATGTTGTGTTTCTCAGCACCAGGTTTTGTTTGTAATTTAGTGCAACAGCTGAGCTAACTAGGCAGCAAAAAAAAAAAAAAAACCATGCATGATTGCGATTTACAGTTTGCTGCACAATTTCAATAGCTTCCTTTCGGGGAGGCAGTTTCTGGAGAGCTCACAGAGAGCGCTGGGGGGTGACATCTCAGTCCTTCATTCCCTTCTGTTTTATGCCACTTCATTAGCTTTGGAACCCCAGTTCCCCCAAATTTGTTCTAGAGACCTGGTGGAGCGGTGGTTAGAAGGCAGCACTGCAGGCTAACTCACTGCCCACAGCCAGGAGTTTGATCTTGACGGGCTCAAGGTTGACTCAGCCTTCTATCCTTCCAAGGTCGGTAAAAGGAGGATCCAGATAGTTGGGAGAAATATGCTGATTCTATAAACTGCTCAGAGAGTTCTGTAAAGCATTATGGTATATATGTCTGAATGCTATTGCTTTTGAGATAGATAGATAGATAGATAGATAGATAGATAGATAGATAGATAGATAGATAGATAGATAGATAGATAGATAGATAGATAGAGTTAGATGATAGATAAGAATTAAATGATAGATAAATAGATGATGGCAGAGAGAGAGAGAGAGAGAAATATCTATGATAGCTAATGGATGATTGAGATAGGTAGATGATAGATAGATAGATAGATAGATAGATAGATAGATAGATAGATAGATAGATAGATAGATAGATAGATAGAAGCACTGTGAAGTGATATAAGTGCTAGTATTATTTTCTTTCTTTCCCAACTCATTGCAGCAGGATGAGAAATGCAACGGGTCTCAAGACAAACAAATCCCTTCTTACTTTGAGCCTTTCTTCATACATTTGTTCTTTCTGCTTCAGATGCAACTCAAGGTGTTGGGCTGCAAGCTGAGCTTCCCGGTGTTTCTCTTCCAGTTCCTAGGAGAAAAGATGTTTTTTTTTTCTAGCATGTCAACCTCAAAGGAAAGGAGAGATACTCAGAAGCATGTCCATGAAACATCACCTCCACAACCCCACTATTGTCACGGGCAGCCCTGGATTTACAGCCCTAAATTTCTGTTCTTAAGCGAGAGTTAAGTGAGTTTTGCCCCATTTTACCACCTTTCTTGCCACGGTCGTTAAATGAATCGCTGCAGTTGTTAAGTTGTGAACACGGTCGTTAAGCGAATCGGACTTCCCCCTTGACTCTGCTTGTCAGAAGGCCGCCAAAGGGGATCACATGACCTTGGAACGCTGCCACCATCATAAATATGAGCAAGCTACTGGTGCTACTAAGATTGTTGGACGAGCAAGCACAAAAACAGCCAGGGAAATCATTGGAAGGCCCCTCGTCAATCAAAAGGAGGGCTAATTTACCACCAGCCTCTCAAGTACTTAGAAGGCGCAGGCTGGGCAGTACAAGCAAAACGACAGCCAACAGCTGCAAAAGCCAGCCATCGACACAATCCAATCCGCATCGAAAAAGCCACATGCAACAGGCACTATAAATACCGCACACACACACAGAACGGCACACACTCTGCTAGAGAGAAGTTCCCCAAGGATGGGCACAAAAGCTCGGAAGACAAAACCTTTATTTCCAGAGACTGACCCAGATTGGGATCCTGTACCACTTCATGCATCTGATATTGGGGGTACAGCCCATAAACAATTATACAAAGTTCTTTTCTTTTTTAAAACATCGGAGGCTAGCATACGTCACTCTGCAATCGGTTTAAAAATATATTGGAACACAAGTGGGGGGGAGAAAAACACCCCACCGTGGTGACCTATTTCCCAAAATCTATAGATCTTTCCAAAAAGCCAAGAAGTGCAAGTTGAAAGTCGTTGCAGACTCCGGGGCAGAGATAAATCACTTGAAAGCTTCTTCTCCAGCAGCTCCTACTCAGCTGCCCCTACCTCTGTTGCCATAGCCACTGACAGCTTCCACCTACACGGCTAAAAGCCCAAAAGAAAACAGAGACTTGCAAGGCTTTCTCTGGTTTTGAGGGCCGATCTCTCTTCTTCGGCTTTTCTTCTTGGAAGCAGATCCAAACTCAAGCAATCCTTTGCTTTTAGGAAAAGGCTCTCAGTCTTTCTTTCTTTCTTTTAAGGGCCAATGAAACAGTTCTCAGACCAACTGGGTGCTAGGGATTCTCCGGGGTCTCAAGAGTACCTTTTTGATTAAAACAATACAAAATCCAAAAGGCAGAATCATGGGGTTTAGGGTTAGGGACCTTCGAGGTCTTCTAGTCCAGCCCCCTACTTAAGGCAGGAGATCTTATACCATCCCTAGTCAAACGGTTGTCCAGTTTTGCAAACGTCCAGTGATGGAGCACCCATAACTCCAGGAGGCAGGCTATTCCGTTGATTAATTGTTCTCATTGTCAGGAAGTTTCTCCTTTGTTCCAGGTTGTCTTTAACAAGCTTCCACCTGTTACTTCTTGTCGTGCCCTCAGGTACTTTGGAGAATAGGTCAACCCCTCTTGTCTGCAACAGACCCTCAAGTACTGAATAACAGAATTGGAAGGGACCTTGGACGTCTTCTGGTCCAATCCCCTGCTCAAGCAGGAGACCCCGTGCCATTCCAAATAAAGGTTGTCCATCTCTTCTTAAAAACCTCCAGTGATGGAACACCTTCTGGAGGCAGGTTGTTCCAATGGTTAATTGTTCTCACTGTCAGGAAATTCCTCCTTAGTTTTGGGTTGCTTCTCTCCGTGATTATTTTCCATCCGTTGCTTCTTGTCCTGCCTTCAGGTGGTTTGGAGAATAAATTGACTCCCTCTTCTTTGGGGCAGCCCTTCAAATATTGGAAGACTGCTATCCTGTCACCCCTAGTCCTTCTCTTCATTAAACTAGACATCCCCAGTTCCAGCAACCGTTCTTCATATGTTTTAGTCGTTTTAACTATGCTTTCTATCGTTTGTCCCAGGATGAGAGGGTTTGCAGGAGCCGTTGGGCCAGAGAGGGAAAAAACCCCCCACAAAGATAGGAATGGTGGCTATGGAGAGGCAGAGGGGGGAGACAGGAAAGTACAGGTAGTCCTCAATTTACAACAGTTCATTTAGTGACCGCTGAAAGTTACAACTTTGCACGCTTTCAAGCTGCTAGGCGGGCAGAAGCTGAGGCAAGGAACGGGAGCTCAACCCTGCCTGCAGTGCTCAAGTATAGAACTGCCAACCTTGCAGTTGACTGTCGGCCGGATGTCTTAACTGCTAGGACCCTGTGCAATGGTCGTAAATGTGAGGACTGGACATTAGTCCCTTTTGTTTAGTGCCCCTCTAACTAGGGTAGCCACAGGGCGAGATAGGTGGCAAATGCATTTAACAAATAAATAAACAAACTTCAACTGGTCACTAAACACTAAATCATTGTAAGTCAAGGAATACTGGCACCTGTAAATATGGGTGCCTTGACAACACACCGATGCAGGACCAAAGAACCCTAACCAGCTGGAAAGGCCTTTGTGCGCTAGCAAAGTATCACTTATCCTTCACCACAGTGAGAAGCCGAGCAAGCTGCACTGCAGATGGGCTTTCAGCGGATTATTTCTGGGGAAGGAAGAGTTAAGATGATTAATTTTGTCCTTCTCCAATATGGAAAACGCAGCAGATTTTGGAACCTGAGCGAGATTGCCAAGGCTTCTCAAGCTTGGCTTTGCAGACTTCATTGTCACGTAACTCCAACATATTGATGTGCAAGGAGTTTACGAAACACGCTTTGTTTGAGTGGGGAGCTTCTGTTGCAGCAACTGGAAGCTGAAGAGGTTCCACGGGAAGCAACGGTACCGCCAGGCGCCTGGATGACGTTGTGAGAAAGGGGAACTGGAGGAGCCCAGCAGAAGAAGAAAGTGGGCTGGAAGAGAAGCGCCTTTGTTTCTGGCCTGTCCAACGATTTAATCTTTCTTTCTTTCTTTCTTTCTTTCTTTCTTTCTTTCTTTCTTTCTTTCTTTCTTTCTTTCTTTTTCTTTCTTTCTTTCTTTCTTTCTTTTTCTTCTCTCCTTCCATCTGTCTATCTATCTGTCTATTCTTTCTATCATCTATTATCTATCTGCCTATCTATCTATTTTACAACCTGCCTCCAAAAGCTGTGAATGCTCCAACACTGGAAGTTTTTAAGAAGGGACTGGATAGCCATTTGTCCGAAATGGTGTAGGGTTTCCTGCCTGAGCAGGGGGTTGGACTAGATGACTTCCAAGATCCCTTCCAACTTTACTACTACTACTATCATCATCATCTACCTGGATCTATCTATCTCTGTCTGTTCTGATCTCAAAGAGAGAGAGACAGAGAGAGAGAGAGAGAGAGAGAGAGAGAGAGAGAGACAGACAGACAGACAGACAGACAGAAGATGTCAACCTGCACAAAATCAAATGAGCAACTTTCATATCAGTGTTTCTCAGAATAGCAGAGTTGGAAGGGCCCTTGGAGATCTTCTAGTCCAACCCCCTGCTCAGGCAGGAAGCCCTATACCATTTCAGACAAATGGCTGTCCAGTCTCTTCTTAAAAACCTCCAGTGTCGGAGCATTCACCGCTTCTGGAGGCAGGTTGTTCCACCGGTTAATTGTTCTCACTGTCAGGAAGTTTCTCCTTAGTTCTAGGTTGCTTCTCTCCTTGATTGTAGGGCGAGAAAATATGGGAGCCCAAAAATAAAATATACACAGGTCATCCTCGACTTACAGTTCACTTCTTGACTATTCGAAGTCACAACAGTACTAAAAAAGTGACTTATGACCATTTTTCACACTGATGACCATTGCAGCATCCCCACGGTCACGGGATTTACATTCAGATGCTTGACAACTGGTTCATATTTATGATGGTCACAGCGATCCGGGGTCACGCGATCCTCTTTTGCGAACGTCTGGCAAACAAACTCAACTAATTTAACAATTGCAGCGATTCCCTTAACAAACGTGGCAAGTGTACAAAGTGCCACAAACGGGCTTCGCATAACCATGATTAAATAAAAGCTATCTGAACGCAGCCTAGGACCTGGGCTTACACAACTGGCTTAAGGCATAATGTGTTTTGTGATTTTGGCTCTATAGTAACACATGAACCCAGGTGTGATGGTTTATAAGTCCTAGCTTAGGGCATCGTAAAAGGTCTGTATCCAGTCAATGGTGGTTTACTCAACCAACTTCGGAACGGAAGAAGTTTTTTGGATGAGAAGTGAAACATTTTCAAGCGGGAAAAAAACCACAAGGAAGTCCAGTTGCCTTTTGGGAAAAGCACCGTGGTGTCAACAAAACTAGAGTTAAGATGATGCAAGATTATCACATACAAACAGGAATGTATAAATACTTTTTACTGGGGTGGATTTTCATGATTTATGTTGCTGTTAAACCTCACTGAGAAAACTTGAAGGCTTGTTTCTTCTCTAAAGTAGCAGCCATGTAACTTTTCAACATCCTGGACTCAGGCATCAACAAGGAACTCACAATAAATTTTACCTGTCCCCAGCTGCAGAAGCTTATAATTCGAAATCTTGAAATCATGCTTCTTTTTCTGTCTTTTAACACTTCCCACCAATATCTCACTCCGTTCAAAAACTCCCCTCTTTCTTCATTGCTACCCACCAGAATTTTATCAGCCATCTGCTGGATTTGCTGAGATTTCGTCTGGATATCTTCTTTCAGTCGGTTCTCCCGGCGTTCCACCGTCTCCAGCCGCTTCACTTGGTTCTCTAGAGAATGACGCCTTTCCTAGCCAAGGTTCAAGAAGGAAGAATGAAACCCCCCCCCCAAAAGAATCTGGATAGTCACCCAACATTTTGCCCTCAGCCCAAGAAGGCCAGACTCGAAAACTTGGATGACTGAATTTGAGTTAGAGAGCCCAAACCCTTTTGAAAGAAAAAAATGGCAATGATTTTTTAATTACAACTCTGCCATATCATATAAGTTTGGCCAGTTCCAAATCAAGGCTCTCTAAATTCATTCCTGACTTTATCTAAACTTAGGTTCAAATTTAAGCAAGTTTCAGTCAGCAAAGAAAGTCAGGCCACTACATAAGGGTTTTTTGTTGTTGTTGTTGCACTGGGACCAAACGCATCAGCGTGACAACTTGCTAACCTCGGCTTCCAGCAATTTCTTTTTCATGCTTTCGTTGGAGTCCTCCCGATTTTGCAATTTCTCCAGCTCTTTCTCGGCTCTCTCCTTTGCTTGGCGGATGTTCTGGAGCAATTCGGTGGCCTCCGAGCTGGCTTTCATAGCCTTCAAAGAGAGGAAAGAGTGACAATCAGTGCTGGCTGTCGTACCACAGGGGTACAAAGACGGAAGCATTTCAGTAACCCATGCCATATGTTTTTAATTTAGCACGTCACATAAGTTGATGCATGGGAGAGTGGTCAATATACAAAATAGTGGTCAATATACCGGTCTGCTAGGAAGCTATGGGCAAGACTTCCTGACAATTTTGCAGCGAGAGATCGGTGGCCTGTGTCAACCCACCCGGCCAATTGTCCGTAACATCACACCCTGCAGCCTCTGTGTAAACACACACGCACACAAACCGTCTTTCCAAGGGAATGAGGTTCAAATTTAATCTCTCCTCGTTACAAAACCCGCCTCAAGGCTGTCCAGCCACGGATCTAAACGGCTCCACAACTGGTACAGTAAGCACCAGAAGAAGAAAAAAAAAGGAAGTCTTGGAATCCATGAGTTCTGCTCTGGCACCTACCCCATTCATGAAAACCTGAGCCAAATTAAACCGCCGCAATCTGTTGCCGGCTCAGGGCTCATTATATCATCACAAAGCAGCCTTTGACTGCTGAAAAACGCTCGACATCTGACGCAGCCTGCCCGACTTGGCTTTCTAAAGTTGAATTTCTATCCAATATTCCAATTCTGACTCAACTTTGTTTTTTTTAAAAAAAATAAGCCTGCAGTGACATGTTGTGAAGAGGAGAAAGCGCTGAGCATCATGGTTTCAAATTCCAGCCCCCCCCCCGCCCCACCCCTCCCGTCTCTCCTTCCTATCTACAGCGGGATGACTAACTCTGTTTTGGAACACAAGAACTTTGTTCCTCCCTCCTCTGCGTTCCAGCTTGCAGGAGAGTCTACAGAGGAGATTTATCAACTGTGTAGGGGGAAATTAAAAAAAAAAAAACATTAACCCCCCCCCCAAAAACCTTCCCCCTCACCAACTTTTCAAAAGCCACTGATGAATGCCTCGTGAAATCTTACTTTTGTCAGCTTCTCCTGCAGCTCCTGAATTTTCACCTGCTGATCGGCATTGATCTAGACGAGACAGGAAGGGAAAGAAGAACAGAATGACAAAGTTGGGAGGGACCTCGGAGGTCTTCTAGTCCAACCCCTTGCTCAAGCAGGAGACCCTGGATCAAATGTCTGTCCAATCTCTTCTTAAAAACTTCCAGTGATGAAGCACCCACAACTTCTGGAGGCAAACACCCCTTCTAAAGCTAGGATTCTATGGATACCTGTGAAAGGACTAGAAGTGAGAGCTTACAGGCTAAAGTGCAGTTGTAACTTGGAACATAAAATGGACCAAAACGTGCTTTACAGCTGCCTTGCTTAGCAACAGAAATTTATGTCGTGGTTGTAAGTTGAGGACTAAGTGTACCAATGTCACAAAACACAATCTATCCTAACTAAGGCTGGGTAGAGCAAACACGCTCACAACTGAATGGGCTTATCTAACATTTGGGTCCTGTCCGACGTTCTTCTTTCTTAGACTTTCCGTGAAATTTATGTCTTTCTTTAGACACCCTCTTCCCAAAATTCTTTCCTCAGAGCATTTTTATATGCCAACCTCAAATTTGCCTTCTCCAACAGCTCAAACGTCTCCTTATAGCTTCTAAGCTGGTGCAGGGATTTTTCCCCAGCTGCTGAAAACCCACTTCAAGTCACAATGCTTGAAACCTTATAAGCTGCCTAAGATTGGCAGTTTCTCTTTATGTGGATAAAATGTTCGTGAAGATTGCCTATAATGCTAATGCCGTCAGCAGGGCACACGAGCTTCATCGCTACTGCCGGTCCCCAAATCCCAGTTTAAGTCCAGAACACATTTGATTTTATGATTTTACTCTCGTAAAAACCTACAGTCAAGGAGGATCGGCTGGCTAGTCCCTCGCTGCGAATCAAACTGCCAGTCGGTCAAATATTGTATTTTATTCTGGTGCTTTTCCAAAAGGCAGCTGGACTTCCTTTGTTTTTCCTTGAAGACGTTTCGCTTCTCATCCCAGAACCTTCGTCAGTTCTCAGTTCAATTCTTCTTCAGAACCGAAGAAGCTTCTTGGATGAGAAGCAAAATGTCCTCAGAGAAAAAACAAAGTCCAGTTGCCTTTTGGAAAAGCATCTTTGGGACCCACCATGACCTGGATGACTTGAGAATCATTTATTCTGGGATGTTATTGCACAGAATTCGACCCAAAAAATAAACGAAAAATGACACTTATAAACATACCTTCTCCAGCTTGGAATACAGCTCTCCCACTTCTGTTTTTCCTTGATCTTTAACCTTTGAGGTGAAGAATGAAACAGAAGGTGCAATTTAGAAATCGGATCCACATTAACAGAAAACTGTGCAGTTCTGAAGTTTCAATATTCTTACCCACCCACCCCCCACTTTGAGAAATAAAGATGAAAACATGCAGGTAATTGTGATTCAAAACAAAAAGAGAAAAAGAAAAAGCAGCAGAATGAATCTTTCTTAAGTAGATATCCTAATTTGATAGCAGTATTGAAAATAGCTCTGATTATTTTGCAACGCACAAAGTAAATCACGCCGCTTTCATCATCCCCCTGGCCCTTAATATCATACAGGCCAAAAAATCTGCCAAGTGACAAAATTTGCTTTCCCTTGCAAATTTTTGGGGAACTCTTGATTCCTCTCCCAGTTCTCCGAGCTTCCAAGCCCATCTCTGCATCAGTCTATTTATCTGAGATGTAGGTACTCTCTTACCCCTTGAGATTATTTTGTATTTGTTTTAAAGATTGTTTTTATGAAACACGACAGGATCCCTGCCTACTGCTGTATAGCCCAAGGGGAAAATGGGGAGAGTGAAAGAGATTACAGGTCAAACCGTCGGGTTATGATTTTGTTTTGAATCTGTTTTTCAGGGCTGGTTTGGAACTTTTCTTTCCCACAGCTCTGTGATTTGGCCCAGAGCACCTGCAGCAAATAAACACTGAACTCAAAAAAACGTCTTTAAAACAAAAGCTGAGGTTTGGCCGTCAGAATCCCAAGCAATTCAGTCTCCCAACTCCCTTTTCAAACAAATGCTAAGGAATAACCTCTTCTCTCTTTCTGTACCACCCACTACAGATAGTCCTTGACTTACGATCACAGTTGAGCCCAAAATTTCTCTTTGCCGTTGTAAATTGGAAAGGTCTTTAAATCAACTGTTGTTAAGTCGAGGACTACCTGTATTTCTTTGGCTATCAAAAGTTAAAGTCTGCAGCTCAGTTATTTGCTGTCTGCCTGTATGTATTGCACACAGGCACCCTAAAAATTCTGTCAAATTTTGAGTCAAATTTCGTCTCTTTTCCATACGTTAGGAGCCAGACAGACTGGCAATTCAACCGGGGAATTCTGGAGTGGTGACCTTAACTACTTTCTGCAGCCTGTTATGACATTCGGTGGCTTTTCGCTTGAAGTCTTCTGCAGCCAGTCGAGACTCCCTCAGCTCCGATTCGTAAAGATCGCTACGTCTGCGAGCAGAAATCAGATCCTCCTCTAGCTGATTCATCATCAGTCTCATTTCTTCCACCTGAGCTTGATACTCCTAAGGGACGGAAAGTCACACGTCTTGGAAAGTGAGGAGGGAAAAATGGAGGTGAGGAAAGAGTCTGGAAATGTGGCCATTCATTCACTCATTTTCACTCACATTCGTTCACTCATTCACCTCATTTTCTTTTTTAATCCTGTAAAGCAGGGGTAGTCAACCTTGGCTCTTTTATGACACGTGGACTTCAACTCCCAGAAATCCTGAGCCAGCTTAGCTATTAAATTAAATGTCGTTATTAAATCCTCTGAACGTTAGTTAGCTGTACCTGCTCTTTGATTTCCTGCAACTTGCGACTTTGTTCTCTTATGTCATGAAGGAGCTGCAGGGCCTTGTCATCCTCTTGAGAAACCTCCATCCGAGCCTGTTCCAGACTTCGCTTTAAGCTCTGCAAAAATGCAATGTTGAACATAAAGGCCCCTTTGTCTGAGACGAGGCCAAAGCAAAGTTGATCGGCTAAGGAAACACACCATAAATAATAATAATAAAAAAAACAACCAACTGTTGTAAACAAGAAGCTTTGCATGTCAGCTTCGGGGCAATTTCAACCTTCTGATCTTAAGTGCAGCAACAATAGCAGATGTCTCCAGAGCAGTTAAATATGCTTCTGATCCAAAACGTAACAAGGACAAGTAATTTAATTTAAGAAGCTACTTAAATGACAGTATAATAGCAATCTCCATACAGAATAACAGAGTTGGACCTTGGAGGTCTTCTAGTCCAGACACACACACACACACCCCTGCTAAAGCAGGAGACCCTGTACCATTCTGGACAAATGGCTATTCCAGTTTCTTCTTCAAAACCTCCAGTGAGGGAGCACCCACAACTTCCAGAGGTAAGACATTCTACTGATTAATTCTTCTGTCAGGAAATTTCTTCTTAGTTCTAGGTTGCACCTCTCTTTGATGAACTTCCATCCATTACTTCTTGTCCTGCCCTCTAGTACTTTGGAGACCATTAAATGGACTCCACTAAATTAAATCTACTGCACCATTACACAGAGATGGGCCATAGCTCAAAAGATTAGCACTGAAGGTGTGGTCTCAACCAATCTCCGTCATCAGCGAAAAGACTAAGAAAAGATCTAAATCAGGGGTCTTCAAACTTGGCCCTTTGATGACTTGTGGACTTCAACTCCCAGAATTCCTCAGCCAGGCACGCTGGCTGAGGAATTCTGGGAGTTGAAGTCCGTAAGTCATCAAAGGGCCAAGTTTGAAGACCCGTGATCTAAATCCTTGGAAAGTCCCAATCCTAGAAAAGGCCAACCTTTTTGGAGCAGATAAGCTCATTAAGAAGGCTTCTTCATTTCTATTTGTTGATACTACACCTTGAATGGGGTCAATCTCGAGAGACCCACTGATTTAGGATGGTTACGCCCAAAGAATTGCCTTTAAGCTGACTTTACTCCAGAAGATGCTCAAAAAAACCCCCACACCCCCATCCCTTTGGAGTTACCCTCTGCCTTTAAGACACAACCCCAATATTCTCGTGCTTTGGTCTCCCATCAACCCTTAGGCTCACGAGACCCCGAGGCCACGTAACAGACCTCAAATTAAAAACACCCCCGGTCTGAAGCAACTGCTTAACTTGCCGACGACGGTGCCCCCAGCCCTGTTGATCCCAATGGCCAACTAGAGAGCTGCTAAAGGGAGGCCCCCAAGGTGAGGGATCTCAGGGGAACAGGGAAGAGGCTCACACTGCATTCTGTGATGTAGGTAGCCAGGTCCTGTTCGAGGAGAGATCGCTGGGTCTCGGAGGCTTTCAGTTCCACCTCCTTTTGGCTGAGTACAGCCTCCACCTCCGACACTCTGCGATGCAAACGGGTCATTTCCTGCTCCATCTGCAACAGACATCAAAAAGGTTTAAAAGGGCTTTTCTGGCAGGCACTGGGGAGAGAGTTTGCGCGGCATCAAGGCCCCCACAAGGAGGGAATCGGTCTCTCGGAAGAGAGAGAGAGAGAGAGACGAGGCTAGAAGATTGTTTAAAAGGCAAATACCATTATTTCTGGTCCTGGGAATTCACACTTCCTTCTCAGGGAAAAGCAGGAATTCTAAGTCACCCCATTCATTCACGCGGTTTGTTCGCATTCAGTCACTCTTCGAAACCCCGTTCGCAAAGAAGTCACAATCATCTTTTCACCTGATTGGGGTGGGGTTTGTTTGTCTTTTTGTTTTGATTTTAATTTTTCTCTTTCCCTCGCTCCAGAGATGGGTCACTTTCGCTTTATCCCAAATCCATCTTGGACCGGAAGGGGACTTCCCCCCATAGCTTTCCGAGGGAGCGGAGAATCGGAAGTCCCCCAAAGAAGAACGGAGTTTACGCGGATCCCAGGGAGTTTATTTCCAGAAACGGTTAGAAAACGCGTTCGCTGCAAAATCGAGGAAGGGGCCAGAGTTACAGAAGCAGAAAGAGGAGGACCAGGGGGTGGAAGAAAAAAACAAACCAAGACTTGCAGTACTCAAAAGAGAATTAGAAGAGGAAAGCATCAGATGAAGACGACGTGCGAAGCGCTGAAAACCACCATCTGAGTTGGGCTGATAAAGGATCTTGGAAGGATCCAGAGCGTCTTCTGGCTAAAATGAGCAGCCCTGGAGCCAGACATGACCTAGGCTTATCTCCCTGGGCCCCGATAAGGAAAGCTCTCCGCTGAAGCCGCCAACCATTGTCCATCAGCCTCTGGCAGGTCCTTTGGCACGGGCAGGTTGCGAACTTCTGCAGCAAGGAGGGAGGCCAGCCATGTAAATAAATACCTTGTGACACTTTGCCTGGGTGTCTTGCAGCTCTTTGCTCTTAAAGAGGAGTTTCTTTTCCATGGAGCTAATCTTAGCAGGAGAATCCAAGCTCAAAGCAGACCTTGAAAGAGAGAGAAAGAGAGAGAGGGAATTCAACGAAGAATCTGTGCGCAGAAACGGGTTTCTCAGCCCTGCCAACTTTAAGACGTATGTGTGTAGACTTCAACTCCCAGAATTCATAGCCGGCATGGGAATTCTGGGAGTTGAAGTCCATGCACCTTAACGTTGCCAAGATTGAGAAACATTGACCTAGAGAAGACATAGCTCTATTTACTCTCGTTAGGACAAGCTACAGGAAAGCTATCAGAATAGCCAGGTATTGCCCGCTGCCGTTAAGCAACCTTTTAAAAATCTCTCTCTCCCCTTCATTGTTTAAGGAGAGTTGCACATTAGTACTGCTGTAATAAAAACAGCACTGAGCATTTCTTTAAAATGAGTGCAATTTCCCTGCTAGACGAAGGAGGCCTTGGTAAGAGAAAGCCACATGGAATTTCCGAGCTGCACTATGATCATCTAACTTAGGAGATGCTTCGATCGGCTTGGGAAAAATATCAGAGGTTAAAAGTTCTACCCGGGGAAAGAATTTGCTTTATTGCTGAGAAAAGGCTAGGTGTGTACAGCGTAAGCCAGGGCTGTCCAACCTCAACCATTTTAAAACTTGTGGGTTTCAACTCCCAGAATTCCCTACCCAATGAAAAGAAGGACTAAGGGTGACATGACAGCAGTCTTCCAATATCTCAGGGGCTGCCCCAAAGAAGAGGGAGTCACGCTATTCTCCAAAGCACCCTCTGAAGGCAGGATAAGAAGCAAAGATGGAAACTGATCAAGGAGAACAATTAACCGGTGGAACAACTTGCCTCCAGAAGTTGTGAATGCTCCATGCTGGAAGTTTTTTTAGAACAGATTGGACGAACAATTGTCTGAAATTGTATAAGGTTTCCTGCCTGAGCAGGAGGTTGGACTATAAGACCTCAAAGGTCCCTTCCAACTCTGTTATTCAATTCAATTCAATTCTAAGTCCACAAGTCTTAAAGTGGCTGAGGTTGGACATCCCTGGTTTGTGTGAACTGAGATGTAACATTCTCAACCCTCAAACCATGTACTAGAATGGAAAACGATATTGTAAGGGAGCTCTCAGAGAGTATTAAATATATGTGATCGCCTAATCTGTAGCCTAAGAAGTTAATGAAAAGCCTTAAAAACTTATTCACAACAATTTTAAAGCAATGCAGGATCAAAGAACTCAACTGAGGCCTCTAAACTCCAGCCTGGAAGATTTTTAATGCAACATGGCCTATCTCAGGTGTTCTCCAATGTTGTCCTGCCATGACCCCATAAACAATCATTGTTATTATTTACCACAAGAAACATACCACTGTTATTGTTCCAACAACAATAAACCTATCATTGGCAATAATGAGTCTTCAGCCTACATCCACAGGGTAAAACAGTGACAGAACCTGGCCACGTTGCAAAATCAAACCTTCTCACTTGAAAACAAAGCATCGCACATACAAAATTTTAAACCATGTTTCATCCAGAGACAACGAAACTGGCTCAAGGTCATACGGCTAATGCTTGCTAACGTATTCAGGTAACTATGGTTTTATTTGTATGTCATGTAAGTGAATTCACACACTAGGCTGAATTGAGACTTTTAAAAAAAAAAAAAAAACAACCTCTCTGACTTATGGCCAATCAGGACCAGAATTTTAAACGGCTGAGCAAGGCGGTGGTCCGGCGAGCCACGTCTGATGTTACAACCTTTTTGGCCACTGTGATGGTTTCGGTTGTAAAGTGAGTCACACCAACGTAAGGGGACTCCAGCTTTCTCCTTTGCTTTTGCTCGCCAGCTGGAAAGATCACAAATGGGAGCCAGGGAATCCTGGGATGCTGCAACCGTTGCAAATACAGGCCAGTTGCCAAGCACCTGAATTTTGATCACTTGACCGCTGGGAATGCTGCGACGGTCATAAATGTGAGGATTTGTCATAAGTCGCTTTTTTGAAGGCCGCAGCAACTTCAGAAGGCTACTAAATCAATGGTTGCAAGTCAATGATTGCCTGTAGCACATCGTGTAAGTACAGCTGGTGCTTTTACAAGTATTTTTCTTCTATATCTTGATCATCATCATCATCACAATAATATAATAACAGAGTTGGAAGAGACCTTGGAGGTCATCTAGTCCAACCCCCTGCTCAGGCAGGAAACCCTATACCATTTCAGACAAACGGCTGTCCAGTCTCTTCTTAAAAACTTCCAGTGTTGGAGCATCCACAACTTCTGGAGGCAGGCTGTTCCACTGGTTAATTGTTCTCACTGTCAGGAAGTTTCTCCTTAGTTCTAGGTTGCTTCTCTCCATCATTCCTTAAACTTTGCTTTATTCTCCTTTCAGTGGCTGGTCCATAGATTTTTTCCCCTTGTTTTTATAACAAAAACTAGGATCTAAGAACCATTTGTTTGTTCAAAAAGTTACACGTTTAAAAGCTCAATCTGGCCTATCGTAATCATCTCCCGGTATCACTTTCCGTGGTAGAAAAATGCAAATGCAAAAAAAAACCCCAAAACCTTTTTGTCACACAAGCTATGTGACTTCGGGAGAGATATTTTACAGCCCTGCAATTGGGCTTGAAAAGCATAGTTGATAGCTTAGAGTGCTGTGCAAATGAATCCCATGTTTATTCAATAAGCTTTCATTAAACACAACCCAACAAAAAATCAGCCAAATGTGGCTTATTCAATAAACACTGCTTACATATGCCACGAGAGAGCTTAACATTTGAATAAAGTCCTTCATCTGTACATTTCTGATACAACTGGAAGGTGTTTTGTGTTATGATTGTTTCATTCATGCTGGTCTTTCTGCTTGGATATAAACCCACAGAAGTTACAAACTACGGTTATGATCTTGCATGTTGTGCAAAAACCTAACTGTGATTTGGAAAGATACGATTAAACGAACTACGTTAGAGCTGGTGGCATTAATCAAACTAAGGAGATATTTATGATTGGGTTTCTGAGCCATTGGTTTATAGCCTGGCACATTGAGCAATCCCTGCCGATCAGAATGCGCTCAGTAAACTATGATTAAGCAAGCATGGTTTAATGTACTGTCCAAACCCAGATTGCCCTTTTAAAATCTCCTACAGCAGAGGAGCGATGCCACGCTTTTAGTTCAAGAACCTTGAACACCACTGCTGGCATATTTTCCCTTTTAACATCTTTCTCTTCCTTTAATGAGGAATAATTTGGAAGAAACCAGAGAAACTTTAGAACAGACCTTCAGAATCCAATCAAAGGTGAAGAACCACAGGGTGTCTTGCAAATTAGCTTTGTTGACCAGGACTATGCCTGCCGCTGTCACCATTAACCAATAATCACAGTTATATTTCTCTGTTCAAGTGAGCCTCATCAAATAGCCTCCTATGAAGGAGCTTAAATCATTTTTCCATCCAATTTCCTCACCGGCTAGGTCAGGATCCAGGGCAAAATTGACCAACTACTCAAGGTGCTCGTCATCTGAAGGAAGACCTTTCGGTTTGCTGCTTTTAGAGATGACTCAAAGGCTCGGTGAAGACTTTTAAAAAGAGACTTTAGGTCCACCCCTCAAAAAAATAAATAATAACCCCTGTAAAACTGAGCAGAAAGTCAGCCTTTTGGTGCAGAGGTACCACCTTCAGATTCCTGATTGGTAGTCCCGATTTTCCACCCCCGCCCAAAAAAGCAGCACCCTCTGAGTAGGAGGACACCAAAGGCAGAGAAGAAGCTTCCTTTTAATTGCTGGCCTATTTCAGGTCCTTCTGACTCATAACATGGGAACATCACTGGTGCCAGGAGAGAAACCAAATTTAGGTTCATTTAAAAAAAAAAAAAACATCCTCCACACACACACACACACACACGGGAAACACAGAAACCTGTGATAGTCAGACAATCTACCCCAGAACTGGGCTGCCTATAAAAAAGTCAGTTCAAAATAGGAAGCTGAGGTTTCAAACAAGTCATGCTTCAAGGATGCTTTGCTGAAAAGCCCAGGGTTGAATTTGCAGATTTACAGCTTCGTGCAATAGCTGAAAACCCAATTTAAACCAATGAAAGAATGCTTAGGGCGTGCATTCCTATTAAAAAAAAGAAAAAAGAAAAGGGAAGACACCACATAAAATATATATATATAATCTCCCGTGCAGGGACAATCTGAAGAGTCTTAAGGCTCTCGGCATCGTCCACTGAACCTGCTTTGCTCATACTTTCCTTCTAATAGTAGCAACCCAGACTCCAGGGCCCACGAAAGCAGAAGAGGCAATCCTTAGACTTCCTTAGATCAGCTTGCTAGCGTGATCCAGGTCCTAAGATCTCCCCAGCCAGCCAATCGCCCCGGCCCTCTGCATCGGCCATTCTGCAGTTCCGATGCCTCCTTTCACCCTGAGTTCTACCAACAGCCTGCTCCCCATTTTGTTGGGCATCCTGCATCCCTTGGCTCTTCTTCACCGTGCCCCCTTTCCCCAGAGGTTCCCTGGATCTACCAGGCTTGGCAAACATTCCAGCCAGTTCACAGAAGCAGCACACAGACCCAGGCTTAGATTGTCCCCAATTCCCTTCTGAATTTTTATTTATTTATTTATTTATTTATTTATTTATTGCAAAGCCAGACAGTGAAGTCAAAAAAACAAAACAAAACAAAACAAAAAAAAAAACATTTTCTGCCCCTAAAGGATCACAGATTGGAGATGGCATTCCAGGAGTTTTCATCTCAAACCGAAAAGAGTCCCCATTGCATTTTACTCCTGGGGATTGGGAAGGGGGGGGGGAAGACTAATTAAGATCCATCCTAGTTTGTAGGGAAACAGACCCCCAAATCATCTCCGTCCACCGGGTTGCTGCCTTCTCCCAAGCCCAACAACTACTCCATCCCCTCCAAGCCGGCAGCGTTGCCTACTACTTACTCTGACCGTAGAACCGCCAGCGCCTTGATGAAAGAGAAGCCCACGAACGGCAAATCTTCTCCTGAGGAACTTGCAGGGCTCAGCTGGGCGAGAGAGGAAGCAATCCTGGCGTTCTTCTCCTCCTCCGGGGCATCGAAATGAGAGGTATCATCTTCACGCTTGAGGCTCGGCACGAAGGGAGGAAGAGCTGGTGATTTTTTTCCAGGAGTCACGGAGGGGGGGAGGAAAGAAGGGGAAAGGATGAGCTGCAGTTTGGGGTCCCAGCGGCTCTCAGGCTCCCATTCAGCGGAGGAGGCACTGCAGCGGCTGCTTTTAATCTTGCTAACACCAGCAGGCTGAGCTAGGGCTCTCCAACCCTGTTACAGCAACAAGGAATTAACCCTTCCTCTACCAACATGGCCACCCGTTTTGCAGGGAAGAACCTCCACTTGCAGCTTGCCGGCTAGCCCGGGATCGGTCAAAAGCCAGCCGGGCCAAAATGAGGGAGTCTCTACCAGGCTGCTCTCTTTTCTCCAGTTCCTTCTGGAACAGGGAAGAAAAAAAAGAAGAAGAATATATATTTGTGGTTCGTTTAGCTTAGATGCAGAAAACCAGCCGGTCTGCATCAGCAGCAAAAGCCATCCTGGATAGCAGTAACAGCATCTTGGGTTGGGATGCTGGACCGGTGGTGGATTCCCGTTCCCTAAGTTAACCTTGAAAGGAGCAGCTGCGGCTGTTGGGTCTGAACCGCTGAGGTCAGAAGCAGCCTCCGCGATCCCTCTGCCTCTGGCTGGCTGAACCCTCTGAAGGGTGGATCGCTCCACTGCAGTCCATCTCCAAAATTCCTCTCCCTCTCTGGATTCCCAGTGGGCACCTTTGCCTCTCCGCTGGCCAGCAGCTTCACGGAAGCCTGGCTTTCATTGCAGTTGGAGAGGCAAAAGAGAGAGAGGGAGAGAGAGATCCCTAATCTTCATGCACCTTTGTCCGTTCCCACTATGCCTTTGATCCCTGGAAGTCACCGGATAGTGCTAATCCACCAGCTCCTCTCTCTCCACTCTGGCAAAACCGGGCATCCCTTTTGCCAAGCTGCTCCCTGTCAGAAGCGGGTGGACGGAGGAGAGTGTGCAAACGCGGTTACCATGGCTCCATACAGATCCCTCAGAGCTGAGCCGCGGCCGAGGCGGGTGGGGGGCGAGGGAGCCCAGCCAGCCGGCATTGCATCGGCGCTTCCTGCAGTGCAGGCTGCCGGCTCTCCGCTCTGTGCATGTTCCAAGGCTTTAACCCTCTCTGCCCATCTGCCTGCCAGACGCCTGCCTGCCTGCCTGGTAGTGACACGGAAGGATGAGTCACGGCTAGGGCTTGCCAGACTGCCAAAGCCTTTTGTAGCCCAGCTTGCTTTTTTTTCTTTTCTTGGGTTTTTTTTTAACCCTTTGCGTGCCAGGTGCTTTGAAGCCATTGCAGGGAGGGAGGGAGGGAAGGAAAAGAGAAAGAGGCAAGAGAAAAGGGAAGGGAAGGGAAAGGAGGGGAGGGAAGAAGGAAAAAGAGGGAAAAGGGAAGGGAAGGGAAGAAAGAAGGAAAAGAGAAAGAGGGAAGGGAAGGAAAGGGAAGAGAAAGAGAGAAAGAGGGAAAGGAAGGGGCAAAGTCCGAAAAGCAAAGGCAACAGGGAAACAATATCATAAAATTGGGGGGGGGTGTACAACTTATTTAACAAGTGCCTTGCTTAGCAACAGAAATTGTGGATCCAACTGTGTTTTTAAGTCAAGGACTAACTGTTGTCTTGAGAACAGAGATTGCAATTTACATCTTTGGGGACCGATCACTATGGCTGCATTTGAATCAAACTGGGCAAAATGTGCCCACTAGTGGATGTAACAGAGCACCTGGTGGGGGCACTTTTAAGGCTGGTAATCTGGTTCGTTTCTTCCTATTTTTACTAAACGGCTTTATGATAAGGGATGGTCCATAGGAAGGACTGAGCTGGGTGGCTTTCTTGCAGATGTTTCATTACCGAAATAGGTAATATCATCAGTGCTAGAAGGGAGTGGGGTTTGCAGAGAGGAGGAGGAGGAGGAGGAGGAGGAGGAGGAAGGAGGATTGTGGGACCATGGTGTTCTCTGAGTTTGATTGTTTTCTTGCAGATGTTTCATTACCCAGCTAGGTAACATCATCAGTGCTAGAAGGGAGGGGGGTTTGTGGAGAAGAGGAAGAGGAGGAGGAGAGGAGGAGGGAAGAGGGAGGACTGTGGGGTCTTTGCTATTCTCTGAGTTGGGTTGTTTTCTTGCAGACGTTTCATTACCCAGCTAGGTAACATCATCAGTGCTAAAAGGGTCCGGGGCTTGCCTACTAGCACTGAGGATGCCACCTAGTTTGGTAACATCAGGGACCCCTCATTTCAGCCTTGAGCTACAAATATTTTCCCTTGACGATGGTCAATATCTCCGAACCCAACTGGTGATGGCCCTGGCACATGGTATATTGTAAGGGAATAAAACGGTAAAGAGCATGAATTACCCAAAAATAAAAAGGGAGAGGTTTCAGATCTATGGGGCAAGACAAATGCAAATTATGAATGAAGACTTCGATCTTGCAGAATCGGATTGATTAAACACAGGCAGGGCTGGGAAAGCATATGCTTCGATGGCATAAAAGGACTTAAATGCCTGCCTGAAAGGATGAATGGATATCATTTAAGTTGCCAGGGATGCTAGGAAAGTAGGAATCCATAAATTGATGACAGTTGTGTTATGCTCCAGTGAGCGATGATAATGGGAAGAGACAGAAAAAAAACCCATGCAATATTCTAATGGAGGGTGATCTGGGGGAAGAAAAAACACCGTTCTCTTAGGTGATATAAACAGATGGGCCGAAATGAGATGAGAAAATGCAGAAGATTTGATGGGCCACCTGAAGACACCAGGATGAATGAGAGGATAGTCTGGTGAGCACCTGGTTTTTTATTTTTTATTTTTTTTAAGGCTCATTTTGAACCCATGTGTACCTGGAAAAATAAAACTTTAGAACAGGTGTCTCCAAACTTGGCAGTTTTAAGATCCGTGGACTTCAACTCCCATAATTCCCCAGTCATCAGGGAATTCTGGGAGTTGAAGTCCACAAGTCTTCAAGTTGCTGGTGAAAGATGGAGAGAATGCAGCATACCTCTCACAATGAGGGTCCTATTGAGCAAGCATAAGGAATGAAACATTCCTTTGAAACTGAGAAAGAAAGAAAAGAAAGAAAAGAAAGAAAGAAAGAAAGAAAGAAAGAAAGAAAGAAAGAAAGAAAGAAAGAAAGAAAGAAAGAAAGAAAGAAAGAGGGAGGGAGGGTGAGAGGAGAGACAAAGGGGAGAGGAAAGGAAAGTTTGTGTGTGTTACAAGCTAATTCATTTATAGCTACTTCTCATAATTTATAGGAGGGGACAGGGAGTGAAAATTATGGTTTTCCTAATTTACCGAGATTTACATCCATGAACTACATTTTTCTTATTTTTATACAGGAATAAGTTACGGACTAAACCCTGCTCACCAATAACGCAGGAAGCACTCTCTCTTTTTGAACCGAAGGAAACACAACCCCCATATACATATCAAATGATCTGGAATAGGAAATGCCAATTTATCTTCTCGGGCTTAAATCCTTCATTCAACAGCGGTTAGCCAGAACCCCCATCTATAGCCCCAAAACAGCTTGAAACAGACCAGCCATTTGCAACAGGAAGAAACGCGGTTTTTCATTAAGTGCTGTTTCTCCACAACTTGGTTAAAAAAGAGCGAGTCCTTTTTTTTAAAATGCCGATCTCCAAGCCAACAGCGACGCTGAGCTTGTTAGCTGGAGAGCTGACAAACGAGGTTCAAGACCCAGGACGCCACACGACTGGGTGAGCTCCCCGTTCCTTGCTCCACTCCTGCCCAGCAGTTTGAAAGCATGCAAACGCGAGTAGATAAATAGGTACCACTTCGGTGGGAAGGTCAACAGCCTTTGGCGTGCCTTTGGTGCCATACCGGCCACATAACCATGGGAAATGTCTTTGGATAACTAACGCCGACTCCCTCGGCCAAGAAACAGAGTTGAGCACCCGTGTCCTAGAGTCGGACACAGCTGGACAGGGAAACCTCCAAGCCAAATGATTCCCCCAATTGCTTTGAGGCCACGTTCCTGGACCCCACGGGAATCCCGTAGGGCTTACAAGACACCCCTGGGCTGTCACTCACAGTTAGGGATGGCGCTCCAGTCCACGTGGGAAAAGAACGGATGACAGCAAAGGCCTTCGTAATCCAAGCGCTCTTTCGGCCCACACAATAAACCCTGCAGCAGATCAAGAAACTCATGGCTGACCTTTACGTCCTGCGGGAATTTCAGGAACCTCTGCGTTTGAAAGAAACATAAATCTCCCTCAGTGGTTAAGAGAGGAGAAAAAAATTCCCCATCTTGCCCCTAAAGCTTCCAAATTCAAAACAAATAAAGAATAGTTCCCCCACCCCAACCCCCCCCCTTTCCTCCAGAATGGCAGAAAGCTGAATTAATTCCCACAACGAAAGCTGCTCCTCTCCGCTTTAAAAAGGGGATGTTTTAAATTGCTGCATCGAGACTTTATTGTTGCTAAGAATACATCCACCGGCGCCATTTAAGATCTTGGGGGAAGAGAAGATGCAAGGCAGCTTTGGGAAGCTGGCTTTGATCCCAGTCCCGGAGTTGAAGTTTTATTTCTTTCTTCTAGCGACGCCCGATTCGTTTCGCTCCATTTTATGTTTTATTAAGATTATTTTAACAGGCAGTCCTCGACTTACAGCTGTCCGTTTAGTGACCGTTTGACGTTACAACGGCACTGAGAAGAGTGACTTGTGATCGCTTTTCACATTTATGACCACTGCAGCGTCCCTGTGGTCACGTGATCAAAATTCAGCCGCTTGGCAGCTGACTCGCGTTTATGACGGTCGCAGCGTTCCAATCCACTTCTGTCACCTTCTGACAAGCAAAGCCAATGGGGAAAAGCCAGATCCACTTTACAGCTGGGTTACTGACTTAAAGGCTGCAGTGATTCACTTAAGAACTGTGGCGCTGACAAATACTTAACCGGTCCTTGTACTTAAGACGGTTGCAGTGTCCTAAAATCGCCTGATTGCGATGCTGATGCTGGGCAACTGGTTTGCATGGGCAACAGGGGTTACAGGGGGTCACGTGATCCCTTTTTGCAACCAGCTTCCAACGGACAAGATCCATGGGAAAGGGGCAACCGGGAGGGGGGGGGTCTTGCTTAACACCCGCCGTGATATGTTTAAGGTCAGTACAAAAAAAGGGGATAAAATGGAGCGTGATGATACGGGTACCTTGCTTAACGACCACACCACAATTAATTTTCCAGTTCCAATTGTGGTTATATGACCGCTGTCCCCCTCCCTCACCAGCCCCTCCTGCCTCTAGCCCCCCTCCCCACATCCCCCTGCTCAGCCCTTGGTACCCCAAAGCCCTTCATTCCCCTCCCAGGATCCCCCCTGCCCCTCGGATCACTTCCCCCAGTCCCTCCTGCCCCAGTGAGCGCCAGCCCCTCCCTCCCCATCCGCTCCTGCCTCTTGCCCCCTCCCAAAATCTGCCCTCAACCCTTGCTGTTCCAAAGCCCATCATCCCCCTCCCAGAAGCCCCCTGCGCCCCTTCCCTACCTCTAAGCCAGGGTCGTGCCCTCAAAGAGCTTGGGGAGCGAGGCATCCATGCTGAACTGGCCCCCCTCAGCCGCAGTCTCCCTGCGGGCCCAGCCCCTGAAGCCAGACCCCATTTTATGCGCATCCCCCATTGCCACCCACTCGAACGGAGAGAAGCTCCATTTCTACCTGAAAATTCAGGATGTTGTTGCAAGTTTTAGCCGAGGTCCCCTCGGTAAATGGCGATTTTCCGTAGATGACTTCATAAGCGACCACTCCAAGGGACCACCAGTCGCATCCCGACCCATAGGAGGTTTTGCTGTTGCTCAAGGCGCTAAGCACTTCCGGGGCCATATAGTCAGGAGTGCCAGGGGGCCCCTTGGCATCCACCTAGGACAGAAGGAAATCAGTTAGTTCAGCTTACTTAGGACAGCTGGAGTGAGCAGGTTAAGGTCACAGACCTTTGCCCAGTTTCTGGAAATGGAGAAGAGAAGCTCTAGTCGTAAGTCGTAAGTCGTAAGTCAAATCAAATGCTCTCTTCAAGAGACGATGCATTTTGAATCTTGATTTCTTCAGAAAAACACACCCGTCCCATCTGGCTTGAGAAGTTCTCCTTTTTAAGCATCTCCCAGATTTCTTCCGAACGCAGTTTAAAAACTCATTTTCTCTCCCATCTCTTAGTCGGTGTTAGTTAAGTTTCAACAAAATCCCAGCTGGCTAAGAAAACGCAAGGAGGCTAAGACTATTTTAATTATAATTTCGCATTGTGGTTTTTTTTGGGGAAAAAAAAAACTACTCAAGGTCAATAGAAAAGGAAAGCTATGGTTTTCAGCCAGGACTCGTTTAATATGCAAAATTCTATCCGTTCAATTAGCTTAATCAAGAGGCTTTTCTTACCACAATAAGAGACAAGCAGTTCTAACCGTAATCAAACCCACCATTATTTTCCGACCATAACCTCTGCTTCCCCAATTACTCATTTGATGTTTTCCTCCCAAAATTAGCAGGCACATGGTTAAACTCAAAGGCCAGGGCAGAGCTACCCATGATCGCCAGTCACCCACGGCTTCTGTTTACTTCAGCTGACAGACCCTTCAGGATAATTTAAAAGAATACAAAAAAAGAGAGAGGGAGGGAGGGAGGGAGGGAGGGAGGGAGGGAGGGAGGGAGGGAGGGAGAGAGAGAGAGAGAGAGAGAGAGAGAGAGAGAGAGAGAGAGAGAGAGAGAGAGAAAGAGTAAAGGGGGCTCCCAGAATAGATTATAGATACAGATAATAGAGTCCTCAGTCTGGCCAGATTTTGTCTTTAGGTGTGATACAATTAAAAAAAATCAGCTTGAAAGAATCACCACCAGTCATTCTTGGTTTGAAGCCTGACACATGGCGACTGAGGAATCCTGGGAGTTGAAGTCCACACATGGTGGCTGAAGAATTCCATTCCAGAGAAAGAGGAGGCAACTTAGCCCAGTTATTATGTGTGAGAGAAAGAGGGTGAAGAGCTCCTTAAGAGTTCCCAGAATGCATTGTGAATATAGATAGCAGACTCCTCAGTCTGGCAAGATTTTTATCTATGAAAGTGAAAGAGTAAGGAACTCAGCTTGGAAGATTCATCATGTGTCATTCTTGGTTTTAGGTTCTATAATCACTGACAATGCTGGTTGTGTATTCAGAGGCTGTGGTTCAGCATCACGTTAGAGTCACTGCACAAACAATGCAACGTTTGACTGTAGCCCTTAGCCAGAGTCTCAGACAGATGCTTATTTCCAGATTTTGGCCTTCAGGCCAATTTAATTTGGTCTAGTTGCTTTTCCAAGATCGTCACCCATCATCTGCGTAACTCTGTGATACAACTGCAATAGATGGCAATATCCAAGATTAAATGTCAATCTTTAATTTCTCCATTTCAAAAATATTTTATTACCGTTTTATCCGCTGTGATTTTGGCAGCAGAACCAAAACCCACCAACTTGATGTGCCCTGTTCTGTCAATGAGGATATTCTCTGGCTTAACATCTCTGTAAGACATAAAGAAGGTAAAAAAGGAATCAATAAAACTCTCTTCCTGAAATTAAAATTGCTTGCCCCATCACACTGCTGCTGAAACCATTACAGGGATAAGAAATCAAAAAAGATGCTTCCTAGTCTTCAGAACCGTTTCAGGCTACATTTTATCAGGAGCAAGTTGGGCTCACACAACTGTAACCACGTTGAAAGCTTAGCAATAGGTGGACACTGAGTCAGAAGTATTTATACTCTCCCCAGAACTGTTCAACTCCACTCAAAGTTTTCATGCCTAAGCCAGGACTAGAATTCACAGTCTCCTGGTGATTGGCCCAAAGTCACTCAGCCACTGTAGTGCCTAAGACGAGACTATAATTCAGTCTCCTACTTTCTAGCCTGGTGCCTTAACCATTAGTCCAAACTGCCTCTCTTATGTTTGGTTAAGTATACAGAACTGACCAACTCACCGATGGACATAGCCCATTTGATGGACGCTGTGAATGGCCAAAACTAATTCTGCTAGATAAAACTGCATGGTGCTTTCCTCCAGTTGATCCTCGTATCTGTTTAAGAATGAGAGCAGGTCTCCTCCGGGCTCATAATCCATAACCTTGACATCATGTGGAAGTAATCAGGCCCACATAGAGAGGGAAATAAAATTTGTGAAATAGTAGGTATTAAAGACGATGCGGTCTCTTGAAAATTAAAAAGCAGTTTCTGCATTTGATCACCTGCTCATATTTGCATGCAGTTAAAGGTCAATAAGGAAGCGTGGGCTAAGCACAATCAGAGAAGAGTTCTCGTTTTTAACATGAAGGATAAAAATGGCTGTTTTGTCTTTTATTGATTTCCACACTCTCAATAAATCACAAAACCCAAGTTTTATTCTGCCTGAAATTTTCAGGAATTTTCCCCCCCCGAACCGGTATTTAATCTATTGTTATCATGCGAGTGGAATTGAATCCCATAATGAGAATTTCTATTTAATTTTTCTCTTCCCCGTCTGCTTAAGGTTGCAACCTCCACCAGAAAGGGATGAATATATACACAAATCCACCGTTTTTATGCCTTTCAGTCAGTCCTGACTCTTAGTGACTGCCTGGACAAGTCCCTGCAGTTTCCTTGGCAACATATTTTAGAAGTGGTTTGCCCTTGCTTGCTTTCTCCTACGCTGAGAGAGGGAAGGACTGGCCCAAAGTCACCCAGCTGGCTTTGCGCTTAAGGCAGGACTAGAACTCACAATCTCCTGGGTTTCTAGCCAGACGCCTTAACCACTATATCACTTAAGTAAGGAGGTGCGTGGGTAGGCAGATGAACGACATTGATACATATACGCCTCTATTTTTCCTTCTAACACACTTAAAAAATTTTCTCCATCCATCACAAGTAGTCCTTAACTTACAACAGTTCATTTAGTGACCATTGAAAGTTACGACAGCACTGAAAACAGCAACTTAGGATGGTGTTTCACACGTACAACCGTTGCAGCCTCCCCCATGATCACATGATTAAAATTCGGATGCTTGTCAACCGACTCGTATTTATGACGGCCGCAGTGTCCGCGGTCAGGTGATCTCCTTTTGCGACCTTCCGACAGGCAGTCAGTGGGAAATCTGGATTCACTTAACAACCGTGTGACCAATTTAACAACGGCGGTGATAGACCTAATCGCCCTGGCAAGAAAGGCTGTAAAAACTGTCTCACTTAACAACAGAAATGTTAGGCTCGATTGTGGTCGTAAGTCGAGGACCACCAGGACTTGCAAAGTGATGTTTAATTCCATGCAGTTGTGATGTCATTGTTAATTTGCACAAGGCCCTTCGTTGGGCATGGGAGAAACGCTGCATTACCAACAGAGGCCTGAAAGATTTCAAATAGCCCCTTTTTAAAAAGCTGGCATGGAAAAAGATTTAAATATGGACACAACTGGAAAAATTGTAAGCTCAGTTTGACACCTAATTTCCCTCTCAAACTGCTCTGAAGCCAGCCTAGCACAACTCAGCTCTAAACAGCCAACTACGTGCCTAAAACCCTACAAAGCCACCATGAGTTTTTGCAAACGCAAAGCTTACCAAGTAAAGATTCTTTTTATCTTGGAAGGCATAGTGAAGACGTGGGATCCAAGGGCTGGCATTCTGGGATAGGATATTTCTCTCTTCCTCAAAGAAGACCTAAAAAAAAAAATGATTTTTTTAGAAGACTAAATTCATGAAGAGAGAGGGGGGGGAACGTGGATCTAACTTTAGATGCTGGAGTTGCATCCGAAACGGTCATGCAGATCACAAGCCACAGATATTTTTTAGGCCTAATTGTTCCATTTAAGGAGCTCTCCCTTTTCCAACTTATTAAAAAGACAAGTTTCTAGCTCCTGCGAATGCAAGATGTAAACATTTGAGAGTTTGCTACGGACATAGCCAGATATACTCCTCGGTCCCAACAAATGTCACACCCCAGATTTTGTCGCTTTTGGAAATGTTTGGAACATCAAGACACACATACAAAGAGGGTGAGACTTTTGCACTGCAATGACACAATGCAACTTTTGCCAGAGTGTCCCAGTTGATCCTCCCTTCTGTGATAGAGAGGATTTTTATATCGTTTTATATCAAGCCTGCCTATATTTCTGACAGGTCCCTAGGGAGACGCCAAGGACTGTATGTGCAAATTTCCTGCAATTGCCGTTAAACCTCTGTGGTTACAAAATTCTCCCACCAAACAGGGGCGTACCTGCTCTTTTCCCAGCAGTGTCTCCTTGCTCATCACCTTCATGGCATAAATGTCACCAGTTGCCTTTTCTTTCACCAGCTGGACTTCTGCAAAATGACCGCATCCTAACAAATTCCGGATTTCAAAATCTTTCAAGCTGGGTTGAAGTTCCCGGAACTCGGCTATTGAATCTGAATCTGCAGAAGATCAGGAAGGTGGGTGGGGGGAGAGAGAAGAAACAAGCCATCAGATTAACCTTTCTCAACTTCAGCAGCTTTAAGATATGTGGACTTCAGTTCCCAGATTTCCCCCTCCAGTAGAGGCTGGGAAAGACTGCATTAGGTTGAATTTAGCCAAATCAGTCCTGTTTCACCCATAATACTGCTTTGATCTCCTCTGCGTACAAATCTCTGGCGTATTCTGGGAACTGAATCATAAAATTCCTACGTTTGAGACAGACTGATTTACAAAAAGCCATGATTCTTTCTTCAAAACCCTTCCCCTTAAGCCAGCGATTCTCAACCTTTTTAATGCCGCGACCCCCAACCGGTCGTAAGTCGAGGACTACTCAAGTGGTGCAGCACCGTTTGCAGAATGGGACTTTTGGCGGGCTCAGCAGGGCAGAGACAGCCTGGACAATTCCTATTGGCTTTTGAAAGCCAATAGAATTAGACTCTATTCAAGAGAGTCTATTCTATTGGCTTTCAAAAGCCAATAGAATAAAAGGGAGTAGCACAGCTAAGGAAAAGGGGGGAAAAAATGGCGGACTGCGTTGTTTGGCGACCCCCGTGAAATGGTCGTTCGACCCCAAATGGAGTCCCGACCCACAGGTTGAGAACCACTGCCTTAAGCAAACACGCTAAATGTTTTCAGGCTGCTCTGCTCTTTTGGATCTCCAGTAGTAGATCCCTTGCCGATAGGCACAATCCTTGTTACTTCCTTCATCTCCCACTCTTTAAACCAGGGGTCCCCAATCCCAGGGCCATGGACCAGCACCGGGCCACGGCATGCCACAAAACCGGGCCGCGCAAACAAGCAAATTTCCATCCGTGGGATGCAGGCAACACGCAAAACCTCATTCCCCCGCCCCTGGTCCATGGGAAAACCTCTCTCCACGGAACCGGTCCCTGGTGCCCAAAAAGTTGGGGGCCACAGTACCAGGCCAAACCAGACGTCAATAGGTGGCTATTAGGCTGATGTTTCTCTCTTGTCAAGCAACATCCGCTCCAAATTCTCCCGGAAAAAATTGTGTTTTGAGGCTCTCAGAGGAAGTGAACCAGACCTACGCTTTTTTAAAAAATTGCCCGCGTGCTTGATTTTCATTAGCAGAGGACTGCTGCATTCCCCATACAGCACCATAAGGGCGTCCAGAATGCCTTCTCTTGAGAACGGAGACATCTGCTGTTGTGTCAGAGGCGGGAGTTTCCCCTGAAAACAAAGGCAACAAGAACAGAAGAGTCATATTTATACACAATTAGTAAACTGTCCTATTTTAGAAACATGTCATACAGCGGGTTGTTGGAGGTTGGTATAAAATGGCCAATTTCTTTCATTTTTACAGGAAGGGTTTGGGAGCTATAGGTGGGAGGGGGAGGCGAGAGGGAGGGGAACAAGGGATGAAATTCCATATTATCGCGATGCCAAATCTGCCAGTTCGATCTATGCATCTGACGTCAAGGTGCCACTAGACAAGGGCAGACTTTGTGCTGCGTATGTCATTCTGACGGTGTGTTGTCACCTTGACTCAGTTGTGTTGCTGCTGCTGGACTACATCTCCCATCCTCCTTCCCGTGGGACTGGAGGAAACTGGAGCGCAACCACTGGAGGAGTTAGCTTGTCTAACCGCTCCCATTACACCAGCGTTTTCCCAACTGTGGCAACTTTAAGATACGTGGACATCAACTCCCATGGTTGGCTGGGGAATTCTGGGAGTTGATGTCCACGTATCTTCAAGTTGGGAAAAGACTGCATCACATCAAATTAACCTCTGTTTTTAGAGCAACAATTTGGAAAACAAAACAAAACACTGTCCTGTAACCAAGAGAATCAGATGAAGAATAAGCAGCCTCACTGCCTCCTACACAATTTCTAGTAAACAAACTAAAAGCACCTTTTGCTCTTTCGTAATAGACAAATTGGAAACCAGACAGGTGTCCTTAAAAGGAAGCTTAGTTTTTACCACCTCAGAGGGCTGGGTCAGAACCAATAGGTTCAAACAAGAAGGAATTCTGTTCGTTAGAGGTGAGAAAGATGTTCCTGACATGTCAGCCAGTGGAACAGCCTGCCACATGAAGCGGTGAGTTGGGCTCCAACAGGGCAGATTAAATAGGAAACAAATTAACAAGCAAAGTTACCTGAAGGAGCAGATTAAGCCGAGAAGCCCGGCTGGCAATAGAGTCCATCGCGCCCGGTTCTGCTGGATGGGGTGTTGCATATTTAAATTTCAGCATCTTTATCCGCAAAGAACACCCCCACTAAGATGGAATCTGTAGCACATAATCTCTATTAGAAAGATTAACAAAAAAGGGGAAGATATAAGATCTTTGGCTCTTTTAATTCTGGAAATCTTATTATGTTCGGCTATTAAATCATTTTAAAAGCAGTCTGGTCTAGTAGTTAAGGCAGCAAGCTGGAGACTAGGAGACAGTGAGTTCCGCCTTAGGCACGAAAATGGTTAAGTGACTTTGAGCCAGTCATTCTCAGGCATCCCACGGGCTGGTTGTTGTGGAGAAAATCGGTGGAGGAAGAACTATTGTGTTTTTAAAAAAAACCCTCTTGTACGTAGGTTAAAAAAAAAAAAACCTAAAAATCAACTCAGCCAGCGTACACTGAAAATAAAGATTTCATAAACGATATTGTTTGATTAATAAGCGACAACTCCAAGGAATCTTATTATTGAATATATCAGTTTATAATCACTCCTCTCAGGCCCATAAGGCAGCCAGCAATCCAACTGTAACGCACAACCGTTTAAAGGCCCCGGAGGAAAAATGATAGCTAAAATAATTTTCCACCAGATTCAAAAAGCCTGGCTGAAGGAGACATCAGTTGGTTCTTCAGGATGAGAAAGTCAGGGTTGAACGAGATTCTTGCTTCCACGGTTTGACGACCAGAAGAGGACATAAAAGTTATTAAACCCTGACTTTAAACCACAAATAGATTTCCTGGCCCCATTCCTTTTTCCCTCTGGTCTGACGGGGCAGCCATTAGCCAGATGTCAGAGGGGAAAAAGTGATCATTTTGAGGCAGATGTTAGCAACACTGGAACAGGCAATTGTGATGAGAATCCATGGGGGATTAACCTTCCCAGTTTTCCTCCTGCTGGGAGGAAGATGCTGCCTTTCTTTGCCCAAGGGGAAATTTGGCATCTCCAGCCCCATCCTTGAACGCATCATCCGAGTCTCACAACTATCATGTCCACAAAGGGAAAATTATAAAAGATACAGGGAGCCCTTGACTTTCTTTTATTAAGCTAGAGTGAGTTTTGCCCGCATCTTACTGCTTTTGCCACAGTTAAGTGAACTGCGTGGATATTAAGCAAATCTTTGTCCCCCCCCCCCCCCGTCGGCTTTGCTTGTCAAAAGCCGATTGGGAAGGTTGCAAACGGAGATCACATAATCCAAATGGCAGCACAACGGTCATAAATACATGCCAAGGGTCCAAGTCTGATCACATGACCATAGGGACACTGCAGCACTTGTGTGAAAAAATGGTCCTAAGGCTATTTTTTTCAATGTTGTTATAATTACAAACGATTACTAAATGAATGGTTGTAAATCAAGGACTACCTGTACAGGAGGGAATATATGACCGAACAAAGCAAGGAGCTGCCTTATTTGACAATATTTATGACTCATTAAAAATCCAGCCTATTCTGGGCAAGATATAAGAGCAAAACCAACAGTAACAAGTGAAATAATCCAAAACACACATCATAGGTGTGCATAAAAGAAAATGAATAGAATAGAATAGGAATAGAATAGGAAAATAGAATATAGAATAGAATAGGAGAATAGAATAGAATAGTATATAGACTATAAAATATAGAACAAGATAAAAGAGAATAGAACAGAATAGAAATGGAGATATAGAAATAGGAATAGAGTAAAAATATAGAAAGGAATAGAACAGAACAGAATAGAAATAGAAAAATAGAAATAGGTATAGAATAACTTTATTGTCACTTTAAATGTACGCTAATCAGCATACATTAAAATATTTTGTTTACATTTTATATATATGCACACATATATATAAATAGAAATATATATAGTAAAATTAAGATAAAAAGAAACGCCAGCCCAGCCAAACCAAGCCAGCCAGTTCTTGGGGGGCTCCTCAAGGCCCACACCTGAAAACTCGGGTTCGGCGTTCTGCATTCTATTGCATTACACGTAACTATTCCATTAAGGACAGCGCAACGAGCACCTCTGAGCATGTGCAGAGAACCCCTTCGGCTGGCCAACACCGCCCCCCCCACGCTTCCCTCAGCTGAGGCTTACTCGCTCCCCGCGCCCTCCGGAGAAGCGCCGATCCGGAGCTCGGTCCGCCGCCGCCAGCTCCCCTCACGCGTCCCGCGGCGCAGCTCCCGCCATCGGCGTTTGAACGGAGCCCCGCCCGGAAGCCCCGCCCCGTCTTCGCCCCGCCCTCCCGGCCGCTCTGACCCGCCGAGTGGCGTCATCGGCGCTCTCCGCCAATCCTCGCTGGGGATGGCGTCACCGAGAGGGGCGGGCAGGTCCGCGTGCGTGCCGGCTCGCGTCGTGCTGACGCGTCCCCTGCCCGCTAGGGAGGCCCCGGGGGGCGTGGCCAAGCGAGCCCAACGGTCGCACCGAGTCTCGGAGGGGCGGGGCGGCTGGGGTCACGTGCCCCGCGAGAGCCCCGTGATGCAGGCTCCAGGGCTGCGTTTGCACGACGCGTGTTGCCTGTTCAGCGGCAGTAAATAATTATAATCATCATAATAAAAATTATTAACCATTTTTGGTCAATATAGGATGCAAGGCAATATACAAAGCTAGAAAAAGGGCTAATTATATATATATATATATATATAGATACACATATATGTACACACACACACACACACACACACACACACACACACACACACACACGACTTGAGGCATTTATGGCAACGCAAAGACTCCAAGCTAATAGCACATTTAACTCTGTCCCCCCAGCTCTGCCTGCTCTTCTACAGCTGGGCTGTCACCTCTGTTGTTTCACATGCTTTGTGATGTCACAACAGCTGGACAACTACCTGGCCTGGCCAGTGTCCCTGGGCAGCAGAAGAGCATGGGAAGGTAAAGAGGCTAGCCCCTTGTCTTTCAGTCTCGCAGAATCATGTCCAACCTTCAACCCAAAGAGTGCCCCAATGCCGAAGGCATGGTCCCGGTGACCATGATGAGTTCGGACACCGATTGGCTGCATTGCCGCGCCGGCCTCTGCAAAGTCAGCCTCTTCGACGACAAAGTCCCGACTGACAAGCAGCGGAAGCTGGTCTGCTTTGTCGACGTCTCCAGCCTGAGCGCCAAGAACCAAGACCAGGATGCCTTGTCCACTTCCAGTGAGTTCAACGGCACGGAGGCCCTGGAAGGAATCGACCTGGGGGAGAGGGAGATTGTGGTCATCAGAGACGAGAAGAAGGGCTTGTCCAACACTGAAGGGGCCGTGTGTTTCTTCAAGCAAAGCTCCTGCGAGAAAGGGAACGTAAGCGGTTGGCTCCACAGGGACCTTGAGAAGTACGCCATTGGATTCCAGCATGCTCTCAGCCCTTCGAAAGGACCCAGGAAAAACCTGCCTTGCGAGGCGGCAGCAGAGAGGACGGTTCAGAACGGACCGGCTCCTTTCAGCTGTTCTGGTGCATAAGACTCAGCAATCGTTCTGTCCGTGAGAAGCTGCATCTTTGGACCTTCAAATGACATGCAGAGAGATCAAAGATCATCAATAAATTCTTTTTGTAAATGAAAGCTGCAGTGAGCTGTCATTATTATAATCTGAGGTCTGGTAACAGCCAGGAACTGACCTGCATGGTGGTTATCACCCACCAAAAAATGTCTAGATTGTGACCCGGTAGTCCCACAACCTTACTACCTCAGAGACCCCGTTTCTTGTATTTTATTCTGAATCACAGCTTTTTGGCTCTGTGTGTGTGGCTTGGCTTCCCTCCTCCCCTCAAGTTGCTGCACTCATTTCTATCTTTGGAAGGCTTGGCAATTGGCCTCCTACGCCTTATTTTATTTTCCTCCCCAAATTAGTAATGATGTGCAGTTGGCTTTGTCATACTTGGCCCTGAAACCATCGTCTTCTTTTTTTTTTTTAATGGTTTCTGCAAAAATAAATTCTTGGTCTGTATCTCTTGTTTCATCCATTGTTTGTCTACTAACATTTGTTTAGACTCTCTTGCAAGGATGTATATTTGGAGGATTTCTGAAAAGTAATTAAATCCTGGCATCAATGGAAACAACGAGGGAAACGTGTAATAACAAAAGTGGCATTTTATTTGGTCCGTGTTAAATCGTTGCCTGCTTGGCATGGACTAAAGCATCGAGTGCCACCGAGTGATTAATTTGGTTTTGGCTTAGTTGATGGTTTTGTTTATGAAACCACAATTGCCTGGCATCAGAGATGGTAGCAAACTATAAACTATGATTTACAAGCCACCAATGCTTGCTGGGTGATGCCTTCCCAGCTCCACTGAACTTCAACTCCCAGAATTCTCAGTGACAGGACTGGAAGGCACCAAATGTCACCTTCTGAGGTTGGCTCCTTCAACAGGTTTTACAGCAGGGCTCTTCAAAGTTGGCCCTTTGATGACTTGAGGATTTCAACTCCCAGAATTCCTCCACCAGCATGCTTGGCTGAGGAATTCTGGGAGTTGAAGTCCTCAAGTCATCAAAGGGCCAAGTTTGAAGAGCCCTGTTTTACAGCATCCTTTTTAGACTCCAGGTAGTCCTTGATTTAACAGACATCTATCTGAAATGATATAGGGTCTCCTGCTTGAGCAGGGGGTTGGACTAGATGACCTCCAAGGTGCCTTTCAGCCCTAGGATTCCACGACTATCAATAGGGTTACAAAAGTTGTGTGCATTGTTGCTATCCAGCCCAACACGGCCCCCTGCTGGCGATCAGTGGTAGGAAAAAGCATTGCCAATCATGAAATCTAAAATCCGGACATAACTGCATGCTTTGAAGCATTAAATTAAACGAAGCAGTATTTACCCAACTCCATAACATATTGAACCCCAGAATTAACACTCGGCAGTGCAAAACCAAGTCACAAGACAAGTCCACCCCATTCTGGCATTATTCAGAAATGTAGCACAACAAGATAAAAAGGGAATTGGAAGTTATCTTTTTGTTATGCTGGCAATAAGTAAGACCCAGCGGACTTTGGTTAGCTTACAGCTCAGAGTGTTGTATGAATTGCCTTATATGTTCCAGTATCTCAGGGGCTGCCCCAAAGAAGAGGGAGTCAAGCTATTCTCCAAAGCACCAGGAGGCAGAACAAGAAGCAATGGATGGAACTAACCAAGGAGAGAAGCAACCTAGAACTAAGGAGAAGCTTCCTGACAGTGAGAACAATTAACTAGTGGAACAACCTGCCTCCAGAAACGGTGAATGCTCTGACACTGGAAGTTTTTAAGAAGAGATTGGACAGCCATTTGTCCGAAATGGTATAGGGTTTCCTGTCTGAGTAGGGGGTTGGACTAGATTACCTCCAAGGTGCCTTCCAACTTTATTATTATTATTATTATTAAAAGTCCAGCCACTGTGACACAAGCAAATCAGAACAATGTCAACACCAAAACCTAATAATGATAAAAAGCCAACATGAAGCAGGTTGAAATAAACGTTTTATTTTAAAATTAAAAAAGCCTTAAGGCATGTCCCAAATTTTGGACACATTCTGTAAGTCAGCCCATTTGAGGGGTTCAAAAGTGGTTACCCTATGATGCACTGTTTTGCCCACCCAAAGGTTACCGGAATCAGAGTTTTAGTAGCATGTTGGTAAAAAATAAGTAAATAAAAGGAATAATACCCTACTTTTTTCAACCTCGGCAACTTTTAAGAGGCCTGGACTTCAATTCCCAGAACTTTTTTTTTTTTTTTTTTGGTCCATGTTGAAAGTCGTGGTTCAAACCCGAGTCGCTATAGCAACTTGACAATGAGATGAGACACGCTCAGTAAAGCTTCCCCGGGATTATATCCTGAAAAATAAAATCCGATCACAATACGAAAGTGACTAAGAGCTGAGATGAAATGAAACGTGGTAGATGTTGCTACCTGCCAATTAGGAGGCATGGAGAGGAAAAGTAATCACTGGCAGGCCTGCTCTTAAGGCCAACGCACCACGTCCTTGCATGGATCGGCTCTTTATATAACAGCCACCACATTGTTTTAAAGGGGGAGGGGGGGGCACGAGCAATAAAACATGCCATGTGGGAAGTATTAGTAAGTCTGGAACAAACTTTCCCAGGATAGATGCCTTCCCTTCCCCGGATGTGATTAGTCTGGAATGGTTATGAACACTAAAACCCCGGAGTCAAGCCCCACTTATCTGCCTGTTGACTCTGTCGTAGCTCTTTCTCCTTTCTTCCAAAGGCATTCCCTCTGACCATTGACTTCGTAGGAGCTCTTCCTAGCCTGTGCTCCCTCTGACTTGGTAGCAACTTGTCCTCCAAGGCCATTCCTCCTTCCATATACAATACAGAAGTCTTCTTTTGGATTTTTTTAAATTTTAATTTTGGATTTTTGTATTTTCCAGTCTAACCTGCAGCCCTAGATTTTCCTGATGCCTTACCATGTCTGACTTCCTTCAGCTGTTCATGATCAGCTCCCAGTTAGCTGGGAGAGACTGGATTCAAAGAGCTCAACCATCCAAACAGGCTAGATCACAGAAGACGGCTCAGTGGACTGTTTATCCCAAATCTATTTCCTACGCATCCTCCATTAAAAAAAGCATTCCCGTATGGATTTGGACCCGAGCAATCTTTGGCTCCGCTTCTTCCAAGCACAATAAAGCAAACGGACCAACAGTGCATGAGGGATTTCAAAGTAACCCCCTCCATTTTTTTTCTGCCAATGGCAATCAATAATGAAAATTGTTTGGGACTGCAGATGAACGGGAGGTTGTGCAGTAAACAAAACATTCACGTCCCCAGAGCGAGCGTGTGAAGGGAGCTGCAGATAGGCTGAGGCGCTGATGTGACCCAATGCGGGGGCCATTCAGAAATGGCACGGTGATGGAGTCACACACACTTTTAGCCATCGTCGTATGAATTATGGGCCCCGTCTCCTGCAGGTCAGCCTGAGGAATCTAGGGCACAGCTTTGTTTGGGGTGGATTAAAGCCCTCGATCTGTAATCCCTTTGTGTGCTAGACTCTGGAAAGAGATTTGGAGATACATTGCTCAAGTGGGATCTAGGTAATCAGGCCAGAAGATTACAAAAAAAATCTTCCAGAATGAGACACACTCTATCTTTCTTCTGGAACAGAAGCACTAGTGATTGTACAATTATTTGGTTCCCAAATTGGTAAGAGGGCGAGGGTAGGGGATTGGGGGGCGGGGGGAGGGGGAGGGGGAGAAGAAAGGGCATCACTCCATGCTTCTCTTTTGTACTTCCACCACAACATCACACATGCTATGACACGCTTTCATCCTTTGGCCATGCCTGCAAATTGTGTTAAACTTTCGGTTTGCTCAGTCGTACTCCATTGAATAATTCATGATAGTTATGTCTGGATTACATTTCCAAAAAAAAAAAAAAAAAGCACATCATGAATTGGTCTCAGCTTAGTGCACCACAAGTATTCCATCACCATGATCGTAAAACCCAGTTTATGGCTTGGAACATTGTGGAACCTAGCCAACTGTAGCTTAATCAGTTCTGCCGTATTTACAGAATCATGGCTTCCTGTAGCATATGAAACCAAGTTCTTCCTAGCCTGGGGACCTCTAGTGCTGGAAAATTACCAGTGGCCTTTATGTTAAGAAATTATGGGTGCTGTAGTCCAGTACAACATAACTTCAAGCTAAGGAAAGACTTCATCAGTAAGTTTTTTGATATTATTATGAGGGTTTTTTTTTTAGTATTCTAATGACTGTTTTCACACAACATGTTAAGGCCTAGCTTATTTTATTTCATCAAGGTTTGTTGGAATAAACCACTAATAGTTAGCTCAACAAAACTGACTGACAAGGGGCCTGTTTACCAGGCTTCAATCACTTCCCTGGCTATTTTTGTCCCTACTCGTCCAACAATCTTAGTAGCTGGAAAATCGAATGTGTGTCCTTTTTCATTGCTGGGTGAGGCTACTGATGGGCTTGGGTCTCCTCATCTGACCACTTGCTGTTATGATAGATCTATTATGATAGTCCACTCCAGACACCCGATTTGTAAAGGGCACCTGGGGATTTCCCTGACAACTTACAGACATTTCTGTCATCTCAGGAATATGGAAAAAGCCTAAAACACATCCGGATGACGAGGCTCATTCATTCTCTAAAAATGATATCTGATGAAAGACAAGGATTTATATTTCTCTGTCTTAGGAACCTTATCAACAACTACTCAAAATCTGGAGAGAAAAAAATCTCAAAATGAAGACTGTTCATTCATTGCGCTGTACTTGTGTGTGGGTTTAGCTTAGCATGTGGTGCAAATGCAATCAGTTGGGCTTTATATAACAAAACTAATTCTACACAACATTGCTTTTACAACAATAAACTCACTGGCCTGGTTCATACATTTTACTGAGCTATAACGAGGCTCTTTGATGTAGCATGTTCTATTAACCTAACCAATAGGAACTTGGTGTATGATAATGTATGAATTTACCTCCAGCCCTAAATTGGGGGATAAATACTTTTTCATGCCTGAAGAATGAAAAACAACAAGCATTAAATAACTTGAGGCACATTCACTGAGTAGGCTGCATTAGCCAACTGGCTAATCCTGGTTGAGTTTAATCTCAACTGTTATTTATCAATTTAGGCAAGTGATGTGTCTTGGGGAGCTCCCAGCTCTGAGGTTGGCTTTTGGTTCAATGGATTGTATAAAATCAGAAAACAAGTCAATACATTAACTGGGTTAAACATGTTGGTTAAACATTTAAGATGGTGTTTCTCAACCTTGACAACTTTAAGATGTGTGGACTTCGACTCCCAGATTTCTGCCAAGCTGGCTGGGGAATTCTGGGAGTTGAAGTCCACCTCTTGAAGGATGCTGGTTGGGAAATTCTGGGAATTGAAGTTTACACATCTTAAAGCACGCTGGATGGGGGATTCTGGGAGATGAAGTCTTCAAATTGTCCCGGTTGAGAAACGCCGGCCTAGGACTTCACTGCCCTTCCCTGGCCTTTCCCACCGTGCACCCTGCTTTCCTCTCGCCCCGAAGAACAGCCGGCACCGGATTGAGCCCTCCTCAACCAACAGGCCAGCGCGAATGTTCTGGTGCCAACCGGGATGGGCGGGGGTTAAGCCTGGGGAGGGGCGGCGCAACACCTGTGGGCGTGACCGTGGAGACACCCGTCTCGACCAATCAGAGCCGGCGGCCGAACAGGTGCTCTCTGGCGTCACGGGCTGTGGAGGGGGGGGGTGGAGGAGCCGGCCGCCCCTCCGCCGCCGCCGCCGCCGGTGGCTTCGCGAGCTTCCCGCGTCCGCGCGATGTTTGGCCGGCGCTCCGGCGGCGATGGGGCTCGGCGCGCGGGGCTGCCAAGCGGGGCCGCCGGCAGCAGCAGCAGCAGCAGCAGCAGATCCGTCCCCGGCCCCCGCAGCAGCAACGGCCCGCTCCTCTCCAGCCCCCGCCGGGCGCCCGGCTCGCCTTGAGAGCGCCGGGCTGCGCAGGCGGCGGCGGCTCCAGCGGGCGTAGGCGGCCGCTGCCCTTGCGCGCCTCCCCGGAGGAGGCGGCGGCGGCGGAGGAGGAGGACCGGGAGCCGGGAGGAGAGGCCAGCGGCCCGAGGGCGGCCCGCTGCGGGCTCCGGGCTCCCTCCTCCTCCTCGGCCGCCGTTGCCGCGCCTGGAGTGGCCCGGGGCCCGGCCATGTCCGCCTTCTGCTTGGCGGGACCCCTTTCAGCACCTGCCGAGCTGGACAGCGCCTGCCGCATGGAGCGCCCGGGAAGCGCCGCGCCGGCCCCGCCGCCCACGACGGCCGGGCAAGAGACAGGCGGGCCGGCTGCGCTTCTTCCGGCGGCGGCGGCGGCGGCGGCGGCGGCCTCCCCGTCGGTGGGCGGCGAGCTGGAGCTGGCGCTGGAGGAGGAGCTGGCCCTGCTGGCCTCGGCCGGGGAAGGGCCCAGGGAGGCCGAGGCGCAGGACCCGGCGGCGTTGCCGCCAGCCGAGCCGGAGCTGCTGTCGCTGATGAGGCAGAAGGAGAAGGACCTGGTGCTGGCCGCCCGGCTGGGCAAAGCCTTGCTGGAGCGCAATCAGGACCTGAGCCGCCAGTACGAGCGCATGTACAAGGAGCTGACCGAGAAGCTGGAGGTGAGGCTGGCAGGCCGGGGCGGTGACTCAGGACTCGGCAGCTGGGGAGGACTGGCCGGCCTTCCCCTCGTGAGAAGCCCGAGGGGAGGGGCCGGAGGGGTCCCCCCTGACCATGTGCAGAGCGCATCTCTCCGGGGTCGAGGGCGCCCCTGCCCGGAGCGAGCAGCCCTTCCCCGTGGGCTTGGGACTACAGCTCCCAGCATTCGTAGCCATGTTTCACAGGGAGCGGCTGGGAGGGGGCCATGGGACATGGTGTCCAGAGCACCAGGCTGGGGAAAGCTGCGGAGGATGGACACACCTTGGAACGCCTTGATTTAGGGGGGAAAGAGGCCGGGCAGGGAGAGGGTGGGATTCCGCTTCATCTAAGCAGAGCTTTAGAAACAAGCCGAAGGTTTGGGGGCCCGGCAAACCAGGATTGATTGAATGTCACGTGGAGGAAAGCCAGAGGAAGAAGGAAATACGTTGGGGAGTAGTCGTGGCCCATGGGGGGTGCTCCAGTTCTTCTCAGGTGTGTCAAGAGCACAATTCCTCCAGGCCCAAGCTGGTTGGGAATGATGGGAGTTGCAATTGTTTCATCTGGGGTGGGGTGGGAAATGCCAGACTATTTAAGGTGACGGGGGTTACATAAATAGGCCCACATCTCCCCTTAAGCCTGTATTTACCCAACTGTTACTCAGGGGTAAACCGAATCCACTTTCCTGGATTTGCAGAAGGTATTAAACGAGGCGAAAACAAGATTGGGTGATGTCTGCAAACCAGGCCTTTTTGGTAAACCACAAAATGTTGGTTAGCTTAGGGGAGGGAGCAGGGTTTCCCGCAGATTAAATGAACGCAGTCCTAGTGTGTCATTATCCTGGGTTCTCAGCCGAGGGAGTTGTGCACACCTGACACCCAGCCACAAACAAACACAAACCCCGTTTCACCCTTGGGTGAACTTGATTGTTGAATTGTTGAGCTCATGTGACCTGTTGGATTCAGTAAAGCAGAAACAGGACTTTCTCCATCAATTGTGGATCAATACTGGTTTCTCCTCCTGGGCATTAAGCATTTTGGGCTTGGCTGGACTTTCTTCTTGGCCTGTTGGATCCCAAGTCAACGTCTGATATTTTGGGGACCCCTCCTCCCCATTGAAGTCCTCAGTCCATGTGATATAGACCAGGGGTCTTCAAACTTGGCCCTTTTATGACTTCTGGACTTCAACTCCCAGACTTCCTCAGCCAGGCACGTGTGCCTGGCTGAGGAATTCTGGGAGTTGAAGACCACAAGTCATCAAAGGGCCATGTCTGAAGACCCCTGATATAGACTGTCAATGCTGATCAGCAACAGCTCTGCGATATTGCAGGCTGAAGCGTCAACAACCCTGTTCAAATATGCTAAAAATTCAAATTTCAACCCTTCTGGAAATAATACAGAAGCAATACAGATTTCACTGATTACCAGTTGCCTGAAAATATTTTATTTTTAAGACTTATAAAGCTGCCCAACTCAAACAGTGCAGCTCTAGGTGGGAAGCTGGGCAATTAAAACTGGACTTAGCTGGATTAAGCAAGGGATTCTATTCATAGAATCCACAGCTTACACTAAGCTTCGGTATGTTGTGTAGTGAGTTAATATTATGTGTGAACCCAGCCCTAATGAGATCTAAACCATGATGGATGGCTTATCGTTGTGACTTAGGCCAGTTTGGGTTGTTGAGATCTGAGTTGAACAAACTTACTACAAGGTGAACACAGCAAAGTTTTCATAGTTAAGTAGGACTGTTGTCCATTGAGTACTAGGGATTTGACCACAACTATTCTGTAACCAGTTTACAGTCTTTGATAACTGTACTATTTAGATCTGTTCCTATCTAGAGCTTACTACAAGATGAACCCAGCAAAGCTTTCGTAGTTTAGTAGGACTCTTCTTTAGCCTACCATCCCTGGTACTAGCAAGTGCCAACTAGACATCCAATGAAAAATTGTATTGATTTATTACATTTTTATGCCCCTCCATCTCCCCTGCAAGATGACTTTGGGCAGCTTGCAAGTTATAAAACAGGTAAAAATAATGAAAACATGAACAAATTAAAACCATATCAATTAAAAACCTGTACTGAAACCAAGAGAGCTATGAGATGGACAGGATGAGGAGGAGTTCTTCTTACTCCCTCAGCACCCCCCAGTTGTGAGCCACCCCCTCAGGACCCCAGGCCAAATAAAAAAGTTTGGAAGCACCAGAGGTTTGGGAGCACGGACGTTGAGAGGAATCTAGGTATCTTATTGGATCACGGCTTAAGGATGAGCCAGCCATGTGCTGCAGCTGCCAAAAAAACCCAACACAGTCCTAGGCTGCATCAACAGAGGGATAGTTCCAAGATCACGAGAAGGGCTGACACCACTTTACAAGGCCTTGGCAAGGCCAAAATGTGGAATACTACATCCAGTTTTGGTCACCATGATACAAAACGGATGCCGACACCCTAGAAAGAGGGCAGAGAAGAGCAGCAAAAATGATGAGAAGTCTGGAAGTGAAACCGTATGCTGCACGTTTGAGAGAACTGAGTATGTGTCTAGTCTAGTCACAACTGCCTTGCTTCATAATAGAAATTTGTCAAATAGAGCTGCCCACATCTGCCCATAGCCGTCACTGAATACCTACACTGCGAAAGGGTTGATGGTAAGTAAGTAAAGGTTGCAGAAGACTGCAAACAGGCTGACACAAACAACTCCCAAATCACAACTATGTGTTGAGCAGCGTTGCACGTCCTCCATGCTGATTGATCGATCTGACTTCCTGTTCCGAGTTTTGCTGTTTGAGGGCCCTCAAGCCAGAACATTAAATTTCACAGATGCATGAATGCAACCGCTATGCAATGGTGTATGAATGACAGACACCTATATTCCCTCAAGTGTACTGCCGGGGAAGTCTACTTGATCCTTAAGAACAGAATAACAAAAAGAGAACTTGAAGGTCTTCTAGTCCAACCCCCTGCTCAAGCAGGAGATTTTATGCCATTCTGGACAAATGGCTGGGTCCGTTCTTCAAAACCTCCAGTGTTGAGTCAACCACAACTTCTGGAGAAAACCTGTCCCACTGGTTAATTGTTTTCACTGCCAGGAAATTCCTCCTTAGTTCTAGAGTGGTTCTCTCCTTGATTAGTTTCCATCCATGCACATCATAACAATTGCGCTCCTGTAGCCTATTACATCCATGTTTGGTTTTGTGCAATGTTTAATCCAAACCAGAGGATTTCAGGGCTCCCGGGAGACTATCCAGTCCAACCCTTTCTTAGCGAAGAAATGCCAAACAGAGTGTTCTTCAAAGATGAACCTACAGCTTTGCTATCCCTGAACACCGAGCTAGCTTCTTTCTGCCACCGATTGCCAAGCTTCTCTTCAAATTCAGTACTTTCCTCCAGGCTTGTTTTCTATCAGCCTAGCTAGCCTGTTTGTTCTGCTTGCAAATGCTCAAAATGTCCTTTATTCCCAAGACTCCCATCTGTCGATCTGAAGCTGGGTTCTTCTGCTTCCCCTCCTCTCTCTCTCTCACACACATACATTCTACCCGGTTTATATAAAATGGGCTTAATTTTTGCCTGCCTGGAACCCAATTTTGCTGCACTGAAGGCTCCATTCAAACATCCCTTGACCTCCAGCCGGAATGCTTTAGGAAAACAGGAAGCCGTTTGAGAAAATAACATTTCAGCATTCAAAAGCAACCAAGCGTTTTTTGTAAACAGCTTCTCTGCTGGTCTCTTTGAAAAGGCAGCCAGCGGGGTTTTCTGCACTTTTTTATGGCCTGGAACAAGCCCTCCAAACAGATCTGCAATTCAACCCAGCAACAGGCTGCCATGAAAATTAAGCCTCTGCCCTTAATTTTTTTTTTTTTAAAAAGCCCATTTTTAAAAACAAGGGTTTCCAGTTTATTTGCCCTTAAGGTTAAGAGAGGACCATCACATTCAAAAAAAGTCTATGTATATAGGTAGGTATGCGTGCATGTATCCCATCTTTTTTGTTTTTATAAATAACTCATTAGGGGAACATATCTAATTGATTTATTTTTATTAGACCTGTTTCTCTCTCTTGCCTTTATCATTTTGATAAGTAACTCAAGGCAGCAAATATAGATAATATTCCTTCCTCCTCATATTTTTTCCACCCATAACAATCCTATGGGGTGCTAGGGCTGAGAGAGAGAAGAATTGGCCCAAAGTCACCCGGCCAGTTTTTATGCCTAAGGGAGGACTAGAATTCGCTATCTCCTGGCGATTGTTTGGAGTCACGCAAAATGCTACCCCCAAAGCAAACAAACCTGGCATGCCAGTGCATCCTATGGAAAAGGAAGGAGATGCATGGAGAATAGAAATAATGTTTCTGCCTTCTCAAAAATGATCCTCTTTCCTTTGTTCACCTGTGGTGGGCGTTTGGTCCTGGTAACAATTTAGTAAATCTTGAAAAGCCTAGGAGAAGAGGAATAGTTAGAGTTGGAAGGGATCTTGGAGGTCCTCTAGTCTAACCATTATACTGTTCTGGACAAAGGGCTGTCCGGTCTCTTCTTAAAAACCTCCAGTGTTGGAGCGTCCACGACTTCTGGAGGCAAGCCATTCCACTGGTTAATTGTCCTCACATTCAGGAAATTTCTCCTGGATTCCAGGTTGCTTCTCTCCTTGATTGGTTTCCATCCGTTGCTTCTTTCTGGCCACCGTTCTTAAGCGAATCGCTGCAGTGGCTAATTTAGTCACACCGTTGTTAAGTGAATCTGGCTTTCCCGCTGACTTGGCTTGTCAAAAGGTCGCAAAAGGGTGACCCCAGGACGCTGCAACCGTCATAAATACGAGTCAGTTGCCAAGCATCTGAATTTTGATCACGCAACCCTGGGGATGTCTTATGGGTAAAAATGGTCATAAGTCGCTTCCTTCAACGCTGTTGTAACTTGAAACGGTCACCAAACAAATGGTTGTAAGTCCAGGACACACATACACACACAGTACAAGAGTGAAGGCTGGCTTCCGTGCCATGTGGCTCACGCCTTCCTTTCCCCTTTCCTGACGTAGCACCTGGAGCAAGAGAAACATGAGCTGCGGCGACGCTTCGAGAACAAGGAAGGCGAGTGGGAAGGCCGCGTCTCGGAGCTGGAGAGCGACGTCAAGCAGCTGCAGGACGAGCTGGAGAAGCAGCAGGTCCACCTCCGGGAAGCTGACCGGGAGAAGACGCGGGCGGTCCAGGAACTATCTGAACAGAACCAAAGACTCTTGGATCAGCTCAGCAAGGTGAGGGAGAGCCTCCGGCTGCGGGGAGGGGAAAGGAAGGCTGCTGTTGATGCGGTGGGCTCACTTGCAGGCGTTGAGGTACGGCATCTCTCCCTGAGGCCTTATGACGTGGAGGAGTCTGTACGGCAATCCTCAACTTACGACCACAATGGCTGTATCCAGGTATTAACCGGACCCAATGTCAGGGACAAGCCAGCAGAACAACGCAGAGAATGGGTCTAATAGGTGTCTTTATTGCTGATCGCCTGTATGACAAGAATCTCTCCAGACCAGGGGTCTTCAAACTTGGCCCTTTGATGACTTGTGGACTTCAACTCCCAGAATTCCTCAGCCAGGCATGCTGAGGAAGTCCACAAGTCATCAAAGGGCCAAGTTTGAAGACCCCTGCTCCAGACTGTCTGCCTTCTCTTGGGAATCAGCAGATACAGGGAGACTTACCACCACCATTGTCGGTTGTTGCAAATGGGGCAAGAGTTGTAAAGTGAGTTTTACTCCCTTTTACGCCCTTTTTGCCACTGTTGTTAAGTGAGCCACTGAGGTCATACCCTTCATAATACGGTTAAGTGGAATCTGGCTTCCCCCGTTGACTTTGCTTGTCAAAAAGTCCCTAACGGGGAGCCCCGGACATTGACACTCTCCTAAACACGAGTCAGTTGCCAAGTGGCTGAATTTTGATCCCGTGACCGTGGGGATGCAGTGCGAAAAACGGTCATAAGTCAGCTTTCTCAGTTCTGTTGTAACTCCAAACGGGTTATCAGGGCGTTGTCAGTTGTGGGCTCCCTATAAAACCAGTCCTAGACGTACGACTATTTATTTAGCAACCAGTCAAAGCTACCTAGAAAAATGGGATTTATGATCAGTCCTTGCACTTATGATTGTCAAGTGCCTCCCTCCGGTCACAAGACCATGATTTGGGCACTTGGCCTCCCTCGTGGTCACGTGATCACCCTCTGTCACCTTCCCAGGTAGCTTCTGCCCGTCAAAGTCAATGAGGAAGCTTGCAGAGAAGGTTGCAAGTCATGTTCATATGGTATCTTAATTAGCGTCCGAGTTCTTTGCTTAACAGCCATTGGGGGGGGGGAAGATGCAGTCACCCAGTGCCTCCCTTCATATCTGCCCTGATTAACAACGGATTTCCTGGTCCTTGTTGTGGTTGTAAGCCAAGTTGAGAAAAGAGCACTGGAAATTTGCTTGCTGTTTTGTTATGTATTCAGCTGTCTCCTGGAACTCTTTCTTAATGGTTTCTCACCTGTCCTACGATAAAAAATCTCCTTAGTTGCTGGGTTTTTCTGGTGCCAGCTTAATTGCTTCCAAGCCAGCTTGCCTGGTAGAAATGGATCTCAAAATGTTTTCACGGTACCCCTTAGGATTTTTACGCTTCTGTAGCCTTGGCTAATATCAGAAAACAGCCGGTGCCGCCGGTTTGAACCTGCAGAGTTAGCTCAAATGGCCCTGTAGCTCCAAAGCTAGCCTTGGAGGGAGTAAATTGGCACTGAAGCCAGCTCTTAAAGCTACTCCATTTTGTGTTTTTTTTTTCTCAGTTCCACACAGGGAGTCCTTGACTTACGACTTACGCTTAAAATTGCATGAAACTGGATATTTTTACAAAGAAAGGTTGGGGGATACGATGGTTTCTCACTAGAACCTTCAACATTACTTCGTTTCTCTAATCTCCTGCCAGGTTAGCGATGTGCTAGCAGCCTTGATGCTTAGTTATAATCCTGCAGCTGACCAGCACCACATATTGTATGTGCAGCTTCTTGGTTTAATCTGAGGTCCAGATGGACCTGCCAGCTTGTTCCTCTGCTAACAAGCTCGAATTTGAAGGGAGGGTCAAACTAGGGAGATTAAATGGTAGCAAATAAAGGCACAAATATCTTGAAGGACAGGAGAGCTGGTAGAACTTCCAAAGAGGTTGGCATCTCTTAAGCAAGGAGAACTCACTGCAACCCTTTGTGGATTTTCCTAGTTGTGTTTGTCGATATCAGTGTTTCTCAACCTTGGGGGGGGGGGTTAAGATGGGTGGACTTCCCCTTGCTATGCTGGCTGTGGAATTCTGGGAGTTGAAGTCCACCCATCTTAAAGTCATCAAGGTTGATGGAATGAGGTCTATTGTCCAGGCTCAGCAGTTGCCTTAAATGTAGCTGCCCCCAACCTGGGACCTGTATTAGGGATTCTAGGAGTTTTAAGAGCTGTGGTAGCTCGGTGCTTAGAATGCAGAATTGCGGACTAATTCTGCCCACTGCCAGCAGTTCGATCCTGAACAGGCTCAAGGTGGATTCAGCCTTCCATCCTTCCGAGGTGGGTAAAATGAGGACGCAGATTGTTGGAGGCAATAATGTTGACTCTGTAAACTATTTAGAGAGGACTGTAAAGCACCGTGAAGCAGTATATAGGTCTAAGTGCTATTGCTATTGTAATCCCAACACTTGTAGGGGACTCTGATAGGGAAAGCTGGTTTAGATGATCCTCACTCATCCAGTGGTGACTACCAGGATATGGTTCTTGACTGCTGAGAGTGGCCCACCGCTTTCTTCTGGATCTCCAGATCCTTCAGCAAACATACCTTGGTTCCTGATGGAGCAAGCTGGGATGACCCTAATGGAGAATTCCAACCAGCTCTGGTTCTGTTCACACAAACACTGAGGAGCACCACCACTTACTGGTCTTGGTAGTAAAACAAGTTCTATGCGCACTCAAAAGTCCATATTTTGGCTGTTTAGCACAGCAGACAGATGGAGGCGATGGTGGGAACGACATGCCTGCTTTCTTGCTGTGTGTTCTTGCCTTGAACTTTGAATCGTGTGTCTCCAGCTGTTTCCCTGGGCTTGCCTTTGTCTTACGGACTCGTCTTGGGAATTTGCCTTTACCTAGTGCAGAGATCCCCAACCTTTTGGGCACCAGGGACCGGTTCCGGGGAGAGAGATCTTTCCATGGACTGGAGAGTATGTGGTTTTGTGTGCTGCCTGTCTCTTGTGGATGTGGCTTTGCTTGTTTGTGCAGACCGGTTGCTGGCATGCCGTGGCCCGGTACCGGTCCAGGGACCGGAGGTTGGGGACCCCTGGCCTAGTGGACCAGACTTGCCTTTGCCTTGAGGACTAGCCTTGGCTTCATTTGAGTAGCCAATGTGGAACTCATTGGGGTTGAGCTGCTCCTGGCACAGGGAATGGCTGGGCAATACAATTAAGGCTCGGAAGCCTTAATAAAGACTCCTTATACCCTTGGGGTGCGTGTGTGTGTGCTTGAGTGAGTGAGTGGGATAGCCCATGCATTTACAACAGTTGTAGCTTCCCAGGGATATTTGCGACTTTCCCAGCTCTCTTCTGACAAACAAAATCAATGGAGGAATCCATTGATCCACTTAACAGTTGCATTCTTCCCACAACATCTGCAGCGAACCACTTAAAACATCCCTGGCCCCAAACAGGTATTAAATCAGGCGAGGCTCCCTTAACAAGCAGCTTGATTAGTAATTCCGATCCCAATTCTGGCTATAAATCAAGGAGTGCACGTATGCGTCCCTTCCCTCTTCCTCCCCTCCCTTCCCCAAGGCTGGCTAGATGACTTGCATCCTGTCTCCCACATTCGGCACATCAGAACTGCTCAGAAGATCGTGCCGGGCAGGCCAGCGTGCTCGGATTGATCTTCACCAGGGATGATCAATCTCCGACAACGTCAAGACCAGCCGCTGCTCAAAAGCCCTCCGTCACCAGTTGCTAGGCAACTGTATATCATTGTCTCCTGGGCAGCTGCTGTTGCCATGGTAACCCGATGGTGGTTCCTGGTTTTGAGGCTTTTTTGGGCTTCCCCCCCCTCCCCTTTCCACTGTACCATTACGGTGAGCCTGGGGATAATGAGGGAGACACGACAGTGAGACAGTGACGTCTGAAATGACTGGGAGTTATCTGGAAAGTCTTTCTTTCTATCCTGGGCGTCTTTCCTGATAATAAAACACAGCTGGGGGTATTGGCAGAACTTTGACCATCAAATAGTCTTCAAATGTCACCGACAGGGACCCCCGTTCTCCAAGATCCAAAGCCCGCAGAGAAATGACTCTGCAAAAATGCTAAGGCTGTCCCTGTCTCTTGGGTTAATAATATTTGAATGTTATACAGAATACAGATTTTTCCAAGTTGGAAGAACAGTTGGGAGGGACCTTGGAGGTCTTCCAGTCCAAACCCCTGCTCAAGCAGGAGACCCTACACCAGGGCTCTTCAAACGTGGCCCTTTGATGACTTGTGGACTTCAACTCCCAGAGTTTCTTTCTTTCTTTTCCTTCTTTCTTTTCCTTCCTTCCTTCCTTCCTTCCTTCCTTCTTTCTTTCTTTCTTTCTTTCTTTCTTTCTTTCTTTCTTTCTTTCTTTTCCTAGGCTACACTCTCTGGATTTCCTATTGATTTCTCATCCAAATATTAACTACATCCAACCCAATTTAGTTTTTCAACATCAGCCAAGGTTGGTTAGTGCTATTAGCAAATGGCAGGCATGGCTCCATTAAAGGTGAATGAAAATAATGGCGTCTTCTCACATTGCAGGCGTCGGAAGCAGAGCGAAAGCTCTCCACACAGGTTCATGTCCTCCAAGAGGACTTCAGGGAGAAGAGGTCATCCACCAACCAGCACATAGTACGGCTTGAGAGCCTTCAAGCAGAGGTGAGTCCTTGGTTGGGCAGTCTCGGGCAATTGTACTCTATGGTGACGGCGTCTCAATGGAAGGGAACTTCATTTCCCAGAATTCCAAGCCAGTCCTCCACAGTTCGGAGGCCTCCAGGTTGGAGAAGCTTTGTCTGAAGTTGCCTTTGAAAAGGGTCTAGCCCAGGGGTAGGCAACCTTGGCTCTTTGATGACTTGTGGACTTCAACTCCCAGAATTCCTGAGCCAGCATGGCTCAGCTTGGAAACCTCTCCCTTTCCCCTCAGCATGGCTGGCTCAGGAATTCTGGGAGTTGAAGTCCACCAGTCATAAAAGAGCCAAGGTTGCCTACCCCTGGGCTAGGACAACTCGCCATGGCCAACTCACCGTGGCCACCTCGCTAGGGCAATCCTGCCGTGGCTACTTCACCACGGCCATCTTGCTGCGGCCATCTCACCACAGTGAATGGGTGTTTTGGAACTGTCACCACAGACAATTCCACATGGGATAATTCAACACGATAAATGTTATCTGCCACTGTTTCTTCGACATCATCATCATCATCATCATCATTATTATTATTACCGAAAAAAGGAAATAATGTTGAAGAAACAATGGTGGATAACACTGTTGCGTCCCGTCACTTACAGTTTATTCCTTACACAGGGTTAAATATGAATTTGATTCACCATTTTTTTCATCCCGTTTCTGCCTTCAAAAAAGTTTTGAACAAAAAGCATGCGTTGAAATCCTCAAGACCATTATGGATATAAGTGTGGGAAGAATTCCCCTGTCGCTTAAAAAAGAGAGAATTTAGACTAGGGCAGTGAAGCTGGGAAATTTCTCAGAGTGCCTATATAATACTTGAATTGTCCATCAGAGGCCTTTCCAGATAAGACGAAGACTTTAGAGAAGATAGTTAAGATGTTTCCCTCCCTTCATGTCGATGGAGATCCTCAGTCCTCCAGGTCATAATTGTCCCAAAGATGCTTTTTCAGGAGGCAACTGGACGTCCTTGTTTTTCTTTGAAAACGTTTTGCTTCTCATCCAAGAAGCTTCTTCAGCTCCGACTGGATGGTGGGCAATGGAGTAGAAACCCTTCCATTCTCCACCATTCAGGTGGAACTGGAGAAGCTTCTTGGATGAGAAGCGAAACATCTTCAAAGAAAATCAAGAAGGTCCAGTTGCCTCTTCAAAAAAAGCATCTTTTGGTTCCCTCCCTTAAGTTTGCCAATTACTTGTTCCCCACTCCACATTTCCTTAACCCTAATTGTCCCGTTTTAACCTTCCTTCCTCCTTCCCCATCCTCCCCTTATTGGAGCAGCAAATCTTGGAAGTAAGTATGACTCTTTTCACAAGGTTTGAATTGCATGTCATCACATCCCACATTTGCATGGGTGTTTTCATCCTCTTCTGTGGCTGTCTGATTTCTCGGCTTCTTCGTGGGCTCTGTGTCTCACTGGTCTGCAAATGGGGTGCTGGTAGAGTCGTTCACGTGCAATGTACATGAAATACGCCTGCTGTCTCTAAAGCACGCCGTCTTTAAAAGCTCCTTTATCGTGCTCACTCACAAAACATCTTTGCCCGTTAGGATGCTTGATCAAGCCTGTGGGATCCATGACATTCGCCCTCCTGCATGGTCAGTGGGATGCTTTGAGGAAATTCCCACCAGCCTTTGCTCATGAAAATCCTTTGGAAGTTTTCGAAGTTTCTGGAGTTTTAGAATTTTAGGAGGGAGAAACGTATCCATGTAGAATAGCTAGTGTATGTGTGTGTGTGCGGGGTGGAAATCTGAGACTTTTCTTAGAAATCTCTACAGGCAGTCCTCAAGTTATGGTCATAAGGGGGCCTGGCCATTACAGTCATAATGGTGGGGGACTGAATTGGTTTGACGATTTTCTTGCAGTGAATTTAGAGATCATAAGTGCGAACCTCACATCTGTTAAACCAACATTAAGGAAACCGATTGCTCGCTATGGCGGAGCTTTGTCGAAAACCAGAAGTGGCCGCTCTCTCTGGATCGAAGGAAATGCTTTTTTTCCTTTAATTGAATCAGACTTGAGTCAGTTGGTTTGGAAGTCCCAATTCGAATCGCACCGCCAATTTTTTTCAAAACAGATTTTTCTCTTCTTTCAACCACCCAAGAGAGCCGCTAATTCCCCCTGGGCTTCTGCCTAATTGGTATCGAAAGATGTGCCTCACTTCATCAAGCCTCAGGAAGGATCATGTGGGAAATCTTTCTTAAATTCCCAAGGTGCCACGAGAGAAAATGCAACGTGGAAAACGGCAGGTCGCTTTTTTCAGTGCTGCTGTAACTTCAAACAGTCACTAAACAAGTGGTTATAAATCAGGGACTGCCTGCATTAGGAGCCTTATTCGAAGGTGCTGGCTGAGAACAGAATTCAAATTTTTAATGTCATGTCAGGTTCTTGAGTAAATACCATCTTGCAGTTGTTAATCTGTCTTATTTTTTTCCAGCTTTCTTCTTGTATTTCTTCTCTCTCTCTCTCTCTCTCTCTCTCTCTCTCTCTCTCTCTCCATCTGGGGGACTTTTGACTCCTTATCTCATGCCTGAGCTGAGAACAAATGTACACCTACAATATAATAATAATAATAATAATAATAATAATAATAATAATAATAATAATAATAATAATAAAGTTCAAAGGGATCTTAGAGGTCATCTAGTCCAATCCCCTGCTCAGGCAGGAAACCCTATGCCATTTCAGACAAATGGCTGTCCAGTCTCTTCTTAAAAATGTCCAGTTTTGGAGCACTCACCGCTTCTGGAGGCAGGTTGTTCCACTGATTAATTGTTCTGACTGTCAAGAAGTTTCTCCTTAGTTCTAGGTTGCCTCTCTCCTTGATCAGTTTCCATCCGTTGCTTCTTGTCCTGCCTTCAGGGGCTTTGGAGAATAGCTTCACTCCCTCTTCTTTGGGGCAGCCCCTGAGATATTGGAAAGCTGCCCTCATCCTTCTCTTCATTGACATACCCAATTCCAGCAACCGTTCCAATCTTACCTTAGACGTTAGAGAAGCAAGAAGTGGGGTAAGTTTGGGCTGCCCCCTTTCTCCAACCCCCTTTCTCTAACATTCCCGCTTATGTTTCTTGCTGGAAATGGTGGTGTCTTATCAAGGCAGAGGGAGAAGGGGAAAATTCTGCTTACCGGCTGGGCAAAAATGTTGCCTATGCTGCACAATATTGCAACAGCGGTTAAGCAACTTCAGTGTTTGGAATTTCTACAATCTGGCCCCGACCCTAACAAATAAGCACGTGGGTGTGTGAGCACACCCAGGTAGACAGAATCCTTCTGTGGGGGGGTTGTACATAGTTACATGTACATTCATATGTATACACACACACACACACACACACACACACACTTTTGCACACTTTCACATTCACATGCAGGCACACACATACACATGTACACATTCACACACACAACTATGTATATTTGTGTGTATTTATGTAGGTGCATGCGCACTCAAGAAAGCACACACGCATATTCCCACATACAGATTTATATACGGAGACACACACACAAAACTTCTGTAGTGCAACTACAATTCTATGCCTAATAGCTTTCCCCTCTTGGAAGAAGACAGGAGGGCTTCCACTGAGAAAACCTCTCTTGTAACTCTCAGAATCTCCCTGAGCAGGGGGTTGGACTAGAAGACCTCCAAGTTCCCTTCCTATTCTATTCTATTCTATTCTATTCTATTCTATTCTATTCTATTCTATTCTATTCTATTCTATTCTATTCTATTCTTCATCCTTCCTATTCTATTCTATTCTATTCTATTCTATTCTATTCTATTCTATTCTATTCTTCATCCTTCCTATTCTATTCTATTCTATTCTATTCTATTCTATTCTATTCTATTCTATTCTATTCTATTCTTCATCCTTCCTATTCTATTCTATTCTATTCTATTCTATTCTATTCTATTCTATTCTATTCTATTCTATTCTATTCTATTCTTCATCCTTCCTATTCTATTCTATTCTATTCTATTCTTCATCCTTCCTATTCTATTCTATTCTATTCTATTCTATTCTATTCTATTCTATTCTATTTTTCCATTCCATCTCTATTCTATTCTATTCTTCATCCTTCCTATTCTATTCTATTCTATTCTTCCCTTCCATCTCTATTCTATTCTATTCTATTCTATTCTATTCTATTCTATTCTATTCTATTCTATTCTATTCTATTCTTCCATTCCATCTCTATTCTATTCTATTCTATTCTATTCTATTCTATTCTATTCTATTCTATTCTATTCTATTCTATTCTATTCCATCTCTATTCTATTCTATTCTTCCATTCCATCTCTATTCTATTCTATTCTATTCTATTCTATTCTATTCTATTCTATTCTATTCTATTCTATTCCTATTCTTGCCCCCCAAGTCCACTTTGTCAGGACCAGCCTGGTCTTCTCAGCAATGTGAAGCCACAAATGATGGTCGCCTCAGAGGTTTCCACACACACACACACACACACACACACACACACACACACACACACACAGCCCTTGTGCAGGCTGAACACAACCACACAGGACCTTTCCCGGAGAGAGGGAGGGAGGCAACGGTTGGCCTTGTATTTGGGACTGATGGCGGAGGAGAACTGGGCAGGTGGGGGAGAAGAGCCCGGTGACCTTTGGTGGAACCCAAGTTCATCTTTTAATCCCTCGGGAATTCCAGAGAACGAACGGAGCGAGCGCCTGGCCTCCTTCCCTCCCTCTCCTTTGCTTGGCAACGCACATTCCAGCTTGCAAATTTAAATTCCTCCCACTCCGCAAGCCAGTTCCATAAAAAGGGGGGGTCAGTGGGGGGGGGGAGAGAGAGAGACCAGTCCTTCTCCCGTTCTCTTCCCACATTCCTCTGTCCGTCAGTGCCAGGCTGTGTCCACAGGTGTGGCTTCTTTCTGCCAAGTCTTTCTCTCCAGAGCCCTGGCGTCCCTCTCTTCTCCAGAGCAGAGGTGGGGGGGGGGCTTGCTTGGTCTTGATCTTGGGACCCCCTGCTTTTTTCAGATTAAGATGCTGAGGGATCGGAAGCAGGACCTGGAGCGCCGTCTCAGCGCCATGGTGGAGGAGAACAATCTGCTCCAGGGGACGGTGGAGGAACTTCAAGATCGTGTCATAATTTTGGAACGGCAAAGCCATGAAAAAGACACACAGGTAAGGAATGGAAGCAGGGGACCCAGAAAGAAGGAGGAGGAGGAGGAGGAGGAGGAGGAGAGGAAACCAAAGAGGGTTTTGCCTTGGGAATCTCAATAATTTTGGAGGTCCATCTGATCCTACAATGACACACAAGAAAAAGGGAGGAAGTAGGTTTGGGACACACGCAGAGTACTGTAAGTGTATTTTTTCCTCTGGTAACACTAAATAAACCAAAGTAAAGTAAAATTGTGGGTGCTCCATCACTGGAGCTTTCAAGAAGAGACTGGACAGCCGCTTGTCTGAAACAGTAATAGGGTCTCCTGCTCCAGCAGGGGGTTGGACTAGAAGACCTCCAAAGTCCCTTCCAATTCTTATTCTGTTCTGTTCTGTAGTATCTCTCCTCTTCCAATCCGTGAAAACCCACGAGATTTCTGGATCATTGCAAGTAATGCAAGCTGATCCTTCTAGATCCTGGATCTAAGGTCTTATGGATTTCCCTAGCTGGTTGGCAGTGTTTCCTTCGACTCAAGACCACAGAATTATCCTCTCCCCCTAAAACTAGGAGGGTCCATGCCAAGACCCCAGATTTGTTGTCAAACTAATTTTCCACCTGATAGAGTAGGTCGAAGTGTGTATATTGAAATTCACTAGGAGTAATCTTTAATTTGTATAGTATGACTTATTCAATGTAAGTTAAATTAAGTAAGACCGCACTGAGATTCTGTTCCCACCTGCTCCATTGTCCCGGCCCTTTTCCTGAGAAATTCCTTGGAGGACACCCTCAACAGCTATTCTAGGCCAAGCTGGGTTGTGTTTCAGTCACTGATGGACCTTGGTTAATTCTCTCTCTGGGCTAACTTTTCACCCTATCAGTTGCACCAGAGCCAGATGGAGCTTCAAGAGGTGAAACTGTCATATCGGCAGCTGCAGGTCAAGATGGAGGAGCTGAATGAGGAACGAAGCCTCCAAGACTTCAACTCCACCAGGATGTCTTTGCTGTCAGAGATCGAACAGAGCATGGAAGCAGAGGAGCTGGAACAAGAACGAGAACAGGTAGGACGCTGTGGGCTCCAGAAAACTTTGGAAGTTGCGCAACAGTTAGCAAATGGCTTGGGCTTCTAGGTGGTTCCTTCAACTGAATATTCTTAAGGTGGTCAGATTCCAACAGAAGAAGAAGAGGAAGAAGAAGGAAGACAAAGAAGGAGGAGGAGGAGGAGCCATCATGGTGCCATTGAAGCCCCACCCACGTGGTCTGAGCTTTGATTGTACTAAATTGTACTAAAAAAAGAAGTGTCACTAAATTCTTTCTTTCTTTCTTTCTTTCTTTCTTTCTTTCTTTCTTTCTTTCTTTCTTTCTTTCTTTCTTTCTTTCTTTCTTTCTTTCTTTCTTTCTTTCTTTCTTTCTTTCTTTCTCTGTTATCCCAGTTGAGGCTGCAGCTTTGGGAGGCCTATTGCCAAGTCCGCTACTTGTGCACCCACCTCCGAGGGAACGACAGTGCGGATTCTGCTGTCTCCACTGACTCTTCCATGGATGAGTCTTCCGAAACCTCGTCAGCCAAAGACGTGCCGGCCGGCAGCCTGCGGGCTGCGCTCAGCGAACTGAAGAGGCTGATCCAAAGCGTGATTGACGGCACGGATTGCCTGGTAAGTGGGGTTTTGGGGGGGGTTACCCCTCTCACCCAATTAATAACAGCAGCATTTAGGCTTGTAGGCTGCCCCCACCCCAAATCAAGCTATTCCTTATTAGGAAAGTGAACATTCTAGAGCTGTGGTAGTTAGAATGTAGAATTGCAAGGCTCACTCTGCCCACTGCCACGAGTTCGATCCTGACCGGCTCAAGCTTGACTCAGCCTTCCCTCCATCCGAGTCGGTAAAATGAGGACCCAGATTGTTAGGGTGTCAATATGCTTAGAGAAGGTGGTAAAAGCACTATGAAGTGATATATAAGTCTAAGTGCTATTGCTATTAGTCACTGGGTTCATATAATATAGCATGCCCAAACAGTGTATTGGCCTGGTTCACACAACACAGGAAGACTTCAGTGTCTCTTACTAACCACCTGATCCCCTTTTAAGAGCTTAATTGTAGGTAACCCTTGACTTACAGCCATTCATTTAGTGACGGCTTGAAGTTAGAACCGCACTGAAAAAAAGCGACTTAACGGCAATTTTTCTCACTTGCGAGCGTCCCCACAGCCAGGTGATGACAATTCAAAGGCTTGGCAAGTGGTTCCTGTTTATGACATTTTTTATTTTGCCAAGAGTGTAATTTTACTGACGGATCCATCTAAGGTACAGGAGAAGCAAAGCCAGTTCTAAGATTTTGGCGCAAAGCACAGCCTAGTAAAAACCCCTTTTCCTCCCCCCCCCCCAGTCCAACGATCCAGTTTAAGCACTTTATTTTAGGGAAACACCTTTCTGCACCTTTTGAAAGTTTTCAACTTCTGACTTAGGGGTTGTGGGAGGCTTTCTCAGGCTGGGTAAATTCCTTTCCTCCCTCCCAGCTCCCCAGCATTCCAATCATAACCATTCCCCCCCCCTTCGCTTCTTGGTCAAGTTGTGCGCAGGAAGATGCACCTCTTGAGTCAACCTCAACAAAACCTCCAATATCCCCGGGTAAAAGACTTCTATATCCTTTTTTTTCAGGGTTCTCGGCGAAGTGACGACGATGCTTTGGAAGAACAAATCAAGCAAACGAGTGAAGATTCGAGAGCCCTGAGGGAGTTAATGGAAGGCGAGCGGGGGAAACTGAGGCAGAGTCTGGAAGAGCTACAGCAGCTTCACAGCCAGGCAAGCCAGGATGGGGCAAGAATATTCCTTCGTTGCTCTTTTTAAGTTCTTCCTCTGTTAGAGAGATAGTGAGTCGACTGATAAATAGATACGTAAGTATATAAATAAAAATCACTCGCCACCGTGAAACCCCAGATTATTTTTAAAAGAATAAAGAGATAACGAACCCAGCCACTAATAGGCAGCATCAAGATTCTCCCCAATTTTACCTGGCGCAGGTGGTCCTAAATACAATCCGGAACTGAGCCCCGAAGGGCTTTACAGGTGATAAACAGCACTTTGGATTGTACCAGGAAACCAACAATTACGTTGCTGACTTGACTTCCACCTGTCAGTCAAACCACCCACTCTGCACCAGCTGAAAAATTTGAATAGTCTTCAAGGGCAGCCCCGAGTAAACTGGGCTGCGTAGTCTAGCCACTATCTGGATGAATGGCTGGAACATCGATCACCCAAGCCAGAAGCATCTAAGGCACCAGCTAAAGATGGACAAAGGTCTTCCTAGGCCAGGGCCTCCATTTGTAGTTCGAGCAGGAGCCACCGGCTCCTTTAGGTGGGACACAACCTCAACCGAAGATCAACGCAACGCAACACAGGCAACCGACACAACCTCAGCCAAAGCCAAAACTGCAGCATCTAAGGAACCAGATGCTTTTTGAACAAGCAGCTTCTCCCTTCACAGAGATTTTTTTTTTCCCGGAGTTTTAACTGTGGCACAGATCAGCTGGTCTTCCTTGATTCGCGAAGTCCTGCTCTGGACACCTCTAGATCAAAGGGATCTGTTCTTTGGCCTTGGTGTTAAACCCACAACCGCAGCCTCACCTTGAATTCCTCCCCCTTTTGCCTTCTCAGGTGACTCTGTTGAGCGTAGAAATGACGTCGCTGAAAGAGGAAAGAGACCGACTCCGGGGATCGGCAGAAGATAAGGAGATGAGTGAGCAGCTCTTGAAGGCTATCAGAGATCGAGATGAAGCAATCTCCAAGTAAGCCGATAGCTCAGTGGTTCTCAACCTGTGGGTCGGGACCCCATTTGGGGTCGAATGACCATTTCACGGGGGTCGCCAAACCACGCTGTCCTCCATTTTTTTCCCTTTTCCCTAGCTGTCCTACTCCCTCTTATTGGTGGCCACACCCACTTGGGGGTCACCACAACATGGGGAACTGTATTATGGGGTCACGGCATTAGAAAGGTTGAGAACCACTGCGATAGCTTGTTGGGGGACAGAATGGGCATTGGGAAGAGGTTGAGGATGTCCAACCTATCGAAGAGAAGGATTGGGGGGGGGGATATGATAATTGTCTTCCAATATCTGAGGGGGGAGGTCTCACAAAGAAGAGGGGATCGACCTATTTTCTAAAAGACCTGAAGGCTGGGCAAGAAGCAACGGGGGGAAGCTTGTCAAAGAGAGATCTAACCTAGAAATAAAGAGAAATTTTCTGGAAGTTTTCAAAAATAGACTGGACAGCTCTTTGTTGGGAACGGTATAAAGTCTCCTGTCTTGAACAGGTGGGTGGACTAGAAGACCTCGGAAGTCACTTGCCGCCCTATGATTCTATCTTCTCTCTCTACCCCCTCCCTCTCCCTCCCTTTCCCTCCTCCTCTCTCTCCCTCCCTTTTCCTTTCCCTCCTTCTCTCTCTCCCTCTCTCCCCCTCTCCCTCTCTCCTTCTCTCTCCCTCCCTCTCCCTTTCACTTCCTCTCTCCTTTTCTCTCTCCTTCCCCCTTTCCCTCCTCTCTCTCCTTCCCTCCTTCCTTCCTTCTCTTTTTATTCCTTTTCTGTTCCTCTGATGATGGACCCATAGCACAGGTGTGATTGTTATCAGCCAAAAGTGTCTGGTGTGTGTGGGGGGGGGAGAGTCCCAATGGCTACTTCGTTGCTGCCCCCTCTTGTCTGATCAGAGAACATTTGTTGGCTATTCACTGCCAGAAAAACAGGAAGCTTCTGGTATTTTAGGCTGTGTGTAGGTTACTGACTCTTCGGTATCCATGGAAACTGGCTACTTAGGAAGTCCAATCTTTAATATTCATTCTGGGAGGGGGATTTTTTAAATGAGTTTTTCTTTTTTTTCTTTTGCAATGCAAAGATATTTGCAATGGAGATTGTGTTCTGTCAGTCCCGGCTGCGTAGGCAGAGGAGATTTTTTTTTTTTTTTAATCAGACTCTCATGAATGACCACGGTTGCTTGGTAGGACAGCCCCCTGGATCAGCTTTCCCAAGCCTGGTACTCATGAGGTGGGACTGCAGTTCCCATATTGCCCAGCCGGACACCTAAACCAGGCTTGAATTGTGACAGGAAGAGAGGAAAGGATTGCCAGAAAACCAAAATGTCTCTCAATCGCTGCGTGGCTGTTTGTTGTGCTTTTCAGGAAGAACGCTGTCGAGATGGAGCTGGCCAAATGCAGAATGGATATGATGTCCTTGAACAGCCAGCTGTTGGATGCCATTCAACAGAAGCTTAACCTTTCGCAGCAGCTGGAAGCCTGGCAGGTAGGAGGAAGAGGAAGTCAGGCTCAGGCCGACGTAACCCATAGAGTTCTTCTTGTGGGTAGTGCCACATGGGCTTGATAGCTAAAGGCCTCCCTTGCCAGGAGACTGGAAGTAGAGGGAACCAGGGCGAACGTCTCAAAAGTATCTTTTTCTCCACCATTTTTCTCCACCATGGTTTCTTCTCTTTGATCCAGTCCGACTATAAGTCAGGACAGGAAAAAATGGTTTCAGATTGGAAAAGGAAAGGGATGTCTTGCTCCTCTTACTTCCAAGCTTTTGTTAGATCCATGGTAAGCTGGGTTTCATGAAACCTTTGAGACTCTCCGAGGGAGGAGAGACAGTCCAACCCTCTTCCCCTTTGGTGGAACTCAGCTTGGGACACTTGAGGGGAAAAAGCCCCTAAAGAGGGCTTCTGAAGGAGGAAAAGCTGGCTTGGATGGTGGCTTGACAGCCCTCCAAAAGGTCACCTGCCAACTGGCAGAGATTCAGCTCCAGCAGGACCAGATGGGGTCCTTGTTTCTCCAGGGTTGAATGGCGCAGTAGATGAATTTGTGGACGATACACATGAATGTGTATCGTCCACAAATTCATCTACTGCGCCATTCATGGGAGGTGGGAGGAGGACGACAACTGTTGGGCACTTGGTGCTCTCTGACATGGCTTGTTCCATTAGCCAACTAGGTAACACCATCAATGCTAGAAGGGAGTGGGGTTCGCAGGGAAGAGGAGGAGGAGGAGCAGGAGGAGGAAGAGGAGGGGGAGAAGAACAAGAAGAAGAAGAGGAGGAGGAGGACTGTTGGGTGCTTGGTGCTCTCTGAGCTGACTTGTTTTCTTGCAGACGTTTCATTACCCAAGTAGGTAACATCATCAGTGCTAGAAGGGAGTGGGGTTTGCAGGAAAGAGGAGGAAGAGGAGGAGGAAGAAGAAGAAGAGGAGGAGGAGGAGGAGGAGGAGGAGGAGGAGGAGGAGGAGGAGGAGGAGAGTTCAGTAGAGGTGGGCTCTTCTTGAAGTCCTTGTTCCTGGGGGTGACGACCTGCAGAACTGACCTTCAAAGGATATCAGCAGCCCAGTTCCTCCTCTCCTAGTGTCCCTCCCTTCCAGCCAGCAGATCCCAAGAGGCTTTCCCTACAACGCAATCTCCTCCCTTCCCTTATAAGGCTTGAAGCTGAGCCCTTGGGACTGGGGGCCGCTTTCTAGACTCTGAGGTGGCCCCCTCAAACTCTGCTTGGCCTTGTGCAAATCCCCCCTTGAATGCACAAGGGGGGGGGCATCACAAGTGGGCCTTCCTGTCTCCGTGTCCCGCAGCTCTCCTGGTTGAACGTGTTCTCCTCTCCTCCTTGAAGTCATTTCTCTCTCTCTCTTCTCTTTCCAGTTTGCTTCTTCAGGCCTTTTCACTATTTGGCTTCTCTGGTTTCTGATCTAGTGGCCTTTATCACTTCCCGTAACAACAGCTTTAGTCGTACACCCCTCCTGCCTTTAAGGTGAGCGCCCCCCCCCCGCTTCTTCCCTTTCCCATGTCATACCTCCTGTCCCATCCCACCCGGCTACCGCTTCATCCTTTTGGGGGCAGAATCTGGCAAGGTTTAGAACGGGCAGGCAACTAGGTGACTTTACGACTTGTGGACTTCAACTCCCAGAATTCATGCTGGCCCAGGAATTCTGGGAGTTGAGGCCCACAGGTCATAAAATCGCCTAGTTGCCCACTGCTGGTTTAGACCATAGACCATAGAATCATTGGACAGGAAGGGGCTTCAAGAGGTCTTCTAGTTCAGGGATAGGCAACCTTGGCTCTTTGATGACTGGTGGACTTCAACTCCCAGAATTCCTGAGCCAGCCATGCTGAGGGGAAAGGGCGAGGTTTCCAAGCTGAGCCATGCTGGCTCAGGAATTTTGGGAGTTGAAGTCCACGAGTCATCAAAGAGCCAAGGTTGCCTACCCCTGTTCTAGTTCAACAACCCTGCTCAAGGCAGGAGACCTGGAGACCTCCTAGTCAAATTATTCTCTTCAGAAACTATTGGGGATGCTGTGATGTTGCTACAAGGGGCATCGCCGTGATTTCAGAGTGGGGGAGGTGGAAAAACCCTCCCCCTGCCCACTTCAAAACCACCCCTTGCGTAGAAAATGGGTCATAAATTGCACAGCAAGAAGTTGGCCACTGAGACGCCGAATTTCGGAAACACGGTGTCGAGGTAGATACCGTCTGCGGGAAGGTAGGTAGCTAACCTCCGTTTTGAAAGGGAAGGAAGGCAAGTGTCCTACATAAACTATGGGTGTCTCGTCCGTGTTGAAAGGTATGAACAACTTATTGTCCAGGTATCTTTCGCAGTCGGGTCCTCATCTGAAAAAAAGCGTCTTTGTCACTTTGCTGGCCTGCCTCTTGTTTAACAGAAGGAAATATTTGTGGAGTCCTTGGTGTTCTCCGAGCTGGTTTGTTGGCTTTGCAGACATTTCATTACCCAACTAAATAACATCATCAATGTTGCTGGACAACACGGGGTTTGCTCTGTCTATAAACAGCACTTGCTCTGCCAGTGCTTGTGAAGGTGGGGTTTTTCTCCTTGGTAGTTCTTTAATTAGGGAATTATTTTCTGCTTGATTGTTTGTCTGGGATTAATCTCCGTTTCTCTACTGGCTACTGGAGAGAACGTGTTTTGGTCTTTTAGTTTTCTCCTTTGTTGTCTCTTTTGAATGATGTGTAAATATGGTTTACCCCTATGGGTCTGTGGATGGCTGATTTGTCTGAATGCCGAAGCTCTCCATGAATTCTGCAGTGTTCTTGATAGGGCCACGGCCCGAGGGTTGTGGAGCCCTGTTCTCTCTCGCTCCTTCCATCATCACTGTCTTCTCCTGAATAGCTTTTCTCTTCCTGGCTGTAGGATGACATGCAGAGGCTCATCGACCAGCAGCTGATGGACAGACATCCTAAGGAATGGAGCCAGATAATGATGTGCAACTTCACCAGCAGCAGCAGCCACGGAGCCAAGCGTCGCGCCCGGCTTTCGCCTTTGCTGAGGCTCCAGCAGCAGGGCTCCGAGCTGGTTGGGGCCGAAGGGAACCGCCTGTTTTCTTTTTTCAAGAAAAATTAATCGGAAGGGAGCAGTCCTCGTTTCCCCCTATTCCTGTTGGGTGGGTGATGGGGTATGTGTGTGTGTCAGGAAAGAAGCTGTGAGAAGCTGGTGGCAGATGGTCCCCCAGTCCTGATCGTCATGCAACCTCCTGCCAAAAGGCCGTTTGGCCCTTGCATGCATCACACTCCCAGACACACAGACACGCAAGCTGTGAGGTTTGATTCACATTTACAGACCCTTTTGTCCATTTCTTTGCGTTAACAGGGAAGGGTATCCTTGACCTCTTAAAGGACCACCATCAGCTTTGGTTAGGCTCCAAACTGGGTTTCCTTCTGTAGGTAGTCCTCGACTTACATCCATTCGTTTAATGGCCATTCAACGTTACAACGGCGCCGAATACTTACGACCCTGGCAGCATCGCCAGGGTCACGTAAAATTTGGGCATTTGGCAACTAGCATGTACTTATGACGGTTGCGCTATCCCCCGGGGTCACGTGATCACTATGGGTAAGCTTCCCATCTGGCTTCCAATGTGCCGAGTTCAACGGGGGAAGGGAGATTCGCTTAACAACCAAATGATTCACTTAACAGTTGTGGTGGGAAAGGTCATAAAGTGAGCTAAAACTCCCTCCACAACTGTCTTGCAACAGAAATGTCGGTCTCAACTGTGGCCGTAAATCGAGGACTGCCTGAATTGCACATAAGGGCTAGGACAGGGGTAGGCAACTTTGGCTCTTTTATGACTCGTGGACTTCAACTCCCAGAATTCCTGAGCCAGCCATGCTGAAGGGAAAGGGAGAGGTTTCCAAGCTGAGCCAAGCTGGCTCAGGAATTCTGGGAGTTGAAGTCCACGAGTCATCAAAGAGCCAAGGTTGCCTACCCCTGGGCTAGGGTCTTGAGGTTGCTCATTTCTGCCAGAGAGCCAATTCTGAAAGAGGCATTCAGGGGTAGAAAGTCAGAGAGAAAAATTGGGCCGGCATAAAAAAACAGCAGGATAAGCACTAAATGTCTTATCAACTAGCTGTTCTTCTGGATTGCCTAGTCACAAGGTGGAAATATAATATTTGGGGACCTCCCAAAGCATCTTCTAGAAGGTATTTGTGGGGACAGAGCATCAACTGAAGAAATTTTAACACCTCTTCCGTTATCAAGATCTTCCAAAAGCAGTCCTGGTGGGCTGGCCTAAGATTTCATGAACTTGGGGAATAACGAGAACTTAGGAGAGAGAATGCCTAAATCCTTCAAAATCTGGACCAGGTTTCATGTCCGTGCAGGCCCAAGAGGGAAGGAAACCTTGCTTGTAGTTAGTCTGTATGACCTTAAGAGGCCACAGAGAAGTCAAAATTCAAGGAAGAAGATGAAGCCCCGTGTCTCTCTCTCTGTTTTGCTTCTGGTTACTTGACACGAATTGGGTTGTCTGAAGAGCATGGGGCTGGCTAGGTGGTGTGATTGTGACCCTACTTCCTTGCCTTCTTTCAGCAACGCTACAGTTCAGATGGGAAAGTGTTCAGGGAAAACCAATTTTCCTTCATTCAGGAGAGCAGGTGACCCAAGTCCTGTGTTCCAGAAGCAGATCTTGCAGACCTTTTGAAGACCAGCTAAGCATTATGCAAAATCTGGAAAGGATACTTCTTCCTTGTCCAAATCCATAACGCTCGCTTCCATCCTTAACTGGTCTGTCTTCTTGTCCCCGGAGGAGGTCAAGTTGAAACTAGGGCAGAGGAGAAATGATAAGAGGGATCTTCTCTCTCTAGAAAGAGAAGGATCCTACTGCCTCCAGGAGAAACCTTCAAAAGACTCCAGGTTTTCTCCCTCACTAGCCACCAGACTATCTGAGCCATAGCTCTCCGGAGAAGATCCAGAGAAAAGAAGAAGGGGGTTAAAATAGCCCGTTGGGGGTTAAAATAGCCCATTCCATCAGAGATTGCTTATCCTTCCAGCAATTGTTCTATTGCCTCTGTGAGAAGGATGTCTCTTGGTTCTAGAACCACCTTCCTCAACCCCTTATCTTCCAGGGTTCTTGAACCCGTCCTGTACAGGTTGATAAGGAAGGGAGCCTGGCCCAACACATCTGGAAAACACCAGCTGAAGAAAGAGGTTGTAGGTAGATAGAAATCTAGTCTTCCTGCTTAAAAATCCAGTATTAATATTTTATATTTTTGGGGTATGCACTTATGAGATAGCTGGGCTGGGAGCCACTTGACTGGCCCCCAAATCACCCAGGCATCTTCCATGGCTGAGGTTGGACTGGATCTCCCAGCTTCTACTTGAGGATCTTCATGTCTACACCACTCTGCTTTTAGGGTCCAATGTGTCCCAGGGAGCTTCTGGGACTAAATAATGGTGAGATTAGAACTGGGGTCTCCCCCACTCTTAGGTCACCACTCTGGGAGCAATAAACTTGGGAACAATAGCTCCAGCAGAGCCAAGATCACCGCTTACTGAGGTCCTTTTTGAGCGATCAGGTTATAGCAGCGGGAAACGGCAGCTCTGCAGATTTTTTAAATTAGCATCATGGAGATAGCTTCTTACAGCTTCCTAGTTTAAAGCTCCAGAAGAAGGAGAAGAAGAAGAAGCTGGTCAGATAGAATTAAGTTGTTCCAGTGACTGGTAGTTTGAAATGTCTAAGTCAGGGGTCTCCAAACCTGGCACCTTGAAGACTTGTGGACTTCAACTCCCATAATTCCTCAGCCAGCTAGATTGTTTATATCTCCGACCACCTTTATACATCGGTTTTTCCAAAGTGTTCCTCCCCCGGAATTCAGACCATGATGACCCACCATCCCCAGCCAACCTGGGTTAGTAAAGACTGGCCTGGATGTAATCTGGTGCTTTCTGAGCTCCTGAACCAAGAATGGTATCGGTGCTGTTGGACAGGTGTAGGTAATAGAATCCCAACATATATGGCCAATAAAACATAAGTCATCCCTGTATGCTTGGTAGGAAGCTACCTGAGATTATGGCTGTATTCAGACAATCTTTCTGACCTAGGGTTAATGGAACACGGCCTTTCTCCTTAACCCAAGTTTAGGAGTTGACACCACAGGCTGAGCTACAGTGTAATTGGCTTGTTCGGGATACACATGTTCCCGATGGGAGTTTCTTTTGAGTAGATGCAGTAGTACAGAGATTGCGCTAGGAAAATTCAGAGGAGGAAGGTAGTTTAAAAATAATAAGAAGAATTGTCTGGATATCAGTGCAGGAAGCTGTGAGCTTATCCTACACTGGAATGACATGGGGAGGGGCTGCAGACTCTTCCAATATTACTGACACCCCTCTCCAGCAAAGATGGCTGCCATCATTTGGGATTGGAATAGTGTAATGAAAGCAATTGCTGGGAAAAATCGTTCGCTTTATGGAATTTGGGATCTGCTGGTCGTTCGTTTGCTACCTTTCCCATAATCTAGGTGGGGAGGCGAACCAGGGGGTGATAGTAGGTGGAACAACTAGAAGGAGGAGACCGACAGCCAATTTAGGAAGAATGGTTGAGCAACTGGGTGAGACCTATCTTCTTCCTCAGGGGCCAAAGATTAGACTAGGAAAAAGACTTAGATGAAGCTAGTGGAGTTGGTTCAACCCCCACGCTGTTGCCCTTGACAAGACACAACCTTTGTGTCATCCATTGTTCTTACAACTTACCTACCTTTCTTAAGTCTTCTGCCCCTTGGTCAAAAAGCTCATGGAGGTGTCCCAGGCTTGCAGGAGAGACGGGGGCCCTTCATCTTTCCATAGTTGAGCTCCCGGGGGAAGGCTCCCATCTTTAAAAAAGGAGAAGAGGACAAAAGCAACTGAGTTCAGGGAGTCCTCAACTTACAACCGTTCGTACAGTGACTGTTTGAAGTTACAACGGCACTGAAAAAAGTGACGTGGGATGAGTTGTCACGCCTACGGCCCTTGCCGTAACCCTAATGTCATGGGTTCAAAATTCAGAGGCTTTTGTGACCTTCTAACCAGATTCACTTCACGACCGAATGAGTCCCTTAACAACCGGAGTCCCTTAACTGTGGCCAAGAGTCGCAAAATGGAGCAAAAGCCGCTTTAACAACTGTCTTGATTAGCGACGGAAATGTTGGGCTCAGAAGTTGAGGGCTCCCTTAGGCAAGGTTGCATGGACAACAGTCCCTGTTATGTAGGCAGTTAAATCCACAACCCAACTCCCTACACTGTGGAGGGCTAAAGGAGAGAAGAACAGAATAAACGGGGAAAAAAACGGAAATGCATCCAGATCGGGAGATTCTCATGACAGGGGGAAAATCCCCTTTCAGAAGGCAGAGAGGCGAGATGGGTGAGGAATCCCACCGTTAAAGGAAATTCCTGCACATAAAACATTTTGCTCCTCTCCCTTGTTTTATTTTTGAAAAGGTTTAATTCTTCATCCCGATAACGGAGAAGTCTTTGATTAGCCTTGATGTGCAGCTTATATCCTCTGCTGTAGTCGGAGCCCGGTTATCAGCCAGCCCTTAAAGACTGTGCCCACTGGGAGATGTAGGGCACTACATTTCCCTCCCCCCCCCTTTGCCCCGCCTGCATGGATGTTGGAATGTTTGGGAATGATGGGACATGTAGTCCATAAGAGGTCACTGCTAGGGAAGAGGGCTGGGAACCAAAGGTGGCTTTGCCTTCGGTTTGGGATCCGACTGGCATCTTCCCCTCTTCCAGAGAAACTGGGAAACTGGTTTGGCTGGTCACACTGGGGGTGGGGGTTACTGGGGGTGGGTGGGGTGGGTGCGTGGAGGGAAGGAGGGGTGAAATAAAGCACATTGCTGGAGCAGGCAGACAGAATGTATTTATATAGGTCTGTGTACATATCAAACCATATCGTAATTTTTGTACGTAGCAGTCCTGTATATAACTGTACGGTTTTTATAAGATATTCTATAAAGGCATATTTTAGTAGAAAACGCAGCACTCTCCCTGATTCTTTGGGGAAACGGGTTCTCCCGCGAATCGAGCTGGACGTCATCAAAGACGGGGGAGGGCGGAGCTCCGTTCTCCGAGTTTGTGGGTTGGCTTCCCAACGTTTCGTTACCAGGCTAGGTAACATCTTCAGTGGAGTTTAAAGGATGTCCAAGACGGGAGTTCAGCCATCCTCGTTCAATTTGAAATCGCTGTCCGATTGGTCTACAAGAGCGGCCGAGATGGCCGCCTGCGAAAGGAGGGTGAGAACGTGGACTGCTTCTGGACCAAAGCAACGAAGATAGAGGACATCAATTCAGCCAACCTTCTCCAAAGCTGGTGACTGTTCCCAATTTAACAAATTAAAAGGGTCTTGCCGACAAAACACGCAAAGTTAAACCGTGGGGATACTGATTGTCCACAACTGGCCATCAGTTGCTTAGCAATTTTTTTGAAGTTTCATTACAGTGGCAATGAAAAAAGAGACGACTAGTTCTTGCACACCATCCCCATGGCCATAGGATCAGGATTCAGGGGTTTAGCAACTGGTGTATTTTTATGACAGTTGCAATGTCCCGGTGTTGTGCGATTGTCGTTCCAGCAAGCCAAGTCAACGAAGAAAGTTGGATTCGTTCAGTGACCATCACTTAACAAGTGCAGTGATGGGCTTAATGTCACACATGCGCATAAGACCATGCGCAATTCATGCAGAAATTCTGTTCCCAACAATGGTTTTGAGGATTACCTGTACATGCATACCTACTTTTGGGGGGGGGGCACATGTGTCAATTTACGCGAGTTAAGCACGGAGCCGTACATTCTCACATGGGGAGTGGATTCAGCCAATTGTGGTTTGCTTAGCCAACCGGTGAGATGTAACCGACTGAATGATTTGATGCCTCCTGACCTTTTCAAAGGCTTTCTGTGTGTGGCCTGGGATTGCAGCAGGCCTGAATTATCACAGAGACTGCGATTTGCACAACCCTCCCCCCCCAGGATAAATATATTGAGGGGCTGGGGAAGTTGGAGAGTTGTAGTCTATGCGTGTTCAAAAGTGGTTGAGGTTGAGAAACAGTGATTTAGGGTGACGTAGCAAAAAAGTCTGATGTCACACATGCGCACACGGATCTAAGACAACCCGCCATGACCAACTCACCCACTTGCCGCTGGACGAGAATTACGCTAATGTAGAAGAAACGGTGGAATAGAACCGTGAAAGAAAAAGTGCAAAAGGAGGGACAGAATGAAACGTGAACGACACAAATCAACACCATTTTTTATTTATTTTAAATAATGGAATTGTTAAATTGTCCCGTGGCGAGTTGTCCCACTCCGCGCACACCCATATGCACACAACACACACAAAAAAGGTATTTTCTGTTTCAAGGTGGGTTTTTTTTTAATTTTATTTATTTAAACAGTTCAACACTCTCTCTTGGAATTGTTAGCGTAAGAAAAAAAAAAAAACAATCCGTGTTCCCTGCTACCTGAGGATCCAATTGCTACATGGCCCCCTCAACTTAGCACGGGAAAACTCACAATCACACACAGGCAATGCAACATTATTACTTAACTACCCCGTTTACGTCCACCCGAAAAGACAAATTTTGGCCAACCCAGCTTGGAAATTCAACCCCGCAGCCGCCCCCCTCCCCTCTTTTGTGCAGAAACGACTCAGGAAAGAACCTCACCTTCCCAGCCATCAGAACCCAGATTTCAGGGGCTCTGCCAGCGGTTTCGACCGCTGCAGGTGAGGAGAAGCAAAGACCGGAGCCTGGGGGGAAGCTTGTGGCAGCTTGGCACCTTTTATTTTATTTTTTTTTGTTTTTAAATTATTTAAAAAGCGTTAATTAGAAAGTTCCCATATACAGAAATCATCTAAGCAAACCAGTTAAGACATTTCACTGCTCGACATTAGCACTGCTAAGGTGCAGCCCCTTTCCCTTCCCTCCCCCAACCCTGTGCACTAGCCCCATCCATCACTTTGTCCCTTTCGCTCACAACTGTTGTCTGGAGGTTAAGTTGCAGCCCCCCTGACTGGACAGGCCCGGCGGAGAGGCAGCCTTGGGAAGCATCCCACTCTTCCCAGGGAGAACGTGGGTTCCAGGCTTACCAAATAGCCCTCCGCACCCCTCGCCTGTCCACTAGACAAAATGCCCACCGGTGAGAATTCCCCCGTTGCTTCTAGCCGCACCTACTCCACGGCTAGGTCCTGCTCTCGTTCATCTTGACGGGCTCTCCTCGTTTCTTCTGAATCATGAATTGCTCAGGGCCTGAAGCGTCCGGGACAAGGTTGGAAGTATCTCACGAGAAATGCAGAGAGGTCAGCGGTGAAAAACAGCGTGCCGAAATGGAGGACGCCCTTCTGCTAGCTCGCCACTGCTTTGAGTGGGATGGCGGTAGCTGCTTCCTCTCCTAAAAAGCAGCGACGATAAACAGGGGGATTCTGCTGAGTCCTTCCAGCAAGATTTGAAGTCCAAAGTTCGACACTGGTGGCCATCTTTTAACATGACCACGGTCACCATCAGATGCCAGACAATGCAGGGTGGGACGTCACGGTGATTTGAGGATGGTGTGGCTTTTTGCCCCCTTGGTATGTTCTGGGAGGAGGGGGCAAATCAACGCTGAGAAGCTGGTGATTATATGCTGGCTGAAGCTCATGTTACCTTGTTTTAACCTAATTAGAAGAACCATTCGCTCTTCAGCAGCTAGAATCGGAATCGAGAGGCAGATTTTGTTCTGATGGAGAACAAACAAAAACCATCCAGCCATCCCTTCCCAAATTCTCCAGCTTTTGAAAGAAAAGGAAAAAAAATTAAGGGGAGAGGGAAAAGAAGAGGAGAACCACGAAGAATTGATCCCATCAGAAGCACATTTCTGCATTTACACTTCATACCTGGTACAGAATGACACACACTTATTAAAAAAAAAAAAGAGAGAGAGAGAGAGAGAGAGAGAGAGAGAGAGAGAAAGAGATGATTTTCATTCTGAAGTTTTACAAGGACGGGGATACTACCTGGAGGCCAATACAAGTTTTAATCCTAATTTTTCTCTGCCGCGGTGGTTTGAATGTCTTTGAGTTATAAAAGTAGGATCTTTCCTTCTCTTGAAGGAGGGGGCTGAAGGACAGAGAACAAAACAACTCTGGGAACATCAGTTATTCCAGAGTTTGGGAAAAAAAGGATTTCAAAACATTCTCCAGATGATCACCAAGGATCCACTTCTGCTTAAAGGCTAATGAAGGCTGAAGAAGAATGGCCGCCAATGAGGGCCGCCTGTTTTAAGGTCATTGGATTGTGTTTCTGGAGAGGGGGAAAAAAAAAGAGCAAGTAAACAAACGAATTAAAAAAAAAAGAGAGTTCTGAACAATTCATGATTGGTGGAGTCAGAGAAGGCAGAAGCCCGAAGCGACACAAGGAGATGCAGCTGGTTAAAGCCAATATACATTATGTACAAATGGTCAAGTCCCCTTGGTAGGCAAAGTCAGGGCTGTCTACCAGATGCTCTTCAAGAGGAGCGGGAACAAAAATAAACCTTAGGATGGAAAGAGTCGGGCGGAACCAGCTCCGTCCCATCCTGTTCTTGGCACGGACACGGTAAGGTGCCTCCTGATCGAGAAGATGGAGGGAACTCCTTTAAATAACGGCACGCAGGGAGGGGGGAAGAGTCCTGGGGCATCGCCTGCGCCAGGCTGCGAGGGCAGGGCTGCCCGAGCGCCCAGTCTCTGCCGCCCCCGGAGGTGGTGGAGGAGGAAGGCCATTAGCAGCACCGCTTCTTCCGTTTACTGTTCTTTGTGAGTTTCACCACGTCGTTCTGTTGCTGCTGCTGCTGTTTTGCAAGGTTGTCCTTCTTAGCCCGAAGAACCAACTCCGTGATGCAGTTGAACATCTGATAGACAGACAGATAGAATTCTTTTATTGGCCAAGTGTGATTGGATACATATACACATACACACACACACACAAAAGGAATTTGTCTCCGGTGCATAAGCTCTCAGTATACATACAAACCACAAAAGAGATAGGTCATAGGTCGTAAATCATCCTATACAGTCGTTAATCCTAAAATACAAACAAGTAGTCAATCCCAAAATACCAAGAGGAGAAGATAATAGGGAAGATGAGAAGATGAGGGGGAAAAAATGAGAAATGAGAAGATGAGGAGGAAAAAGAAGAAAAAGGGAGGGAGGCAGTTAGGAAAGGGGCTCTGGAGGCCTTGATTCCAGTCATGGCCCTCTCTATCCAAAATATGGACTTTGCTGTCTTCAAAAGAGCAACCCTTATCTTTCAAATGAAGATGGACTGCTGAATCTTGTCCTGATGGCTTAGATCTCCTATGTTATTCCATGCACTTGTGGAGCAATGATGGTTACATCAACAACCACTGTTTACAACAACTATTTTTCGTACGTAGCCTGTGGCGCTGGGCTCTTGAAGAGTTACTGACACCCCTATCGTCTTTCCCAATTACCTCTTCCACATTAATGTTCTCCTTGGCACTGGTCTCAAATAGCTGGATGCCCATCTGCCCAGCAAATTTATAGGCGTCTTCTGTCTCCACCACTTTCCGTTCTGGATCATCGTTCTTATTGCCAACTAGGAGAGCAAAGGGAAACCAAAAGTCACGGCTGCAGACTGGTGAAAGTGGATCCGGAGCCATCGACGGCTCAAGGCAAGTATAAAATCTGGGTTAGCAGTGATGGCCGGGCCTTGCTATATCAAAACCTTCCCCAAACCCAGAGAGTTTTACCTAATATCCGGCACACATCGTCGCAGTTCTGGTTTATTTCATGCAACCACCGCTTGACATTCACGAAAGACTCCGCGCTCGTGACATCGTAAACCACAATGACCCCGTGGGTGCCTCGGTAGTACCTGAGGGCAGAGAAATAACCATTATCAAGGTATGATCCTCAAATTCATCCCAGTTTACCTTAAATGCCTTTCCAGCTCTACCTGCTGGCTTCTTCTTCGTCTTCTAGTGCACTTTAGATAGGCTCTAATTTCAGGCAATCCTAAAAGCTGAAGTCCAACACACGTCGACCATCAAACTGAGGAAGGCGTTCTCAGTGGACAGTCTACATTTCCACTATTATAAATCATTTCACTTTAGAACCCCAACGTGAATGGAAGGATATCAACCGTTTTAACATCCAAAACGTATTGAACACTGCAAATGAAGGTAAAAAGACGGGCCCCAGGATAATTTTGCAAGATCCAATTTGAGTTGGTCACCGGGACCAGAGGTTTTAGCCTTCCGAGCTTTGGGCCTTGGGCTGGGATTGTCAACGCTCTCTCTAGAATGTGTGCACTGAATGGGCTGTTCTATGTGTCATATTTATGTGGTTATATGGCTCATTATATGGCACAAGGAAACAACAATGAACGACTTAATAGCCAGCCATCAACACCCTGATAAAATTAGAATAGAATTCTTTATTGGCCAAGTGTGAGTGGACACACAAAGGACTTAATTAATTTAATTAATAATTAACAACTAAAAGCTGCACACAAGCAGGAACCAGATGAATACAATGCGCAGAACAGCCTAGGTGCGCATATTCTGGGGAGAGAGAGAAGTTCCCTGGTGATGGGCCCTAGCACAAGGCCAAATGTTTGGAAGAAAAAAACCTTTGGTCCCAGTGACCAACTCAGATTGGATCCTGATTTTAACACACACAAGGATGTGTTAAAAGAACTCCAGTAGCACAAGAGTTCACAAAAATGCTTCTCTGATTTTAAAGAGTTCTTCTCCTGCTTCCTTACTGTAAGAAAACAAAAATACGGATGTGTTTTGGGGAAGCAATGGCTGTGGAGAGCTCTCTAAATTCTCAGATTAATGGAATAAACTGGAATCCAGAGCTTGGATGGTGGTGGAAAAGGGGGAAAAAAAAAAAAGAGAGAGAGAGAGAGAGAGAGAGAGAGAGAGAGAGAGAGAGAGAGAGAGAGAGAGAGAGAAAGAGATCAGCCAGGTTGCTGGCTCTTCTTTCAGCACGTTAATGCCGTGGGGGAAGCGCATGATGTGTCTCTGTGGGAAGCAGAATTGGCAGATTTGAAATATCAGATTGCTATGGAGAGGACTTTGTGAGCTGGGGACAACTGCTGTCCCCAGGAGCCTCCCTCGAGCAGATGAGAAATTCAGGAGAGAAGAAACAGCCGGGGAAGAATAGTATACAGAATACCAGAATTGGGAGGGATCTTGGAGGTCATCTAGTCCAACCCCCTGCTCAAGTAGGAAACCCTATATATTTCTGATGTATAGTGGCTGTCCAGTCTCTTCTTGAAAGCCTCCAGTGATGGAGCACCCACAACTTCTGGAGGCAAGTCGTTCCACTGGTTGATTGTCCTCACTGTCAGGAAATCTCTCCTTACTTCTAGGTTGTTTCTCTCCTTGATTGGTTTCCATCCATTGCTTCTTGTCCTGCCTTTGGGTGCTTTGGAGAATAGCTTGGCTCCCTCTTCTTTGGGGCAATCCCTGAGAAACTGGAAGACTGCTATCATGTCCCCCCTGGTCCTTCTCCTCATTAAACTAGATATACCCAATTCCAGCAACCGTTCTTCCTATGTTTTAGCCTCCAGTCCCCTAATCATTTTGTTGCTCTTCTCTGCACTGTTTCCTAAAGTCTCAAGATTGCGAGAAACGTTGGAAGGCAGCTGGAGATACTGAAAGATGACCTTCCCCTGCAACGTGCCTTAGGAATCCTACCATTGAGAGATATGGAGAAAGGCTGAAGGACAAACGTTAACCTCCATTTTTGTTATATCATCATTCGGGACTCTAGCACTGAAAAAGAAAGGTCACTCCTCCAGTCATAACATCAAACTTATCAAGGCCAGGGAGATTGGTGCTCCATTGTTGGAGAAGAAGAGATTGGACAGCCATTTGTCCGGAATGGTCTAGGGTCTCCTGCTTGAGCGGGGGTGGTGGTGGTGTTGGACTAGAAGACCTCCAAGGTCCCTTCCAACTCTGATGATTCTGAAAAACCCACGTGGATCCTGAGGACAGCAGATGGACCAAAATCAACCACAGAGACTCCTCCAGAGGCTTTAATGCAGGGGTCTTCAAACTTGGCCCTTTGATGACTTGGGGACTTCAACTCCCAGAATTCCTCAGCCAGGCACGCGTGCCTGGCTGAGGAATTCTGGGAGTTGAAGTCCCCAAGTCATCAAAGGGCCAGGTTTGAAGACCTCCTGCTTTAATGCATGTGTCAAATTCTCCCCAGTGGACCTATGACTTCTCTCTTTGTTTTTACATTACAGGCAGTCCTTGACTTGCAACAGTTTGTGTAGTGACCGCCCGAAGTTACGACGGTGCTGAAAAAAGGAACTTATGACCATTTTTCACACTTACGACCGTCGCAGCCTCCCCCGTGGTCACATGATCAAAATTCATTCAGCCTGGCAACTGGCTCACGTCAACTGCAGGGATTCACTTAAGAGTCGTGGCAAGGTTGTAAAAGCTCACTGAACAACTGCCTCCCTTAGCCACGGAAATTTTGGGCTCAAACTGTGGCCGTTAAGCCGAGGACTGCCTATATATTACTGTTTGGTCCCCATAAAGCCCTCGGCTGTTGGGAAAGAAATAGACATATATGGAGACACAAACACCCACGAGTCGTGAAGGAAGAAGCTGAGAAGAGATGATAACAAAAGAAGAAACAGACCAAGTGTTTGGCTGAGACCAAAGGAAAGAGAGCTGGCTGAGTCTGTGGTCGATCCAAAGCAGAAGAAACTTGTCCAGGTAATTCTTGACTCATGAGGGCTACGTGCAATGAAATTCCATTTTAATGTGTGCCGATTACTGTACATTCCAAGTGACAATAAAGTCATTACTGTTAATAGTGGGACTGGCCAACTGCAGACAGGATAGTGAAGTTCAGCATCACCAGGGCAGGAAGTCTGATGTTGAAACTGCTCTGCCTCGTGGGATTGCTTAAGCAATCTTCCTACCAGTAGAAGTCAGGAAAAATTTAAAAAAACTAACTCTCTCTTTCACTCTTCTGAAAAACCGAGATCCTCAGCCAAACTCCACACCCCACGTGGTTACACGTTTGGGGAACTTCAGGACACGCTTCGCCCGAGGCGTCGCCCTGCACGGAGAGCTGGATCAGGGGCATATATTTTTCTGTTCTCATTTAGAAATCTCCTTTTGGGGTTTTCCCTGTAGGAGCCGGCATTAGACATCAACTAAGCCACAATTGTTGGTTGTATACGCACATCACTCGGAAGAAAAGATCTGCTGACACTGTCAATGAGACGCTGACACACGCCTCTCTCTGTCGGCAAGTGCCTCTTTTACACTCCTTCACCATTTCCTGCCACAGGCTGGCTCACAAAACACAAACCACAAAGGATACGCTTTTGGGTCAGTGAAGAAGTCGGGGTTGGCTCTGCCCTGTGCACTCAACACGGTCTTAAGAAGGGCACAAAGAGTCCTTGAGGTACATTTATGCAATCATTCCAGTTTTTTGCCTTTTGTTCTTTTTTTTTTTTTAAAAGAAATTTGGGGGTTTGGCAGAATCTTCCTCCCCTAACTGCAAAATGTGATGTCTTGTCAGACGTATTCTAGTCCAATCCACAAAGACTTATCAATAGAACATGGAATCATAGGGCTGGAAGGGACCTTGGAGATCTTCTAGTCCACCACCCTGCCCGTGGCAGGAGACCCTAAACCTTTTCAGCCAAATGGCTGCCCAGTCTCTTCTTGAAAATCTCCAATGATGGGAGCACCCACAACCTCTGATTAATTGTTCTCATTGTCAGGAAATTTCTCCTTAATTCTAGCTTGGATCTTTATCTATCTATCCATCCATCCATCCATGATCTATATCTCTCTCTATTATTATCTAGTTCTATCATCTATGATCTAGTCTGTCTGTCTGTCTGTCCGTCCGTCCGTCCGTCCGTCCGTCCGTCCGTCCGTCCGTCCATCCATCCATCCATCCATCCATCCATCCATCCATCCATCTATCTATCTATCTATCTATCTATCTATCTATCTATCTATCTATCTATCTATCTATCTATCTATGTGGGATCCATTCTATGACCTCCTTGGTCCACCTGCCCTCAGTTCTTCTGGCTATGTGACCCATTTCCATTTCCATTCTTTGACTCTCTTGATATCGTATCCCTTTGTTTGTTCTCCAATCCATGTGCGGGTCTTTCTATTTTGTGGGGCCGTGCGTATCTCTTTCCATGGCTCTTTGTGCCACTTGTGGCTTTTGTATCAATGGTGAGGTTAGTGGCCATGTTTCACCGGCATATGTTAGATACCTGAGACTAACATCAATCACATCTGCCAATCTGCACTGGACTAGTGTGGCAGATTACAGCCTTATTCCTTCAACATGTCAATACAAATTCAATCTAATCTAAGCATTGATTTCTTCTTGCCGTCCTGCGAAAAGCAGCACCCATCAGATTGATCGATCAATGACCAATTGGAATGTGGTTCTTTTGCTTAGCTTTCCCTCTTCTCCCTACCTCCATGAGGCTGGTGCAAAGCTGAGACAATGAACCCAACATTTTAAATATCATCTGCTCTAAATCAAGCCCTGCCCTTTACATAGAAGGCCTGTGGTGAAGGCGTATGTATAGAGCAAAGGTATTTTAGGCCACTCAAGAATTCTTCCAAAGCAACCTTACAAAGCTATTTTAGGTAATGGAAATTCACCGCTGGAAATACCTTGACTTCCTCACAATTCTCAGGCTTCTTTGGAAAAAAAACAGACCAGTAAGCCAGTGAAAATATTATACTGTAAATTTCTTATTCTTATCCTCCCTAGCAAACAACCCGCTTGAATGAAAAGGGCGCAAATGAAATGGCTAAAACCGGACAGATAAATCATCCCTGCTAGGATAAAAAAGATTTAAGTGTCAAAGCATTCAAATTACTTCGGTGGGGTTTTTCCCCTTTTCAAGTGTGCAATGATTCAGAGCTAGCCTCTCATTTCTTCCCCTGAACTTGCTTTGCCAGGATTCTATGACAACCTTCTCTATAGAAAACAAAACCTCAGCGCTATTCATATGTCCGTTTGTGTGAAAGGGAGCTGGCAGCAAAGAGAGAAAAGGCTCGTATCAAGCTCAAGCTCCCACTCTGGGTTGTAACACCGTCTCATGCAGAACTGAGGACCTACTCAGACCAAGCCAGTAATTTTAGCCACCCTTCTTTGCTAATTCAGGAGCAAATTAAACTACAGTTTTGGTGGGACTTTGAGTAGGGCTTTCTGAAATCCAATTCTCACAGTCCTTGAGAGGACGTTGGGAGTTGTATTCCAATCATATCTAGAAGGCTAAAATTCCTAAAGAGCCCCACTGGCTCAGAACCTTGATTACCTTGGTACTCAACTGCTTGGAAACTTATCAAAATTGATACTCAATGCATTTTGACATGAAAATGTTGTCCCAGCACTCATCGTTTGTTTGGTCCTCAAGGCACAAGCTAAACCTTGTCGGTGTTGGCTGCCTTGTGACTCACTACATCATTCCTTACGGGGGGAGGGGGGGAAATGGTTTGATACTCATCGTATCTCACGGAAAATATTAACCAGGAATACTGAGGTACCACTGTATTATATGAAGACAAAAACCCACAAACGCTTCCAGGTCTTTTCCACATTTTGTACCTTTCACAGATTACAATCTGACTCATGAGGCAAACTGGAGGAGAGGGAAATAAACAATAGCCAGGGAGAAGAAATCGGGGTCTTACATCTTATCAGAACAAAGCTATGACTTAAATCCAGTTATCTGATCGTGTTTTTAAACAGACTCACGTTGAGGTGATCGTCCGGAAGCGCTCCTGTCCCGCAGTGTCCCAGATCTGTAACTTGACTTTTTCCCCATTGATTTCAACGGTCCGAATTTTGAAGTCGACACCAATTGTGGTAATGTAACTGCCTGTGGGGGAAACAGCACAGAAATTGTGGGGGTTTCTGAGGGTATTACCGGCAATGAGCCAATTACGGACAGTTGGCTGCTTCCTAATGATGCAAAATTGGCTAGGAATCCTTTTTCGGAGGTTGACAAATTATCTAAGGGACAATATTCCTGGCCTCGCACCGTTTCCATTCAACTATTTTTTTTTAAAAAAAACAACCAAATTCTCATTATTCATGGAAGAAAAGGCTCTTCTAGACCCCGCCAGCCCAAATCCCTTGGCTGATGGACTCTTCGTAGGGATGCATGCCTGGCTGAGGAATTCTGGGAGTTGAAGTCCACAAGTCATAAAAGGGCCAAGTTTGAAGACCCCTGGAGTAGGACGAGCCGATTCTAATGGGGCAAGGCAGTTCTTCAGATATGCTGGACCCAAACTCATGCATATTCTTCAATTTTCACCCACCCACACACCCCCAGGGAGCCTTGGCTGAAGGCTCCACTGGCAGTGCCAATGTGCCCATCTTACCTGAGAAAGTGTTGTCTGCAAAACGGAGCAGCAAACTGCTCTTGCCGACACCTGCATGAGAAAAGGAAAAAAAAAATAAGCTAAGTCTGCAAGTCATTGCTGGAGCAACAGAAAGCAGCATTTTATTTCAATGCTGTTGACTGTGGGATTCCTGTTTGAATATTGATAGGGCACGGGCTTGGATACTGCCAGAAGTAGGCAGGTGTTTGCACATCTGCTCTGCAGAAAGGAGGACTTTGTAGAACCACAGGGCTGAAAGGGACCTTGGAGATCTTCTAGTCCAACCCTCTGCTCAAGCAGGAGGCCCTATGCCATTCCAAAGGAAACGACTGTCCAATCTCTTCTTGAAAAGCTCCAGGGATGGAGCGTCCACAACCTCTGGAGGGCAAGTGGTTCCACGGTCACAAGGACCCAAAATGTTGGGTAATTTCTGAAGCGTTTCACGTGTGATGGAGGAACCCCACCAAGAGGAGAGTGTCAAGGTCAGGAAGGATGTTTTCCTTGGTGTCTAAGAGACAAAGACTTATACAGAACAGGATGTAGCCACCACTTCCTCTTCCTCCTCCAATTTGCCCGTCCCTGCCCAAACACAACCTGCCTTCCATCTCTTCAGCATGGCGATAAAAGCCCTCAAAGATACAAGAACGTTTGTGGGTGTGATAGAAGACAAGTGCAAGTGACAGGGATGAAATGCAACTGCATTCAGCATAGCTGCCTGACTCACCACATTAAGCAATAGTGGCTTACAGACCACAGACTCTGGCTTGACAGAGCACGCGACACAAAAACAAACAGTAGGGCTTAGAGCAGTGCTTCTTGACATCAGCAAGTTTAAGATGTGTGGACCTGAACTCCCAGAATTCCCCTGCCAGCATGGAGAATTCTGGGAGCTGAAGTCCACACACCTTAAACTTGCTGAAATAGAGAAAAACTGTCTTAGAAGAATATGTGCAATGGGCTAATATGTCCCTATTAGACACCATGCCACACTTGCCTGAACTTTTTAGGTGGCAGAAGACTTAACTTCCAACTGTCTCCTGATGATTGGCCCAGTCACCCAGCCAGCTTTCATGGCTAAGGCGGAATTAGAACTCACGATCTCCCAGTTCCTAATCTGGTGCCTTAGAAGGTCGTACAATGGGGCAAAATTCACATATTAAATGTCTCACATAGCAACAGAAATTTGGGATTCAGCCCAGTTTATATTTCAATGGCCTTATAATAAGGCCATATTAAGGGAAAAAACCAGTAATGAGGAAATGATAATATTCCTTACATAATTAAACAAAACTCCAGGCAAGGTGAGAACTGAAGCTTGAATTTCTAGCTCACACCTCTGTAAACACAAAACCCTTGTTTGCTTTCTAGAAACTTTTTATGAGTTGTACACAATAAAGAAAGAAAGAAAAGAAAAAAGGTTGAGCTTTTGGGTCTGTAAGTTAAGGCTAAATACAAAAGGGAAGAGGAGAGGGAATTATTCTTCACAACAGTCAGAACTGGGAATGGAGAAGCGCTTGTAATTAACATGAAATGCTCTAAGCTCTTGTAGCATGGCCTATAACTCTAAACACCTAGCTTTCAAGGTTTGTCTCATATCCCTACAAGGGTCCTTCACATCAAAAGTGCTCCCTATTTAGCCATTCAAGCTGTCCGTCAAGTACGGAAATTAAAAAGTGCCCTGAAACCTGTTACAGACTGCATTGTATTTATAAATCTCCCTTTCGCCAAATCTCTAGGGGGCTCATATGATCCAAAGGCTGTGTTAAGTCCTGACTGCTCCTTAGATGAACTGTGATTAGGTTGCCTGGTTGGGAAATCGAAACTCAATCCCCCATTCGGTTTTCCGTTTCCGCTAGGATGCTACTGCTATTCAGAGGGACCGGGAATAAAGGTAGACATTATTTCACATTAGCCCCAATTATAAGTATGTAAGTAATTAAGTGAGTATGTATTTCATTGCTGTTGCCTCTCCTTTATTCCCTTAAACAAAATTAAATTACAAGCTATCTGTGGCTGAGGCCAGCCTTTTTATTATGTACTCTCTAAAGTGCTGTAGGTATAATGATGTATACTTTAAAAATCTAACCTCTGGATAGGTGTATGGTGGCTGAAAAGAAATGTATTTCTTAAGTGTCTTTTTATCTTTCTCTTTTATCTAGGCTCTAAGAATGATCTCTGAAGTTCTTTACAACAGTCTTCCATCAACCCCACTGCAACTTATTATACAATACACATCCGAATCTTTCCTTTGGAGACTTTTAAGGCAATGTGGACCTCACTCTCTCTCCGTTGCATTCTCACCACAATCCAAACCTTGTGTCGATACATGGAGGCTGGATTTCCACACACCTCGGGAGCGACAGGCCTGAATCACACCAGGGAATGAAGGTCTTGTGCAACTACAGGTAGTCCTCCTTTAGTGACCTTTTGAAGTTATAAAGTCACTGAAGAAAATCTTATGGCCGTTTTTCCAATGACCATCTTGGGCGACCTTCTGACAATAGTCAATTGCGAAGCCAGAAGCACTTGGCAAGCGGGTTACTAGAGGGGGGATTCACTTCACAACTGTGGCAAGGAAGGTTGTAAAATGGGGCAAAACTCATTTAACAAATATCTTGTTTAGCAAGAGAAATGTTGGGGCTCAATTGTGGTCAGATGTCGAGGACTGCCTATATTCCTGTTTACCAACTGTCCCGCATTTACGACGGTTGCAGGCTCCCGTCAAGTGACCTTCCCGGCTGGCTCCGAACAAGCAAAAGTCAACAGGAAAGCCAGCAGGGAAGGGTTGCAAGTTGTTATCGCTGTCTCACTTAATGACCACAGTGATTCGCTTAACGACTGTGGCAAAAAAGGATTGTAAAATCAGGTGGGATCACATATCTCACTTAACGACTGCGCCACTTAATAACAATTTTTTCTGGCCCTTGTGGACTTCCTGTACGTGTCAGAGTGCTTAGATTACGTAAAACCATAAAGATCATAGTTCAGATCATCCTCCCTGCTATAGATCTCATTGGATTATCTATTAACTTATTAATAGATTGTATAAATCTAATCTGCCTCTGAAGGAAGTTGCAAGGATTTTACACACATGGCCACAAGATGTCCATGAAAACCACTGCTCTCTGTGGAGAAAGCCTGGGACAAATTCAATAAATAAATATATACCCTACTAAATAAAGTGTTTCGGTGATCAGAAGTGCTATATAAAAGTCACCAAGATTATCGGGTGACTGTGGATAAGTCACACACATGCCTGATATGGGGAAAAGCCTCTAGAGAAAATAGCCAGCCACTTTAGGGAAGTATCAAGTCAAACTACCAACTTTCTAGAATTGCTGTTCTCACCCTGGCTGCATTCACATGACTGACTGAACCACAACTAGCAAGCCAGTTTATCTTAAACTGTTGGGTGAGTCCAGGCCACGGGGCCAATTGATGGTTCAGCACGTCACACGCATGAAGTCAGACATGACACTGAGCAAAATCACAGTTAAACAGAATGTATTGTGCAAAGTCAACACCAGTGGCTCTCCAGGCTTCCAAACAAGAGGCATTTCATCCCTGCTTAAAGATGCAACAATCTGAATTCTTCTTGACCGCTTTGCCCCCCCCCCCAAAAAAAAGTTACTTAATGCCAATTGCATAAACGTATAATGTCAACCTCGCTTATTATTGATACACGCATCACTACACAAACAGATTCTTTATCAAGGCAGCTGGACTTTCTTGGGTTTTGGCTTGAAGGCGATTTGCTTCTCTCTACCCGAGAAACTTCCGCAGGTCTCCTTTCGCAGGTCGGCTTCTGAAGAAGCTTCTTGGACGAGAAGCGAAACGTCTTCCAGGAAAAAAACCAAAGTCCAGCTGCCTTTGGGAACTGAAGAACCTTCCTGGATGAAAAGCGAAACCTCTTCAAGGAAGAACAAAGAAAGTCCAGCCGCCTTTTGAAAACATCCTTGGGTTCTGAGAATCTCCATAGACATTTCTCAAGGAAAGGAAAGCAACGGCTCTGGTCCTGCATTCCCCCCCCATCCTCCCCCACCAAGAAGACATCATCACATATAGCAAGTAAATTCAGAAGCAGAAAACACACTGAAGGGGAAAACCGCCAATCAGCTTCTGCCCCAGAGCTGAGAAGCGCCAGCTTGGATCCCCCTCCCCAAATCCTCTGGGCCTCCTTCCCACCCAGCCCTTATCCTTCTGGGATCCCTGTCCCTTTTGGGTCCTTCAAATATTGAGGGGGGCTCTGCCCCCCTCCTCTCCCCAACCCTCCTTCGGGCCCTGCTCGCCCCTTATCAGGACCCCCCAAGACAATCCTCCTGCTCCCCCTCCTCCTATTGGGGACCCTCTCTTACCTTCTGGGGGGTCTCCCCCTACTTCCCTCCCCCTCCTTCCTTTGGGGGCTTGCTCCTCCCTTATCAGGAACCCCCCCCCCAATCCTCCTGGCTGTCCCTCCTCCTCTTGAGGCCCCTCCCTTACCTTCTTCTAGGGGTCTCCCTTTCTCCCCTCCCCCCTCCTTGGGGCCCTGCTCCCCCCTTATCAGGACCCCCCCCAAGACAATCCTCCTGCTCCCCCTCCTCCTATTGGGGACCCTCTCCTACCTTAAGTCCTTCTGGAGGGGTCTCTCCCTGCTCCCCTCTCCCTTCCTCGGGGTCTCGCCCCCCAAAACCTCTCAGCCCCCCCGCCCATGCCGCCCCTCCCTCAGGGTCCTCACTCATTCCCTCCCTCCCCCTCCCTCCGCCCATCCGCCTTCCCGGCGCTCAGAAAGAGCAGGCTTTCTCCCCGGCCGGAGAGGCCGAGCCGGCGGCCCGCCGCCCTCACCGCTGTCGCCGATGATGAGCAGCTTGAAGAGGTGGTCGTAGTCCCGGGCCATGGCCTCTGGTGGGCGGGAGGGGGGGCCCCGGGGGAGCGGCCGCTCCCGTCGCGGCGAGAAGGTCGCGTCTCCTCAGGCGGCGCCGAGGCCGGATCGGCTCCTCGACCTGCAGCCGGAACTGACAGCGGCGGCAGCGGCGGCGGCGACGGCGACAGCCCCCGCCCCGCCGCTCGTCGCTTCCCCTCCCAGGCGCATGCGCACTCCTCCGCCCGGGCGGCTGGAAAAAACCGCCAGGGGCTCGAGGCAGCCCCTCCGCGCACGCGCGGCGCCGCCCTTGCGCGTCGCTTCCTCTCCTTCGCCCCCCGCTCGCCCTGGCTCAACATGGCGCTCGGGGGGCTTCCGCCAGTGCTGGGATTCTTCTCTTCCGTTACCCCAGCCGGGCAGCCAAGCTGCAAAGGTTGGGGACCGCTGCCCTAGAGAGGCAAGAATGCCTCTGAGAGAATGCAGAGTGCATCTAGTTTATTACATCCCTGAGTTAACCCCTCTGTCTTCATGGAGGACTGAATCAATGAACCCTGCACGCCTGGCTGAGGAATTCTGGGAGTTGAAGTCCACAAGTCTTAAAAGGGCCAAGTTTGAAGACTCTGTTTTGTATGATTTTTTACCTGCTGGAGGGCTGCATCTTGCTTTGTTAGAATTCACACTGCATTTTTCTATCCTTAGCTTGCAGATTTTCAAGCCAAAGGTCCTCAGTTTGATGCACTATTTATTTGGATAATTCAGGATTAGATTGATTAAATTTTAGACCTAACATTATAAACAAGTTCTTGCTGCAGAAGGAGAAATGAACCAGGAAGCCTTATGTCCCAGAGAAAGTAACTGCAAAATTTTCCCCGAATACCTGAACTGTCAGTATGTGACTTGTAAGGTTTAAAGTTTGCTTCTTTCTTTTTCCCCACCCTTATTTTTCTCTCTTGACAACACTAAGTTCACTAAGTTCAGTGGAATTTGCTTCCTTAGAAATCGGGATAAGATTAATTATCCTGTCGGACAAGTTTTGTGTAGCACCCGGAACATTTTCAGAAATGCTACCGCTGTATGAATATAACTTAAAAGCAATAATAACACATTGACTTGGGGGAGAAATCAGATCTTCATTTTGGTTCATTACAAAGCCAGCCAGTTCTTTAGACTGGATTTGGTCCACCTATTTGTCCACTATCAAGTCCTTCCCAAGGACCTGGGATACGCAGATGGGGATGTTTGATGGTATTAATGGTATCATCGCAGGATATCAGCTGCTCAGAGTAAAGCTGCCTTTTGCAATTGACTGATGGAGAATTTGTTAATGCCGATGGTGTTTAAGTGATGCTCCAATTGTTTTGCTGGCTGAGGAATTCTGGGAGTTGAAGTCCACAAGTCATAAAAGGGTCTATGTCCTAGGGACGTCAAACCACCTAGCACTGTTCATAGGGCTGTATACTATTATCCTTCTCATCTTTTCATCTGTCCTATTACTTATTTCCTTAGCTTCTTATGACTATCACTTTGTTGTTTGTATCTCATGATTTATGTTGATTGCCTTTATTCCTTATCCTATTACGATTTATGTTGTTTACTTATTTAGTATCCTATGACTATCACTGTTGTATCTTATGATTTATGATGATCATGATTTATCAAGCGTGCGTACACCGTATGAGCTTTTGCATGGGAAACACATTCCTTGTGTTGTCCAATCACCCTTAGGCAATTCTGCTCTATTCTATTCCTCTATAGCAGCGGTTCTCAACCTATGGGTCGCAACCCCATTTGGGGTCGATCGACCATTTTTCGGGGGTCGCCAAAGAAGGCGATCCGCCATTTTCCCCCCTCAGGGGGCGGGGCCGTGCATGCGCGCCGTGCATGGTGGGCGGTGCCGCACATGCGTGCCGTACATGGGGGGGGGCGCTGCGCATGGGGTGCCGCCGCGCATGCGTGCCGCGCATGAGCAGAACGTTTATGTGACGGGGGTCGCCGTCACACAAACGTTGAGAACCACTGCTCTATAGGTTTTTCTGAAGTTGCTTTGTTGTTGTTAATTGCGAAGTCATGTCCGACCCATCGCGACCCCATGGACAACGTTCCTCCATCTTCTGGAGTCCATTGAAGCTCACGCCTCCTGTTTCAGTGACTCCATCCAGCCATCTCATTCTCTGTCGTCCCCTTCTTCTCTTGCCCTCAATCTTTCCCTGCATTAGGCTCTTCTCCAGTGAATCCTTCCTTCTCATTAGGTGGCCAAAGTACTATATATCTTGCTTGGGTTGCTATATATCCCCTTCTAGGCAGCTCTTTGCTCCACAGGTAAAGCCCGCCCCCTCTCGCCCCCCTTCCTACCCAGCTCCTACTTCCGAGTGTGACGTTTGCACTAATTAACATAAGATCCCAGAAGCCTTTGCAGCATGGGAGCCGCTTGGGAGTGGGAAATAGTGGCCTTTTTCCTTCCACCGTGCAAAAATAAGAGTGCACAATACATTGGTGTGTAGGACATAGAGCGGGAAATCACTCTTATAATACTAGGTTGAGGGCTCACCGTGGTGTGATTCGTGGTTGCATGGTTGGGCACGAAAAAAATGGATACCATACAACCAGCTTTGCGCAGTGGCAGTATCGTAGCCAATGAGGTTTATCCGAGGCGCGATTATTGCTAATTGAAAACTTTTCCCAATACCCCGCCGTGACGACTTGAAATATAGTCGGCATTGGCAATTTTTGACAGTCTCTACGGAGACTGATATCTGTGGTTTAAAAATAGAGGAAAAATGAGGACTAGCTACTTGGAAGTGCTTTAGAAGCATTTGCTTGAAGAGTTAAATCACGTGTTTTGATCTTAGCAACTTGTAAGATGGATGGGCGTTCAAGTCTGTGCATCTTCAAAGTTGCCAATGGAATGGCAACAAATCGTCCCGGTAGGGGATAGCATGTAATTTCCAGAGCCAGTACCCCAAAAATGAATCCATTGGATGGGGCACCAACAGGTAATCCCAGGGCATGGGCTGGAGAAAGAAAACGGGAAGTACAGGTCTGTGAAAAGGGCCACGTCAGATGCGGTTAAGCACGTGCAAACGTGAAGCCGTGTTTGTCCACCTGGGCAACTTTAAGATGGTGGGACTTCATCTCCCAGAAGTCCCCAGCCAGCATGGCTGGCTGAGGGATTCTGGGAGTTGAAGTCCACAAGTCACAAAGAGGACAAGGTTGGGGACCCTTGCTCTAGAGAGCAACGAACCCAAGCAAGATCCTACGGAAGTTCGCGCACTCCCCAGTGGGGGGGGCAGACTTCGCCTCCCCTTGCGCTTCCCATGCAAGGCCGCTAGGGGACGCCAGCGCCGTAGAGACGCCGCGAGGCCTCCTTTCCCCCCTCCCCTCCGCGACCCAGCTCGGGCAGCTGGCGCCCGCGCGGCGGGGGCGGGCCTCGGTGGGCTCGCGGGCACGCGCGCGCGGGCTCCCGGAGCGGCAGCGGCTCCAGTCGGGGCGGCGGCAGCAGCAGCAGCAGCAGCAACATGGACGATCTGGGTGAGCCACGCGCTAACGGGGCTACCCCCTCCCCTTACTTTCTTTTTTGGGGGGTGGGTGGGAGGGGGCTTTTGCTTCTGTTGCTGCTTTCTTGGCCATCTCTCCTCCCCCCCCTCCCTCGCCTTTCTTTGGAACCTCTTTACTTTGTTCTCTTTGGGGGGAGGGTCCTCCTCTCCTCTTCCTTTGCTGCCTTTAATTGGGGAGGGGGATCCCTCTTTGGGTCGGTTCTAGGGTCCCGGAGGGTTAGGGTTCTGCCCTCCCTAGTTTCTCCCTTTGTGGGGCGCTTCCTGCACTTTTTCAAGTGGGTTTCCTTTCCGCGGGGGGGGGGGGTCGGATTGGTTAGTCTTCTATCCCTCCCCCGATCCCTTTCGCGGGGAGGCGTCCGCCTCGCTAAAGAAAGAAAAGAAAAAAAAAAGAACCCTACTTTAAGGTGTTGGGAGAAACCTCACTTCCGTTCCGTTTTGGGACGCTCGCTCTGCCATAAATTCCTAAATGGACTTCTTTTAAACGGGGTCCTGTGTCTTGCGTCTCCTGCTTTGCTTTGGGGGGGGCGTCCATGTAGGTCCCTAATCTTTTCCTCTCCCCCCCCCTTCTTCTCTTTGGAGTTCAGTTTAAAGGATCAAACGGGGTTTCCGCCCCCTCCTCTCCATCTGCCATGCGGACCCCCCCCCTCCATGAAGCCTCTTTTTGCCTCCACCCCCCCACCTTGGCTTCAAGTTCACATATTTTGCCCTCCCCCCTGGGATTGCTCTCCCTCTTTCAGCTCCTTCCCCCCGTTTCTTTTTGCTTCAGGCTGACACAACGGGGCTGAACTCCAGACCTGGGCTAGGCGTTCAGACACTCCTATATCATGAGTGTACCCTCAAATCAGGAAATAATATTACACGAGTTTTGAGGGCCAGCTTCCCCCTCCCACCCTCATTCTATCAGCAGCTGGCAGTTTCCAAACTCTCTGTAAAAGTCTCTAAATCCAGTTTCGGCTTATAGAATCATAGGGCTGGAAGAGACCCACAGAGGTCATCTAGTCCAACCCCCTGCTTGAGCGGAAGAATATATCATTCCGGACAAAAGGCTTTCCAACCTCTTCTTGAAAACCTCCAGCAATGGGGCACCCACAACTTCTGAAGGCAAGCCCTCCCACCCATTAATTGTTCTCACTGGCAGAGGGTGTTGTGTAAACCCCACCAAGGCTTAGTACTTTTTTTTAACCTGTTGTTCCTCCAGGCCCCCCTCCTCTAACTGATGCCTTTGATCACAACATCCATCGTCCTCCACCCAGCAAACTCCCTCCCAGGCTGATGATGCCTTCTGCCACAAACTCTTTAAAAAGTATCTCTTTCACAGTCATAATATTTAGGCATCTTAAGATTGCTTTTATATACACTGAATTCCTTTTTTCCCCCTTTTCCTAGTGTTTATGTATCCCCAAGGAATAGGAAGCTATTAGCAAGGAAGCTACATTAAAAGGAATCAAAAGCACAAGTTTTTGCTAGAATACAAAGTTGCCAACAAAAGGTTGGTGTGTTCCCAGGTTGGTTTTATAACATCCAGCTTACAAAAGAACATTTTTTAAAAAAGAGTGGAAATTTGGCTTGTTGCTTTGAGCAACGCTCCGTAGTTCTTTTTCTTTTTAAGGACAGGAAATTTTCCTTAAAATGAAGTGCCTCTTTCGGCGTGAAACTTGTGACTTGTAGCAATCTCCTATAGCCGGGGTCCCCAACCCTGGCCACTTTAGGACTTGTGGACTTCAACTCCCAGAATTCCTCAGCCAAAAGCTGCAATGCTATCCAGTATGGTCCATTGGCTTATTGTTTACGGCATTTTAGATAGGCACAATTTTTAAAAACATTCCTTCTCTCTGTCTACAGTTGTACTATTTTTCCTGCCATTATTTTTTTTAAAGCAACATCTGCTTTATCTCTGGGATCTCCCCCGACCCTTTATTCTTTCTCAGACTTTAAAAGCGATGGGCTGAATTGCAGACTTCTAGCCAACTTCTTGATAGGCTTGTGTAACAATCTGCGGAGGTTTTTTTTTTGTGTGTGTGTGTTTCCAGGAAACTTGAGTCAAATAAATCATTATTGAACCTCGGTTAAAGTGGTGGCATGCAGACGTAGCCCTGCCCTTTTTAACTGTTTATTTATTAGATACATATGTTTTATTGTAATTAAAGCCTACGGTTTGGGAGAACCTATTGGGACAAAATAATTAGGCTGCAATGCAGTAGAGAATCAAAACACCCGTTAATATAAGAAAGGGGGAAAAAAAAGATAATGTAACTGGGAAAAAAATGTAGGTTATAGATTTTGGGGTAGGTAAATTTTAGCTGCATCCAGTTGCAAATAGTTCTACTGCGCAATATTCTCCAGGAGAGTTTCAATTTTATTCCTAGACCTTGAGTATTAAGTTGCAGTGCTAATTTAAAATCGGCTGTGACACCTTCAGAAAAGGGGAATCTAAAACAAGTCAGAGATAAATCCATCTAAGGCTGAGTCTATCATACAGTTGGCATCTGGCATTCAGTTCTGCCACTTCCATTTGTAGGGGAGGATTAAAAATGTCCGTGCTCATGATGTTGTAAAGGACTGTGAGTTAAGAAGATATCTTTCAAAGTGAGGAGAGCCAGTGTGGTCTAGTGGTTAAGACACCTAGGCTAAAAACTGGGAGAGTGGCATAAAAGCGGTGACTTTGAGCCAATCAACAGGAAACACTTAGTTCTATCCCGCCTTAAGAATGAAAGCCGGTGGGATGACTTTGGGCCAATCACCTGGAGACACTGAGTTCTAGTCCTGCCTTAGGCATGACAGCTAGCTGGGTGACTTTGGGCCAATCACCAGGAGATGGTGAGTTCTAGTCCTTCCTTAGGCATGAAAGCCGGCTGGGTGACTTTATACCAGTCCCTTTTTCTCAGCCTAGTCCACCTCATAGGCTTGTTGTGGGGGCAGTGATGTTGGATACGTTTGCCCCTTGACTTATTTGTAAACAGAATCGAGGTGGGAAACAAGTACGTGAATAAATGTCTGCATTCCCTCCAATCTCTCTGCCTTGCATCCTAATAGCAGTCATGAAAAAAAATGAGATATTTCAAAATACCTGCTCCGTGCTGCTGCTTGGTGCTCGGATTTCGAACCTCCCGTAGCTTGGTCTCCTCTTTCCCCAAACGGTTTCCCAGTAGCTGTGTGAACGTTACATAGGTTAAGGGCAAACACTTTGATAAAAGTTGTGACCCCACCAGAGAGACATTCCCTCCTGCTCCAGACCCCGGCTATTCAAACACACAAGCTACAGCTGTTGCATTCCACAAATTCATAAATTGTATATATTTGCAACTCCGTCCACCAGCCGCTTAATCATCAAATAGAGCTTTCAGGAGTGACTCTTTCCCTCCCTTAAAGAGGTGTTTAATTTGAACAGATTCTGTGATATATATATATTTTTATGCCGGTTCCTTTTTGCTCAGCACTATTTGGGAAAAGTTAAAAAGTTGTTTTTTCCCCCTGGATCGTATTAAAAATCTTGGCTATTGTATTTGCTCCTATTTGTCACATACAAGTCGTCCTCGAATTACAACAGTTGGCTTAATGACCGTTCAAAGTTACAACGGCATTGAAAAAAAGGGACTTGGAAACATGTTTCACTCTTACGACTGTTGCAGCCTCCCCCACGGTCACGTGATCAAAATTCAGACGCTTGGCAACTGACTCGTACTTATGATAGTTGCAGCGTCCCCCGGGGTCATGTGATCCCCTTTCGTGACCTTCTGGCATTCCTGAGCCAACATGAGGGAAACTTTGGCCCCTTCATGACTTGTGGACTTCAACTCCCAGAATTCCTGAGCCAGCATGAGGGAACTCATGCTGGAATTCTGGGAGTTGAAGTCCACAAGTCATGAAGGGGCCAAGGTTGCCTATCCCTGGTCTAGAACTGCCTCAGGCGATCCTCAACTTACAAGCACTCGTTTAATGACCGTAGTTACAAAGGCACTAAAAAAATGTGACTTATGGACCAATCCTTGCATCCCCACAATCACGTGATCAAAATTTGGGCGTTTAGCATCCAGCCTGTATTTACAATGATTTCACCATCCCAGCTTGTGATGGCTTAACGACTGTTTGATTTATTTAACAATTGCGGTGATTCACTTAACAACCAGGGCGCAAAGGGTTGACTCAACCCCCTGTTTTGCTTAACAGCAGAAATTCTGGATCCAATTGTGGTTGTAAAGCTAAAACAACTTGTAATTGGTATTTATAAAACATGTTGCTCTCCATTGATGGCCCCACGTGTTAATTTGAGAAACCATCATTACCATTTTTTTTTTAAAAAAATATGTCCCTAGAATCAGTCTTGCTTATAGTATATCTGAGACACAGAGACAGACAGACAGACAGGAAGGAAGGAAGGAAGGGACTTAGTATCTTTCCAAACCATTCTCTTCGCTTAAAAAAAGAAAAAGAAAATCTTATTTATTCCACACAAACTGAGATGTATGTAGATGGAATGAATGCTGTATATGGATTCTCATGTGGTAATTCCCCACAGTTTATTTTTGGATGCTTTCATGAAGTTGTATATTTTATTATTCATGTCTCTTGACACATCTTTCATTGATTAGATGGTTTTATTGATTGCATCAACTCTCTAATTTTGGCGTGGCCCAACAATGCCTCTTAAACCGTCTGCGAAATTGATCCCAGATTTGAATAAATTGAATTCAGCTTGCTATTCTTCTCCACCCCCAGATTTCAGGTACACTGCTATAGGCCAGTTTTTCTCAACCTTGGCAAGTTTAAGGCTGTGGATCAGCGCAGTTGTTAAGATAGCAACACGGTTGATAAGTGAACCAGGCTTCCCCCGTTGACTTCGCTTGTCGGAAGATCGCCAAAGGGGATCAAATGACACTGCAACTGTCCTAAGTACATGCCAGTTGCCAAGCATTCTGAATTTTGATCACGTGACCACGGGGAGGCTGCAACGGTGGTCCGTGTGAAAAAATAACC